AAGAGCGCGTGCAAATAAGACGCAAGACGAAGCCACGTGGCCACATATATTTCTTGCAACAGTGCTATACTCCGTTTCATACTTAGCGTGCAACACTGTCAAAGCTACTAGCGCGAGCGCGTGGCTTCATCTATGGTTTTGTTTGCGCGAGAACACGTGCAAATGATCAACGAGGTCAAGCCCCATGCTCGCGCCAGTAGCTTTGAGAGCGTTGCACACTAAGTATGAAACAGAGTATAGCAGGGCGGGACTGCAGCGTCTCCTTTGTGCTATGTTGTCAAAGCTAGCTTAGCCTCCACAGTGCTCCAACTCCATCACAGATAGTTGCGCGAACGCATGCGAATGAAAGCCACGTGCTCTCGATCGCAGCAGTGCGGGGCTGCTGCACATTGAAGCTACGCTAGTTTTGACAATATACCACAAGAACAGATAACATAGAACCAAAAAGTTTATGCCACAAGTGCATGAGGCTAGTTCAGCCTGTCCAGTGACTTCAGCTCATCCGAATTATTTTGTTTACACGAGAAATCGCGCACAAAAGACACTTTTCAAAACCACACTCGCACCCGCGCTGATTTGTCAGCACTGGAGATGTTATCTACAAATTCCCAACCCAGCAAACACGTGTTTTTTGCCTTGGTAAGCATGGACACGAACAGAGAGAATGGCACCACCTCAGCACGTGCATGTTCGCCGCGTTGGAAAGTGCAAAGCACCTGCCATGGGCGCGAACGCTAAAATGGGGATGGCGCGTCCCTTGATCGCATACCGGGGCAACGAATACGCACATGCTATAGTGTAAAGCTGCGCGTTGGGTGATACAGCGTGACAGCACAATTCCGATTTAGGCAAGGACAGGTCCCGCTGTACCGTATAAACGAAAGGATGCATCAGGAGAGGGTGCTGACGCTGAAGGTTTTAGTTTGCCTGTGACGGGTAAGCGGTACTATAAACATAGTATCTACAATAATATATACATTATAAATATAGAAATATTCTAAACAAATATATTACATGTGCATGCCAAACGGTGTGCGAACTGCAAGGAAAAGAAATGTTCACGGTCTATACAAAATAATAAAAAATGAGTGATCTGTTATCTAAATCTAAAGTTGTCAAAACTCAAAAAAAGTTGGGGCCAGAGGATTATGGTCACTACCCTACTCCGTCTCACAAATGTCTGCAGTAAAGACGGCACACGCGTGTGACCATAGCCCAGCAGAATCTCGTGCGTCAAAGACACTTCAAAACCACGCGCTGGTGATCGCAAAGATCAGCACTGCAGATCTTTTTGGGATGGAGTACAGGCTGTGTAGTCTGTAAATACATCTGACCGCCGCCGTCATGTATACCTATGTACATTACGTATTTTACTACAACACTGTAATGTACAAATTCTTTCATGATGAAGCACGTGCCAAATTACTCCAGCATCAAGTAGCATGGCAACGTATACGGTACACACGCTGAACGCACTCGCCTTATCAGTATAGGCAGTATAGGGTATTCACTGGACGCCATATTTGTGGGTGCTGTCTAGAGCGCATGCTCAGAAAGAGCTCACATTAATAGGCTGATAAGACCGGCAATCTTGATGGTGCGGAGTGCACGTATTAAAATAACTGTGGAAGCTCGCCGTCAGCACGCGCTCAGCAGTCGCGCACATAGCTATGGCCGCCAGTGATTACTCCCCATAACACGTTCCAGATAGTAAATAATCATAATAAAACGTTGATGAGTTCTTGTCCAAAGTGCCATTTGTATTAGGTTTCTGCTTTAGCTGAAGTGTGTGTGATTCGTGACGGCCTTGCATATCTTCACCTAATCTCAAATGTTTTACCAAAAAAAAAAAAATTCTTTTTACGCAAGACAGGGTAAGGGGTAGAATGGGAGGAGAGGGAGTGGAATTCGGGGCGCCTTGGCACGGCCCAAAAGTGGTGTATGGCCGTGTGAAAACCATATAAATGCATTCCATCAAAGTATAGCAAACAACAAATATTGTTTTCATTGGAGACTCCTGTTTTTCCCCGAAGAACTATTTAGACAATTTTCCTGTTTTGAAAAATGAGTCACGCAAGCGTATTTTAAATTTTTGTTACAGACGAAAGCTTATGTAATACTGCAGAATCGATTATATTTACCGGAGAGGTGCACCTTTAGCCCATGGCCCCGCGTATAAGCCGCAAAAAATTGCTGGCACTGCGTTGTGATATTGTATAATATATATATATATATATATATATATACGTATATCTATATACGTGTGCTGCATTGTATAGTAAAATTTGTGCCAACTTCCTCAGATAACAAAAGCAAATATTTCTTAATTGACTGAAATTTATGTCATCTTCACGTTTCTAGAAAGCGTGGAAGGGTTGTAAGTTCTCTTTAGACGCGTTGGTTTTCGGTGAAAATAAGTGCATGCTGTTGACATAGAGCATAGCATACGCTACGAGTGATCCCAGTCAATCCAGCTGCGGCCCATCGTAAGGTCAAACGGAGTAGACTAATTTTGGGACGACGGACATGTCGCTTTGTTCAGCTAGCCGGCGATTGGACAAGAGTCAGAAATGGGCATGTATATATATAAAGTCGATGCAGCCGTTAGCCACTCCGGTCTCAATAAGTTAAGGGCGCGCGGAGGGTAACAACATACCCTACAACTACAACAAAAAAAATTATATACAAGGAAAGATTACCTAAATAATTGGTGAATTTGGGCCTATCTTAAAAACACGGACGAGAAATATTTTCTAACTGGTTAGTTTAAAACGTTTGTTCTATATGAATGTATATTTCAGCTCGAAAAATATACGAGGGCCCTTTTTCGACACCCAAAGTATACTTAACAATTACCGCGATATCGGATGATTGATGCACTGAAAATAAAATCCGACATGCAATTTCAGTTTTTTGTGCACTTTTTTCAGCGTTTGGATTCTGCAAGAATGATAAAGTTAGAAACAAAAGCGTCTTATGCATTATCCACACCAGCGATTACGTCGAGTCTGCATTATTTAAAACGAAGAAAAACGTTCCATGGTTCCCTTGGGCGTACTTTCCCCGTCGCGCCGGAGAGAAGCCCGACTACGCGGTGCACGGCCGCTGTATGGGAGCTTTCTGATTTTCCTAAATACTAAACTCACCAACTCATGCAAGAAACATAAAAAAAAAAAAAAAGAATTGCAGTTACACGCACACATTTTTTTTTTTTTTATTTAGCAGCGGGATTGGGACAACGGAGGAGCCCCTCTCCCTGCTACTTTCCCGCAGTGCTTGCCTGCTAAGGGAGAAGCTCCTTTGTAATTATGCAGGCACGTAGGGTTGGCAATCGGGTCAGCTGAACACGAAAAAAACGGGACACAAAGGAAATGACTGGACAAATGGACCGCTGTTTGTCCAGTTCTTTCCTTCGTGTCCCGTTTTTCCGTGTTCAGATGATCCGATTGCCAACAGTATGTACCAACTAAAACCCATAGCACGAAGGGTGTTCGGTTTTATTTTCCTCCCCGACTTAGGTCAGTGTTAATTTCATTGAGGGCGACAAGTGTGTAAAATCAGCGAAATATGATTACCTAATTAAGCAACGAAGTAGGAAACGGTGCAAAACTGCATAACTAAATTTGGAAAATGTTTTGATCGCTTTAGCCTTTGCACACTATCAAAGAGGCAGCATTGTGAGAACTTGTATCTTGCCTAGTACTTGCCGATAGAGAAATAAAGGCTGAATTAACACTGGTGGAAAGCCATACTTAAAAAAAAAAAAAAGGAAAAGTGCAATATTTGTATCCAATTTTTTTTAAAACTTGATCTTGAGTTGGCCATTTCACCTTTTCTATTTTCATTCTTGTTTTCCTTTTAAGTACCTAATAGCCTAGGCATGTGCTGTGAAGCCTAAGCTATATGTATTTTTATTTTTTTAAACATACATCTGCTAATAAAAGCTGCAGGTACTCTAACCAACTGTGTTTATATAGCCCAACGTTTTGTGGCCTGCTTGTTCACGGGCAACTTATTTGGCTGGGAGTTTGTATTTCTACCCTCCTTGTCGCTGCCATTTAAATCATTCTCCTCGTTTTGTTGCACCCTAAAGCCCGTGGATATAACTGCTTGGGATGGTACCGATCGACCTGTTCTGGTTGTTCTTTGTATGCTGAATAAGCTACAACTATAAAAAGTTGTTTTTTCAGTTCATCTCGAACCTGGAAAAAATTACTCGAGTCATGGCATATTCAGCATACAAAGAACCCGAACCTTCCCAAGCAGTTATATTCACGGGCTTCTAAGTGTCACAAAAAGGAGAGATTTAAAGGCAGCGACAAGGAGAAGAGAAAGACAAACTCCCAGCCAAATAAGTCACCCGTGAACAAGTAGGCCGCGAAATGTTGGGCTATTTGAACACAGCTGGTTAGCGTACCTGCAGCTTTTTATTAATACTCACCTAGCCAGGCACAATTCTGCCAAAATGTTTACTTTTCAAACATACATCTGTTGAACATAACTATTGTTATTATACTGGAACATGAAAACCTTAGTCCTCCCAGTCCCATGCGACGAATAACTGAAGAATGTCGCCCTACAACATACTCACTTTGCGCGGGACGTAGCAGCCACTGTGCCAATTCCATGCGCAGAACAAAAGCCGCCGGGCAAAATTAGATTTTTCACAGCATATTCGTCCCATGGAGTTCAGCCTCTATGGGTCATAATGCATATGCAAGTACAAAAGTTTCCTTGTAAATAAAAATAGGCTATCCCCCTTCGACTTAAAACTGACCTCCCAAGTTCTCAGGTACACAAGGGAGTTGGAGGAGGTTCACAAAACAATACATGCAGTTTACAGGCGTGAGCCCTCACAATTTTCCAGGCCAGCGGCAGCTGCCAGACTGTCAAATTTTACTTTGGGAATAGTACATAATTTATGGCATGAAGGATCATAGATGGATGGATGGATGGGATCTTTCAAAGTAAATAATTCTCATTACCTACAAAAACAAAAATACTGTCACAACTTCAACAGTTTATTTACACAAACACACTGCACCATTCCAACCTTCATTCAAGTGGTGACTAGCAGGCAGGACCAATGCTTTGGTTCAGAGATGACGATGAACTGGGTGACAGAAACTTTGTGCTACAAGTCACAACTGAAGCAGCTTATTCAGAGTGGTGCCCAGGACGCCAATGGTGGGGTTCAAGCTGGGCTGCAAGAGAAAAGAATTGTCACAGTACAAGCACCGTAACCATCAATTTTAGACCACATAGAACAGACATACACCACTTCAGTGCACTAAGGAGTGTGTTACTACTTTTAAAAACAAGAACTCTTGGATAATGATCCCCTAAACAAAGCGAATTTACAAGTTAGTTTGAACATTCAACAAGTAATCAAAACTGTTGAGAGTAAAAACATATTCGAATATAGGTCATCCCTAATTTTGAAGTGGAAGGAAAGGAAATTCATACAAATATTTAACTCGTCGCATCATTTGTAACCCAGGTTTAAACTCATGTGTTGATCATGCTGGCAACGTCATCTTATGAACATTAAGAATAGCAACTGCATGCTTTCGTACCGAGCGAAAGCATTAAGTATTGAACAAAATAGCACATTAGTTCACATAAAAATAGTGCTCGAAGCATTTTTGATCATAATCACAAACCACTGTTGTAGATTTTTTTGTATTAGAAATGTCACTGAAAACCTGTTCATTTTTGTTATAAATATTCACTCTACTATAAAAAGGTAAACTGGCACTGCAATTGACCCTTTAGAAGTGGTATGCCAGAGTAGTTTATAACATTACTAGTCAGGAAACAGTGCTTTGCACTAATACATTTTGCTTCACATATACTATCTTGCAGATATTAGACACAAAGGCGCACAAGCTGAAGTTGACACAAAAATAACATAAAACTACCTCATGTAAAAAAACAACAACAACATGGATTATTGACGTCTTTCACGATTGCAGCCAGTGCATTGATAGTAGGGGATAGATGTATTTTTGGATTTCGCCAAGCATTTGATTGATTGTCCTGTCATCTAGCTGTTATGTAAAATTGCAGGTATCATTAAAGGGGCCCTGCAATCATATTTAAGCATCTACCTTTTTTGCGGTTTCCACATCTCTTGGTGTTCGGGCAAGCCAGCGGGCACGGAGAGAATGACCAAATATCAATGCGTTATATTTTAACCGGACGACGTGGACACCTTCTCTACCTACAAAGGCGACCCGCAGTGCTGAAAGTGTTGTGTTTGGTCCTCGCCTTAATACTGGTCAGAGCCGCTAAAAGCTTCTTTTTAAAAGCGCAAGCTCATAGCGTTGGCAGCCACTCTTAATTAAGTCACGAGAGCTTGTGCCGCCGAGATGTGCTCCAGAGCAAAGAGCTCGTGCTTGTAGCCTTTCCTGCGGTACATCATAAGGTGAAACAGAGTATAGCGGTGAGCGTAGAAAGGTCTCGAATGTACCCGGCGCCGCTGCGGTCGAGGATCCGACCGGTTCCGAAGGCCTTCGGAGCAGGTTTGGAAGTATGGCAGCGTGAAGTGGCTGCTGTACTGAACTGATCTTTATCCCGTGTTTGCTGTCGTTCGTGGCCAATGAAGTGTCATACCAAATTAGTGTTTAATCCCGCAGCAAATGCAATGCGAGCCGCCCTGGCTGCCCGCTTCATACAGCCTATCCAGAACATGCTTTAGTGGTGTCCTCTCGAGCCGTTGACGCGGAGTGCAGCAGCGGTGAGCGCTCGCTGAGCTCGCTACCCCTCCTCTAGTTCACGGCCACTCAAGCGACGAAAGACGTCATGAAGGAGGTGTTTTTTTGCTTGTTTTTGTAATTTGAATTTGCCTATAACTTTTAGAATAAAGCGAGATTCAAATAAAAGAAAAGTTTCATTAAGTTACTACGTTCAGTGCGCTCAGGTTCGGTGCGAATTTAAAACTTTCAGCCTTTCCACTCTGATGAAGAAGGAAAGTCAGCGGCCGCCCATTACAAAATGCTGTATGAGGGGGAGGGGAGACCCCAGCAAAATGGAAGATTTCGGGGAGGGGGGGGCCCAGGCCCCATGGGCCCCCTTCCCCCTGGCTACGTGCCTGGTGTATCACTACTGGGTGGTGCACGTTACCCCAAGCTAGCGGTTGTACTGCACTCGCTAAATTGCTCATCTACAGCTGGGAGGCTCGTCGCCCTTTGAGGCATACCAAGTTCTAGGCTGTATAAACATACACACAACCGAATTTCGGATCTTGATGATGCAAGTCCGTTCCCGGCTGAGCTGAGCCCTCCTCATTCAACGCTTGTTGTTATTGCTGTCGTTTCTTCCTACTAAAGGCTATGGTTAGGGTTCCGCATTTTCTGTGTTTTTTTCTTCTCGAAATCGGGGGTATTTTATTTCGGGGTTTAATGTTTTCCTGCAGATTCCGTGGTTTTTGTTTAAATTGGTTATGACTACACCAATTCACACAAAAAACAGTGAATCTGTAAAAGAAATGGAACCCCCCCCCCCCCCTCCAAAATTCCCCCAATTTCTAGAAAAAAAAAAAAAAAAACAAAAAAAAAAAACAAACAAACAACAACAACAACAACAACACCGACACCGAAAACGCAGAACCCTAGTTATGGAGCATCATTTCACATGCACGGAAATTCAGCAAAGCGATTATTATTAAGTCTGATGCTTCCATAATCTTAGTGTTGTGGTTTGTATACGACAGCTGGTCCCATATATTTTTGGCATCTCACACAAACCATAGGTTTCATAAAACATTGAATGTTGATTGGGGCTGTGGTTTGATTAAAAATTAATCCTACTGATCGCTACCGTTTAATACACAAATCAATTGATAAATTTGTTAGTCGATTTTTCACTGGTCATTATGCATGAAAGACAATAAAACTACACCTTTTTTAGTATTTTTAGTATGTCAGAAATGGCATATTGCATTCTCATCTTAAACTTCACGTTGTGACGCCTACAGAAATATAAACACGGGAAGCCTTTTAATGTGCAGTAATTTTTAAGTTATTATTTAAACAGTATAATCACCCTCTATGACAATCACATGCATGCTGAAGTGGTTTACCGTGCAAGCCTGTGTCATAAAAGAAATAAAATGTCAGAAATATAGACCATTCCATTTAGTGCTCTCTGGGCGGCACCATTTCGTTCGACAGCGGTGCCCTCTCCATACATCCGGAAAATTCAGCGGGTTTGGTGGGGTAAAACGAGAGAGGGCACGCGCCCGACTCCACTAGCAGACGACAAACCGGGAGGTTGTTATTCTCCATCTTTGGGCTGTACCGGCGGGCTGTATGGAACATCGAACTCTCGCTCGTGGCTGCCGTTGTGGAGTGGTCCGCGTTCTTAGAATAGTTATGGCTGCTCCAAAATCAGCCTATAGCTCTCTGTTGTTCTATTTTAATAAGTGATCAACTAGCATATCTTTTTTTCCGTTACTTAAATAGCAGTTGAGTCAGCCGGCAGTACTACCCTCAGCTACTGCGTTTATTGCGGCACGAGAGCATGTTTCTATTTATTATTTCGGACCTCACTCATGATCGCTAAAGGCCTACACCAGTATGAACTTTGAATAGTAAAAAAGGTACAGCCACCGGATTCACTTTTCGCCGTAGAGACCGGCAAATCTGACACAGTTTTCACTATTTCTTTTTATTTGCACACAGGTAACACAGTTGGACCCTGTTAGTCTTTTTATCTAGCATAGTATTACACGAGATCTGGCATACCAAAATCTGCGCATCTGCGCTTGAAATTCCCAAAATGACGCGATTTTAAACAGAGTTTGTACGCCAGCCGGATGCTAGGTACAGCCCACTCGGCGCAGCAGATGACAGAGGGTGAGGGCATTTTTTTCTCTCTATTACCCTCTTTGCTATGACCCTAATGGAACGGTCTATAGAGTAGGCATTTTTAACTTTTTCATGACTTCCTTTAGCACAAGATTCCAATTAAAAGGCAAAACAAAATATCACAATTAAAGCATCACTCGAATAATCTGAAGGTTAATCAATGTACTGCCCAGTCCCAATATGTGTTAGGTGAGGGCAGAGGGTGATCGCAAAGTCTCGTGGGTCCCTAGCCCTCATCAGTAAAAGACTGTCGCTGCGGCCGATGCCGGCGATGTCGTGGTGCGGGTCATTTAATGAAGTTGCAGTGTCTACTATGTTTAAATAGAAGATTATTTAGTCAGAAATTTATATTGGCTTTTTGACATCCACAACCCTCACCGAGAAAATTGAAGCGGGTGAACCCACACTACCGAGAAAAGCATCTAATAGCACGCATGCTACTGCCTTGCTTGGTTACACCCGTTTGTTCCTATCGCGGCAGATATATTAGAATAGTTTGTTTCACTTGCTTCAGTTGTCCTGCCAACGATCAGTTTCCGGATCGTTAACTAGAAGAGGCACTCTCTCCTTATTGCAACATAGTAAAATTGTTCTGACTCCGAAAAGCTTACCCACACCATGGCACAGAAAAGGACAACAGGCTGCAGCAGAACTCAATAGCACGGTAATTTCTGATACAGCACTAGCTTCTCTTCATCCTAAATATTTATATTAATGAAAAAGCTCAAAATTGCAAAAACAAAAATGCATAGAACCTGCCATTTCACAGTCCACAGTACCCATATTATGTTATCCGGGTCACAATTAATTATTTTGTTAAATTCCCACGCTCGTGAACCGATAGAACTATTTTAAAAGAAATAAATTTTTAACATAAATAGTGCAGTTTACCCAAAGACAGGCATCCGTCGTAGTGAGCCATGCTTCCCAACGTCTGCCTAGGGCGGACGACTCATCCACACACATGGTTATTTATACTTAAGCCGCACGCTGGTAAGACAATTCAATCTTTACTGACGCACCGAACGGTACCGCACCACTTTCCGCTAAAACTGTTTTCCCACCGATACTGTGCAACAAAATATATGCAAGAATTTACACCGTTTCGCACGCGAACGTGGAGAGCCTATGGAACAGCAATGCTTCCATCCTCGCTTTGATAATGATGATAGCACGACAGCAGCGCCACCTCTAGGTCGATCCCGAGGCCAATAGCTTACTACTGCATGTGAGCAGGCTCACGGGAGATCCTTGCTGCACAGGCTTCGAGCTGGATGTATGTATACTTCCAAACGCCTTCACATGTACGATCGCAAGTCAGACCCATACTGTCCATCTTGCAGTGACCCTGAAGACACAGCGCACGCTCTTCTATGCCCAAGCCACGACCAGCATCGGAAGCTTCTGATTCAGCGGTATGCGACGGCCGGCCTCTCCCACTCCAATCTTGAAGACCTTCTAAATCCAAACGGGACTCAAGGAGTAGCCGAGAAGGCCTTTCGTGCTCTCCTGGCTTATCTGCGTGAAAGTGGACTTGCAAGCCGGCTCTAGCGTATTTACGCACTAATCAATTGTGCCAGATCTGCTTTCTCCACAAAGTATGGATGCCCGTTTAAATGGGGCTATTCAGAGTCACGCTACTCGTCTGTCAGCTAACGATTCAACGCCCCGTTCAAACGCCTCAATCGTTCTTTCTTTTCTTTTTCTCTCCCTCTTTCCTCTCTATTCCTCCCATTCCCCAAAAGCTAGGCAGCGACTTGCCCCTGTACGGAGGCCCACATTTCTCCTAGCTTCCCCCCCCCCCCCCCTTCCCGACACCCCACAATAAACAAACAAACAAGCTCACGGGAGAAAGCTAGATGATTAAATGCACTTTAACGGAAAAATAAAACATTAAACATCTTTGCACGTTGCCGGTTTCCTAAAGACAATACTTTGCATGCTGCGAGGGAGCATGCTGTTCGGCGGGGGGATGGTTGGTTGCACAAGAATACTGACGTCCCTTGTTCGGCGCACTTCGAAGATGACTGCTTTGACACAAGCGGTCAAGCGAGAAAACTTCGACTGGGTAGCATTCCAACTATGTTCGTTTCCTCTCGTTTCCGTAAAGCCGACCCGCATGTAAACGATTTAGCGTGCGACGAGACGAGTGACGGAGATTTCTCACGGTTGCCCGTTGCATCGCTCGGTTTTCGGGATTTCTAGAAAACGTCGCTCACCGTCTTGGTCGCTTCGCCGTCGCTTCCATGCGGTTTGCCTCGTCGTGCGACTGACCGAGCGACAGCGAAGCGGGTCGCTGTTGCTCGCCAAAGCGCTTACATGTGGTTTATACTCAATTAATTTACAAGCACACGGTGAGCGACGTTTTCTAGAAACCCAAAAACCGAATAACACGACAAGCGACAGTAAGAAATCTCCGTCGCTCGCCGCTGACTCTTGTCGTTGTCGCCACCGCTCGTCTCGTCGCAAGCTAAATCGCTTACATGCTGGTCATCTTTACAGAAACAAGTGTGCACATGCAGCGGGAAGCACGACTGGATAGCCTTACTGCGTCAGTTTAAATTTGCATACGTCGCAATGGTGTAGACTGCCCTTTATTAGCGAGAAAAACGCCAGAACGGGATGAACTTATATGGTCTCTGAAATCATAATCTTTTATCGTCGATCCATTCGCTGTCCGATTCCATTTCATAAATACGAAAATACAAGAGCTGTGTTGAAATATAGATATCAAAAGATTAAACAAAAGCCCGAAATATCGAAAAGACACACAATTTCAATGTTGAAAAGACACACAATTTCAACACGGAACATGAAAGAACACGAAAACAAAGCTCCGGTAGTGGCCTGTGCAGCACACAACGCGGGGGAACGGTGAGAAACTGAAGGTCGGCTATGGCGGCAGGGTCACGTGTAAAGCCCCTCTATCCTGGGAAAAGCGGCACCATTCATTGTTGTGGAAATGCTCGAGACTTGTGCCGCGCACCACCTTCTGGGAAGAACATGGCGGCTGAAATTTAGCTCAGTGCTGCGCTGTGCTGCCATGATCTTCCCAAGGGCTACACGTAGCACGTACCTCGTGCATCGGCGCACCTTGCGCTACTTTTGAAACATAAAGGGGCTTTAAGGTGGTGCAGTTGGCAACGGTTGCCCCGTGGCCGCTGTTGCAAGAGCAAACTGTAGTTCGAGCACAAAATTGTGAAGGTAGGCTTGTTAGTCATTAGATTAAGGGCTTGGGGAAAGTGATCTATGTGACTTCGCCCATTACCTGGCCCACCCTTCTGTTGGGGCTTTCGTAGGGATGGCACAAAGAGTATGTTAAGCAAAATAGCTGTCAACATAAGAAAGATATATAACAACAATGTCAGCATGCAGAGCATGTTATGGTCTTAACTGGACAAGAGGCTAAACCTATGAGCATACCACTGCAAATAATTCATGTTGATCTATATAGCACACAAACTGCCTCTGCTTGCCAAACGTTTACCCCTGCATCCTTATTTTCAGAACGAGGCTGGTGTGCTGCAGTAATCAAAGGACAGATGAAGAAATAAACTTCAACATATCGACTGACCACACTGAAGTGAGCGCCGCTATCCTTCAGCATCCCACTCCACTCCCGGCCGACTGACCTCACTGAAGTGAGCGCCGCTATCCTTCAGCATCCCGCTCCACTCCCGGCTGTTCGATGAAACCATGGCCTACCTTGTGGCTCCTGCAGAAAGTGTTGGTCTCCCGGTCGGCTGTCCCTATTCGCACCCCGAGTGCGGATAGTGGTCGATTCTAATCCGCACTCCGAGTGCGGATAATTTTGGATTCTTATCCGCACTCCGAGTGCGGATTACGTTGGATTCTTATCCGCACTCCAAGTGCGTGCGGCACGGTGTAGTGATGGTGTAGTGCGGCGAAGAACTTGGCGTGTGGCTGGCGCGACTTGGACGCGGGAAACTTTGAACATAGTTACTTACGATGTTTGTGGTGTGACATTGGCATGTTGGCAGCACCAATTCCATAGACATGTTAATGGTTGTGCGGTGTTTAATTGGGACGAGACCTGTGTCTCGGAATTAATTCAATTTCAAACAAATGCATAATCGTAAACATATAATTAAAACAGCGCGAACGAACACACCACTTAACCGTTTTTTCACAAGGACAAGGAGAAAGGGGACACAGACACAGCGCTGACTCACGATTTACTCTCTTTTTCGTCTTCTTAAAACACATCAACATAAGAAGACGCGAGTCATCGCTGTGTTTGTGTCCCTTCTTCTACTTGTCCTTGTGTTCGTTTGCGCTGTTTTGATTATATGTTCACTGTGCACCACCGACTAGCTCACCTGCAAACATCACTACAAATGCATAATCGCATCTTCTTTTTTTTTTTTTTTTTCGAGATTGATTAGCGTTAGGTGGTGCATTTGGGTAGAGATTGAACTGTACTCGCGCCTCGGGGGCATGAAAAAAAGCATGAAAGCAAGACGTAAGCAATCCTATTGTTCCTTCAGTATCTTTCTTTTTTTTCTTTTTGTTAAACAAAATATTATTATTTGCAAAAAAAAAAAAAAAAAAAAACGGAAGCTGGTTTAAGATTTGTATTATAACGCGCCTTCGCCATAGTCAGCACATTAACATTGTGTGGTGCAGCTGGTGCTTAGCTGATGGGGGCAGTAATGTGAGAACGGCGGGCGGCTAGCAAACAATTTTCAATACAGAATTGCCCCCGCTCGCCCCACCACACACACACACACACACACACACACACACAGATGTTCCAAACTTCCGCTGCCGCCACGCCCAAAACCCGCAAGCTCAGTGTTTGGCACCCTCGGCATGTTTAACATCTTCGATCACACAACCATGCAAAAACATATTTTAACAGACATCACATCTATCGTCGTCTACTTACAAAGGTGCAAATCATTCTATTAAAAAAATTACAGTAACAAAGGGCCGGGGACTTATCAGGCATTCCCCCATCTAGTAGTATTGAAAGTGTTCAGAAGATTGAGCCGGAGGGGGGGGGGGGGGGGGGGGGGCGTCCTTATTTTTAATAATATTGCTTACTGGAAAGGACTGATTTTCCTACACCCCTTCCCCCCCGCGTCCTTTTTTAATTATATTGTTTACTGGAAAGGACTGATTTTCCTACACCCCCCCACCCTTTTTTTTCCTAAGCCACTGCCCCCACCACCTAAGCACAAGACAATACACGTCACAAATTGTACACTGTTCTAGTTTCTTTCTTTTTTTTTTCTTTCGTCAATAAAAATATTTAACCCTACAAAAAAAATTTATCGCCAGATTTTTTTTTTTTTTTTTTTTTTTTTTTGGGGGGGGGGGGGGAGGTGGGGAGTGCTGATGTGTTTGGGATGTGAGGTGGGTAAAGGAAGAGTCCAACCTCCCCCGCACCTCCGGCCCCACGCACGCACGCACGCACGCACGCACGCACGCACATTGATAGCCTCTATCCGATCCCAGAGGCGTGAGTACCGTCTAGTCTGAAGCGCACCACCCAATGTTAATTTTTTTTTTTTATAAAAAAAAAAAAAAAAAAAAAAAAAACATTTGCTTGAAATTATTCTAATTCTGAAACCAGAACCACCATTCCCATAGACTCGTCGAGGCTGCCAACACGCCAGTGAATCAACGAAATCACTTCTAAACCACTGTGTTCATAGCTTCCCGCGACAAAATCGCGCCACACGCGGAGTGCAGGTAAATAAGATCTAACGGCTTCGTGCCAACGTCTTCGTACCCCCGGTGCTACGCGGTGCTACGCGTGCGCTGCCCCCGGTACAGCGTCCGCACCTCCGCACGCAATCCGCACTCACGCACTCGGACTCGGAGGCTCGGAGTGTGGATAAGAATCCAACACAATCCGCACTCGGAGTGCGGATAAGAATCCAAAATTATTCGCACTCGGAGTGCGGATAAGAATCCACCACTATCCGCACTCGGAGTGCGAATAGGGACAGCCCTCCCGGTCATCCTTGCTCTTTCCAATCCTCGGGGACCATGTAAAAAACGCCGGAGTGCCCGTTCCTGGCAACATAGTACTGGAAACGAAATCGAAACCAAGTAACCCCTGCTGTAATTTTTTTGTTTATTTTACTTTCAAGCGCATGAATACATCGTTTATTTAAATTAAATTATTATGAGGTTTGAGCAGACCAAACAAAATGCGGTCAAGGCCACTCAAGTCGGACAGTTTTTCGCGTTGGTTTGTTTCCAGCAATCCAAACAACCCCAACAGAAAATAAAATCCAAATCCAGTATCGAAGTCCATCCGCTCGTGCACATGTGTGGATTGTCTCGTAGGTTCTTCACGGAATTTGTTGCCATTTAGCTGATTGAGCTTCTCTTTATAGGCGCTATCCGTCTTCACGAGACAAGACGGCCTATTCGTTCTGGACACCGGTGCATTCGTAACTAGTCTTAACAGCAACAACGGGCAAACATGGGCAAAAAGAAGTGAGTCACCGGAGCTGCCCACCCGTCGGCGCTCATTAAAATTATATACGGGCGTCTCTATTTACTCAAGAACCCGTGCCGTTTGCAGGGGAGGCCGAGTCAAAGGCAAGAAAAACGACGCGGGAACAGTCCTCGGCTCTGACGACGAGGCCCTATACTCCGATCTGGAGCAGCCGGACGAGAAATCGAACGACTTCGTCCAAGATGCCGTCGACATCTTCCATTCCAATCGAGATCGGGTCTCCGCTCTTTTGTCCTATATTCCTATATCTCGTGCATCGTCATTTTGTCGCTTTTTTACTTTTACAGAAAAAAAAGTGCGTTAAAACGCAAACATGTCTCTTTATTTTTAATACAGGTGCTTCTGGAAGACTCTGATGACGTCGCCAGCTCCGATCAGGTAGACGCTTATGTAGAACTTTCTGTTCTCAGCAGTTCCAAGGCCGAGATACGAGCCTTTGAAAAGATACATGTTTAAAGTGCATTGGTCGTCGTCTCAATTTTGGTCGTGTACTTTTAGGAAGAGGTCCTTTCCCTGAACGGCGACGATAGTGACAGCGACATTGATGTCGAGGAGTCTGACGACGAGCTCGATCCGCTCAGCGATGTGCATTCGCGAAAGCTTCAAAAAGATGAAATGGCAAGCGACATTGAAGACGAGGAGGACGGTGGGTGAACTATTATAAGTGATATTTAATAGTTGCCTGATAGTCATCCTTAAATGCGCGTGATCAACTCGTGCTTATTTGTTCATATCTGTTACCTTAATGACTGTTGAAGTGGGGTGCTGCTCCTTTTCTGGTCTTTAAGGTCTTCCCGACGTAAAGGCTTGGGGCAAGAGGAAATCCACATATTACAGCACTGACTTTGTGGATGAAGATTATGAAGGTAAGCCTAAGTATGTTGCCATGCGAGAGCACTCAACTTGGGTCAGTGCAGCAAGTATGCCACGCATGGGAAGAATTACCCTGCATGCTACCAAGGTGTTATAATTCAGCTTAGCAAGCTTCAAACTTGTTTTCAGTGTATGTTCACTGGTTCCCAATAGAAATAAATGCAAGGCATTTGAATTGTAGCACTGGGACAGGCGTTACCAGAAAGATTAATAATGTATTAGAGGCGTTAGTCGGTTGTTTTGTTTCACAAAAAGGTCTATTATATCCGTGCAAGACATTGATAGCTCTAAGTTACATTACATGAGTCGTTGTTGCTTTCTAAATGGACATGGGGCTCCCTTGGCACTGCACTGGGTGGAGGGTACCGTATTTTATGGCATGCCCTTTTATGACATGCCAATATTGCAAATGTCTAGCAGTTTGTATATCAAGCAGGTGTCTTTGACTGCAACAGACAGGTACCTCTTGCAAAAGTCTTCAAGTCTTCATAAATGAATGTTTCCAGGCATTGCGGGTGACGCCGCAGAATTGGCTGAACTTGAAGAGCAAGAAGCTCGTGCCCTCCAGAAGCGTCTAGTGGAGCAACTGGACGACGAAGACTTTGGCCTCGATCTCTTCCAGGTATGAGTATTTTTTAAAATTAGTTCCTAATTTGCTTTTTTTTTTAAGCTTGCGACTTTCAAAGTTAATTTTAGAAAGATGCAAAGTCATGCAAGATCAAACATAGAAAAATTTATTCTTTCACACATGTCTAGAATATCAGACATAGAAAAAAATTGCGCCTGCTCTGTTCGAAACTTCAAAAATAAAACCTCTGCTGCTGCTCACAATTTTTTATATGTCTGATACTCTCTTGGTGAAGAATTGGTTATTAGCATAATGGCTAGGGTAGATGGAGTCTGTAGCTACTGCATGCAGGGCATAATTATGTTATCAAGGTATATATGTCAAATTTGTTGCAAGTTTAACGGCACGTCGATAGTTTAGCCCCATATTCCAGTACAAGAAACTTTGTCTGAATTGCGAACTAAAAACATACTTTTTGTGTTCACAATCCGCCCATTGAAAGGTATACGCCTGATCTTGCCACCCCGCCATCTCTTTCCACACAATAAAGTCCGTCGGCTACGATCTGCGTCACCATGGCAACGGAGCCATTATGGAGGAAAGCGCAAACGGAAAATCTGAAGCCAGCAACGAGAGATGCCATCTTCCGATAGTCCTTTGCTAATGTGAACGTGGCAACGCTAGCCAAAGCCTGAAATTATCGTAAGGGTCTCCCAAGCAAAGGAAAGGGTTACCGCGGGGCGACGCAGTCTGTTCGCAAGCCTAGCTTGGAGCCTAAGCTCACGTTGGTAGCAAATGGCATTCGGAAGATGGCACGGCTGTAGCTAGCTTTAGACACTGCATTTTTGTGTGTGCGTCCATTGACATTTGGTGACCATAGCAGACGGACTTTATTGTGCGGAAGGAGACGGTGGTGTGGGGAGATCAGGTGCATGATTGCGCTATTTTGTCGTGCTTTTCAGTGGACGGGACGTGAACAAAAAGAGTTCAAATAAGGACTTGACGCAGATAGCTGATTTTCTTCAGCGCCTAATTTTTTGACGGGAATTACACAAAAGGCGTGCCTTTTTTGGCCATACGACGACTAGGTTTTTTCTCCTGGAACATGAGGCTAAAGTATCAAATGCGTTTATTCATATGTTTCGGGGGGATAAAAAAAATTATCTGCACAAACGTTTCAGTACCTATCTTACACAAACTTTTTGAAACCCAAGTCTCTTAGATTATTGCATAGGCAGACCCTTGACTGATTCGAAAATGATTTGTCACATCATCCACTTTCACTCGTGTATCCGACAAAGGCCATTCAGGTGCACGCTCAATGTTGCCATCAGTCGTGGGCACAGACGGGCGTCTGGCTTTTCTTCAGGACTGGCACTTGTGCATCTTTCCTCAAACTTCTGCACACTTTTTCATGACAAAGCACTTTTTTCATACTGTGCACAAAATATCGGCACCAGACGCTCTCTCGGACCACAAATAATTAATCACAGTACGCTCCTCTTCTGTGCAAATCACAAGTGGGGCAGCCATTGTTTCTTGCACCGCATTTGCAATTGTACTGGTGTAACACATTCAAACCTGCACAGCAGTGACTGGAAAGGCAGCAACCTTGTATGAAAAGCACTGTTAGACAGTGCAGCCAACAGATGTTAAGAAAACCAAAGTGCGTAAAATTTTTTAATCACCCTCGTACTTGATCAATCTGATACGACATGGTGTATGACATAGTAACTCGAGCTTTCCATAAAAGGACCTTTGCAAAGCACTAAAGATATATCTGGATATGTTAATGTATCTATCACCTTGTATCAAAAACAGCTGTGTATTTCTTGTTTTTGCTTGCAGCTTCCCAAGGAAGAGACAGCTGAGGTGTCCCAGAAAATTGCGAAGGATTTGTCCAAGCTTTCTAAACGAGAGAAGCTAAAGGTGAGTCTGCACTATTTCAGAAAGTAAGTGTATCTCTGCTAGCAAAAAATTATGATTTTATTTCTTCTGCTTGTTTCTGTCATTCCTAGATCCTTTCCAAAGAAGCTTCAGAGTTATTGGAGCTCATTGAGGACTTCAAATCAAAGGTTTGGAACTGGACAGGTAAATACTAGTTTTTGAGAATTCAACTGACATGAAATGTTTTCTTTGACAGATGATTGAGTTGCGTGACACCATCATTCCCCTTGCACAATTGGCTGAGAGTGACAAGATCACGTCTGTACCAGCCATCGAGTACATCCATCTCAAGAGACAACTTATCTTACAGTAAGTTTGCCATCTCTTCATCCCATCCGTGTTGTCACTAATTTGGGCGGCACAATTGTATGCGTTATATGTGGGAGTTCTTGCATGTGTTTTTTTGTTTGTTTCTGGGCTTGCTGTATCTCATCTGCTTTGTGTCTTGCATGTTAGTTCCCAAGCCACACAAGTGCTCTGATATTAGTTCAAAAGAAAGGTAACAACAAGGGCACGAGCATGTTGATTACTTTTAGGGATCACCAACACCAAGGAGACGAGACAGGGCATATATTACTTCTTGTTGCTTATGTTTTTTTTTAATTCTTTCCTAATCCACTAAAACTAACATTCTTGCTCTTTACAGCTTGCAGACATATATTTTATAGGTTTGATTGAATTTTGCCTCACTTAGTTGACTATAAGGGTGCTAGTCATGTGTAGGTATAAATTCTGAGCAGTCGCGCTGCTCGGCAGCCCCTTTTCAAGAAATAGCATGACATTACAGAAAAGTACCCACATTGAGATGGAGCAGTTAGTGGGATTGGTACTTTTGTGAATGTAAGATTTTAGACAAGAAATCAGTGCTCAAGTGATCCTAGCAGGATTGTGGTTGACAAGCAGTTCTCATTTTGTTCTCTGCTTTGGTGTGACGGAGTGTTGGAGATGTTTTCGGGAGCACTTAAAAAGTACTGACACAGAAGTGATTTTCCAAGTTGTCAGTACTGCAAACTTGTAATTCACAAATTTCTTCTCCCGCAAATCAACTAAACACGTAGCTACTGGTGAATTGTACTAGCTGCAGCGTGCACGTAGCAGAAAGGAACAGAAATGTGTGCAACATTTAATTCTCCCTTTGCCGCTTAGTATTTTTGCGTGCTTTCTTTTGTGTAAAAAAATGAGTCCAAAATAAAAAATAAAAAATTAGGCAATATAAAAAAAAAAATGCTTTTGGAAAGTTTATGGAATTGTCCTCAATGTCCTTTTAAATTCTGTGTTGAGCCACTTGTGCACCTCCTCCTTTTCAATGACTACGAGAAACTGACATTGTGCTTTAGTGCATGGCTCTCGTTTAGTTTCCCGAGAGAGAGTTCTCGCTCATGGGGTGCCTTCTTTTTCAGGTACTGCACCAATATTACATTCTACATGATCCTGAAAGCAAAGCGTGTGTCTGTAGCAAACCACCCAGTTATCAGAAGACTGGTTTCTTTTAGAAATGTAAGTTTACTTGTTACATATCACCCCAGAGCTGCTTTTGCTTGGCATAATGGTTTGATACTATAATATAACCTCTCATAATAGCTGTGTAACTGGCAAGGGCATTGGCAAGACTTTTCGCTAGGAAGACTTCACTTAGCATCCACATGTGTCTTATTTATACTGTAATATCCCGAGAGGTAGCCACCTAAAATTTAAAAAAAAACTCAGTAAAAAAAAAAATTGTTTTAGGTTTTTTACTTCCACCATGGTACAGCGAAGCTGTAAAATGGTGGGAATGAAGTAATGGCCGGCCGCAAGTCAACAAGCCAGAGTGGAAAGGCTTGAAAGGTTGCCACCATCTATGAGCGACGGCGCTAAACAGACCATCGGCAAGCGGGTTGTCAGGTTGCCGCCTTCGCTTATAGATGTCGGTTGCTGTCATGTGTCTCTGCCAAACTTGTTGTCGCGGCGAGGGGCAATGAAGCAAAAATATGTGTACTTTGCAGTCAGCAATGTTCGATTATATTCCGCCATAGCTAACTAGATGCATCTACACCAAGGTCATCATTTATCCTAACAATATGATTACTAGGAATAGACTATCTTTTGGTGTTTAAAATAAAATAGCAAACCAAGCCAAAAATAGGGTTGGGTTTCAGAGGTGGGGCATCGGGATTTCACGGTAATTCTTTGGTTGCTTTTGTGTTCTTTCCTTCGCCATAGGTTTATGTCAACAACTTAAGCATAAAATTATACATACTTTTTTTTCTTGCAAATTTTGGGAGAAAAGGTTATCTGCAATAGATATAGACACACTCAGCAGAACAAGTCACCACCTGTTATATGTATGTAATAACTCGGGCCTGAAGGAACGTGAATTTCACAAGTGGTGCAAGATATGACGACGATGGGAGAGTTTCAGGCTAATGATCAGCTTCTCTGAAGGAAGAAGGAAAAGCCTTCAAAAAGATTACGGAGTGGCTTATATAAAGTTCTTACACAGTATCTAATTGTCTCGTGTGCATAGATGACCATATTTCGTGGATGTTTTTTTTTAAACATGCACATTTAGACATTTGTTAGAAATTGTATACTTTGGGCAATCTTTTATTTATGCTTATTTGTTTATGAACATTTCCATTTACGTAATGAACCAAAATATTTCTGATGCAAAAGATGATGATATCTTAACATTGGCATCATTACCATTGTGATAGGCATTGATTGTTGGAAAATTAGTCAGGTTATGTGCAGCAACATATTTTATTATTGTAGGCTCTGTTTTTAGCTTCTGTCTCTTGAATGTTTTATAAATTACACTATTTTTAGCATTTCCATGAAAACTGGGGCAGATGGGATTGCTTTGATTAAGGTATAGTGAGTGCTATGCAGCATATCTGGAACCCTTGCAATGCCTGTTCTGTATGCTTAACAAACTGCGGTCACTTTAGGTACTGAAAGGAAAGTTTTGTTTATATATATTGTGGGCTGTTCCTTTTCGTTTTCTTTCTTAAGTGCTTCATCAGACCTTTCTCATGTCGAAATGCACAAAGTACTTTTAAAGTCTGGTTGAGTTGAGTGTAATAACGAGCGTGTTGGCAGAAATTGTAGATACAGGAAGAGCAATACATAGTAAAGTATGTTTCAAGTTGCGTGTTGTGTGGTTGGTCTTGTTTGTTGTCTTCCATTCTCATCAAATGTGGGAGGTGAGACTGTGAACCTACAAAGCTTGTCTCTAAATTTTTCTTGTAGCTTTTGAAGCAGCTGGAGCCGGTTGACAAGAAACTGGCAGACGAGATGAACATGTTGCTGGAGAAGCTGTCCAGGGGCGAAGACATTGTGCCTCTGACAACAACTCCTCAGAAGGCTGGAACTAAGCCAAAGCTAAGGTAGGCATGAGAATAAAAAGAAAAGGAAAAAATGCATGCTTTCTTTTTTTTTTTGGCATTTTGGCTGAGATGTTCCTTTTTCTGATGAATACAGAGTGACCCAAAATATTCAAGAACAGACTGCAGTTATCTCGAAAGACAATGCTGAAGAGGTCCAAACCAAGGCTAAAGAGGTGAGAGCATTGCAGTAGCCTTACTGCCACTGAAATTTATAATTGATAATGCAAGGCCACACAATAACTGATGTCATTGACTCATGTCTTCCTTTTACTGGATGAACCAAGTTATACGCTGTTTATAATTTGTTTTATTACGTGACAGTGCATCTCTGATGGCATGTGGTTCTAGATTGTGGATGCTTTGCTTTTTGTTACGTGTAGAAAAAACTGAAGACGAAGAGGAAGCTCACAAAGGACGAAGAAACCATTTTGGATTTGTATGCAGCATCCAGGAAGAAGGTTCGCTTTGAAAACAGTTCCGACAGGTAACTTTCTGCATAGTTCTCAAAAATTTTGATTAGTGCCAGTACATTGTGCATTCAAAATTATCAGATAGGGAGTTATCTGTGATAGTTTGATTATTGTATCTACCTGTATCATTTATGCTTTGAATGCTGGAAAGTATTCCCCAAGGAAAGATGTTAAAGAAAAAATTGACAGAAACCTTTATTTTCAGTTCTATAATGCATGAAATGCAGTATTTGAGGAGCAATCGTTTAAATTTGCTTAAAAGGCATTACATACATGGTCATTTTGGGGATTGAGGAACCTTTATTTTTATAAATTTCCTTGCCAATTTCAACGGAGAAACTGACTTGGTACAGAGGTTATGTGACATCAATTTTTCCACTACATTTAGCGGGCAATAATAAGTCAGGTTATGTGAAATCAATGTTAGCGCTAAACTTAGCGGAGAAACTGAATCTATAGGTCTCGTGATGGCAGGTCACATGACATCAATTTGTGTGCCAAATTTAAGGGGGGACATAGGCCTAAGTTTCAAAATGTTTTTAAAAAATTCATTTTTCAATTTTGAGGATTTTGGTTTTAGAAATTAATTATACACCCTTACACTAAATTTCATAACCATGTGCCAAATAGTTACATTGATATAAAATATTTTCAGCACATTGTGAGGCACTAACAAAGTAAAGGAGTTCAATGTTTGAATACATTTTTCTCAGTTCCGCTTTTTGCTGCAAATTTCATATGAAGAAATGTTTTGTTCAAAGGTAAAATTATTCTGATACCACAATCAAGATGTTTCTAAACTGACATTTACTGGGGAATCGGGCTATCTACTTTATTTTGTTTTAAGTTAAAGTCCTCATTGAGAAAAGGCAATTTTTTCAAAAATTGACATAGGACAGTTATGCATCTCATATTTCGAGGTAATCACTCTTCCTGAAATATTTACAATTGAGTTATAAGAACTAGATAGCCCAAAGGCCCACATCCCCCACTTTATATACAAGCAGTTAAAATGATGCTTAATAGCTTCATTTGCATATCATAGATTTCTTAACGAGGAGTGACACATCTTATGCAGGTATGCAGAGTTGTCCTAAAGACTTGAAAGTTTGCGTGGTACACCTTCATCTGAAGTTAAATCTCCCCTGAAAATTTCATTCTGATGACTTAAGTAGTTCAGCAGTTCAACCTCTAGCCAGTGTTCCCCCAAGGGGATACTGGCTAAGACAAAGGTTCAAAAGTTGACCCCCTAGGGGGGTCAACTTTTGAACCTTTGTCTTAAAATTAATGAAATTTACAGGGTAGGCTGGTGGTCATGCTATAGGGTGTATAACAAAATTTCAGGTCTGTCGGTTAAATGAAAAGGAAATTAGAGCAGCTTCTATCAGCAACACGCCTACATTGTTTAGTTAATATTTCGTCACAAAATTATCACCATATTCAAGATTTTTATTTGCTAGATATGTAGCAGAATGTCTAGAGGGTGCGGCTATGGAAAGTCTTTTCTAAAAAGTCATTTATTTTTATAAATTTTTTCTTCTGCAAAAGTGGTCAACTTTTTGGGCTTCTGTGTCTTCAACAAAATGTCATTATTTTTTTATAAAAGACATCCGTAAAGTGACAAAAAGGTTTCATAGCTGCATTCCTCATTAAATTTCAGTCAAGAAAATGGAAGAATGAGCCGTGCCTGTTTTGCCATTATCAAACGATAGATTGACTAAAATGGAATTTATACCAAAAAGTTGAACGGAGAAAAATGTGTTCAAAGTGCTCCAAACCCTACCTTTTCGTTAGCTCTGGTAGGCAGAAAATAGTTTATAAAAAATTAACTATGCAGTGTAAATCAATTAAACTTTTTGGGAATACTCTCTAGATGTTGGTGGATGTAATTATATCATTTTTCAAAATCTTTTTTTGCAAAAACATTTTTTTCTGGGCAGTGTCTCCCCTTAACAGAGAAACTGAATTGGTGTATACACGTTTGCAAGTCCGGTCTCAGTGCGCCGCCATCTTGCTCAGTGGGGTGCGCTTGTGCGCGGCCATAATCCGATTATGACGCCTAAGCAATGCTTTGTAACCGGATTATGACGCGTTTAAGCGCACCCTAGCCGAGCAAGATGGCAGCCCCCTGAAGCTGGACTTGCAAACGTGTATAGGTCAAGTAACGACAATTTCCCGGCTAAATTTAGCAGGAAATGCGCAGACGGACCGAAACAAATTTTGAGGTTGGGGGTTTCGTTAGAAAGCATTTCATGCTTCAATAATACCCTTACCTTGGACCTAGGAGAACGCAAAACAAGCGTAGTGATTGTTCATGCCCACACATTTCTATTGAAAATGGTGGCAGGACAGCATGTAGAATAGTATTTAAGGGGGGACACTACCCGGAGAAAAAAAGATTCTTCAACAAACATTGATTTTGAAAAATTACATATTTACATCCATTTACATCCAGAGAGTATTCCCAGAAATTTTCACTAGTTTACACTGCATAGTTCATTTTTTATAAATTATTTTCTGTCCACCAAAGCTAAAGAAAAGGTAGGGTCTGGAGCACTTTGAACACATTTTTCTCTGTTCCACTTTTTTGTATAAATTCCATTCTAGTCAATCAATCGTTTGAGAATGGAAATACAGGCAAGGCTCGTTCTTCACTTTTCCTGACCAAAATTTAATAAGGAATGCGCCTATGGAGTTTGTTTGTCACTTTACGGATGTCTTTTATAAAAAATGTTGACATTTTGTCGGAGACACAGAAGACCAAAAAGTTGACCAATTTCGCAGAAGAGAAAATTGATAGAAATCAATCACTTTTTACAAAAACCTTTCCATAGGCGCACCTCCTAGGCATTCTGCTACATATCTAGCGAATAAAAATCTTTAATATTGTGATAGTTTTCTGACGATAGATTAACTAAACAGTGTAGGGGTGTTGCTGATAGAAGCTGCCCTAATTTCCTTCTTACTAAACCGACAGACCTAAAATTTTGTTATGCACCCTCTAGCATGACCACCAGCCTACCCTGTAAATTTAATTAATTTTAAGCCAAGGGTTCAAAAGTTGACCCTCCCAGGGGGTGTCTCCCCTTAAGGCCCTGAGTCACGCCGAAGCATGCTCACTCACTTGTAGAAAGATTACCATGACGTATGCCCTGTTGCAGTGGCGAAGATGCCGAGAACAGCGAAAGGGAGGAAGGCCTGGGCAACGAGGAAGACGACAACGACGTGGATGAGAATCAGGAGGGAGTGGAGGAGGCTGCAGAGGTTGATGAGAGACGTGGCATCACCTACCAGGTGAGTTGCGGAGACCAGCACTGCACTACTCTGTGCTCTACAGTCAAATCTGTGAACCTGGACATCAGTGCGCCATGCTGGGACAGTCTTCCAACTCTTGATCATGTTCAAATGCGGCATTGGATTATAAACATACCTAGGTGCTTAAAAAAAAAAAAAAAAAAAAAAAAAAAAAAAAAAGGTTCCTGAAAAAAAAAAAAAGAGTTAGAAGTGAATTCTAGAGTATTTTTATCTCATAAATCTGAATGTCACGTTTGTCTTCCCCGAAGGTGTAACTAAACGGCGGGAAAACGTGAAAAGCTTTAGACTGGTCATTGTGTCATACTCGTATCTTCCGGTCGCCAAGTGCGTGTCGCTCTTGTGGGCAGCGCGTGCAATGGACCTCTTGGCGAATATGTGCTGCCACCTAGACACGCGACTGCGTTCGAGGCTAAGTGGCGAGAAAACAACGCGCGCGCAAGGCCTCTCCCACCCGTTCCACACCCAAGACGTCAGCTACATCCTGTTCACCCATTGAGGCGCTGTGACCTAGATACGGCTCCCCCCAACTCGCCTTTGTCCCCATCGTGCGTAATCTTCCGCCCCGAAGTCGACACAACAAAACCAAATACTTTACGTATTTGACGAAACCATCTTCCCTCTTTGCTCTGCCAGAAGGAAGAGAGTGAGGGTACTGGAACCATTTACTCTCGAACCGATGTTTCTACAAAAGGTCCATTGTAACTTGCCAGGTACATTGCCCCGCACTGACACCACTCGCAATGTCTTTTTCTGACCTTTCCAAAAAGGGCAAGAGTGTGCGTGCTAGCCTTGTTAGGCACTGAAGATGCGTGAGAGCGGAGATTCTGATAAGTCTGGATACAATGTCACACTCCAGGGGGGAGGGGCTTCGGCAGTACTTTGAAAATTATTTCCTGCAGCCTCCGTGCACCAAATAAAAAAAATCTCGATATTCGTGATCTTGGAGGCCAAATGAAGATGATTTAAGTGTTTTTCCTCAAATACAGAACCGCTTCAGTTTCCCTTTAAGAAGGACTTGGCATCACCGACCAAGTTAGATAGACCAGCACTGCACTTCTCAAACTGTGTGCACAAAAGTCAAATCCGCGAGTCTTTGAATGCTGCACATTAGTGCACCATGCTGGGACAGCCTTCCGAGTCTTAAACATGTTTTAAATGCACTATTAGAGTTTAAACACATAGGTGCTGAAGAGCTGAGAATCGATATGCTATATATTCTTTAGCAGGGCTGAAATTCTTTCCTTTTCCCTCTTTGTATTATGCCATCTGGAAAGGGGTAAAGCCTTTTTTTGCAGAAATTATGGGGGTGCAAGCTAATCGGCAATCGGCATGTATCCTATGTTTAGAGGGACTCGGTGGAAAGTCCTTAGATATTGCTTGCTTGCCTATGGCTATCAGCTAAAAGGCAGGAATCCTTAGTTTACCCCTTTCCAACTGCTGGCAAGCCATTAGCTGCCTCTGTGTCTAGGACATTTTACTGATGTACTTTGAAGTGTGCATCAGTCACATCTCTGCATTTCCTGACTATGAACTAGCGTAGGCATTCTCAATCCTTGTGATCCCAGGTAACACTAATGTGCCTTCAATGACAGCCGAGGAATGCCACTTGGTCTTGGCAGTGACGCAATGAAGCACTGCAGAAGCCTACAAACATTGTAAACAGTAATGCAAATATTATAGTGTAAGGCACAGTTGTGAATAAAGGATGGCTTAGATTTGCTAAACTAATACTTAAACCAGGAAAGCCCTTTAAATTTGGAAGCTCGAAAAACCCTGGGTACATGCCGGCAGAAAGATGCTTATGACGTCTTCTGGACTGGAGGTCAACTCACATTTGAAGTGTACATGTTCTTTGAGCTATGTCTGCAAACAGTGTCATGGATGCCAGCAATATGAGAGTAGTATATCTCTAGCCAATAGTACAGCCCATAAACCCTGCATGCGCCAACTCCAGATTGCCAAGAACAAGGGCCTGACCCCCAAGCGCAAGAAGGAGTACCGCAACCCCCGTGTGAGGCACAAGATGAAGTACAGGAAGGCCAAGATCAGCAGGAGGGGCCAGGTAAGACGCCAGCAATGCCGATGGCACCCTGCCCGTGGTGCCCGTTTACGTTTTCTAACAAATAGATTTTCGTGGAGCATAGCGCTCGTCTTCACTTTCATTTTTGGTTTGAAACCGTCGACCACCGACAGTTTGCTGTCATTGAGTTTTGAATAGCGTTGCATTGTGTGCCACCATCCATTCCACTATCCACTGTGATTATCATAAGAGTCGGTTGTGGTTGTGTATATACCGGTTTTATCTCTAGCTGGAGGGCAAGCGAGTATACACACTTTTATGTTGAGGATAGCCAGCACAGCTAGTTCGGCAACAACAGTTTCAGAAAGTTATTCACTTCTCGTCTCCATACTGATTGCTACGCAACTGTCATGCATGAATAACTGCACCATACATATAAATGGAGTTGACCCAAATCAGAGGAAACAAGAGATTTAGCAGTGCTTTTGATTTGTAACAAATACTTAGGAATATCCAAATTTCAGTATTTGGACCGAGGTGAATAGTAGCGTGCAAATGGTAGCATACTATTCAAACAAATATACATGCTTGCCTAATGTTTACCCAACAAATGCGATTTTCTTGACCCCCTGAAGCTAAAGATAACTGAATACTGCATACGTTCAGTGCCAGTTTTCTGTCACCTATCCATAGTCTCAGTCCATTTATTGGTAAACGTCCAAAACTGAAACCACAGCAGCTATCTTGCCAACAGTGGAAGTGCAAGCAAAAATGAATGAGAGGTATCCAGATTTCTTAGCTTGTGTGTCTTGTAATTGGGCTTGACATAATGAACACCAACATTTGTTTCTGCATTGACTAACATTTACCAACTCATCAAGCATTGTACAAAATTCTAAGGCATCATGTTGCTGGACTACCCAAGAGCAACAGACCAATCTCGCTGAGCATTCTATGCACGCGTGACGACGCCATAACTGCAGTCCACAGAAGGCAGACTCCAGTGCACGAGACAGCTTGTGCCATCTCATGTAGACCTGCACCGGGGTAGTCGTGTGTGCAGAGACTACAGTTCCTACAATGCGTGTCATACCAGCAGCTTATTGAAACCCTTTTTAAGGGCCCATAATGTGGTGCAAATACTTGCAGTGTTTTGAATCCCTTCCGTTATGGCGACAAGCATTGTGGAACTCTTTGTGCTAACTTACTGCTTCTTCAACGAAGGAATTACAATTAATTAAAAATGTATATTGTCTTCCTGCCTTCCTCCTTTGAACTGATACGTCTTCTAAGCAATAGTTCCATCAAATATATCTTGAAAGATTACTCGGAAACTATTGCATGTAGCAAGCGTCGGAAGATGACGAGCCTTTTCTTCTGGTTCTAGGTCCGAGAGGCAAGGACCGAGCTGCAGAAATACGGAGGAGAGGTGTCTGGTATCCGTGCCGGTGTCACTCGCAGCATCAAGATGAAATAGACTAGCACCCCCGACGACTACGTTAAGTTGCGTGCAAGAGACCGTATTAATGCTAAAAAGAAATATATATCTAGGTTATTTTGGTTTTTCTTGATGGGCACGCTGTGATAGAGCAGCCTTGTGCTTGTTTATGCAGGGTTACAGGTTGGACCCAGACATAATGTGATCCTCAACAAAGAACTTCTGCAGAACTAGCACAACAGTTTTGCTGATAAAATGAGAAGAAGAAAAAAAAAAGATTGTTGACCATCTAGTTTTGTTTTGCAGAAAGTAAGGTTCTGGTGAGACACTTGCAAGGTGCAGTCAGTAAGAAAATTGATTTCTCCTTTATTATTTTTTTTTCTCTCAATACTGGGCTTATTATATTTGGGATTTTATTGTTACACAAAAATTGCTGCCGGCTTGTTTGTTTTCTCAGCGAGAGATTGGAAAGATGTCTGTTGATGGATGTTGTAATTCTTACAATTCACATGAGCACCCTTTTTTGTTTTTGTAAAATAAAAAATGCTTGCCTTTTATTGTTTCCGTGCACCATTCCTGGATTCTTCTTCCAGAGTAATTCGGCGATAGCTTCCTAATGCTGTACTGGTACACTCTTCATCACATTAAAGAGTGATTTGGTTTTGTTTACAAACTGGACGATCAGAACACAGCAACTGATTACAATGAACCATACAGTTGAACGTCGATTTAATGAAGTCACCGAGACCCACTAATTATTTCGTTAAGTCGGGAACTTCGTAAAACGTAGGAAGGGAGACCTCGCGCATAGGCTTCGCGTGGAATCCGATTTTGCACATTAAATCAGGAAATTCGTACAATCTGGTTTCGTTAATTCGAGGTTCAACTGTATTTGAATGTGGAAATGGCCACATGAATAGTACTTCAATGAGTATGCATTATATATTGGTGACACAAGGTCACTTAGTGGCATAATGTTTCCTCCTTTCTCTGGAACCTGCCAAATAGTGTTTCCTGGCTCAAATTTGTAGCTTCAGCCAGCGCTTTGTCACCATTTGGGATTACACTGTATTTGCATTTCTACTGCGATTTCATTCTGGGAGCATGGGTACTACAGATTGGCAACACTGACACTGTGACAGAGTTTGACATATTGTTCAACTGTTAATGAGAGCATTGTCAGTTATGTCAGCCTTCACAATTTCTGTATAGACCAACACACGGCCCTGATGTCGCGCAGCTGCAGAGGCGCTGTCGACGGCACTGCGCATGCGCAGACGCTTCACATCACGCGAATTTGGTTTCTGCGCACGCGCAGTGCCCACACCTAGTGTGGGCAAACACCCAGCTTGTTTGGAAACAGCCTGTCGGTCTATAAGGATAATGGAGCAAAAATTTAATTAGCTTTGCCATATAGTATGGGAACTAGTACAAAGAAATGATGTACCATTTTAATAAAATTGCTCGTTACAGGTGGGTAAAAGCAGGCTTGTTTCTTTCTAGGCCAAGTTTGACTTCGGCAATGCTGCAAATCCAGTGCTTGCTTGGACATTACTCGTACAATTGCGACCAGGCAACAAGCTTTACCATGTATGTTGAGCACATGCAGATTCCACCATTATAGCTTTGATGTTAGCAGTTTAGGAAGAGTGGGAAAACAGTCAAGCAATCGTGACAATTGGTGCCGACGGCTGACCACTTATCACCCAAGTGCACACCATTAACGATTCCCCAACTTGATATTCTGCAAATTGTATGTTAAGCGCCCGATTTGACTGGACAAGTATCCATGTCTAGAATAATCCAGTTTTCAGTGAAAGTGGGGTGGACATTCTCCCACTATTTTATGGTACACATAGTTCATGCACTACAGTAGTTTAAACTTTTACAGCAAAGCTGTTATGGGCTAGGGTCTGGGGAAAAATTGCAGTGGCTTGGCTCGGCTATGCCAGGATATACGTAGCGTGAGCTTAGTTTTAGCTGGTTACTCTTAGCTTTCCTGGTTGCCTAGGGTTAGCTTATCATGCTTACTGCTTCTTTAATGACACACACAGTATACGCATTATGTGACACATGTATTTTTTTTGCTCAACGTCTGGTTGCTTCTCTATTGCCACAAAGACGGCTCGGTGGTCACTTTAGTAACACGCTGCCGTCTCTATGGCCCCAACGCTATAGAGGGCGTTGGGGTATACGCAATATACCCCCACTGATACCTCTGCGCATGCACACAAAATGAGAGGCGCTATCAAGCGGCTCCGGTGCAGCGTCAGACTTGGCTACTACGCAACGGAGGCGCACAGCTGGGCACGCGGCGGTGCCAGTGCGTCTGCCACGGCTATGACGTCACTCCTTTGAATTGTGCAGACCGGCAAGGCGCGTGCGGTGGCGGTGGCTCTGGCGTGCCAGCTATGCGCCGTGCGAAGTCGCTGCTCCTCGCGCATGCGCAGCACGGCTCTCTAGAAGCCACGCGAAACTGCTCAACCTCGGCCAGTGTAGCTCACGCTACAAAATACGTCCTCACATGTCAACAGAAATCTTCCCATTGGTTGTGGCAAGCATGAATAAATAAAGAGGGGGCAACCAGCTCCCCATTGATCATGGCAAATATGAATAAATAAAAATAAAAACTGTCAGCCTTTCCACTCTGGTGAAGGAAGACCAGCGAAGCTGTGCTATGGTGGGAATGAAGTATTTATAAATGTAAAGATTAAGGTGTGATTGGGTAATTGGTTATTTGAACGATTAAAGAATCGGACATGTATATAATGATCCGGGGTTGTTATTTTTTTCGTAACCACAGTGACCATGGCCCTGTGATCGCTGTGGTACCCGCCATAGGGTGTACGCTGACAACAGGCACATTCTTCGTGAAGACGAGGTCTATACAACGTCCGATACCTGGTCGTGGGCACCGTAGGTTCGTTCACACATGCAAGCCCGAAGCGCTTGAGCATAAACGAAGTGAACCACTTTCCCTCCTGGCGTGCAATGTCAACGTTAAAGTCACTTGTCACTATGGCAGACGTCCTTGCCGTAGTGACCCAGTCGAAGACGTTTACCCAGTCCAAGACGTCCATCATGAATGCATCAATGCCTCTCTTAGGAGTCGCGGAGGGGATGTATGACGGCGACCACCAGACCGTCGCACACCTTGACGGAAAGGTTGCCGTTATCTAAGAGCGACGGCAGCAACCAGATTTGTTGTCTGGTTGCCGCCGTCGCTCATAGATGGCGGCAGGTGTCCAGAATTTTGTGTCGACATTTGTTTGGTATCGGACACGAAACTGGGGAAACTAGCCCTTAACAGCAGGGGTGGAACGGCTGCGCAATTTGCGCCATTTTGCGCCAGACGCATTTGTTTGCGCCGTCCTGTGCCATGTTGCAGAAACTGCGCCACAGCCAATACCTTGCACCATTATGCACCAAATCGCAAAGCGTGTGCCAAAACAAATTGTATTTTGTCTTGGTTTCGGTTTTTATTGACTCGATCGGCAACAATGAGCGCGTCTTGCTTGGTCGTCCTTGCAATCCTTTGTTTTTTTTATTCTCCCTGTGTATCCCGAGTCCGAAGCGGGAGAAAAAACGCGGGGGTTGGATTCCATGCGCTACACCACCTGCGAGTGGATTGTGATTCTTCAACCACAAGCGGTTAAGCAAGTCCGCCGAGGTGAAGTCGAGTCGTTAAGCGTCAGATTGCCTGAGGCTCTGCGGCCCGGGATCCGGACATGAGCCGGTTGAAAACAAATGAGCAAAAGATTCCTTTTAGTACTTCATCGTTAGAAGTTGTAACTGCATTCCTGCAAGATAAATCGTGATTTGATAGAACTGAAACGCAGTTCGATCCGAAACCTTGCCGGCCAGCAGCTCTCAGGCGAGCGATATATCTGTTCGGCATACTTTTAACCTTGCTCCTGCTTATCGCATTCAATACGATAACTCCGTTAATCATAGTCTGCTACTTCGATATTGAGTTGCACAATAGGATAAACTCCAAATTTGTTGCCCTGTTCCTCCGCGCTACTGCACGTCCGTTGCTTACGCACGTCACGTGGTTCGCACATATAATTACTACGTCGAGCACATGTGGGTTGCGCGATAAGCAGTGCTGGTTTTCATTTTGACCAGCTGAAAGCCACTCAGAAAATGTCAAGGACACTATCTTCAGAAACATATGGTACCTGCTTTTTGGTTCTCATTAAGGCTCACAAAGTTTCAAGTTTTTGCATCTGTTACACTCTTATCCCATCTACCTAAGGCCCCTAACCACATCTGTGCTGTTAAGCACAATTGAAATTGCTCCCGTGCTTGTCTAAGACACAAGCTGAAGTGCAATGAAAACTGATCTGGGCTGCTCCTAGCCTGCTCCAGAATGTAGTTTTAGCTGCTCCCAATCTGTTCCAAAACAGCTGTTTTAGCCGCTCCCGTGGCTGCCCCCATGGCTGCTCCCAAGTACATTTCATGAGTTCCACCCTTGATTATTAGATAGTGAGGTCCTGATTGTTTGTTAAAATCTCTAGGCATCGTCCTTGAAGCTGTCTTAGAAGTCCTCCTTGACGTCGTCCTCGAGGTCGTCTAGACGTCGTCCTCTAGGAATCATACTCGAGGTTCACGTGAAGTGGATGGCTCTACAATTTTTTTTTCTATTGTTTTGTCAGTCGGAGATTGAAGAAACATTCAGTTCGTCTCCAACACAGCATGGTACTTTTATTACGTACATCAGACTGAAGCAGCACCTGTCACTTGTCTGGCTCGTTATAAATATTGCTTTAAATAAAAATGATCACAGCTTGGAAGTTGTCAGTTCGTAAAAAGGCATGTACAATTTAGGTGTCGTCGTCACTGTCACTCAGGTGGGCAGTGTAGCTCCTCTCCTCGTATGCACTCCTTGCATAATTTATCTGTTGCACCACCTGCACAATGCATAAAAGAAATATCAGTCCTCACATCCAGCTAACAATCCAAGAATGAATACCAGTCTAGCTAGTAACGACACAACACTAAACTTTGGGCTGATGTAGCAAGCTATCTGGTAATAAAAGCGTGCTTGGATATCCTAGGAATTCTATGAATCCATGGTTCAAGGAGAGTGGCAAAGATGACAACAGCACTAAACCATCCAAACACACAACAGACCTTGGGAGCCAAAATTAAGCACTAATGTTGAGACCAGTTATGAATAAGTCAACGGGAATCTGAAATCATTTCACCATATTCGCTTCTTCATTATATCTAAAATCCATAAAAGGTAACACAAAATAAAAAAAGAAACAATAACACGGGCCGTTACGAGCACATACATGTTCATTGTGCCTGCAGAGAGTGGTCCAGGCTTCCCTGCACACACTTTCTGCTAGATCGGAGCCACTTCTCGCGAAGTGCGAGAAGCTCCGATAAAGGGAAGATCGAGCTACCTACGTACGGATCGTGTAGACAGCTGCGACGGTGAAGGAGGACACTGACGGTGAACGGCACTCAGTGGCGTACCAACTTGTTTTTGAGTGGAGGGGCAAACCAAAACACCTCCCCCCCCCCCTCCCCCCCCCCCCCCAGGGCCAGGGGGCGGTGCCCTTGGTATCCCTCGGGTGCCGCCGGCCAGTATTTGCCCTGCCCAGCGGCGGCTGTTTCGGGGGAGGGGGGGGGGGGGGGGGGGGGGGCAAAACACATGCCTTGCCCCCCACTCTGAGAACTGGGGGGGGCAAGCGCCCCCCTTGTCCCCCCGGTTCGTACGCCCATGACTGCACTCTTTACATTTATGGAAACTTCGCCGAGGATGGCATATTTTCGTTTCAAGGAGATTGCCTTACTCCTCATCGAGGTGCCGGCGATGCCGGGAATCGCAATTGAGGCCATGTGGTTTGTGGGCTGCCTCTGCAAAACGAGCTGCAGCCTACAAGGAGTCGAAAGCATTCACCGTCAGCAAACGACTCTGCCTCTCTGCCCGGTTTTCTTGCCATGCTTGCCACGCGACAACCAACGCAGATGTACTTGTGCCAATCTGCCCACTAGGTGTCCGCCATCAAATTGCAAGTGCTCTCCATGGTTGGAGTTGCTTCCTCTTTTAAATCTAGGCTCTTTTCGTCAGCACGTTGTCGCTAGCGCTCTGCACAACCCTATTGGCATGCCACGTGTCTTCGTGTGCAAAGCAGAAAAGTCGCTTCCCAGATAAGAAGCAGGGAGCAGACGACAGTGCAGAGGTCGCTGCCAGCAGCCTTTGCAGCATCGTCTGCTGCCTGTTCTGGGTGGCTGCTCGGCCACAGCGGCAAGGTGTGGCGGTCAACGACTCGGTACAATTTCTGAATTTGATTGTTTTTAAATATTATCAGAAAATTTCTCTTTGCTATATCTGCAGGGGCTGCTCAATGTCCTTTGCTAAACACGGACACAAATATATTCAACAACAAGAAGCACAAACGGGAATGGGAAATCGTGATCGCTTTACTATAGCCACGATTTCATTATAACCGACTTTGCTACAAGCGAACGCGACAGTATGCCTTTGTTAAAAAAATACACGACATACTTCCTGTCATGGTGGTGTTCTCCAAAAAAAGTAGATAAAAATTTGTCCTCATAGACTGAGTCGACGAAAGATCCCAGATTTATCTGGTTAAAATAGACATAGCGCGAGCACATAGCACAGTCAGTTTTCCATCGCGTCTTTGTCGGTTCAAACTTGACTAGGGCAATTCTAGCCATCTTAAGACAGAAGACGCTTACGACAAAGGAACAAGCCGGCAAACCAGTGCCACCTGTCGGGCGGCACTGGAAACCCTTCCGATCCACGCGTCGCTAGACCAAAGGTTTGCGGCATTCCCGAGATCAAATCTATGCACCACGAAAAATGGTTACTAATAACGTTGTCAGAATTATTCCGAACCCATGATGAAAGAGTGGCCAGTAAAAAAAATTAGGACATGTGTCTAGATTGGAAGTGTCCCAGCGCCACCCGTTAGACGGTGCCAGCATGCCCTCCGGTCTGGTTGCAGCTAGAGCCACTAAATGAGCTACACACAGTATCGGCACTCCGTTCCCCGATCTACTAATGGGCGCTGCCATCTTGGTGCTTAGTGCAGAGCAGACGCAACTGTCGATCGTCACAGTTAAAAAATGCGACTTCCTCGGCTTTATGTATGACACGAGAAAGCTCGGGTGACGTTGTTTTGCTCTGTTGCAAACTGTTTTAATGTTTCTGGAGGATGGAAAAGAGTTTCCTGCAATGTAAGATGAAGCTTCAGATGAATGGCAACCATGAATTTAAGCACCTAGAAGACTGAAGTGTCGTTACTCTGAAACAAAGTTTATTTAGTGGCTCTAGTTGCAGCCAATCCCTCCTCGTCGCCGACTATAATGTTTACCGCGCTTCGAGTAAACCCAGCATTTCGCCAGACTGTACCTTCCGTGCGGTGGCTTCGTTGTCGCATCCAACCCGCAGAGATCCGTGCTGCGGCTCGAGCAGGGAACCCAGCCTCTCTGGCTTGAGCAGGAACTCGATGCAAAAGGGGGCCTCAGTGGACGGACTTCCCCCGCGGGTCGGAAGCCAGCGGCAGTGGCTGAGGCTCCCGTAAGGGACGGCGTGCAACACATTTTCCTCGCACGAGGCCTCCCTCTTCAGGATGAAGGCTCGCTCCGTCGAGATGAGCAGCCGCAGACCATCGGCACGCCCTTCCAGCTGCTCCATGGCAACGAACCTGTGCAACGTAAACAACCATTTATAGGCATATCGAGATGTTAAAAGAGTGCCGTAATTACCATCCGCTTTATCGTTAAAGCAGCACTTGCAAATGCATCTCGTGTTATACTGTGGAAAGGCAAGCGTGAAATTTATTTGCAATTACTAGGCAAAGGTAGAAAAACTTCCTTGCAAACATACCCTTTTTTTTCCTTTTTTTTAAATGCAACTTTGTGAACATGCAGCATGGCTTTAAGGGCATTTCAATGGTCTGTATTTTTACAGAAAAAAAAAATGTAGGTGTAAAATAGCCTTAGCTAGGTATACGGCCTTAGCTGGGCTAATGACGAGACAGCCATTCGAAGCATACAAAAACGGTCGGGTTTTTTTTTATATCCTCACGAGAGGACATAAAAAGCCGGCTGGTAGCGCTCGCAGACTTCCCTGCCGGCCGTCTGCCGGTATACATCACAGTAGGGAGTAATATAACTTCTAGAATATTCAAAACTATTTAAATAAATATTCAAATAATGAGGTATTAATCGTCGTTCTTCTGCTCCCCTAGTTCGTCTGCGGTGTACTAGCGTGGACGGCCGCGTTTCGCTTCTGCCGAGGTAGCGGGCATCGACGATATAAAAGCCTCAGGTGCCGCCATGTTCCTCGGCGCCGAGAAAAGCAGAAGCGGCCGCAGCCTGCACCCACCCACCCACCCACCCACCCATCTGAGCTACTCCGGCAGGTCATGTCACGTGATAACAGAAATAGAGCGACGCTGGACGCAGGTAGGTTTTCAAACGCAAAGGTACCAAACCCCCATCCTGGAGTAAAATCAAGTCAATTTTGGAACACATCCTATAGGTTTAATTTTATGTTTAATGCATCATTTACTTGCATCCCAGTGTAGGCATTAGGTTTAAACTTAGCTTAGAAACGGACAAGCGGAAGCTTCGGAAAAACTTTCCTTCGCACTTCAACCTTCCTCCTGCACGTGCCTACCCGTAAGCATTTTTAAAATTGTTTAAATTTGTTAAACCTCTAATTGCAACTGCCACGAATGCTGAAATTGACACATCACCCATAAAACCAAAAATTGTGTAGCAAATTGCTGGGCAATTGTGTTACACGTGAAACTTTCCGGTATTGTTCCGAAATGTTACCGAGCCCAGAGCCTACACTCACAATGCTTTTCATCAGATAACTTAACACGTGGCATATACACTTAATAGCAGTTGCTGGAATGAAGATACTGGCACAAGTCTGGCTATAAAGCCTGGCAGTTTTCCAGAACCTCCCGTATTCACTAGAATCGGCAAATCAGAGGTGATCACGTGAGCTTTCCACCAGCCAATCAGCATCTAGCATAACGGTAGATTTTTCTGGGTTTCACTAAATCTGGCAACCCCCCTGACGAGCCAAAGAATGTCTCACGTTAAAATTAAGAAGTTGAGTAGCAAATTTGAGTTAATCAGCCAATTTCCTGCCACGATTATTGCCTCACCTAATGTCCGCCGAGCCTGATAAATATATGGTGAAGACTAGTCTTGTGCGAATAGTGGATTTTGAGTTCGAAGCAAATTCGAAGCAAATAGTGGTTTTGGCCGAATATTTTCGAATCGAATATCAAATAGTTTTCCCACGCCTTTCACTACCATTGCATAATACTTAGAAGAAAACCCAGCTAAACTTGTGAAGGTTGTTCCACTTGTTCATCTATAAGGTAAGTTTAATCTATCTATACTTAAAAACTGTGACCTTAGAAGGCCTGATGTCTTGGGATGGCAATTGGTAAATGACAGATTTGACATAACATGAATCCTATAGAAATGGTCAAATATACCCAATTGAGTGAATTTCCAAATCTTGCTGCATAAAATATTTTTTCTTTAATCTTGAGTTAAAAAAGAATAAATCACGCATGATGAACGCAGGTTATAAGGGCATCCCTGCCAACATAATATACTCTTGCATAACGGTAAGTTTAATTTTGAAACTTTTACTACAACGTAGATATACACATTCAGTTTTCATTTATTTTCAAATACAGCCGGCACTTTTCTTCCAAACGCGCAATTGCAATATTCATACTTTTCCATGTGTTTATCGCGGCGGGTTATCCCGTTCAGTGTGCTTCTTACCGAGCACCAGTGTAACGCAGGAAAGCAACATCTGCAGAGCTCGCTTCCACAGGTATTGCTTCTCCGCAGTGCACCGGTGCTCGGTAAGAAGCGCACTGAACGGGGCTAACCTGCCGCAATCAATACTTCGAAAAACGCGAATAGTGCAGTTCTTCTCGAAGCGATTATTGAATACTGTGTTATTCGAAACTACTATTCGAAATTTCGAATATTTGCACAACCCCAGTGAAGACGTCACCCGTGTAACCCTCACCTCCCTTTTTTAATTTTTTTTTTTAAACATTCTGTTCGAATTAAAATCAGACATTTCGTGTGACGTGACTGCATCTCAGTGTGCCGGTCTCCTTCGGCCGTCCCGACTCACAGGTCACGATGTCCGTCGTTGAGGTTGCAGAGGAACTGCTGCCCCAGGGCCTGGGAGGTCGAGTAGCAGGGGAGAAGTCCCCCAGGACCCGTGCAGAGGCGGGGAGCCCGGCAACGCTTGGGGTGCACGTGCGAGGGCGGCTTGCTTGTGTCCCGCACCGCACTGGCTGCCTCCGACACAAAGTCCAACAAACCCACCGCAGGCATGGCCACCGTGCCGATCAGGCCCTTGCCTAGCCCTGTGATCAGGCCCTGCACACGACGAGGCTTATCACCCCTGATGCTAGGACACTTCCCAATAGCATTTCTCTCTTCAAGGAGCCAATACCACTTCTGCAGAGAGTTTCCCCATCTTTAAATCACCAGTTCCTAGGATTCACAAAAATATTTTAACTCAACGGCATTAAGGAGCTTGTGCCGCAGAAACTCCGGCATCGGTGGCGTGTCGCAAAAATCGCGATTGGTTGATAGTGTCATGACATCAGAGCCACATGACCTTGGGTGGAAATTTCAAAGAACCCACAATGCTCATCTGAAATGTGACGTCACACGTGGAATAAAAGTGATTAAAAAACATGACAAGTAATGCGAATTAAAGGTCGCCGCATGTCTCAAATGATTTCGCCCTATGAAGTAATTCATTTGCCTTTAAGAAAAATTGAAGAATTTTAGGCGGCATTTGAACCCACGGCCCTTCAGTGTCGAACCAGACATGCCATTGACTAGGCCAGGCATGGCTTGGGAACAAGCTGGAGTTTAGATGTTTCTATGCTTCGCTATCGTGTTCCACTCTTAAAAGCAAACCTTAAGCGTCCTCCAAGTTTTTTTCTTACATCTCCTATAATTTTCCTAAAGCCAACTTTAGATTTGGGACATGTGCAAGGCACGGATAACAATAATTTCTCTAAAAAGGTGTAATTTAAATAATAAAAATATATTTTCATTCCACACTCCAGGCAGAGCATCTACAGTGGACTTGCGATAATTCAAACTCGGATATTTCATGCATCCGGTTAAGTCAAATGAATTTAAAAAATTTTGGTTGTCCCACTGTTTTTAATGCTTTATAAGCTGCTTAAGTCAAATAGCATTTTCGCTTAAAGGGGCACTGACACCCCAAAGGTTGTATATTTTATTGCCTAAAACGATGCACATTGTAGTCATAGACATGCAAAAAAAAACATTATTTTACCACGCGTGCGCGCCCTTTTTATTTTTGGCATTTTCCTCTGCCGCTTTTCGCCTCCTCGCTTCTTTTGATTCGTGACGTCAAGAATCATGAAATTTAGAAGCTTTGTAGGCGACATTTCTATAACATTTAATAACGGCAAACGTGAAACATGATTTTTAACGCAACTGCGAACGCACTACGGCCCGTCTTTTTGAAATACCAGAAATCGGAGTCCATTGTGATGTCGCCTTCTGGATTTTTATCCTTCCTCGGAAAACAGGGCGGCGCTCGACGCATGTAGCAGAGGATGATCGGTGGGTTGGGAAATCTGACTAAGTGGTCTTTTTTAGCTGCCCGACGACCCCTCATACTTTGAAAAGGAAATCGTCAAACGGTCAAAACAACTGGGTTTGGTGTCTGTGTATCGTAGTTTCGGTTGCGACACCACCGGGGCACCGTCGTCTGCTCGAAGCTATAGGCAGCACGGCACTCACGCAGGAAACCGGTTTCCTGGTACGGTGGTTCCCGCGACGCTGGCACCCTTCTCCCGCTCTCACCTTCTCACTTTGGGTCGCGGAGACATGTTTCGGAGCGGAGGCGCAAAAGAAACTCGACTCTCAGGAGCCCTCAAAATTTGACGTCACACCACTGGCGCAGATCGCGCGGGAACTTCAAATTCGGCATTTGAAAATTGTTTTTTTACTTCACAAATACTAAATTCCCAAGTTTCAAATGTTGAGGGTAATGTCCAAGCATTGTTTTCAATCCTTTCAAACAATAAAAAAAAAAGATTTTGATGTGTCAGTGCCCTTTTAATTCATACTATATTTGTTCATCACGGCGGATTAGCACCGTTGAGTGCACTTCTCACTGAACACCTGTGTAACGAGGGAAAGCAATATCCACAAAGTGCGCGGACATTGCTTTTCTCCAGTATGCGTATGCCTGGTGAGAAGCTCACTCGATGGGACTAACCCACTGCGATTAAGCAAGCAGAACTGTACTCACAATCTGCTTTCATTATACGTGCTTGTTTTTTTTTAAATTTTTTTTGAGTTGGTTAAATTCAAGGTTAAAGAGAGAATATTGGCATATAGGTAGCAGATTATAAATTCCCTTGATTAGGATAGCTGGGTGTCTCTTTAGGTTTAATTTTTAGTCTTGTGCGAATAGTGGATTTTGAGTTTGAAGCTAATTCAAAGCAAACAGTGGTTCTGGCCAAATATTTTTGATTCGAACATCGAATAGTTTTTCGACGCCTTTCACTACCATTGCATCATGGTTAGACGAAAACCCAGCTAAACCTGTGAAGGTTATTTCACTTGTTCATTTATAAGCTAAGTTCAATCTATCTATATTTAGGAACTGTGACCTCAGAAGGTATGGTGTCTTGGGATGGCAAGTAAACAACGGATTTGATATCAAATGAATCCTATAGAGATGACCAACTATACCAATTGAGTGAATTTACAAATCTTGCTATATGAAATATTCTTTCTTTAATCTCGAGTTAAAAAAGAATGAATTGCGCATGATGAACACAGGTTGTAAAAGCATCTCTGCCTAACATAGTATACTCGTGCATAAAAGTTTAATTTTGAAACTTTTACTACAATGTAGATATACATATTCACAAAGTTTCCATTTATTTTCAAATACAGTCGGCATGGGTGCACCATCCCGCTTTGAATGTATGCTTTTCTTCCCAGCAAGCAATTACGATATTGTTCATCGCGGCGGGTTACCCCGTTAAGTGCGCTTCTTACCGAGCACCGAAGTAATGCAGAAAAACAACACCCGCGGAGCTCACTTTCGCGGGTTTGGCTTCTCCGCAGCGCACCGGTGCTTGGTAAGAAGCGCACTCAATGGGGCTAACCCGCTGCAATCAACACTTCGAAAAAACACAAATAGTGTAGTTCTTTTCGAAGCGAATATCGAATAGCGTATTATTCGGAACTACCATTCAAAATTTCGAATATTTGCACAACCCTATTAATTTTATGTCAAATCTGTCATTCACATGCCACCCTAATGTTGGCATTGGGCATTCCGGGGCCTCGGTTCATAGATATAGTTATATTAAAACTAACTGAAGTGAACAAGTGGAAGGCTAAGAACAAGCTTTAGCATGGTACAACAGTAGTAAAAAGCCTGGAGAAACTATTCAATATTCAATTAGAAAAAAAATGACCGCATCTCCACGTGGTGATTGATGTTGATTGGGGTGAAGCTCTCGTGGTGCTTGTCTGCGTAGACGCCGAGCCGCAGCATGCCCAGCCTTTCGTTCGTTTTCATCCATGTCAGAAAGAGAATGTGTGGTATGGAACGTGGTTATATATGCATTTGAGCATTTGACCGCAGCGCCCTCTCCTGTATAGACGTTGAGCGGCTACATGCAACGTTTCATCCATGACATCCCCAGCTCCTGAGTTACTACCACATCTCAGAGCCCCCTACTCGTTCCACAGTCGTGGCCGAGTGGTTAAGGCGACGGACTAGAAATCCACTCCGCACAGGCTCAAATCCTGTCGACTGCGCAAACATTTTTTTTTTTTTTTTCATCATTTTTGTTTTTTGCTCTACACAAACACGTGAGCATGTGAGCTCACGGGCACGATCATGAGCACGAGCACCAGCAAGATCGATGTGAGCACGGACGCCGGACGGACAAGGCTAGACCCTAAGGAGCTTTGCCCCTAATATTTGACCAAAACCACAATTTGTTTTGAACATCACCAATGTTTTATGTGTGTGCCTGCTTATAAATAGGCCTGTGTAGAGGAAAGCAAAAGTTTGCTTGGTATGTGTAGCTATTCCTATAGCAAATCGCTACTGTGCCTCACCTCATATTTAGATGAATTTTTGATAATTCCAACTTCTGATATTTCAAACTGAAGTCCTAGGCTTCCTCAAGTTAGACTTAATGAGAGTCGACCATACTGGGTTATTAAGCTGTAGCTGAATATAAAGTGTCATGTGTAACGACACCTATGATCCCAAGGCCAGTTGTTTTTACGAAAGACTGTCCCTCGGCGGCTTCCTCATCGCAAAATGCGAGACTCCTTACCTGCACCCCCTCCTTGGTGGCCCCTTCGTAGGATTGCCGTGCGATGCTGGTCATCCCCCCCAGCACTCCGCTACCCAGCCGCTTGAAACCCGTCACCACGTGGCCCACCGAGGCGTGCTGGGCGTTGTCCTGCATGTTGCGGCTGCGTGCCACCTGCTGGCGGTCCGTCATGGCCACCGTCGTCAGGCTGTCCGACAGGGAACCCACCACCTGAAAAAGCGCGGAGGAAAAACTTTCAGCCTTTCCACTCTGGTAAAGAAGGAAGACCAGCGAAGCTGTGCTATGGTGGCACGACCTCAAGGACGACTTCTTGGACGACCTCAAGGACAACACCTCGAGGACGATGTCTAGGATGACCTCAGGGACGACTTCTAACGACCTCGAAAACAACGCTTAGAGGATGACGCCTAGGACGACCTCCAGGACGGCGTCTAGGACGACCTCAAGGGCGACGTCTAGGACGACCTCGAGGACAACACCTAGGACGACCTCGAGGACGACTTCTAGGACGACTTCGAGGATGACTTCTACGACGACCTCAAGGACAATTTCTCAGACAACCTCAAGGACGACCTCAAGGACGACCTCAAGGGCGACGTCTAGGACGACCTCAAGGACGACTTCTAGGACGACCTCGAGGACGACTTCTAGGATGACGCCTAGAGAAATTCAGCCTTTCCACTCACTCTGGTGAGAACCAGAGTGGAAAAAAGGCTGGAAAGGTTGCCGCCATCCATGAGCGACGGCAGCAACCAGACAACTGGCAAGCCAGTTGTCGGGTTGCGCCGTCGCTCATAAATGGCGGTAGCTGTCCAGACTTTTGTGTCAACATTTATTTGGTGACGGACACAAAACTGGGGAAACTAGCCCTTAAAAGCTCCGCTGTAAAAAGAAAAACGAGTTCAAGACGAGGAAGAGCATCATAGAGTACTTCGGGACCTGGACAACCCTCGGACAGCAAAGAAGACACAACAGACAATGTGCTCACAATGGATGCAAGAGTTGGTCTAATCAATTAATCTATGTTTACTGTGCCCCCGAACAGCTGGCAGGGCTTACGAGGGGTGCATGTACGTGAGACAAAAGATAAAAATATGAATGGCGCCAGAGTGCCAGTGTGTTTTCTCGTCCTAAAAAATTTTAAGAGGTTTCAACAGCTCCCGTCTCTCTCAGTCATACTCGGTTGCAAGAGTGTGAACGGGCCTTAATGCATACCATGTGTATACTTGATAGCTGTTCCTAAAATGAAGCGATACTACCGCTAATCGGGCTTATAAACCTGGCGATCTTCCAGAGCCTTCCATAATCCTGAGCTCGTCTCCCTCAGTGTGCACAGGTAGTCGAGCCCCTTCTCACCCACCCCTCTGGTCACATGACCTCCCCGTTAAACAATCGGCGTCGAGCACTTCACTCCTCCTCTCCCATCCGTCAACCAATCAGTGTCGAGCCTTGTGGCCACGCTTTTATACAGGCTTCGCTTTTGGCCTTAACGAAATGCCAAACACCTAGTCAAAGAATGTTTCACGTTAAAAGATTGTGATTCTCTTTTGTCGTCGGTTAATATAAATTGAGGTTCTACTTAGTAACAGGAGGACTCTCCGTCTAATGTGACGATTGTACACAACTCTTACAAGGCGTCGTTGCACAGACTCTATCCTTTTGGAGGCATATGAATGACATGAGGATTCACATCAGATTCACCTCAAAACAATTATGTAAAGTAGCAGCATGAAAAGAAAAATCTAGGTACCTGCATTATTGCAATGCAGTCCTGCACAACACAAAATCTATTCATACCTTGACTGTCGAGTTGGAAAGGCCATGGGTAACTCCCTTGATAAGACTTATGGCATTTCCGTCGTTGATGAACTCGGACCAGCCTGTGGAGACGTCGTTGAAGAGCCCCACCGGGTCGCCGAGAAAATCTACAGCCCCCAGGATCTTAGCTGCATGGCTCTGGAATTCCTGCACGTCAAGTAGTAAAGCTGTGAAGAACCTCATGCTACAGTTTGATCCTCACCATGTGATGCCACAAATAGCCTATAACAAACAGCATGGTTTATCAAACAGGTTTCCTAGGATCACAGGGGTTCTCCAAAACACCCTCAAAAGTTCCCCAAGCTCCCAATTCCCTCCACTGTCTCTGCCACAAAGTAAGGTGTTCCTCCAGTTCCAGCACCATTTTAGCAGATCTGAGCCACTCGGTGACTCACAGCCACAAGTTAAACTGTTCCTAGTAATGTGCACAACTCTTGACTTCTGCACTGCTTTATTGCCTCAATGCCGAGAAAGGGAGCAGTTACTTGGCCACCAGTCAAAGAAGATGAGCGTTCCTTAAGATTGAAAAGTTTGAGAATCTCTGCAGTGAAAAGATTTCAGAGCTCAAAGCAGACCATTCTAGAAGCAGGTACCGTACCCGCCTTCATCTCGGTAAAAAGAAGGCAGAAAGTAGATTGGCTTTAAGTTGTGCTCCAAACATACTGCTACTGCATTTAGCAGTCACAGTTTTCTGCTGACACAGATATGTGTCTAACAGACAGATTCTGCTGGACATAACCATTTCGAAGATACTTTGAGATCTAATGCATTTCTCAGGACACATTTCTATTTACCGAAAGCTATCCATGGCAGCAGTCGCCAGACCTGAGGTGAACTGCCTCAAGACTTCAGAGCAGATTATATATACCGTAAAATTCCGTAAGAACACCCTCCCCCAAAAGATCATCCATCCCATTCCTTTGGCTAAATATTTGCAATATAAAAACGTTCAGCCTTTCCACTCTTGTGAAAAAGGAAGACCAGCGGAGCTGTACTCGATACTCTGCCGCAACGCGCACACGCCCGATTCCCGCTTCTTCTTGTCCGACACGCCGCCGATCGTGGATACGTCTCCGGTGAACCAGAGTCAATTGCACACGGCGCACGTGACGCCAAACGGGTAATTCACAAACTTCCTCCGGAACCTCGCCGTCGCACCCGGGAACTGTTCAGCCGGCGTGGAATGCAGTCGTCGCCGGGCCTTGCACTAGCGATTGGCCTCCGTGACACGATCGTCGTCCGTGGCATTGGCCCGCCGGCGCCCTTTACATCGCTGGTTCTGCTTTCGGCGGAGGCTTTTCAGGCGAGCGAGGTGCTCTTCTTTGGCAAGGGAATCTGAAGCGCTCGACGCAGTGGAAGTCGAGGCGACAGCGGCTCTGCAATGGTTGTGGACCCATTCGCGCTGCTGCGTACGTCGCCGCTCCTTCCCCCGAAAGGGTGCGCGGCCAACCCATCCTAAGTGCAAACCGAAACTGATAAGAACGTAGAAAACAGCGCGCAAAACAGATGAGGACGAAGTAACACTCGTGATGAGTGCTGCGCTCGTTACGTGTGCTTCTTCTTTGCCGTCGTCTGTTTTTCGCGCTGTTTCCTACAATGATTCTATCCATTCTTCTATGATAGCTGGAAAGGTTGGCGCCATCTACGAGCGACGGCGGCAACCAGACTGGTTGTGTGCTTGCCGCCGTCGCTTATAGATGGCGGTAGGTGTCCAGGTAGCTTTATGTCGACATACCGGACACAATCCTGGGGAACCTAGCCCTTAACAGCTCCGCTGTAAATATCCCGCCCACCTCCCGATTCCCGTTGGATGTCACGCGATGTCTGAGAGGAATTGCATCAACTGCGCGTCTGACAAGCGAGTTCAGAGGTTCCCGCATTTCTGCTTGCGATCTGCGTTATTCCAGCACGTATGTTGCGTCGTTAATGCGAATCTGCTGCGTCCGTGTTCTGTGGTATCCGTTCCTGTGACATGCAAGTTTGTAGCCGATTCCTGCGGTTTTGTCCGCTATCTGCGCGTGCAATATCGATTCCCATAACACACGAGTTGCTCCAACCAGTATATTGCATCATGAAATGCGGGTCTGTTGTCAACACAACCTGCGGTATTTGTTCCCGTGACATGGAAGTTTGTGCCAGATTCCCATGTTTTTGTCCACAATCTGCACTTGCGATATTGGTTCCCAGGACAGGAAAGTTTGTAGCGGGTTCCCGCATGTTTACTGCACCATAAAACTTAAATCTGCTGCGTCCATGATTTGCGGTATCCGTTCCCGTGAGATGCAAGTTCTTGGCAGGTTTCCGCGAGTCTTTCGCACAATGAAACGCGAATCTGCTACGTCCGCAACCCGCGGAATTCTTTTCCATGACACAGGAGTTAGTAGCGAATTCCCGCACCTTTATTGCATTGTGAAACACGAATTTGCCTTGTCTGCGGTATCAGTTCCCGCATCATGTGGTTATAGCCGGTGCACCTGAGTTTATCATTAATTTTTTATAAAGTTCTGCTGTGGTATTCCCAAAGATAGCCCACCCCATGTTTTTTACCATTTCTCTCTTCATTTTGAGTGGGCATTCTTACAGAATTTTACGGTAACAGAAGTTTAGTAGATTATGATGATGCAGACATACCCCCTTGTAGTGCTCAACAATATTGTTCACCAGGAACTCGAGAGACTCGAAAGGATGGGACTTCACAAATGAATCTGAAAAAAAAAAAAAAAAGAAAAAAGAAGTGATTCATTTAGGTACAAAGCAATCCTGAGCACTATCTGTTCACACTCCGAAGTTCACAACTTTTTTAAATGCACCCCCACCCCTTAACAGGCGTCCAAAAAATTTATCTGTTAGGAAAGCAAAACAATTGATTGGAAAAGTTATGCTTAAAAAAAGTTCACATTCGGTAGAGGATAAAAAAACTTTCAGCCTTTCCACTCTGCTGAAGAAGGAAGAGCAGCGAAGCTGTACTATGGTGGGAATAAAGTAATGGTCGGCCGCAAGTCGGCAAGCCAGAGTGGAAAGGCCTGGAAAGGTGGCTGCCATCTGTAAGCAACGGTGGCAACAAGACAACGGGCAAGCCGGTCGTCTGGTTGCCGCCGTCGTTAATAGATGGCGGTAGCTGTCCAAAGTTTTGTGTCGAGATTTGTTTGCCCACGGACACAATACTGGGGAAACTAACCCTTAAAGGAGCTGTGCAACAATTTCAGTGCTTTGCTTAAATAATTTAAAGGTCAGCGTCTTGATCTTTCTGAAGAAGAAAAAACGTTCAGCCTTTCCACTCTCGTGAAGAAGGAAGACCAGCGGAGCTGTACTCAATACACTGCCGCAACGCGCACGTGCTCGATTCCCACTTCTTCTCGTCCGACACGCTGCCGATCGTGAATACGTCTCCGGCGAACCAGAGTCGGTCGCACACGGCGCACGTGACGCCAAACGGGTTCTCCACGAACTCCCTCCGCAACCTCGCCGTCGCACCCGGGAACTATTCAGCCAGCGTGGAGTGCAGTCGTAGCCGGGCCTCGCGCTTGCGCTTGGCCTCCGTGGCTTGATCGTTGTCCGTGACTTTGGCCCGCCGGCGCCCTTTACATCGCTGATTCTGTTCTCGGCGGCGGCTTTTCAGGCGAGCCATGTGCTCTTTGGCAAGGGAATCTGAAGTGCTGGACGCAGGGGAAGTTAAGGCGACAGCGGCTTTGCGGTGGTTGCGGACCCAGTCGTGGTGCTGCGTATGTCGCCACTCCTTCAGCAGTTTGTCTCCTTTCTCCGAAAGGGCGCGCGGCCGACAGATCGTGAGTCTAAACCAAAACTGATAAGAGCGTAGGAGCGTAGGAAACAGCGCGCAAAACAGACAAGGACGAAGAAACAAACGTGACGAGCGCTGCGCTTGTTAAGTGTGCTTTTTCTTCGTCGTCGTCGGTTTTTCGCGCTGTTTCCTTCAATGAATTCCCACCAACGCGCCCAACTATCAATTCTTCTACGATAGCTGGAAAGGTTACCGCCACCTGCAAGCGACAGTGAAAACCAGACTGGTTGTGTGCTTGCCGCCGTTACTTATAGATGGTGGTAGCTGTCCAGGTAGGTTTGTGTCGACATACCGGACACGATCCTGGGGAACCTAGCCCTTAACAGCTCCGCTGTAAAAAAAAATGCTTTTGCCTGCATGTCCTACTTTTTACAGTGAAGCTGTTAAGGGCTAGGTTCCCCAGGATCGTGTCCGGTATGTCAACAGAAACCTACCTGGACAGCTACCGCCATCTATAAGCGACGGCGGCAAGCACACAACCAGTCTGGTCTCCGTCGTCGCTCGTAGATGGCGGCAACCTTTCCAGCTATCATAGAAGAATTTATAGTTGGGCGCGTCGGTGGGGATTCATCGTAGGAAACAGCGCGAAAAACGGACGACAACGAAGAAGCAGCACACGTAACGAGCGCAGCACTCGTGACGTTTGTTTCTTCGTCCTCGTCTGTTTTGCACGCTGTTTCCTACGCTCCTATCAGTTTCGATTTGGACTCACAATGGGTCGGCCGCGCGCAGTTGCGGAAGGAGCGGCAACGTACGCAGCAGCGCGAATGGGTCCACAACCACCGCAAAGCCCCTGTCGCCTCGACTTCCACTGCGTCCAGCGCTTCAGATTCCCTTGCCAAAGAGCACATCGCTCGCCTCAAAAGCCGCCGCCGAGAACAGAATCAGAGATGTAAAGGGCGCCGGCGGGCCAACGCCACGGGCGACGATCAAGCCACGGAGGCCAAGCGCAAGCACGAGGCCCAGCTATGACTGCACTCCATGCTGGCTGAACAGTTCCCGGGTGCGACGGCAAGGTTGCGGAGGGAGTTTGTGCAGAACCCGTTTGGCGTCACGTGCGCCGTGTGCGACCGACTCTGGTTCACCGGAGACATATTCACGATCGGCGGCGTGTCGGACAAGAAGTGGGAATCGAGCACGTGCGCGTTGCGGCAGTGTATCGAGTAGAGCTCCGCTGGTCTTCCTTCTTCACGAGAGTGGAAAGGCTGAACGTTTTTCATTTTAAGAATTGACAAAGAGTGAGGTTTTTGGCACCTCTAAACTCCTTCACCATCTTCCGAGTCACGTGCGCTGCGACGTGAATGGGGAACGCGCGAGGTTCCGGTGAAGCTCAACTCGCAAGAAAACGTCTACCAGTTCGATATGGCGGATAATTCAATATAAAAGTTTTAATGAATTAGACTCTCAAAAATCCACTTTCTGCAGAAATATTACACAATGAAGTAGTCTTGCATCTTCTGCTGCTTTTTCTTCATTGCATCCTCGATAATGATATTTTTCTATGCTATCGACGGACTCCAAAAATCCTGAGGCCGCAGCCTTCTATAATCGCTCATTAGTGCCGAACTATGCCGAGAGCACTGAGCACGTCCGAGCAGAAGCACCTTCTCCTGCAGAGTCCCGACTTGCTCAGCAAGTTGGCTTCCCCCTAAGACAGGTGGCTGCGTTGGGGGAAGCCAGCTAGCAAAGCAAGCTGGCTTTTTAGGGGCAAAGTTCCTTAGGGTCTAGCCTTGTCCGGCGTTCATGCTCACATCGATAGCCATCCAATCTGTCTTCTTAAAAAAAGAAAATATGTTTGCGCAGTTGACAGGATTCAAACTTGTGCGGGGAGACCCCAATGGATTTCTAGTCCATCGCCTTAACCACTCGGCCACGACTGCGGGACGAGTAGGGGGCTCTGAGATGTGGTAGTAACTCAAGAGCTGGGGATGTCATGGATGAAACGTTGCATGCAGCCGCTCAACGTCTATACAGGAGAGGGCGCTGCGGTCAAATGCGTATATAATTGCGTTAAACTTTGCATGCATTGGCTCAACATTTATAGACGAGAGGGCGCTGCGGTCAAATGCTCAAATGCGTATATAAAGTCGAAACGCAACCCGGAACTCAGCACTACCTATGAGCAATAAAAAAAGATCAGCACCATCAGCACTACTTATAAACAAAATCAGTATCATCAGCACCACCAGAGCTTCGCCCCAATCAACATCATTCACCACGTGGAGATGCGGTCATTTTTTTAAATTTCTTTTTTCTAGGCGGTTGCGTTAACCGCTTGGAAGAAAAAATAATATTATCTTTTGCGGATGGAGTGGGGAGAGGGAGCACGGAGCACCCTATCTCCGCTCCCTCCGCAAAAGATATTTTTTTATTTTCTTCTGGGCAATCACACGGCCGCCCGGAAAAAAAATAAGCCAGCGTGCTCTGCAAGCTGGCTTTCCCCCAATGCGGCCGCTCGCATTGGCGGAAAGCCAGCTTGCAGTGCAAAACGGCGCTCTTGGCAGTTTGATGTATCGGTAGCAGCTGCTATTTTTGTTTGATGTAACCATAGTTTTTGCTATATATTATCACTGTAACATTATTACTGTGCACAAAAATTGTTCGATATAAGGAATAATTAAATGTGAACGGGTTCGATATAGCCAGGTTTGACTGTGTTTGGAAAGATAGAATAATTCTATATTGTCGAATAATTCAATATTGTAGAATACTTAAATTTGATTCGAAGCGAATAGAACAGACATCGATTGGCTATTTGCAATAACCGAATATTCGCCCATCCCTAGAACTATTTACAAAACCAGCTCAACTATATGCTCTTATGACATTTAGGAAAACAAGCAGCAGGTGCAGAGCTCGAACTTGCCTAGCTCGACAACGACGTCCTCGAAGCGCATCAGGCTCCAGCCAACTTTCTTCTTGATTGCGTCCAGCTCGGGAGGCCGTTGACTCAATGTGAGCACGCTTAGCTTGACTTGATCAAGCCTCAATTTCAGCGTGTTGAAGTAAAACCGCCTTGCATTGGCCGACGCTGCTGCATGTGCTCTGGGCGAGGAAGTGAAAAAGCAACACCATTATCCTACAAAGAAAGCCAGCGAGAGCAACAAAACCTTAAACAGGATATGAAGGACCTGTTTGGAAAAAAATCCCCTAAGGCACCCGATATTCGCTCAAAATGTGCGGAAGGTTCTGCAGAACAAAGAAGCTTTTTTAGACCAAAACATTATGAGTTACTTAGCAAGACACACGCTCATTCTGAGGGTTTCCAATGATTCCTTCTCAAAGTGTTATAGTGTCTGCAAGATTCTAATGTACCCCTGATTCTAACACACCAGTTTACTTCAGTCCCAACATCCAATATAAAAGCCATGCACTTGTGCAAGTGACACATCCTCAAATTTTAATAAAAAAGTTGGAACAAAAAAATTAAATGTTGTAATGACTGCATTGGTAGCCCAGCTCAAAAATAATGCAACCACTACCTCTGCCACATAACAAAACTGACGTTCTGGCACCTCCTGAAATGTGCTCTACGGACAATACACCCCACGTATTGTTGAGCCACATGGTGTTCGTTCCACTGACACCATGTTAAATGTATCCAGATATAGAATGGTTAGAGTAGACACATTGTGCCTAGAATGTTGAAAACCAAAGCAATTAGAGGAAGGGGCCCATCTTTGTCAATAGACATGCTCAAAGTAGAGCTACTATTAGTGGAACATTCAAAGGGTGTGCTGGTTATGTCACAGGCCCACATAGCTTTGGGAAAAGGCCTCAGTCTGAAAAATAACACTGCGAGAGCACGGGCACGAATGTGGAACGAGAGCACTAAGTAGGGCAACCCATCTTTTCTGATAGCGAAATGCAGAATATGCAGACCAGAATAAGTGGGGGGAGGGGGGGGGGGGAGACAAAGACAATATTATTGTGACTGAGGCAACCAAACAAACTATTAGAGTAAATTTACCAACACGCACGACACTGAATGTGGCTCTGCTAACACATTTATTTATCCCGTGCTGTCCGAAAGCATACTATACACCTGCAAAGTGTACGCTGGTAATTAAGTTCAAATAATTTTCACTTCTATCTTTTTCATTTTAATGCGGAATATGTTATACATGTGTCCCAGTTGAAAACAAAAAAATCGACTGCAGTAGAACTCAATGCATCAAAAGAAAAGAAGAAATGGAGAATCTTTTTCGGCAATTATCGTTTCCTGTCGATGCTTACTTTTACCAACATGCTAATACACAAATTTCGAACTTTATGTTGTTGTTTATTCGATCCAATGCGAGTTGCAGGCTTTTTGCCCTTGCCTTGTGTGGCCGTCTTTACTAAAAAAAATTTTTATAGACAGCAACCCTTTCGCATTGACGCAGCATGATTTGAAAATAATTACAATAATTTGTTTTCAACTATTAGCAAGCAATTTTCACTCGCACTATTTTGCCACCGTCGGGAAAGGCACAACGGCGCATGCGTGTCGGTTCTCCCACAAGAACGACAGTCGCTTCTTGCGATGCTTGGAAAGAAAAATGCATACCATCGCGATTCGCACCGATTACCAGCGACCTCTGCGCTTCCCCGTTGTTCGGTAGCGCCAAGAATTGCATAAGAAATTTTAAGACAGTGTGAAATGCGGGACATTTTGAAGATTTCGCTATTCCTTGCGGGACGCGGGGCACCAGCGCTCAATGTCGGACAGACCCGCGAGTTACGGGACGGCTAGTCCCCCTAGCGCTAAGGTGCTAGGCAGGGCACTGTCCCATGTAGTGCCATAGCATGTCACAGCATTAGGGTCAATAAGACATTAGAGCTGAAGACAATAGAAGTCGAAAAAGATCAGAGTAGGTTACCAGCAAGGATGAGGCTGAACACACTTGCACAGTTTTTCTACGATATTTTTACTGGCTTTGTAACTGTGGATTTGACTCAAACAACTTTAACCGACACTTACAGAAAAAAAAATGTATGCATTAGAATTATGCAAATGTGGTATTAGATCACACAGTAGACTCAAAACTAGCCACCATACCTCTGCACTTGGTTGTCAATGATTACTTCCTCAATGAACTCGTCAGTCCCCTGGTGCAAGAACTGAACTATCTTCAGCATCAGTACTTCCTCCAGTGCCAGAGTGATGTTTTTGATTTGCATTATGAAGTGCTGCAGAGAGAAAAAATATTTGCACGTGACAATTATAGCAGGCAAAAAACAAAAGCAAAAAAAAAAAAAAGAAATGTTAACGAGACAGTATTTGAGAAATGTACGCCAGGGACTTGATCCTTTTTTTATTCCTCGGTCTCAGATCTCCTCGATGTTGAAAGCTTGCCAACTTGCCAATATCTTTTCTGTTTCTAACAAAGGCAGTCATATGAATGCTCGAATATTCCCATGATACCCATGCTTCAAGCTGTACAAAAGAGATTTTCTAGCCTTGCTTCGTTAATGCGTAACCTTGACATAGTTTTCTTCGAGAGTTCTAAAAAGCCACAAATTTTAGTGTGTCACATCTGTGAGAGCTTAAAACACCTGTCCCTCGCAATTGTCTCTAGGCCCAAACCAAATACTGTAAAGTTTAAACAAATTAATTTTCACAAGGACCTAATTTTTGCGAATTTCACGAATCGCCTGCAATCCACGAAAAATAGGTCCCGCAAACAATTCTGGTAAAATGTAAACAGATTGTAATCTATATTGAGAACCCACCGCGTCACGAAAATTAGAACCAGCGAATTATTCCAAGACTTGACCTAAATCACGAAATATTGAGCCCACGAAAAATAAGTCGTTTACAGTATGTTATGACGTTGCACAAATCCTTTCCTTCCACTTCTTTTCTAGCTTCACATTTTCTATCAAAATGCAAAGTTAGATTAAAACAAAATATGTTGTTCTTTATTATGTCAACAATAAGCGCACTTCAATAAAATAACTGCTACCATACCAAATTAGAAATTTGTATGAAAAGGTGCTCACAAAGGAAAGATAGTCAAAGTTCGTAATAATAAAACATGCTTTGAGTGCACTGCCAGAAGAATTGACAGGAATGTCGTGTTTTAATAATATGCACTAAACTCCACGGATATGTGGAAAATAAATCGGGCTTGGCATTAAATAAATTAGGAACAAATAATGATTTCATTCAGAAACCACTTTGTTATATGTGCATTCAGTAAATCTACCGGAAAGTCCCAAGAGGACGCCCGCCTCCGAGAGATCGCCTATCCCGTTCTTTGGGCTCAATATTATTCACAGCATAAAAATCCTGCTGTATCTGTTCCCATGACTTGCAAAATCGTAGTGGGTTCCCGCACTTGTGTCCGTGACCTGCACACGCGATATCGGTTTTCGTGACACCCCAGTTTGTACCACATTCTGCACTATCTGTTCCTATGACAGGGGAGTTTGTAGCAAATTTCCATATACTTATTGCACTGTGGGATGCAAACCCCCCAATTTGTGCTTATCACCAAGTTTTGTTAAAATTTTGCTGTTGCATCCCCAAACATCATCCACCCCATATTTTTCACCATTTATCTCTTCATTTTGGATGGATACTCTTTCGGGACTTTATGGTAGACATTAGAAAAGTTAATTGTAACTTATTACGCCCACATTACAACAGGGTAAAGCAGCATGTCCAATTCACTTACATAATAAATGCAATTTTTGCGTTCTTAAAGCAATATAGCATTAAACCTACACATAAGCAAAGATAATCTTTTTTTTTTAATAAATGATGCAATAGTCAGGACGCTCGTGGAAAGTTCTTTTCTCCCTTGTATGCTGGTGCAGCAAAAAAGTGGCGCTCATTGTGCCGCCTTTAAAGCTGCTGTTTTGCCACAGCCCAACTCAACATGTTTACAAAACGTCCCAAAAAATTTTGAAAATACTACGAACACTACCAAACATTAAGAATTAAACTAAAACACTACCGTTCATCTCAGTGGTTGAATCAAGGTGGGATCAGTGGCTGAGTGGGCTAGTCCACACCAGCTTGAAGGACATGAAGCGAAAGCTCGTGTTGCAGAACCCAGGGGTCTTGGGTTCAATCCCCGCCCCTGCCCGTTTCGATCTGGACGAGCATCGTACCGGCGTGCAGTCGTGTATCACTACTGCGTAGTGCACGTTAAAGATCCCAGGCTAGCAGCTGTACCACACTGGCTAAATTGATCATCTACCGCTCACGGACAAGTCACCCGTTGCGACATACTAAGTTCAGGCTGTATAAACATACACACACCATTTTTTTAGGTTGAATTAAGTACACTGTTATTTTAAACGATACAAGGAAGTTTCGAATATTTGTATGCACGTAAAAATGTCCAACGATAGCAGCTCCAAAACTAGAGAAATAAAAATAACAGGAAAAAAGAAGGAATAGGATAGTCAGTGCTAGTCAGACCCAGTAACCCGAAAAAGATTCAACAAGGAACCTTTCAGTTTCTTTTCCTTGCAAGAGCATTATCATCTTCGCCATGGCCATAGCCTGCTCGAGCACAAGTGCTGTGGCTTTCAAAGTTCTGCCGTGTTCGCACAGCTGACGCACGGTAAGAGCTGCCACACTCCCGTTGGGGTCACGGCAAACTAAAGAGACTGCTTGAAGCTCTTGTCCGGTCAGTAACTACATACTCCGTTCAGCCCCAAGCCGAGACTGCAGTGGTAGCTACGAGCTCGTTGGACCAGTCCTACGTTGGTCCTTTGCCACATCCTCGCGTAGTGAGCGGGGTCAGTTGATTAAGAGGAGGCGGTCGATTTGTCCGGCGAGAGCTTAGCACCCACTGCAGTGTAAGCTTAGAGGTGAGCCCAGGCACGTAGCCAGGATTTTGTTTCGGGGAGAGCCCGTCCATAACAAAATGCTGTATGAGGGGGAGGGGGAGAGGAGGTCCCAGCAAAATGGAAGATTTCGGGGAAGGGGGCCCGGACCCCATAGCCAGCCCGCCCCCCCCCCCCCCCCCCCCCCCCTGGCTACGTGCCTGGGTAAACCGAATATATAGCTCACTCCATCACTACTTTTCTTCTTTTTGCATTTTGATACTTTGCATAAAGTCGACAAACGCAGAATGCGTTGCGTGTTTGTCGACTCGTTTGTTTGTGTTGACCTACTTTGCACGTTAGGCTTTTGATATAATTTGTTAGAGAATGAGACGTGAACACTTGGCGCATCCTGAATCAGATGGCTTTATGCAAAGTATTGAGAAAAGTTATAACTTTTTCTTCTCTCCCGTATCCTTTTCTCTCGTCTCGTTCTCCGTCTTACATTTCATCATCTTTTCCCTGGTCTTCCTCTTCGTCGTCAACCTTTTCTTCCTCACTCGTGGTAAGCTTTGATATGTGTATTCGTAACCCATGTAATGTTCCTAGGCACAGAGTGCTGAACATTTCGCTGCAGTCGACCCCCTGCCAGGGCTCATGACACATAGCATGTGAAATGATTCATGCTACAATTTGTTTTGCAGCCACTCGAGTACATATATGGTACTAGCTAAAATAACACTTTTCCTAGCCGCTCAGACGGCGCAGTGATGGAGCATGAGACTACTTGCCGAAAGTTTGGTTGTTCGATCCCGCAAGAGACGAGGTGATTTTTGCAAAGGAACCAGGCCGTGTTATTGTGTTTTATCGCGGATTGTGTTTTACGAGTAGTTTTCTATGAAAAAATTGTTGTAAACAAGCGTTTTGACCGAGTGACATGCTAGGAGCGTTACAGACGTTAAGGTTATGTATAGACCTTTCCAGCGGCAGTCTCGAACGAAGCGATTTGCAGCGGGCGTCCCTGGTTTTGAGAGGGTACGTCAGTGTTGCCCGACTGCGCTGAGCTGTGGGTTTTGTAGTCAGGGGGCTGTGGCAGCCTGCGTAGGCGCACTTCCGGGCGCTGGTGGAGGCTAAATTGCCGTGTTATATTTTTTATTTTGTGTTCTATGGCGAATAGAATTTCTCGGGGTTTTTAAGAATGCATTGTACTATTTTTTGGGAACAAAAATTAAGAAATAAAAGCTGCTTTGGTGAGTCCGTGCGCGACAGAACAAATGCAACCGGAAATTTTGTTTCATTTTATGTTGATTTTTTTACGGCACCGTACACTCAGCTGTGTCAATTTACAAAGGTCTTAGCCGTCAAAAATATTTAACCACACAGGATATCGGAACTGCATGGATATTCCCCGCCCACACCATGAAATTCAACGAGTATCATCAATCGAACAAAATATAGATATATTGTATGTACCCCACGGTGCCGCCTTATCCGAACAGGACTTGAGAAAGGTCTCGAATAACACAGCATGTCCAATATACAGTGCCGACGATCGCCAATAGTTACTTCACGACAACCGGACAGAATCCGGTGTGTTTTGGGGAACATCTAGAAGAGAGCTGCTTTTTCGCACAGCTTCAAAGCAAATGAACGAACGTGTGTATTTCGTCGCCACAACTCGGACCCGACCCTATCAACTATTTTTCGCGAAGACCCGGAACATAGCCGGGAAGGCTTTTTGGAGATTATCTCAACATGAATAATCCTCCAAGAACGTCGAACTGCCTGCGTCGCGGGCAGCTTGACGTTCGCTCTCTTCGTTCGTTTCCTGCGAAGGCCGAGTCCCTGGACTATTCCCTGGTTCTCACAGTGGAAGATAACACACAAAGGGTAAATATCCGAAACAGGAAAATAAAGCAAAAACTTCCAAGAAAAGTCGGCGAACTCCGAATGCACAATGCAGGTGGGGAGTCACGCTGGCCGGGCTTCCACAGCTCAGGCGGGTGCCAGAAATTTCTGGCTGATAGGGGTCGCTCGATTCGCAAAAGGGCGGCGGCCAGAGCGCTCTTTTTGGAAAGGTCTATACCTAGTATATACATAAAGCTCGAACCCTGGTGGGCCTCGAACCTGGGTCAGTTCGATGGCAATCGAAGACTATGCACAAACTCATGTTTACAAAAAAACCGGAGCGCCCCTAGAGGACGCCGCGATGGAGTGTGGGCAAGAAGCTCGCCGTCACCCATAAAAAAACAATCGAAATGCAATGTTGTCAGCATTGGTGTGAGTCCCAGTGCTCTTTTTCGTGTTGAAATTGTTGATTTTATGTCTTCCTGGCAATGTCTGACTACCTGAGCGGCCTCAGAGAAATTACCGAGGCTCGTTACATCGCAAAACGTCGTGTGGATAATGCGACATGCGGCGATTCATACCGCGTGGACGCCGCAGAATAGGCGCTAAAGCCTGATTCGCATGACGAGATTCTCCTCGCTATTTTCAGTTACAATGTCGCTTGGGCTGCGAAAACGTAGACCACAGCTGAGGTGATCGAAGTCGAAACTGAAAATTACAGGCAGAATCGGACCAAGTGAAACAGGCATAACAAGTCCGCTTACCCCAACCAACCTTCAAACTTAGAAGTCTTTTGAGGCCTTATAAATTAAAATAAATCAATAAAAATAAATAAATAAGGAATGAAATGAAAAAAATCAAAACAAAACAATAAATAAAACACAAAGTAAAGAATACAAAAAATTAATGAAAATAAAAATTGTAGAGCCCTTCCCCTTCACGTGAAGATGGAGGACCAGCGAAGCTGTTATCTTTACAACGTCTAGGACGATGCCTAGAGGAAGATGTCCAGGAAGACCTCAAAGATGACTTGTAGAACGACCTTGAGGACAACGTCTAGGACGACCTCTCGGACGACTTCTAGCTAGGACGAACTCGAGGGCGACTTCTAGGATGACGTCTAGGATGACCTCAAGGACGACTTTTAGGACAACGCCTAAAGGACAACCTCTCGGACGACCTCAAGGATGGCTTCTAAGGCAACCTCGAGGACAACTTCTAGGACGACGCCCATTCCCAAATTTGTAAGATCTGAGAAAATACACACAGTACATTTATACGTAAAATTGATGACTAGAAAGTGCCCATACCCCATTTTTTTGCAATAGTCTCCAAAGTTAGAGCGGGCGGTTGCCTGGTATTTTACGGAATATCTAATAAAGCCAATGAAGGCTGACTCAAGCTGGTTGCCCCCTCTTTTTGTTTTTAATAATTCATACTTACCACGACCAATGGGGAGTTTTCTGTCGACATGTGAGGATGCATTACTTCCCGAACCAGCGCATAAGAGCTTCGCTCCTTGGTCTTCGTCAGCACGCTCGAATCCTAAATTTTGTGTCACAGCCTTTCACGATGCTAAAGACTCAGAAGTCAGCCCTAAAACATGTTCTGTATTATGAGTGATGACCCGTACGTCAACAACCTCCCCCTCTGAGTGGCACAAGCCACTGACCTGAAAGATGACAGCGTCCGTGTCCCTCTCGGGCAGCCGCTCGGCGGTGACCAGGATGGCCGGCAGGTGGCGCTGCTTGTTTCTCTCGTGCAGGGGCGTCACATACAGGGCCACAGGGCGCTCTGCCCCATGCAGCTGGTTGTCCACCTGCACGTTCTCCACGCTCGCGTCCAGCAGCTGAGAGGCCGGCCCCTGCTGGAAGTTCACCCGCACGTTGTGCAGGTGGCCATATAGCAGCTCCTCGCTCAGGTGGTTGATCACCGAGACGCCCAGACCACCGGCCAGGTGGACTTTCAGCTGCAATGCATTGGCAGAGAAGTTCAAGTTGTCCCGCCTCCTGCGATCACTTCCTACCTTCGATAACAATTCAGCATCTCCTAAGCTGAGCGTGCACGCACAGCCAATGCATGCCGGAAGGCAACGAACGGGTGCATTCAAATAGATACACCCTGCCGTTTTCGTCAGGTCGGTGACTGTAGTAGCCTTCGCCAAATTCCATCTTGTCGTCCGAACTATGTGCTTCAATCTACTGCTGTGACAAAGCCAGGAAAATACTGGCACCTCAGAAGCTCTAAACTGCATTATAGGCGTAATAGGGCGTTCTGAAGTCACAATGTCTTACTTGAAGGTGTATGTACGGAAACGTTGCGCACAATAACAGCCCACTGCTCTGCGACAATAAAAACAAAGGAAGACCAGCGAAGCTGTACTATGGTGGGACGACCTCAAGGATGACACCTAGAGGATGACATCTAGGACGACCTCAAGGACGACGCCTAGGACGACCTTAGGGACGATGTCTAGGACGACCTCAAGGTCGACGCCTAGGAAGACCTCAGGGACGATGTCTAGGACGACTGCAAGGTCGACGTCTAAGATGACTTCGAGGACAACATCTAGGATGACCTCAAGGACGACTTCAAGAACGACCTCAAGGATGACTTCTACAACGACCTCAAGGATGACTTCTAGGACAACCTCGAGGACAACCTCGAGGACACCTCTAGGACGACATCAAGGACGTTCTCGAGGACAATGCCTAGAGAAATTCATCCTTTCCACTCTGATGAAAACCAGAGAGGAAAGGCTGGAAAGGTGGCCGCCGTCGCTCAGAGATGGCGGTAGCTGTCCAGAGTTTTGTGTTGACATTGATTTGGTGACGGACACAAAACTGGGGAAACTAGCCCTCAACAGCTCCGCTGTAAAAACCAAAAAGCAATTGTTCTCACGTAATGTAGCCCTTGATTCAAAGCCTCGCTCGTTCGAAACGCACCTGTTCACTCCCCTCCTGCGCATGGCGCAGAGCGGTGCAGCGAGGTGCAAGCTACGTCCAAGGTTGAGAGCGTCCGGTAACAGCCGTCTCCTAGAACGTAACTTGATCTGTGAGAGCGGGCCTCGGCGGTCAGCGGTTGGACTTCGTACGAGTTCTTATACGTGTAGTCACAATATATACAGGGTGTCTAGCAAATTATTATTTTGAAATTCCCTGACTTTTCCAGGTCTCCCTGACAATTTCAGGTGAAATTCCCTGACCACTGTAGAGGTGGTTAAATATATAAGACCGTTACAACACAAGGCATCGAGCACTGTGAGGATTATTTTGCATGGGCTTAATCCAACTCGCATATTCCGAAATATTCGGGTTCGTCCAGTCCGAATTAAACGAGCACTCTCTTGCTGCCGAAATAGTCAGTGAAAAGGCCACTTCCGAAAACACAATGAAAACACAACGCTCAGCTACACACGTCAATAACCGATTGGCAGCACGGCCACCAGATGCACACTTTCGGGTACTTTCGGCTTAAGGCTTGGATTGGATTGGGGTCAGGGGCGGATTCAGAGGGGGGTCCGGATGTCCTGACCCCCTCTTGATTTCTGCATGTGTAAAATATAGGGTGTAAAACGAAGGAAAGGGGGAGGGGGTTCCTAAACATATGGTACGCTGACCAACACCTGACCCCCCCATCAGGAAATTCCTGCATCTGCCCCTGATTGGGGTCTACGGCTTTTCCATTTGTTACTAAATCTAGTAGCTCTAATTGGATCTAGCCTAGTGTCGCGCCCTCAATCCAGTCTAATCCAAGGCTTGAACTGGATTTGTCGGCTGTTCCCTCTGCATCAGGTAGGCATACTCTACATCGGGTGAGCAGAGCCTGCACTCCACTCTAAGCCGAATTTATTGCCATTTTTTTCTGTCCCCAAGTCCTCAAGTCTTTGCTCAGGGCACTCGATGGCGTTTCTGGCTCATTTTCCCTGACTGGGCTCGTTTTTTGACAATATCCATGACAATTCCCCGATTTTTCCCGGTAATTAAAATTTCTCCGTCAATTCCCGGTTTTCCCGGTTGCTAGACAGCCTGATATACCTGAGCACGCCGCCGGATACTAGCAATATATATAACCTAAGAACGGTCTCGCGTTGCTTTCCATACTGAATGAGCTTCATAGGGTGCCCTTCCTTCCGCAAAAGGCAAGCCCGAAAGTGGCCTAAAAAGGTTTGCAATTTATAAAGCATGGTTACTGTGGCGCGCCCCCAACCAGCTGTGGGTGCGCCTTTATCAATGGCGATGTGCCACAGTACCTTGCCATGTCATATTGGCACCTAATATGAATTTTGCAGGAAGTGTATAAATGCAAACATTTTACCCCGCATAATAAACACCCCCCCAAACATGCGTCAATTTCTCGAAAAAAAAAAAATTGCGTGCATTATGCGAGTAAATACGGTAATCTTGGTTTAGCACTTGTGGGATAGATGCATTTCTTCTAGGCTCTTTTTTGATGCGAAAGTATTAACTGTCCCATGGAGCGAGCCGACGTCATCAGTTTGAAGAGCGAAAACGGCACCTAGTTTCCCTGATCCCAAAGGTCCCATTGGCTGGTGCGCGGCGACAAGGCTCCCATTGGCCGCTGTGCGAGTCAGTTTCAACGACTGCCGCCAGATGGCGCTGAGTGTCCGTGCTGTCAGCGCGCCGATAAAACTAACTGCGCAACCCCATGCCACTACGGGCCCTGCGGCAATTAAAACAGACACGTTGGCACGCGCTCGGAGGATTTTGCTTGTCTCACCGCCGACCAACATGCCGTGGCCTTCATCATCCACATCATCGATGGTGCTTCTGCTCGTCTCGACTTTGACGAACATGGTTCCGCCTCTAGCATCCACATCGTTGGACATTCATGCTTTCGCATTCACAACTCATAAGAAGTGCTTAGGTGTCTTCCGACTATTTTTGTTGTTGGAACATATTTTGGGTTTATGTTTAATGTTCGGAGTCATTATTTTAGTCGTTTGCCAAAGCTCAAGAGGTTGTCACCCCCTGGGGTCCCTTTCCTTTACTCTCTTCTCTCTCCCTTCTTCTGAGTGCTAGCCAATTTCACTTGTTTGGCCTTCTGTACTCGAGTGTAGGACGACCCCTTCAATAGTGCCTTACATTTTCGGGGAAAAAGTTGCCTCTGATTTGGATATATAAAGTACCTTAGTTGGAAAACAGTTAACCTCAATTTTCTTATTAGTTTGCATCCATTTCTTTGATAACATCCAGTTTGTGTCTTGCACAGCAGCCAATATTTGCTACCAAAAAGCATGGCAGTCACACGAAAAGATGTTTTCACAAACCTCCAGTTCCAAGCCAAACGCACCCTCGGGTTGAGTTCCTTGGTCATCGTTTTTTGTGTCCTTGCTTTTCTCTCCTGTCACGTTTGTACTTGTGCAAATCAGTTGCTGTAAAAACCAACAAAAGGCACATTGCTAAAACTGTAGCCACCAAGCCAATTGATTGATTGGTTAATTAATGAATCAATAAATAAATCATGTTTAGTGGTTTCTCAAATAAAGATGGCAGAGTGAATGTACAGCAAGGTGGCAAGTAAGGTGCAATACATGGGCTATGTAGCTTCCACAACTTAGTAACCACAGACAGTCGCTGACCAACTTTTCGGAGATCGCAGGGACTGAAAAGGCGTCCGAACAATAGAGCAGTCCGAAAAATCGGCAGATAAAAAAAACTTGCTTTTATGTATTACGTCCAAGCGGGCTTAGAAAAGCCGTAAATAGTGCCTTGCTTCAGGATACGCCTCTGCTAAGGTTCGGCCACTTTCTATTAACTTGAGAATCGCTGCCTTCTTTTCTAGCGTTATGGTCGAGTACTTTCCGCACTTCTTAGCGACACTTCGCGGCGGCGGAAGAACAGATAGGGCCATGACATCCAAGCCAGCATAGTCCGAAAACATGATTCACCGAGAGTAAGTGAGAGGCGCAAGTTTACGACTGCAGAATGGTGAATGAACAAAACAAAATAATAAAAATGATGATGATAATGACGTAGCATAGTGTCACCTAGCGGTAGAACTTAGCAGTACTCTAGTAGCACTGCCAAACCAAGCCAATCCATGTGCAGTCAACATAAAATCTAAAATGGAGGCTCCTCGGTGGCATTTCCCGAAACATTGGTAGTGAATATGCACTATTTCTATCGGGCAGGTTACGGTTCATCCTTTAGGTCCAAAATATCGAACAAGTTAGAATTATGAGCTTCCGAAATATCGGTCGGCAACTGTAATATGAAATTCGAATCAAAGTGTGCGAGTATAAGACTTATTGTGAACTGGATATAAATATTAAAATTTTTGTTTGGAGTCTAATTTTAATATTTATATCCAATTCACAATAAATAGTTCATCGTTTATTAAGATTAGACTTTGAACAAAAATTTTAATATTATTCATATTGTGACATTTGGTGGAGGTGCGGGGTACCGCATGCCCCTGCCGCGTACCCCTCCGAGGGCCCACAGTGCAAGTCCGACGCCTAGCCCACGAAGAACCGACGAAAGCACTTCCGAGATCCGGTTCAGTCGTCGCACCCAAGGTCTACACCCGGAATTCGGACCTCTACCGCCCAAGACTAAGCAGCCAACGAGGCCAACGATGGACAGCCAGTCGTCCCAGAACCCGTCCACCGCCAGCGTCGTATACCTGCCCGTCGCACCCAAAACTCCGACGCCTTTCCACGGAGACACCCACGAGGACATCGAGGACTGGCTGCAACATTATGAACGTGTGGCCCGACATAACGGGTGGTCAGCTGAGCACTGCTTGCAGAACCTTTACTTCTCGCTGGAAGGTACTGCAAGGTACTGGCTGGAGAACCACGAGGCTTCTTTAACCTCGTGGGAGGTGTGCAAGCAAGAGCTAGTGAAGACGTTTACCAGCCAACACCGACGCGAGAGGGCCGAAGACATCCTTCGAACAAGGACCCAAGGTCTGAATGAAAGCATCACCAGCTTCGTTGAGGATGTTCTTCGCCTGAGCGCCCGCGCCGATCCTCAGGCTACAGAGGAGAAGAAGCTGCGACACCTGATGAGGGGTGTCAAAAGCGAGATATTCGGAGGTCTCATTCGCAATCCTCCGACAACTGTCGACGGGTTCGTCACGGAGGCGACGAATATGGAGCGAGCGCTACTAGCACGCGCCAGACACTACGAGCGGCACCCTGGCGTGACTACTCTGGCGACATCCGGATACGACCTTGGTACCGACCTCCCAGGCATCCGTGACATCATCCGTGAAGTCGTCCGGGAAGAAATCCTCAAGATGCTCCCCGCTACGGATCGCTCGTCCTCCCTGTCGCTCGCCGAGGTCGTCCGAGAGGAAGTCCACCGAGCCTTCCAACCTGAGATTCCGATCAAAACGACGACGCCAGAGGAGCCTACTCTGAGCTACGCCGCCATGGCCCGAAGATCGCCGCAAGCTAACCGCCAGACCACGGCGCCACCCCGACGAGACCCTCCGATGCCACAGTATCCTCGACGCCAGGAAGGACAAGTCCACGACGTTCGCCCGGAGCAACCCTCGTCGAGGAAGACCGACGTGTGGCGAACGGCCGACCGACGCCCGCTCTGCTACCACTGCGGGGAAGCCGACCATGTGTACCGCCGATGCCCATACCGACGACTCGGGCTGCGCGGATTCCACCCAAACGACCCGCGCCCCCGGTGTGGTGAACGCCCTCGGGAGATCGACGAGTACCTGCGACGACCCCAGTCCCCCGAGCCTGCGTCCCGCCGAGAGTTCCGGTCGCCATCGCCACGACGTCCAGCTTCGCCGATGCACCGACCCCGACGTGAAAGCCTGTCCCCCCTATCTCGTCGGGAAAACTAAGTGCGGCAACGCCTGGAGGTGCCGTTGCCGAAGACGACCCGAGTAAAGAGCCTCCAAGAACGCCGGAGCGCTCCCACTCTCCCGACGCCACGCATCGCTACGACGCGCCTGCAACGGTGTCCAACAACCTAAACGTCGTCATCGACGGCCACGACGCATCGGCACTCGTAGACACCGGAGCAGACTACTCAGTCTTGAGTGGGAGGCTCTCCCGCCGCCTTCGAAAAGTCATGACACCGTGGGAAGGACCCCAAATACGAACCGCCAGAGGACATCTCATCACACCAGTCGGGAGATGCACCGCTCGCGTCGAGATCCACAGTGAAACGTGCCCTGTCAAGTTCGTCGTTCTGCAAGACTGTTCGAGGGACGTTATCCTCGGAATGGACTTTCTCTGCGAGTATGGCGCCGCCATCGACCTCGGAACAAACCGGCTGACGCTACGAAAACCTGCTCCACCAGCGGAGGAACCCCAAGCGACGTCACCCACGGTCCGAGTCCTCGCAAATCACGTAAACCTACCACCGCGGTCAAGTGTTTTCGTACTTGTCGGGATCGATGAAGCTTCCTGTGGCGAAGTTCTTCTCGAGGGAAGCCTCCAATTGCTCCTGGGAAGAGGCATAGGCGTCGCAAGGGGAGTAGCTGAACTTCAGGATGGGCGGACTGTGGCCCTCGTGACGAACTTCCGAAACGAAACGCAACACCTCACGAAATGTGCAGCCGTGGGCCACGTCGAGAAACTCCGAAACCCCGCCGAAATCACCGCGATTACTGACGAATCCTCGCCGCCCCAGCAAGACAGTACGTCGCCAGCGCAGCTCGACATCGACCCTAAGCTTCCGGACCCGAAACGACGGCAGCTGGTTAACCTCCTCGCCGAATACCGCGACTGCTTTGCGACGTCGTCGAAGGTGCGCCAGACCGCGGTTGCCAAGCACCGCATCGTTACCGAGGACGACGCGCGCCCTACAGAGTCTCCGCTAAGGAAAGGGAGGTGATCCATCAGCAAGTTCAAGAGATGCTGAATGACGACATAATTCAACCTTCAAACAGTCCATGGGCCTCTCCAGTCGTGCTGGTTAAGAAAAAGGACGGAACTCTTCGGTTCTGCGTGGACTACCGGCAGCTCAACACGGTTACGAAGAAAGACGTCTACCCACTCCCCCGCATCGACGACACTCTAGACCGGCTGCGCCACTCTCGATACTGTTCATCGATGGACCTGAAGAGCGGCTACTGGCAAATTGAGGTCGACGAACGGGACCGAGAGAAGACAGCCTTCGTCACGCCGGATGGACTGTACGAGTTCAACGTGATGCCCTTCGGACTATGCACGGCGCCAGCAACTTTCCAGCGTGTCATGGACACCGTACTGGCAGGGCTGAAGTGGCAGAGTTGTCTCGCCTACCTTGACGACGTCGTAGTATTTTCAGCTGACTTCGACGAGCACTTGAGACGACTCCGAGCTGTTCTTCAAGCCATTCAGACCGCCGGACTCACACTCAAGCCGTCAAAGTGCCGGTTCGCCTATGACGAACTGAAGTTCCTTGGCCACGTGGTTAGTAACGAAGGCGTCCGCCCAGACCCCGAGAAGACTCGCGCCGTCGCGGCATTTCCAGCGCCGACAGATAAGAAGGCCGTGCGAAGATTCCTTGGACTTTGTGCCTATTATCGACGCTTCGTTCGGGATTTCGCAAGGATTTCCGCACCACTTACGAATCTCACGAAGGACGCCAAGAAGTTCGAATGGGCCGAGGAGCAACAGCAGGCATTCGACGAACTGAAACGACGACTCCAGACTCCTCCTGTGCTTGGACATTTCGACCAGGATGCGGAAACAGAAATTCACACGGACGCAAGTAACGCGGGACTGGGCGCAGTACTAGTCCAAGTGCAAGAAGGCATCGAGCGAGTCATCGCCTACGCAAGTCGGACATTGTCCAAGGCAGAGAAAAATTACTCCACAACTGAGAAAGAATGCCTTGCGGTCGTCTGGGCAATAACGAAGTTTCGTCCGTACTTGTACGGCAGCCCGTTCCGTGTAGTCACGGACCACCACTCGCTCTGCTGGCTTGCGAAGCTGAAGGACCCGTCAGGACGCCTCGCTCGATGGAGTCTTCGACTACAAGAGTTCAACATGACAGTGGTCTATAAGTCAGGCCGCAAGCACAGCGACGCCGACTGCCTGTCCAGAGCCCCCGTCGAAACCCCTTCCGGCTGCAGCGACGACAATGACGACGAGTGCTTTCTAGGAGCAGTGAACACCGACGATATGGCACGACGTCAACGGGACGATCCTGAGCTGCGCGCATTAATCGAGCACCTGGAAGGGGGCAGGAGTACCGTGCCACGTGTCTTCTCACGAGTACTGCCGACCTTCGCCATCCGACAAGGTGTACTCTACAAAGAGAACTTCGGCAACAACAACACACCTTGGTTGCTGGTAATCCCGAGTGACCTTCGAGAGGAGATCTTCCAAGCCTGCCACGACGACCCGACATCCGGACACCTTGGTTACAGCCGGACACTGGCCCGTATTCGTGAAAAGTATTACTGGCCGAAGCTCCCCAAGACCGTCCACCTATACACACGATCATGCCACGAGTGCCAGCGACGCAAGAAACCGCCGACGAGGCCGGCCGGACTTCTGCAGCCCATTTCTCCTCCAACTACACCCTTCCAGCAGATCGGAATGGATCTACTTGGTCCTTTTCCGCCTTCGACGTCCGGGAACCGCTGGATCATCGTCGCCACAGATTATCTCACGCGGTACGCCGAAACGAAAGCTCTTCCTTCAGGGACTGCTGTGGAAGTCGCCAAGTTTTTCATCGAGTCCATCGTCCTCCGGCACGGCGCTCCCGAGGTTCTGATTACAGATCGCGGATCTTCGTTCATGGCCCAGCTGACGCAAGAGATCCTTCGTCTCAGTGGCACCGGCCATCGTCGAACCACTGCATACCACCCGCAGACCAACGGACTGACCGAGCGACTCAACAAGACAATCGCCGATATGATCTCTATGTACGTCGACGTAGAGCACAAGACGTGGGACGAGGTGCTGCCCTACGTCACGTTCGCCTACAATACGGCGGTTCAAGAGACCACTGGATTCACCCCTTTCCAGCTGGTACATGGTCGGAAGGTAACGACCATGCTGGACGCCATGCTGCCCCATGAGCCATCTGACAACGAGAGCGACGACGCCCAGGCGGTTGCTCAACGCGCCGAAGAAGTTCGCCAGCTCGCCCGACTCCTGATTCAAGACCAGCAACGCGTCGACGCCGGCCGCTACAACCTTCGTCGCAGGGACGTCCACTTCCAGCCCGGAGACAGGGTGTGGGTGTGGACGCCCATCCGTCGCCGCGGCCTCAGTGAGAAACTGCTGAAACGGTACTTTGGACCATACAAGGTACTTCGTCGCCTCGGCGAGCTGAACTACGAGGTGATGCCCGACGGAACACGAACATCGTCACGCCGCCCACCACGACCTGAGGTCGTCCACGTCGTGCGCCTGAAGCCGTACTACGCTCGATAGGACTGTGGACCTTTTGTGCTCCAAAAGACTCTTTAGTTTATCGTTTGTTTTTTATTTTGATTTGTTTTACACTGCATCGGGGCGATGCACTTTTAAAGGGGGGAGTAATGCCGCGCGCAAGGCTGAGAAAGCAACGCTCGGTCACGGTCCTCCAGAAAGTTCCCGTTTATTCATGTACCGCACGTAACTTCTATCATTTATCCCTGCTTTTGTTTTCTAGAAAGTGCGTGTTCATTCTCGCCCCGATCACGCGACGCTCGAACCGCTTTCGCCGAATCTTCGAGATAGCGGCGCACTCTAGATAAGAGGCCGCCCGCAACCTTGTCGAGTCAGTCTCGCCCTAGCGCTCGATTCTGCTGACACGCCGACTTCGACGCCCGCGACGCTCTGCTTTCTTCTGTTTCCTTCTTTATTTTTTTTGGCACAAGTTCGCCACATTAAACGTTTATTTCTTTCTGTTTATTTCCTGTTTTTTTGTTTGGTCACCACCTGTGACAATATGAATATACGTATTACATTCAATGAGAATTGAGTATGAATAATTTAAAAATCAAGGCTGAAAATATTTTCTAGAAGGCATACCCACAAAAAGGAACAATTTTATACATGAGAAACATTTCATGTACCGTATAAACCGAAATATAGGTCAAACTTATTTTTGAAAAAGGACCTGAAAAGTCTACTTTCGTCTTATATAACGGTCATTAGCGGAAAAACAAAAATAATCTCACAACACTGGGTGGCTGAAGCTGCCATTTTGTTTTTCTTTGCAATCACCTAGCACTCGTCCACTTGTCAAGATGGTCACGATTCATTTTCACTTGTGCTCCTTGTTTTGTTACATCTACCGTTGCCACTCCCGCAGTTCACGGTAGCCTTCAAGAAGAAGCCAATCGCCTATGCAGAAATTCACGGGAATCTTGCAGCGCAGCGAGAGTTCAGTGTATTGGAGAAGAGCATATGCTACTGGCGAGGCCACAGACAAAAACTGGCAGAGAGCAGCAAGGCGAAGAAAACTTCATTTCGTGAAAGGACTGCGGTGTACCCCGAATTGGAAATAAAGGTGGCAGATTTCATTCGGGATCTGCGCGTAAGATCGCTACCTGTGACGTTGGAGCGAATCCATATGAAAGCTGTTGAGGTCGCTCGTGCCTCTGGGTTCTTGATGGCGCAATTCAAAGGGACGGCATTGTCCCTTTCAATTGCGTTAGTAAACTCGTCGTTGGACGAAGGTTCTGAAGAATCTGATTAGTAACGCTCGCGCACTTCCCGTTTTATTACTTGCGAAGCAATTAAATAAATGTGCCGTGTTTTCTCGTCCTTCCATATGCTTGGCCAAATTTGTTACCAAGGCAAGGTTGCATTTTCTCGCCATAAAAATATTTTTCTCGCTTTTTGCAACTTCAGGGGTGGAACTCATGAAATGCACTTGGGAGCAGCCACGGGAGCAGCTGAAGCAGCTGTTTTGGAGCAGGTTGGGAGCAGCTAAAACCACGTTCTGGAGCAGGCTAGGAGCAGCTCAGATCAGTTTTCATTGCACTTCAGCTTGTGTCTTCGACAAGCACGGGAGCAATTTCAATCGTGCTTAGCAGCACAGATGAACATGAGTGGTTAGGGACCTAGGTAGATGGGATAACAGTGTAACATATGCGAAAACTTGAAACTTTGTGAGCCTTAATGAGAATCAAAAAGCAAGTACCCTATGTTTCTGTAGATAGCGTCCTTGATATTTTCTCAGTGGCTTTCAGCCGCTCAAAATGCAAACCAGCACTGCTTATCGCACAATCCACACGTGCTCGACATAGCAATTATATGTGCGAACCACGTGACGAGCGTAAGCAACGAACGTGCAGTTGCACGGAGGAACAGGGCAACAAATTTCGGGTTTATCCTATTCTGCAACTCGATATCGAAGCAGCAGACTACGATTAACAAAGTTATCGTATGTGAAGTGATAAGCAGGAGCAATGTTAATGTACGCCGAGTAGATCTACCACTCGCGTAAGAGCTGCTGGCCGGCAAGGTTTCGGATCAAACCGCCTTTCAGTTCTATCTAATCACAATTTATCTTGCGAGAATGCGGTTCCAACCTCTAACGATGAAGTACTAAAATTAATATTTTGTTCATTTGTTTTCAACTGGCTGATGTCTGGATTCCGGATCCCGGGCCGCTGAGCCTCAGGCAATCTGACGCTTAACGACTCGATCTCACCTAAGCCGACTTGCTTAATCGCTTATGGTTGAAAAATAACAATCCAGTCGAAGGTGGTGTAGCGCTTAGAATCCAAGTTTTTTCGTGCGCTTCCGACTCTGGATACACAGGGAGAATAAACAGAACAAAGGATTGCAAGGCCGACCAGGCTAAACGCGCTCATTGTTGCCGATCGAGTTAATAAAACCGAAACCAAGACAAAATACTTTCAGCAACATGGCGCAGTATGGCGCAGACACATGCGTCTAGCGCAAAATCGCGCAAATGGCACCGCCGTTCCACCCCTGAACTTGTAAATTAGGGGGTCAACTTATATTCCAATTTGACCTATATTCCAGTTTATACGGTACTTATATTAAAAAAAGAAAGGCCCCGGTAGGATGAGTTGGGAAAACGGTGATATGACATGAAAAGCAAAGCTATTACTACCCTATTTATTTGAATATAGCTTGAGGTGTTCTTTTCCAGCACTTTAATTTGAATTCACGTATCTCTGCCATACCTTTTGCCTGAAGTCTGTGACACAGAGGACGATGGTGGGGCCCTTGGGAACGACTCGCACGGAGAGAATGCCCGACCCCCCCCTCATCTTTTGGTTGGTCACCGCCTGCTCCAGGGGCACCCCGTTGTCCATGCACACAAAGCTCACCGGCATGGGAGGGCCCAGCACCACGTCATTGCCTGGGGCAGTCAATGCACAAGACTCAGGTTGGCTTTGCCACGTGCTACGACACACAAAAACCAACAACAAAATCCTGCATTTAAAGCAAAATATGTTTGTTTGATTTCTATATATCACGAGTGGATTGACATCATAATATTATAAGGTGGAACGAGCGAATTACCCGCCGTAAAACGAGCTGAAAAAATTGGCACCTGCAGATGGAATGCTCGAACTTTCACTGAATGTGCACTGAGCAGGCCAGTTTCACATTGTTCAATTTCAAGGTGTAGTTCTCTTCCAGTCCATGTTGGGCGCGTTCACAGTCGACCGATTTAGCGACGCTATTAACTTGTGGCGCCATTTCCCAATAGGTGCAGCGAGCAGAGGATGCAATGTTGTCTGCTCACTGCGTCTATTGAAACATGGCGCCACAAGTTAATAGCGTCGCTAGCTCGGTCATCTGCGAATGCGCGTGACATTGACTTCGGCAAGTTTGTTGCTCTAATTTTTTACAGGAAGAGAACCACGTCTTGAAATTTCATAAGGTAAAACTGGTCAGCTCAAGGCACATTCGGTGGAAGTTTAAACTTTCTATGTGCAGGCGCTGATTTTTCCGATTCCTTTTACAGCTGAAGTTCCACTTGTGCCACCCCATACAGTGTAGACCGCATATAACGTATGTCGCGGGAGTCGCGAAAATCCGCACTATAAGCGGTACCGCGTTATAACCGAAACATCAATTTTTCAGGCCAAAATACATGCCATGTGACAACTTACCTTTGTAAAAGAATTTATTTTATGTTAGATGAAAAGTAAAGCTTAGTTTGAGGAAAATCTTTATTTCACCAGACTAGTACACTTCTCTCTCAAGTGTGTCACACATTTTGAAAGAAATGAGCGGCTTTTGCCTGGCGTAGCCTTTTAGCGGCGTCGCGGGTTGCGGACGGATGTTGCGAGCGTTCAGGATTGCTAACCCTAATCACTTTTCTCCGGAGATGAAAACGCGTGAAAATTCGCATCCTTCCTACGGTACGCGCCAGTAATACCTTGAACTTGAGCACACGCATGAATTGCGGCAAGTAAGAAATCCGGGCGATGTTCGAGGACACAAATGCTTAGAAATCACCACTGTAGTCAAAGTAAACAAACATGACGACACGGGCGTTTCTGCCGTCTTGAGAGCGCCGCCACGACATCGCCGCTCGAGTAGGTGGATCTTCCCTTCTAATACGTGCTGGGTTATCATAGCTACACACAACGAAAATTCACAGTCAAGGATAGCGCTTTTACGCGGAACGATGAGATGAACGCCGTCTACGACGACGATCACAACATTGATCACGACCGACGCCATGTTTGCGGATAGAAGCAGCCGGCCCAGCCGGCCCGCGACCGGCATGCAACGCGCGCGAACACTTCTCGACCTGCGACCTGCAATTGGTCTGTCGTTACGGTTGTTGGTTTCCAACGCAGCGGAGGGACGCACGCACGTGAACGACACGTGCGTGCGTCCCTCCCTCGCTAGGGCAACTGAAGCCTCTCTCTTCGCTCCTCCCGCTTCTTCGAGCAACCTCCTTGCCCCGCGAGTGCCGCTTGCGCAACGCTTGCGGCTCGCGCCGTCAGCGCCGTTATCTAGTGTCGCACAGGGAAGCGTGCTCGCTGCTCCGGTCGTCGGCGCGGTCGGCGGACTGTGCCAGAAACCGCACTATAACCGGTATTTCCCTTTGCGCGCCTGCGTTTTAAGCGGTATGTAATTACATGGAGTTCTATGGGAGGCGAACCGGTGGTTTAAAAAACCGCGTTATACCCGGTCCTGCACTATAAGCGGTTACGTTGTAAGTGGTCTATACTGTAGCTTATTAGTGGTATGCACTTTACAAAAGTAGACCAACCAATCACTATTACAATCATGTCACATTAATAATATGGACCAGGGTATCGAACCAGAACCGAACCATTTTTTATAGCTGAAGCGGAACTGAACCGAACCGAAATCTTTGCCGCCATCTTGGAACTGAACCGGAACCGAACCGGAAAAAAATGTAACGGTAATCAGTTCAAAACGGTTCATGGTAATTTCTTCTCAATTTTTTTTGTTAGTAACACAAAATGGATATTTGGGAATAAAAGATTTGTAGTTGTATTTCTCTAAAACTTTAGTGCGCACCAAACTCGAATATGCAAGCTCTATCTGGAACCCTGGCGTATCCCTAGCATCATCCATTGAATCCATTCAAAATCGCTCCGCACGTTTTATACTTTCTAACTATCACCGTACAGCCAGCGTCACCTCCATGAAAGCGTCTCTACATTTGCCCAATCTCTCCTTTCGTAGAAAAATAGCTCGCCTCTGCTTATTTCACAAAATTTATCACTCTAACCCATCTAACCCAGCACTTTATTTTCAGAACCATCATACATATCGCCGCGCACCGATCATCCACTAAAAGTAGGAATCCCCTACTGCATCACTTCCACCTTTTATGCCTCCTTCCTACCTCTGACCTCCGTCGACTGGAAACGCCTTCCCGCATCCGTAGTCTCACTTACTGACGCTGCTTAAAACCGCCATAACTGATGTTCTTAACAATGTTCCATAGCGATTCTGTACCTTGTGTTTTGTTTTTATTGTTCACCTTATATTGATGTATATAATTCCACTCCTCTCTGTAATGCCTTCGAACCCTGAGAGTATAATAAATGAATGAATGTATTGATCAAATCGTCATATACAGAATTGCAATGTATGAGAAATTGTGAGTTTTCATGGCACTTTTGTATTGGCACTATGATTAAACATGCGTCACATGGTCACGTGACGTCGTGGTATCAAGACATGCTGTCAAGTAATGTTACGTCACGTGACCCCGTGACGTCAAGATACTCACTGCGTCAAGTGGATTTAAACTGAAATGTCACTAGATTTATTAACGCAGCTGACACCGTGACGTAACATATGACAACACGATTTGCACTGAGTCATGTGACACCGTGAAGGTACGCAATTTTTATGACCCCGAGTCGAGTGCTCGGGATCATGACAATCAGCATCACCAAACATTCAGGCAATGGCTCGTGTTCAGTTAAGGATTATAATAGCCCGGCTCTCAGAATATCTAAAGCTCAAGCCATGCTCCATACTTCGGACGCTTCTTGCTCATTATTTGTGATCTTGGCCTTGATTCGCTATCATGAACAATTTTTCTGGGAAATGGATGTGTCCATGTTAGTGAGACATGACTGTATTGAAACAAGAGTAATTGCGCAGGCAAGGAGATGAACGAACATGGTAAGAACCTTTTAAACCTTGTCGTATTTGCCCCTGTTTTTTGGTTTCCTTGTCTCAAGGGTTTTCTCTATGACTGTATTGACGACCGCAAACTATTCACTTTGCTTCAAAATTACTCGATTTGATTCAAAATTATTCGTGCGAAGCAACTATTCACTTCGAACTAAAACATCACTATTCGCACATCTCTAACTTAACCAGTTCATCCCCCAAAAACTCTGTCCGTATGGCAGAGCATTCATATTAATGGAGTTCATATTAACAAGATATGACTGTAGTACTCTCACTCTGCTTCCAACAAATCGGCTCTTTCCCACCTCTCAAAACAAACAGGACTATGAATGCATCCTTGTTGTGCGTGTTTGTACATAAGTATGAGCGTGCTAGTGTGCAAGCAGTTTGTGCGCAACCAGATGTGTGTGTTTGGACGTGCTCTTTCTGTAACTTGTCTGGGAGCTAGCCGATCGGTGCCAGGGGCACTTGTCCCGCATGGATGCGATGCCCTTCCCCGTTCACCCGCACACCGAGCGGTGCCGAAAACTAAGCACAATAAACACTCTCGCTATCACGTCTCAAAAAGCAATAGATTGAGTAACGCGTGAGCAACATTACAGAGTCGGAGCCAGAGTCAGTCGAGTGGCAGAGAGGAGCCTTGCTCACCCCTACGCAGCCCGACAAAGCCGTCCCGCGGCTGGACGAACATGCCGGGCAGCTGGCAGCACAGCCGACCATCGTCCAGGAACTGCCAGGTCTGGGTGAGCCTGCGGCGACCGTCAGGCTTGCGCAGCATCAGCTCCGTCTGCTTCTTGGGCTCAGGCCCCAGGCCCGCAATGTCCAGCACCAGCATGCGGCCAGACTCAGACCCGTGCCTCGGGTCCAGGGGGGTGCTCGAGCCTTCGTGCTGAAGCATGCCCGTGGATGTCATGCGCCACAGCTGGGAACGCTTGCCCAGCTCCTGTAGCACGGGGCAAACGAATGACGTGGTCTTGTAGCGATGGGGGTGATGGTTGGATACCAAATTTAAGTGAACCACGGATGACCCTCTAAAGCTAGAGCTTTTGAACTGGGCTTCTAGGAACACTGCAGGCTTCTTGGGGTACCCTCAAAAGTTTGCACGAGCTCCCAATTCTTCCCGGTCATTCCTCTCCCCAATTTTAGAAAATCTATCTAATTTATTGATGCATGCTTACCCTAGTCTGTGCACTACCCTTTGAGGTCTGTACGTACGTGCACTACTCTATAGCATCTATGCCGAGATAGGGAGGGATTTCTTAACCATCAGTTAGGTGTTCCTCAAGTTTGGGAAGTTAGAGAACCGCTACTCTAAGGCTAGGGCTCTCAAACTCGGAGATACGGGATCCTACCAATGAAACCAATTACACCGACGACTTCCCAAGCCAAGAAATTTCATACAACTAGACAAGGTCCAAGGATGTGGTAAGGACCAAATACAGGTCAGACAAAAGAGGGCTGCAGTGCTAGTGGCGAAAAGCTGAGCAAGAGCTCAGCCACTGTCCAATCTTTGTCGTCACTTTGGATGAGTTGCTAATAGGAAGTACTACAAAAAAAAAAACTAACTTCACTAGGTATACATTGACATAAAATAAAAAAGCATACCAGGCCAAACTGCATTCTATAAGAAGTGCAGCCGACGCTCAGATTCGATACAATCCGTCTTCCTGCCATGGGCTGCCGCCAAGCCTTTCCAGAACATACCCACATTGTCCTTCCTTTCCTTTTCTTTGTTGCAACGCCACCGAGAATGCACCGGAGGATTCCGCCAGTGCATTCTTTGTGGCATGTGACGCATGAGAACATGAGCAGTTGGTTTACAATGCAGGTGTTTGGCACCTGCATAGTGTCGAGTAACATGCTATTGGATATTCACTTTGACAGGAACTGTGATAATAATTTTTTTGAAGTGTTGATCGCGGTGGGTTAGCGCCGTTGAGTGCGCTTCTTACCGAGCATCGGTGCACTGCAGAGAAGCAGCACCCGTGAAGCTCACTTTCGCGGATGTTGCTTTTCCGCAATGCACCGATGCTTGGCAAGAAGTGCACTCAATAGGGTTAACCCACAGAGATAATCACTTCAAAAAGGACAAATATTGCAGTTCATACTCAGGAGGAAAGCACACTCTCAAAGCGGGATGGTGCACGTGTGTGTCTGGTATATTTAAAAAGAAACAGGAACTTCGTGAATGTTGGTATCTACGCTACAGTAAAAGTTACAAAATTAAACTGGCTATTAGGCAGAGATGTCCTGACAATCTGCATTCATCATTCATGATTACCCTTTTTTCCTTTTCTCAAATTCTAGGTATAAGGAAGGATATTTAGAGATAACAAGATTTATAAATCTCGATAATAAGGTATAGCTGAGCATCTCTAGGTTTATGTCAAATGCGTAATCTACTTGCTATTCCAATGTAGGCACTGGACTTTCTTAAGCTACAGTGCATAAATATAGTTCGATTAAAGTTAATTTAGCTTTAGGGGTGTGCGAATATTTGAGTTCCGAATTCGAATTAAATAGTTAAATTTATTTAATTTTTCGATTCAAATTTGATTCAGACTGAAATTTCACTTTTCGCGCACCCCTACTTAGCTTAGAAATGGACAAGTGAGAACTTGGGAACAACCTTCGCAAGTTTGTCGGCCAAAATCACAATTTGCGAATTTGCTTTCGAACTAAAAGTCCACTATTCTCACATGACTACTTATGACGCTATGAAAAATTCAGGTGGAGCTCACCACCAGATAATGCCCCGTCCAGAAAACGATTGCCTTGACTATTACTACTGGGTTGGCTTGGCTGCTTGGCTGCTCGGCTGAACACGTTCGCAAGCTTAATGTCTCCCCGTCACGACGTCCGCTGCATTTAGTCTGTCGTCTGAAAGCATCTACTAGTCGTGCAGACAAACACGCAGCAGCATACAAGTTATTTGATATTAGGACATACTCTACTACCATTGGAATGCCCGTAAGATGCAACCATGAAAGTGGGTCGTCCGCATCTGCCACCGCTTGCGTCTGTCTGCTATTCCACCCCCCCATTTAAAACAGTCTGCAATGCTCGCAAAAAGCGGCATTCTAGCGTTCAATAGTGCACGGGCCACAGTTCAATATGCAAGCGTCTGTCAGCATGTGTCGATGTGTGGAAAAAACCAACAAAAAGGACACAAAAAAATGAACAAAATAAATACTGTAAACAACTTAATTTTTGCGGGCTCAATATTTCGCGAATTCCGCGAGGTGTGGTATTTAAGAACATTTGCGGGTTCAAAATTCCACAAATCAGGGTGGTATGCTATGTATTCGCTACATTAGGAAAACATATTTGCAAGACCTTAAGTTTCAAGATTAAGTTCTTGCAAAAATTAAGTCATTTACAGTATACTAGTCCTTTCAGCTTTTCTGTTCTTGATGTTTTCTTGTATAGCACCTCGAGCAAGATGCGTAAGCATCATAATGGCACAATTAAAACGCAACTAAAAAAATGAAAGCCGTTTACAATTCCCTGTAACACCGGTTAGAGCGCAGCTCTTGAGGAGGAAGATGGAAGCGTACTGAGGGATAGATGACTCCTTGAGGTCACGTGACCTCAAGGGGGTCACGTGACTTCAGGGGGTCACGTGACCTCAGGGGGTCACGTGACCTCAGGGGCTCACGTGACCTTTGGGGGTCACGTGACCTTAGGGGATCACGTGCTATTCCAATGTAGGCACTGGACTTTCTTAAGCTACAGTGCATAAATATAGTTCGATTAAAGTTAATTTAGCTTTAGGGGTGTGCGAATATTTGAGTTCCGAATTCGAATTAAATAGTTAAATTTATTTAATTTTTCGATTCAAATTTGATTCAGACTGAAATTTCACTTTTCGCGCACCCCTACTTAGCTTAGAAATGGACAAGTGAGAACTTGGGAACAACCCCTAAGGTCACGTGACCTTAGGGGGTCACGTGACCTCAAGGCGGTCACGTGACTTCTGGGGGTCACGTGACCTCAGGGGGTCAGGTGACCTCAGGGGGTCACGTGACCTCAAGGGGGTCACGTGACCTCAAGGGGGTTACGTGACTTCTGGGGGTCACGTGACCTAAGGGGGTCACGTGACCTAAGGGGGTCACGTGACCTAGGGGTGTCACGTGACCTGGGTGGGTCACGTGACCTCGGGGGGTCACGTGACCTCGGGGGGTCACGTGACCTCGCGGTTACGCCGACGGCGACGCCGCTCAAGCCGGAAACGGGCCCCTAAGAGCTGCGCTCTAAAAATATTTGCTCTAGCACGCCAGGCACACTGCTGAAATCTTGAGCTGCAGGCCTTCCCGAAGCTAAATGATGAAAATATGCCTGGACAAATCTGATGTGAGGCAAACACCCGACTGCTGGGGTCCTGCCAAATGTCTCTCTCAGTACTCAAACCATAGTTACCTCTCAGTACTCAAACCATAGTCGCAATCACTACAGTTGCACGATAGAGTAGCAGGGCCACTTTCATGGTAGCTGACACATCAATTCAGCATCAAAACGTGCAAATGAACAAATTAAGCCAGATCAAGCCAAATAGTGAATGTGGGACGCCAGTCTCACTACAAGAACAAGCAGCCGCACGGCGCTTCCGTGGGCGTGTATTTGCTTCAGTTGCTTGCTGCAAACTATGTTGGTTGAGCAGATCTTCCTCTGAACATCTCACTGAGTGCAAAAAGACTCAAACTCAAAAATGAACAGACTCAACGAGTTACGCCGCGTATAAACCACTTGCCGCAAACACCTGCAGCCATGCCTATTATCGTTGAAACCATAATGGAAAAGGCGATCTCGCTATGTTTTCCAAAGCAACAATGCTCAATGTCGTTTGTTTCTCAAACATAAAAATAAGTCGTATAAAAGACTACCACGGCAGGGAGGCACAATTTTACAACAAACATTCCACACATCAATCATCTCTCCAACCAATGAGAGCTGAGACGAACCTCAGCTAGCTAAGCACTTTTCGTTATCGGCTAGGCCTAGAGCAGTGCTACCTCCACCTAAATTGCATCTGGCAGCATAAATATTGCAACATAAAAAATCTTTAATGAAAATTTTAGGGGCAAAGCTCCTTAGGGCCTAGCCTTGTCTGTCCGGCGTCTGTGCTCACATCGATCTTGCTGGTGCTCGTGCTCATGCTCACGTGCTCGTGTAGGGAAAAAAAAAGATGAAAAAACAAATGTTTGGGCAGTCGACAGGATTCGAACCTGTGCGAGGAGACCCCAATGGATTTCTAGTCCATCGCCTTAACCCCTCGGCCACGACTGCGGGACGAGCAGGGGGCTCTGAGATGTGGTAGTATTTCAAGAGCTGGAGATGTCATGGATGAAACATTGCATGTAGCCGCTCAACGTCTATACAGGAGAGGGCGCTGCGGTCAAATGCGTATATAATCACGTTAAACGTTGCATGCATTGGCTCAACGTTTATAGACGAGAGGGCGCTGCGGTCAAATGCTCAAATGCGTATATAACCACATTCCATACCACACATTCTCTTTCTGGCATGAATGAAAACGAACAAACAAAAAGCTCGGCATGCTGCGGCTCAGCGTCTACGCAGACAGGCACCACCAGAGCTTCGCCCCAATCAACATCATTCACCACAAGGAGATGCGGTATATTTTTTTTTTATAAACTACAGTCGAACGCGGATATATTGAGTTCAAAGGGAATCGTAAATAGTTCAATATATTGATAATTTGATATACAAAAATATGTTAACATAAGCTCCAGTTGAAACTTCCGCGCATCTCTGCTAATACTGAAGGTCGCGACAAACGAAACCTTACCAAATAGAGCTTCTAAGAACCGCTAAAAACAATAGAGCTTAGTTGGTAAGGTCACAAACACCGACTTGTTTATGTGAAGGTGTTTGCAATCGTTTAAACCTTGCCACGACCTCCACACAGCGCCATTAGCAAATCACAAAAATAATTAAAAAAAAAAAAGAAAAAAAAGGGAAAAGCGAGTTGCATAAAAAAAAAACAACTTTTGATCCATTGAACAAAGTTAAGCAAGCAACAAGAAAGAAACCTCACTAAATTCAGGCAGCAAGAAAAGAAAGGCAAAAAAATAAAAAGAAAATGGCAAAGCAAATACGGCGGGGAAAAAAAAGGGTAAACAAAGATAATGCGTTCAAAGCGATTGCTCAACCGTTGATGTCGGTACACTGAACTTGACGAAGACTTTTTTTTTCTCTTTGTTTACTTTATTTTGGGGCTAAGGAGTCGTGCAGCGACAGTGGTGTTCGGGGAAAGAGTGCACGGTACCATTCTAACAGCGGGCACTCCCTGCCCTCCCTACGTGCGCCAGGCCCTTCCCCTTGCTTTTGCCATCCCCCACTTTTTTTTTTACAATTGTTTTTTTTTGCTGGAAATTTCTGTGTGTGTATGCTGGCTTGGCGGTTTGCCAGCCCCACAACGCGAGCCAAGTGCTCGCCGCTGGCGCAATCCAACCACAGGAGAAGCGACGGGTGGCCGTTCGTCGTTCGCTATTTCCAGTGTCCCTGCCATGGGAGTTCGATACAGAAAAAAAATGCTCCTATACTATTATATGTGATTTTCAAGGGGATGTCTGGACTGTTCAATATAAACAATAATTCGAAATACCCGGGTGTGATATAACCGGGCTCGACCGTATGTGTTCTATCTAACCCTATTAACTTTTTTTTTTTTAATTTTTTTTTTGTACATGTTTTTCATTACTTTTGATAAGTACTTGCCTTTTTGTTGATGACAACCCGAGTGCCTTGAGGGACGTCCAGAACGAGTTCCTGGCACTTTACATCCTTCGGGGTGGACTGGAGCTTCAGAACCCCGCGAGGCCTGCATCCGTCGCATTAAAAAATAATATCCGTTTCGCAAATCCTCAAAAAAAAAAAAAAAAAAAGAGCATCTGAGAATTTGTTGCGAAATACTCACTCCTGGAAAGTGCCCGAGAAGGCGATGTAGAAAAAGTTCTCGTAGTACAGCTTTTTCCCTTCCCGAAAGATGGTCATGTCGTAGGTCTCGCTCATTCCCCCGGGTGCCGTCACGGTCAAGTAGGGAGGCAGGGTGGGCTCGTCCCACGCATATGGCACTGCGTCAGAAAGACGAGTCGGTCGCCAGGAACGACGCTTGCCGTTCTGCCCCCTACCCCGTGGCTACAGTCATGGACAGCTGAAGAAACGCGGGAAGTGACTTGTTAAGTTCACACTTCTTACTTTGTTCTTCAGCATTCTTATCGGCTTATGCCTCAATCTGGTTGGCTGCGGAGCGACGATAAAATGCATGGGACGTGCCACGCCCTGCATTTCTCGAGCTGTCGGTGGCCATGAGAGCAAACAGTTGACGCAGCAAATTCTGTTCCCGGAAGGAGTGGGCATTACCGGAAGTGTGTGCCTTGACGACGGGCTTGAGCAGTTCGCTCGCCACGCCCGTCTGGTGAAAGGTGACGGGAACCTCCGACTGGTTGTCGACGCGCATGGGGGGCGGGATCTTGGAGCAGTCCATGAAGATGATGAAGAAGGTGGCCCCTTTCAGGATCACCTCCACGCGCACAAAATAGGAGCGGCCCAGTTCGTCTCTGGAAAAAGAGGAAATTGCGAGCTTAATAAAACGGCCGTCACAACCTCTCACTTTCTTTTCTGAGTGGTGCGGTTTCAAAAGAAGCTAAAAAAACTATAGTAGGAGTCTAAAAGCAATTCTTACATCGACCATATTCTTTCTTCTTCTCTTTTTCGGAACATTAATTGACGGCGACCAGCAGGAACTGTCTGCTTTAGAACAAAACTTCAGGGTGCTTGTGTGTCTTGGCAGCATAGACACACTTCAAGTGCGAGGGACCAAAAAGTTCAGCCTCGCTACTTTCTTCCATCACTGTAGTAATCTGATTTTGTGTGTTCTTCCGAGATGGTGCCACTGTATGGTCGTGCACGCAGCTCGTGCATATCACATTGTGATGTAAATAAAGAAACAGCTGAGTGCGCGCTTTGTTGTCACCTTAGCTTTCGGCTTAATCGGCAGTCTCATTACTACTTTGCTCTGCTCGGTCTTCTACGGGCCCTCACCAGTTCCTGTCTGGGCCAATGCCGTGGCTGGGTGAGCCCTAGTCTGCTGTGCCCAGGTACACTGTGCCCATGGACGGTTAGTGACGAGTGCCGTTCCCACTTTCTTAGTTTAGTCATTTGCCATTTATGTTGTAGTCTACTCCCGTTTGAACCATCTTGAATCACTGCATAACAAATAAAAAAATTGAAAAAAATGAAATAATTTTACATTTTGTTGCAGGAATGATTTCAGGCATTCGAGACCACTGCTTGAAGAGCTGATCACAAAATCACCAATGAGTTTTCTAGCATGTTTGGTTACGCAACCTTCAATGAGGGTTTTTAATTAAAGATAAGAACCACGGGTGTGCAGTCAAAGAAACAAACATGAATCTTTACGTATATGGAACCAAGGCCCAGCTTTTCTACACATTCTCCAAACGAGTGGGCAGGGAAGACCTCGGAAAGAAAGGTGCCTGCCTCATGTGCACGTGGAAGGAGTCCAGCTCGTCAATCTTGAACCCGCCCGACCAGAGGCAGCCCGAGATGTCTACCAGGCGCACGCAGAGGAGGTTGTCCAGGTCCACTCGCGGCCAGTGGAAAGGCAGACTCGACTTGGGCTTGGCCAGGGAGATGTGATGACGATGCTGGTGCTGCCATTTAAGAATGCAAATGATCTATCATAGTTAGTCCACTGTCAGTAAAAGAGAAAAATGTGAGTGAAAGAAAAAAAAACACATTCGCTCATGTCTATACCAGAAACCACGATTCGTTGCACACATCAAACGCCGCACTGAATGAACAGACCTACCTCGCCAAGCGTTCGGCACATGCGTGACGCTGTCATAACTTTAGTTCAAGGAGGCAGTGCACGAGACCGCTTGGCTTGAGGGTCACTGCACGTGCAAAAAGACTACTGGATGCATTGCCGCAGTGGCGGCATAGAGAAACTGGCTGGTGAAATTGGCCTAGTATCCGTGGACCGACGCTTGAACTGCTTGTCGGCCGCATGTAATGGCAACTTGCTTCCTATCACGGTTGAGCGGTGTGACCGCCTGCACCCACTGAGCTATTGCTACCACTTCTTCGCATGCTCTGCCGAAAAGCTGCCGATTTTGCCGACTCGAGTTCCTACAGCGGAAAGCTGGGCACCGATGCCACTACTCCGTCTGCCTGCCCGTGGGCTCACCTGCTCCTTGGTGGCAAACCTCTGGGCGATCTGGACCACCGAGCTGCTCTGGTTGTCCACCAAGAACCTCGGGGAAAGCACCACATAGTTGGTGTGTGTGTAGTTGCCACGACCCTGCCTAACATCCACTCCGATTGTGTACACCCTGCGAGGAATGATGTGAAGCACCCGTGCATCTATGAACTCGATCGTGTCATACTAGATTGGGCAAACTGAGAGGGCCCCAACAATGTTCTATCGAAACATCTATAATAACAAGAAACTTTCTTGAATTAGACTAATTCACAAAGTGTCTACCTACTGAACAGAAATGGCTCCGATTCAACTTAGAGTCACTTCTGCATGTAGTTAACATAGTAACTGACAAGGTGAAAACAGCAGTGATCCTGCCTCTCGTGCGAGCCAGGGCGCACTGTTTATTTCCGTTTCCTATCTTCAAAAACGTTTCGGTATCCCATGCAGTTCGAGCCCTGGCATGCAGCCAAAGCACGAAGAAAGGCACAGAGCGCATGTCGGAGGCCAGGCGTTCGAAAGTCGTGCCCTGCCGTTCTTACTCTGTCAGTGACTATAAAGGTATCCATAATGTTTCAACAAAGTGTCGTGAACACTGCGTAGATACTTAGATATGTAGAGCTATGTATTACTAACGTATCCAAGGTTTTACTTTTTTTTTTTTTTTTTTTCAATAAGGCTATAGGGGAGTATATTTATATTTGTCTTTTCTTAACCCCCCCCCCCCCCCCCCCCCCCGTTTTATTATTAATGGTTAGTTTATGTTTCCAGCTCACACAGAAGTAGTAGTGAAAAGTATGTCGATTTTTCAAGATAAAATAAAGTAGGGCATGCAACTCTTTCAAAGTAAAATAGAGTAAGGTATCCAAACATTTCAAGATTAAATAGAATACTGCAAAATTTGAATTAAATCAATCGAACGGGAGTTTGTACCAGTTTGCAGTTATTCTTCAATAATTTTCCCATTTTCTGCACCGACGATAGAATTCGATGTTATCGCGGTCAAGCCACATCCTTATATACAACTTTGCGGCTTCTACAGGCGACGTTAATTGACACAGTTTTCCAAACAGAAAACGTAACAACCAAGGCAAAGCTAGCCAAACGCACAAACTCGGCCACGGCTACGGCTCGAATGACTGCGTGCAGAGCCTGACTCTATCAAACCGTATAAATAAAATGCACAGGGCAAGATGTCAAACCTAGCTCGGCTTTCTTCCAGATGTGTAAGCTCGGCGACAGGACACGAATGACAGGAAAGTCCTTCGGCTCTCCCGTCTCAGGCGCAAGCTTCCCAACTTCGACAATGCTTCAACCTCTCATGGGCCTCGAGCGTGCACGCACAGACAAAGCACAATGAAAGACAATGAGCACGTGGTGAAGGTTGGACATGCGAAAGAAACGTTCTGCCATCCTCCTCCTGCCGGTCACTATGGCGCAAAGACGACGCCGCTCGAGCGGGAGGCCAGCCTAGCTCACCAGTCCGGCCGTGCATCCTTGGGAGACACCATGAGCCGACGCACCCTGGTTCCCTTCTCCAGGGAGAAGCTGGTGCACCACTGAGGAAAGCTCCTGGGGTGCAGCTCTGTGCCAAGCCTCATGCTGCACCTGACAGAAGGACACAGGCACGCGAGTCAAACAAGCTTTTTTAGGGGACAAGAGCGAATTTGTTAATGGGATCACGAGATTATTTTTACCCGAAGGTGTACGAATGGCACACGGCGATTTCTCTATAATGCGCAATCGATTTAATCAAAATGAAGGGCGACGAGACGTTCTACTTTTGAGATGACAGTCCTGCTACGTCACTAGCGTGGTTACGAGATGTAAGGTCTGCAGGCTACTGTCTCAACTGGGTCCTCCGATAAGGAAGTATTCAGGGTTATTGAGCCTATGCAGGAACTCTGTTTTGCGTGAATGGAAAAGCCCAAAAATTTTTGAGTCGAATGCAAACAAAGCAAGTCTCTGTGGCAATGCGTTGGAAGTAGATTGCAAGTTTCTGAATTCTAATAAAAGAGCTAATCAAAGTATTATAATAGTGCAATGATCACAATATGTATACAACAATATATCAATCCCCTTTTAGTAAGGTATTTGTAGGTTTCTCTGGAAGCCAAGTTCAGAACCAATGTGCGCAGAACACATGGGATGAACAAACCTCCAGTTAAGTCTTGTGCCACATACAGTATAGCATGCTTATAATGAACACACTGAGAGCTGGAGATCAGTTCGTTACACTTGTTTTTTGCTATATCTGGATAAAAAAACAAAAACAACAAAATAATGTTTTAGAGCAAAGGTTTACTGCTTACCGAAGAAGCTGTCGATACATGACTGCACACTGCGATTCACAGATGTGCTCACAATTACTGCCTCTAATGCGTTAACTTGCGCAAAAATGTTCTCTCCAAGCCCAGCAACGAAGTACGTACAACCAGAGCACATCAACTGCAGCGATCGCCGTTCCAGTAGGCACTGATGGTTTCACATGGCAGTCGTCACTGTCGCTTTTGTTAGCTCGCACATCTACAAGGTTCACAAGGTCTTCGTCCGTCATCACCTCCGCGGCAACGAAGTCGTCCTCTGTCGTGACGAACTTGACAAGGTTTAATATGAATGAACTTTACAGTACATACTAGCAGTTGCGAGGCAGAATGCAGTGCAGTTTCACCTATGTACATGAATTGTGAAAGAAATTACGTAGTCGTTTTTATCAGGAGCATGCTTACATTGCTTAGGAAAACTACCGTTAGAGAATTAACTACTGTAATACCAAACAATTTTCTTCGCCGGATACGCAGAATTCCTGGAGAGTGCAACTGTGTAAACAAAATTTCCAAAAAGGTAGTTCATTTTCTCCTAACATTGAGCTGGAAAATCAAATAAATGTTTTGACTTTTATGTCGTGCAGAATTCCTGGAGAGTGCAACTGTGTAAACAAATTTTTCAAAAAGGTAGTTCATTTTCTGCTAACATTGAGCTGGAAAATCAAATAAATGTTTTGACTTTTATGTCGTCAACAAAATCTTAACAACTTTTACAAAAGATATCCACAAAGTAAAAAAAAAGTGCCACATTTGAATTACCCATTAAATTCCAGCTAGGAAAAACAATGAGTGAGCCTTTCCTTTTATCCCGTTACCAAATGATAGTTTTCCTAAAGTGAAATTTATGCCAAAAAGTGGAACGAAGAAAAATGTGTTCAAAGAGACCTTTTCTTTAGCATTGGTAGACTGAAAGTAATTTATAAAAAAAATAATGATGCTGCGTAAACAAATGAACCTTTCTGGGAATGCTCCCAGATGTTGGTGGATGTAAATATGACATTTTTCCCAAATCAACTTTTGTTGCTGAAATATTTTTTTGTGTGTATTTCCCCCTCTTCACGCCGGACGGGAAGAGCTGGACCTGTGCCGGGCTCTCCCACATCTACTCCAGCAGTGAGCAAATCTCGTTGATGGCAGGTACTCTGTCATCCGCAATCACTTTGTCGCTTGCAACAGGAGTCTCCAAAACCCTAGTCCGGGAAAAGCTGCCGCTCTTGAAGCAGTGGGCAATGGTTTCGGGCTTTACGTCTCTTCACACTTTGCTGGCCATAAACACTGCTCTGGCCACGTAACCTAGCGTTCCTTGGGTGGCACCGCGGTGCGAATAAGCAGACGCTCAATCACTGGGCGACATTAGTGCACCTTCAGGTTCGCTACGACTCCCTGGTTTATTGGCTGAAGTTTGGCCGTGGTGTTTGGAGGCAGAAAGAGCACCTTTATGGCGCTGAACAGTGGGTTGATGAGATGGGCACTGCAGTTGTCCAGTAGCAGCAGCACCTTCCGATTTTGCGAAGCCATGCCTGCGTCAAAATCAGTGAGCCACTTGCGGAAGCGGTCCCCCGTCATCCACGCTTTGCCATTCTGGACGTACGTCACGGGAGGGATTTGATGGTCGCAAAGCCCCATGGTTTGTGGGACTTTCCAATCCACGAGATCCATGTTGGCGCAAGCTAAAAGTGTGATGCACTCCTTGCTTGTCTTGGCTCCGACGCATTTGTCATCCTTGGATGCCAGTGTCTTGGCAGGCAGAAGTTGATAAAAGAGGACAGTCTCATCCGCATTGTAGATGCATCAGCATAAGAGGCAAAAATCCGATCCGATCAAAGTGCTTGTTGAGCCAAGCCGGGAGCAACATGTCGTTAATGGATGCAGCCTTGCCAATGATGTGTTTGCAAGTGATGCTGTGATGATCCTTAAAGTGTTGAAGCTAGCAGCTTCTAGGCTTGAAGTTATCGTGCTTTAGCAAAAACCCCAAGTTCCGAGCCTTTTCCAGAAGGATCTGACCGCTTATTGGAACTGCCTTTGCGCGGGCATCGACAAACCACTTGTACAGCGCCTCTTCCACATAATTGTACAAAGGCTTGCGGAGCTTCTTCCGGTTTACCCTGCCAGCATCGTCGTTTAGGGCTGCATTGATCTTGACTACGTTCTTGATGATTGCCGACAGCGCCGATGGAGCTATCTCGTATTTGTGGGCGATATCGGACTTTATGACATTACGCCGAACTTCCTCAAGAATCGCCCGTTTCACCTTTAGGGACAGAAGCTTTCTTTTCGGGGTGGAAATGCCGGTGCTTGACATGATCAAGTAAATCCGTGGGCGGTCCGGTCAGTCGCAATTAGGTGCGTTCAGTCAAGTTCGCAGTCAGTCTTTGCCAAGGGAGAAGCGGTTGGTGTAGGGTTCGTAGTCAAAGCGAAATCAGAAAGGCAGTCTGGGTCACAAGATGGCGGGCCAACGGAGAAGCAGAAGAGGAACACTATCCAAATGGAGATCGGGAGGAGAGTGAACCAGAACCTTGCAGGAAACGAGAACATGGTGACGCGCGGCACGGCAACGCGATAAGCGAATGGGTTCTTCTAGATTTTTCCACGCTGCCTACGTCCTGTGTTTTGCAGATAAGCATCCCATTCCTGCGCAGGGTGATTAAGCGAGCAGCGCAAAGTTATCCAAGGTATGCGCCCTCAAGACGCACAGTCCGGGCGCTGCTGGTCAGCAGCTACATTTTATATTTTGTTCATTTTAGCTCAGTTTAAATTATGTGGTACCTTTTACATTAAATTTTAGGAATTTTGGAGAATTTTTGTACGTAATGTCAGCACAGGCTTTCCGAGGTTTTTCGCTAAAAGTGGACTCAATCATATTGCAGGAATACATACGGGAGCGGGAAATCAAAATTCCTTTGTTATATCACCTATTTTGTTATTTCCGGGTTCGTTATAAGCAGGCTGTACTGTATCGGGGACTTGACAAATTTATGGTAGATAAATCAGCTGCACCCCATCCTTCGTTCCTTGAGTGCTTTACATCCAGCCAACGTTACTGAAACACTCAGTTGGGGAACTCCCATAGAGACAGCTTTGAAAAAGTGACCCCAATCTGTCTCCGAGCACCGAGCTAATGACGAACACAACGCCACCATTTCTCCCGAAGCGGCCACTTGAGGAACTGCACGTGACTTCTATTTTGGCTTTAAGAACAGATACAGCGGTAGAGGTTACAGGGGTGCCACCCCCGTCTCCCCGGCGGACGCGCCGCGTTCAACATCCGAAGTTAAAATGCACCTAGGTCTGGACGCGCTACCTGAAAGGCCCGCTGAGGCATAGTTGTATAAAAACAATATTAATTGTTCCGCAAAACCCTGCGAGCTAAATATTTTAAAAACATAACGCGCCCCTCTTTTTGTACTAAACTCCAATAAATTTCATACAAAAAGAGTCTTTTCCGTTTGTTTTTACGCAAAAACAGGCTTTCAAAAAGCTCAAGGTGACCATAGTACAGACAAACGAAAAAGAGTAACGCTGTTGTCGCATTTAGCTCGGTCTGGGTGGACGCCAGCGGCCCAGGTTTCGACAGCGAGTTTCCCAACTGAGTGTTTTAGTAACGTTGCATCCAGCTAAAGAGAATCACATTGTTCAGATTACCTTCTGTTTGAATAAAACTGAAAGGAAATAAAGTACTGTACAGAATGCTTACATCATAGATGCTTCCGAGTCTGCAAATGAAAAGAGTAGGGGTGCCACGCTGCGGGCTTGTTCGTGTTCGGGGAACTGCCCAGCAGACTCTGAATTTGTTCCTTCTTGCTTGAAGATAAGGGGCAGACCAGAACGGTTGATGATCCAGTAAGGCGCCGAGATAAACACCTGCAGCAGGTGTTTACCATCTGAACATTGCCGATAAAGGGTTTGTGTCCAAGCAACAACCAAAATACTACTTCGATAACTGCCGATCACAGGAGGCAAACACTTGTAACGTGTGTTTATCCCAGTAGGTACTTTGCAGTGTCATAAAAAAACAAAGTCTGATGCCGCGTGTTTCTGCAAATACTTTTGAAAAATTTTCAACCTAGGGTGGTTGAGAAGAAAGGAACTCTTTTCGGGAACAAACTTCCAGCTACAGCAGGCGTAAGGAATTGCAAGAACCATGATAACATCACACTAATTGCCCAAAATGTACTAACTGACTATTTAATTAGTGGAAATAAACACATGGTTCAAATTAAAGACTTGCTGAGCGCCATCAGAAACCCTTAAATCAGTCAAATTTACGACAACTTGAAGCACGTGGGAAGCACGAGGATGCTCTAAAGTTAACACCTGTGAAGCAGGCACAGACCAGCGATGCAAAAATGCAGACGATAAGAATATCATCCCAATTTTCGCACCGTCAGCCTTGCCCCCGCTGCACGACTGATAACTTTGGTCATCATCCTAAAATTCACTAATTTAGAGGTTTCTGATGATGCTCGGCAAGTCTCTAATTTGAACCATATATTTATTTTCACTAATTAAGAAGTAAATTAGTAAATTTTGGGTCATCAGTTTGTCAATTAGTATGTTTTATGGCGATTCCTGCCGTCCACTGTAGCTTGCAGTTTGTTCCCAAAAAGAGTTCCTTTTTCTCCACCCCCCTAGGTTTAGAAATCCTTGAAATATTTGCAGAAACACCCGGTATGAATTATTTACACCGCTGTCATTGAAGATTTTCCTTAGTCAAATTCATTTAAATTACTTTAAAGGGAGCTTAGTGAATAAAATTTTAGCACATTTTAGCACAAAAAAGTATATGTCAACAGCCTGTCCCTGCCTCTCAGTCATAGAGTGTGTAAAACAAAGGAGACTGTGTAAAAACAACAAAACCAGATACAGCAAAGTCAGGCTCACAGGACCCATAAATGACAGAAACGTAAGGTAGAACATTAGGTAAAAGAGGAAACTTTAAAACTAGGAACATCAGCAGGGATGCATAGGCTAAGGAGAGACTGACGATCCAACCTTGAGTGACCTTCCTCGAAGCACGGCGACGCGTGCGTGAAGCAGCAGCAGTCGCCCCTCCGTATCACGGGTTTCGAGCCTTGTGGTGAAGCTGCCAGATTCAGGAGGGATCACCAGGCTGGTGCATTGCCGGAAGTACTCCAGAGAAAAGTTGATGATGACGTACTGCTCTGTGTTCACCTGCCACACAAAGCAAGACCATTCAGGCCACTTCAAAATGCTTGCAGTCTGTTCAAACTGAAGGTGTTCAAACTAATGTCCGAAAAAATCTTATCACGAGGCATGCAAAAAAAATGAGTCAAAACAAGCATTGTTTTTACCCTCATTTCAATTATAAATAACACTTGGTGAAATCAGGAGGAACCACCTAGTCAACTTATTAAGAGACACAAGCACTACAAATTGCTATACTCTTAACTGTTTAACTGCTATACTATACTATCACCTAAAGCAATGTTCAGCTCTTGTACAATAGCAGAAACATAAAACATTACTGTGAAAGTCTGTAGCAAGAAAAATTAGTTGAAGTCTTTTCAAAAGGCACTTTCGCTGAAATGCATAAAAAAGAAAATGTTTCTACAATACCAAAGCATTTAGCATTGATCTTCCATAAGAAACCCAACCTTACACAGACTTCTACTTTTACAAGATCCAGTTCTTTCTGAAAGTATCCAGAGAGCAAAGCAAGAAGTATTTAACTACCCAAGCCTTGTTGTAACAACTACAATGTTTACAAAAAAAAAGAAATGCTCTGTACTGTTGCAGGTTAAGAAAAGCAGGACAAGTTCCTCTCGTGAAGCCCTCCACTCTTTCCACTTTAGCAGGCGAACGCTGGAGAGGAGGCGAGAGAAGGCGAGTTCACTCGCCCCCTCCCAGTGTTTGCTCTGCTAAAGTGGAGGAGTAGAGGGCTTTGGGGGTGGAGCCTGCCCCGCTCTTCCCTGCAACAGGGTACAGAACATCACGCTGGACAGAGACAAAACTGAGCTGTGCTGTTCACCTCATGGAGCGAGCAGTTCTTCCGAGGCGAAATGACCCCCTTGCACTGGTTCTCGTTGATCGCATAAGCCAGGTCGTACGGCAGAAGATTGTGGACAGAGATTGGAGGCAGAAGCGTGATGGTGTGCGCAGGAACAGTGCTTGGAACATTCTCTTTGTCAGGGTAGTTTTCCCGCTTCACTGCTACGGAGAACCTGTGAATTTGCAGGTTAGAGTTAAAACCCTTAAAATGCTGAAGCAAAAAGATGTTTTCAAAGAAGTTATCAGTCCCAGAAACCTGCTGGCTGCCTTCTATCACTGTTCTGTTACTTTGTTAAAACACATACATAGTACCTAGTACACCATCATATCACCATTTTGAGAAATAGACTGCACTAGATTAAAAAAATCGGCTGCATGTTTGGTCGTATTGTAAAACGCATTTAAATGTGGTAGCTTTATTGGGTGGGTGGCGCCTAGGACAAGATGACCCTTAGTTTTTCAGTGCCTGGGCGAGTGGTGCGCAGGTCAGGTTTTCGTAAAGGAACAGGATAGTGCCACCTGGATACAAAGCCTTTGCGCTGAATTTTCTGGATCACCAAGAGAGGAGAAGAACACTTTCCAGCCCTTTCCACTCCTCATTCCACGTGCTCTTTTTACACCACCTGTTTCTGCTCCTCTTTCTGGCCCTTTCCACCCCTCTCCGCTTTGTGCAGTTTCTCCCACCACCTGCATGTGCTCCTCCCGTTCCTACATGCGAGGTTCGTAGCTCAGTCGACAGTACGCTTGGCCTCCACACGTGTGACTGGGGGTTCAGTCCCTAGCACCAGTTCCCGCTTCTACAGCGGCAGCTGTTACGGGCTCTTCCTACCACTGGCAATGATGTCTGTTGTTGCTGGAATTGATATTGTAGTTATTGTCGTTGTTGATGTTGTAGTTGGCGTAGTAGGGCAAAGCATGATCGTCAATGTAGCCAAATCCTTAAAAAAGATTGCCCCCTGCCCGCAGGAATTAAACTGGAGACTGCTGCATGCGAAACAGAGGCGTTACAACAGAGCTACGCCACAGCGTTAGCAAACAAATTTATAGTTAGGGTTTCTGTAGTACCCAATGCTCACCACACACTTTCTCTGGAAGAAAAAAAACAAAAAAACAGTCGATAACAATATGTTGTTGTAGCACGAGCTCGTGCCGGGAGACTCGCTTTCATGTGCTCTGGAACATAATGGTCAGATGTCTATTTTGTTCCAAACGCTTTTGTTCAGGTGTGTGAACACGAAGCCGATGTCCAATGACCTCGCCGTGATGTGTTCCAGCTATCGCTATAACTGTACCATGGATTACCACACGACTGCTCAATTTTGTTTTTCAATATTGTTTAGCGGTCTTGGGTCACCAAGATGGAAGTGGGCTTTCCTGCCCTTTCCACTCCTCCTCGTTCCGCATATTGTTTCTACACCACCTGTTTTTTCTGGTCCTCTCTTTTTTGCCCTTCTTACCTTTCTCCGTGCTGCATGCTTTCTCACACCACCTGTTTCTGCTCCTCTTGTACTTGCATGCTGGGTCTGTAGCTCAGTCAGCAGCGCACTCGGCATTTACGCCGGTGATCGGAGTTCAATCTCAAACACCAATTTCCGATTTTTAGCAGTTATGGATTGACCTATCTACACATTTCATGCTTACGTGGCTCCTGAGGTTGGTTGGCCCCATAAAGTTACTGCTTTAAAACATGTCCACAAGGGAGTGTTGCTTGTTCAAAATGAATTGCAGCGTTATTGTCCCATAATGAAAATACATGTTAAAACTGCTACATTGATATTATCCACTTCACCCTGCCAGTTACAATGCCAGTCAAGTATTTTAATGAAAAACCGCACGAGGGCACTGCAAACCCACAAGCTGGAAATGACCCCAAAGAGTGCTGCTTCACCACACAGCATACCACTCAATGTTATGATCATATACCGGAAAGACCATAGCATAAAAATTGGCAGTCTTCTTGACATTTTCCCAAGACATTCTAAAAGCACAACGTTAGAATGCCTTTGCTTACATCTGACCAAAACCTCTGCCTGTGGCACACATTACAAACTGCACTAAACGGTTTGTCCGTGAACTGGTGCACAAAGTGCCGGTCGGCTCCTTAAAATGGCAACTGGCTTCCCATCGCTGCTTGGCCTGGCACTCCCGTTTTGCAGCTGCATCCCTCTTTACTTCACTGCGGCCACAGTTGCTACTCCCGCGCCGCTCTGATGGCGCACAAAGCCCGCAAGCAAGAGCCTTCATAACATGTAAAGGCTGCCTCCGGGGAAAACACACCGAGGAAAATCCCGGCTCCAAGAGCAGTCGCCGATTGCACACAACTCGTGCAATCGGTGATTCCAGGCTCCACACTACACAGTCTATCAAGGCCACACCCAAGACACACAAATGCTAAGAGCTGGCCCAGTAAATGCTAGGCATTAAAATTTTGGTTTCAAACTCTGGGGACTCACCTGAAGAGGGGCAGGTCGCTTCTGATTGGGCAGCAGCTAGCAGAGTAGCTGCCGCTCCCCTGGGTCAGGGGCAGGCACTGGAGAGACGAGTAGGACATCATGCCGAGGGCGGGACGCACCCAGACCTCCGAGTAGACGAAGGGCAGGGGCAGGGCGGCCGTCGACTTTGGCAGCAGGTGCATCTGATGGGGCTTCACTGAATCCAAGTAAAGCGGTGCATAAACGTTATGCCTGGATCTCTGCATAATGACTAGAACTAAAAAGTGAATTCAAAATGAGGAGCTTCTAATCAAGAGGTGTTTCGGTCAAAAACTAATTTTTCTTCTTTTTTGCGCAATTTTATGGAGTTACAAAACTGATGTTGCAATGCAATTGCAATGCAACATCAGTTTCTGCAATGTAGCACAACTGGAGCCAAAGTCAGCCATTATTTCCTCCATAAAGCATTGCAGCAGCTACCCTAATAAGAAAAATAAAGATTGGCAGTCTCTGGCATTTTCCAAAGGCGTTCTAATACCAGCATTTATAGGGCCTCAACAAGGCATGTAGTTGGGCTAATTGGTAGTACATACTGCTTGGTGGAAACAGCGCAAAAAAGACGTAGGACCAGGATGAAGAAACACAGACAGGGCCTCTTCACACTCCTTTTGCAGGCATGATGAGGATACCACTGAAGCACATTTTGAGTGTTTTCTGTGTTTATATATTCACATTTCTATGAATATATAAAGCTGTCAGTGTCCCATGACATCATAATGTGCCTTGTAGGTCAGTGTCACATGTCATTGTGCCATGTGACATCATCATGTCACATGATGCGAGTGTTACATGTCATAATGTCGCATCATAGTGTCACCTGACATTATGTGACCATGTGACATGATGTCAGGTCACGTGACCTCAGTGTTGCGTGATGTCATGGTGTCATGCGATGTTAGAGAGGTCCTATAAATGCTACGCAGTGTCACAGTGTCACGAACACTGTGATGTCATCGAGCCTACATCTGCAGACACAAAAACCCTAATAGCTGGCCCTATAAACGCTATGCATTTAATAACAAACAACAGGTTAACCATTACCTCCAGGAATTTCAAGCTTGAGGTCAACAGGGACCTCAACCCTGTTCTTTATCACCAGGGCAGAGCGGACAGTGATCAGCTTGCGGGCATTTCCATCCAGGGTCACGCTGAACACCACTCGTGTGATCGCAGAACTGCGCAGCTATTTTTGAAAGAGAAGAAAACGGGTTATTAAAGCTATATTTCGGTCATAAATATTGCCCCTGTTAAAAAACTGTCACCAACCTGATGCTCCTTTGGCATGGCATACTTGAAGTAAACCCCAACTCTGTCTACTGAGACAGGGTCAAGCTGTTGGTAACCGTCGACTCTGAGGATAAGCTGGTGCATCCGCAGTTCGTGAGAATCCTATCATAAAAAAAACAAGAAAAGAAAAAGAAAAAAAAAACAAGCAAGATGTGGTCAACCATATCAAGATGTGATGTCAACCATACCATTTCAACTTTAATTGCATCATCAACTTTCGTTTCTAAAATGCTCGGCTCCATAACTTTTGGAACCAATTCAACAGCATGTACATGCTGTTTAACAGAGTTAACATGGCAATAGAGATTGACAAATTATAAACTCTGGAAAAAGCAAAATAACATCTAGACACAGTCACATTTCTGCTGAAACTAATCTTTCTAAATACAGAGCCCCAATTATGATGCGTTAGTGTAAGCATCCTGATGAAACATTTCTGGAACGGCAGAACCACTCGACCTCATTTTTAACTTTTTCTACGCCTAAACTCACAGGAACCAGTTTTTATGGCTCCTTCAATGCTTGCATAGAAGGAAACTCTATGGCTACAACATGTAACCTACAAGGTTCAGGCAGCCTCACCTGATGTCTGAGCTTTTCTCGTCCCTGGAAAGTGAATGGAACCACCTGGCCCGGTCCCACACCAGTCCAGTCCAGTCTTGGAGGTACGGGCTCTTCTTTGCCGCTGTGAAGTACAGTGCATAAAGGCCTAACTCACAGGAACACTAAAAACGCTAAAGTGATTGGGCCTCAGTTTACGAACTAATCCTCCAAGAGAAGATTCAGATTCAAAGAGAGAGAGGATTGAGGTCTTGGCCTTGAAGCAACAAGGCTTTTACAGGGTGTGTTCAGATAAGGTCGAACATGCAAGTCCGGTTCGCATTTCTGTCTTACAGCGAAGCCATTTATGGCCAGGGTTCCATGAATTTTTCATCCCCGTCAACAAAAACTCGCACCACCCTCTCCTTGTCATCGTTTTAAGCACTTGCGTGCCTAGTTTCCTTCCACTCTCCCAGGCAGGCAGTACGTCCCACCGTGTGTGTCTACTTTCCACCAAGTGGCGGTCCCATTGTGTGTGTCTAGTTTCCCTCCGCTTCCCAGGGCGGCGAGAGTCGTCCACGTGAATGTATACAAAAAATTGGAAAGACAAGTTGCCATTCTCCATTTTCAATTTCATTTCTCTTCTCTCGTCACAATGGGGAGGCCGCATATAGTCCGGACTCCCGAAGAGCAACGCACCTACGAAGAGCAACGGTGGGAATGGCAACGAAAATGTCAGCAGCGGCGGTGGGCAGCAAACACCACCGATGGAGATCGTGCACAAAACGCCAAGAGCATGCGGCAAACCAGACAAGACGACGAACGTCGCGGGGCGGAGAACGCATCCCAGTGACGGCTAAATTGAACAACTTTAATGGAGCATACGCTAAATTTAAAAGGGACTTTCTGGACAGACAGTTTGGGTGTAGATGTAGGGTGTGTGATCGGCTGTGGTTCGACAATAACTTGACCAACATCTGCAATGTGCGGGATCCTGCAAAGCGGACTCGTGCGCTGCAAGTGTTGTTGGTGACCACTTCCACTTGATCGATGACCACCGATCAAGGCAATAAATGTGTTCGTACCACTGTTCAAAATTCTGAGTCCCGTCTGTGTCGTGTGCTAAACAGCTTCACTTGTCATCCACCTCCACAGAGTGGAACGGCTCATGACTTTTTCTTTATAGTTTTATATGTTACTCCCCAATATGTGGAGGGAACGAAATCACAAATGTATTTAAAAAAAACAAAACAAATATCTTTAAAGAAAATAAAAACATGACTGCCCCAAGACGGCAACACAGTTTTTGGGCTTTGTCGGTTCTGTCAAGTCTGACTGCATCTGTTAGGCAAACTAAAAATACCAAAAAACGTAATATTTTTCAAAGAGCAGTGAGTTATAGTTATTATATTCTTGAATGTTTACAGAATTCTAAAAATTAAATATTGCGCGTAAAAAATGCACAAATTCGACTGCTTTAACATTTTGACCCAATTTTTGTGACTCATTATCTCGTTATGTGTTAAGGATATTAAACTGAAACTTTTTTCATATGTCTTTTATAGAAGTAGCTCTTGTCAAAAAATAAATTGTTGCTCTACATTATAATTCAAATTATTTATGGCACTTCAAACATATCTGAAATTGAAAAGTTTCACAACTTCAACATCCAATTAAAAAGAATACCCATCTTCAATCTATCCAAAATTTGGAAGAATCACTCTCCTTCACACCCTCGTAATATTCCATTAAAGACATGTAGCATCATTTTTAGAGGTGTGCGAATACCAAATCTTTCAAAGCGAATTGAATCGAATAATAAAGGTTATGAATCAAATAGAATAGAATATTTTCAAATACGAATAGTAGTTTCAAATAAGAACACTTTTCAAAAACAAATATTTTCTATCTGATGTGAATTAAACAAGAATGCTCAATCAACACCAACTCGAAATTTTTTTTTTTCAACAAACATTTATGAAAAGGTTAATTCGTTTGCAATAAGAAAAATGTCACAAATGTGACTGATAAAAAAAAAATGAATTAAAAGATCAGTCAGTAAAACACCATTCAAGAAGTGAGGCTACAGAACGTAAACGAAAGTACACAAGCGGTAGCGGGTAAGCAAGCCACAATACGAAGTCGAAGATTGCGTCGCGCAGCTGCAGCGACCTCATGCAAAATCTTTTCACGCAGGTCGACGCAACCAGGTGGATGTGAATGGAAGTACAGTATAGACCACTTACAACGTAACCCCTTATAGTGCAGGACCGGGTATAACGTGGCTTTTTTAAACCACCGGTTCGCCTCCCATAGAACTCCACGTAATTACATACCGCCTAAAATGCAGGCGCGCGAAGGGAAATACCGGTTATAGTGCAGTTTCTGGAACAGCCCGCTGACCGCACGCTTCTCTGCGCGACACTAGATAACGACGCTAGCTGCGAGCTGCACTCGGCGGGGCAAGGAGGTTGCTCGAAGAAGCGGGGAGAAGCGAAGAGGGAGGCTTCAGTTGCCATAGCGACTGAGGGAGGCATGGACGTGTCGTAAACGCGCGTGCGTCCCTCCGCTGCATTGGAAACAACCGCAACGATAGACCAATCGCAGGTCGAGGAGAAGTGTTCGCGCGCATTGCATGCCGGTCACGGGCCGGCTGCTTCTATCCGCAAACATGGCGTCGGTTGTGATCGTCGCTCATCGTTCCGCGTAAAAGCGCTATCCTTGACCGTAAATTTTAGTTGTGTGTCGCTATGATAACCTAGCACGTACTAGAAGGGAATATCCACCTACTCGTGCGGCGATGTTGTGGCGGCACTCTCAAAACGGCAGAAACGCCCGTGTCGTCGTGTTTGTTACTTCGACTACAGTGGTCCTTTCTAAGCATTTGTGTTTTCAAACATCGCCCGGATTTCTTATTTGGAGCATTTCGTGCCTGTGCTCAAGTTGAAGGTATTACTGGCGCGTACCGTATAAAGGATGCGAATTTTCACGTGTTTTCATCGCCGGAGAAAAGTGATTAGGGTTAGCAATTCTGACGTTAGCAACGTCCGTCCGCAACCCGCGACGCCGTTAAAAGGCTGTGCCAGGCGAAAGTCGCTCATTTCTTTCAAAATGTGTGACACACTTGAGAGAGAAGTATGGTGAAATAAAGACTTTCCTCAAACTAAGCTTTATTTTTCATCTAACATAAAATAAATTGTTTTACAAAGGTAAGTTGTCTGATGGCATGTATTTTGGCCTGAAAAATTGATGTTTTGGTTATAGCGCGGTACCGCTTATAGTGCAGATTTTCGCGACTCCCGCGACATACGTTATATGCGGTCTACACTGTACGTGCACGAGCGAAGGCGGGTTGGCAAGCCCCAGCAGAGTTGGAGATCGTGCGATTGCACCGAGGTAGGATCGCACCGGGCAGCTGCACCGACTGCGCATTCACTTTTTGTGTGCAATAGTTCTGCTGATAAAGCGCGTCACAAAGGAGCAATAATTTAAGAATACGTTTTTGTTTTTTTGGCAGAGGGAGCAAGTCTCACTTTTATCAGTGAAAACGGGTAGAAAAAAACAACGAAAGGAATACTGGCAAACTGATGAACCGGAAAATCAAGCGGAAAATAACACGAGCCAGATATTGCCGATAGCCGAGGTCAGCCATAAATCCATATCCGAATCCATAGCTGCTCACTTCGATGTATGTGCCATTGCAAATCCTAATCCTTCATCAAATCTATCCCAGCGTTTGCACACCGACCACTTCGCCAACTCCACAATACGGACATCATGGCAAGCAAAGGACAGAGCGCTTACCACGTGCAAATACCTTTTTAGTGCTTCATACAAAAAAAAAAAGGAACTTAGGTTAGCTTTTTAGGTTGGCCAAGCTCGAAACCATACTGCGGAGTCCAAAAAAACAAAGTGATGAACTCTAACGCGAGTTGCCACTGATCAGTGAGTTCCGCATTTTTCATAGTTTTCGAAGTATTCGAAAAACTCGAATACAGTCAAACCTCGATGCAACGAAGTCGGTCAAATTCGGAATTTACTTTGTTACATTGTAATTTCGCTACATAGAAATTCGGGGAAAAAGTTAAAGGAAGTTTCCACAAATGTTTTTCGGGTGCACAAAACTCACCGAGGACACCTTTATTTCGGTTGAAAGTAGTCCGTCATCATCTTCTGGGCCACTCTTCACATCATTATTTGCATCCCACTACGTTCGCATAGCCAGACGGCCTGCATCGCGTCTTCGTCTTACCGTGTGCTCGCAAACCGCCTCAAGACATTGATTGCGTCCACCACTTCACAGTTACTGGGCACATCAGGCTCGCTGTCATCCCCGTCTTGCGAGTTACAACAAACATCGCTAGCTATCGCTTCATCAGTCCCCTCCTCAAATGCAATGACAGCAGAGTCGGCGTATAGAAAGTCGTCAAGGTCGACGTTGTTAGGGACGGATCCATCGCCTTGAAGGCTTTATCGCACAGGACAACAAAAAGTTAGGCCTTGAAACAAACTACGCAGCGCGAACGAAGCCGACGGACAAAACGGTGGCGGCTCTCGTGTACTCTAGTGGCTGTTCTGTGCACCACACTCACCAGATCCGGCCCGTTTCACCCTTTGCGCTTCATCGGTGGCCCGTTTCAGCGTGTGCTTCCCAAAATCTCCTGCCGAATTGTCCATGAAACTTTGTTACATAGAAATTTCGGCAAACGGGACTTCGTTCCATAGAGGTAAAAAATACACGGTGTGCATACACTTGTGGTTAGAATAAGTTATGCACTTCGTTACATCGGGTGTTTCGTTACGTAGAAGTTACATAGATGTAGTAAGACTTAACAGAACCGACAAAGCCAGAAAACGGCAACGCCGTTTTCGGGTTTTGCTTCGCTGTTCGGGTTCGTTACGCTCTTTTTTGAGAAAACATTTGCGATTTCGTTCCCTCCACAAATTGGGGATTAACATATAAAAATATAAAGAAAAACTTTCGGCCTTTCCACTCTGGTGAAGAAGGAAGACCAGCAAAGCACTACTCGGGTCAGACGACCTCAAGGACGACTTCTTGGATGGCTTAAGGGACGATGCTTAAGGATAACGTGAAGGACGACGTCTAGGACCACCTCAAGAACAACCTCAAGGACGACTTCTAAGACGACCTCGAACACGCCGCCTAGAGGACGACCTCAGGGATGACATCAAGGACGACGCCTAGGACGACGTCTAGGACGACCTCAAGGACGACTTCTAGGACGATTTCGAAGACGTCTAGGACGACCTCAAGGACGACCTTGAGAACGTCTGGGACGACCTAGAAAATGTGTAGGGCAACTTCAAGAATGACTTCCAGGACGACCTCTCGGACGACATCAAGAACAACCTCAAAGACGACGTCTAGGACGACCTCAAGAACAACTTCTAGGACGACCTTGAGGGCAACCTCTCGGACATCCTCAAGGACGACTTCTAGGACGACCTCAAAGACGACATCTAGGACGACGCCTAGAGAAATTCAGCCTTTCCACTCTGGTGAAAACCAAAGTGGTTTGGCTGGAAAGGTTGTCGCCATCTATGAGCAAGGCCGGCAAGCCGATTGTCTGGTTGCCGCCGTCGCTCATTGATGGCGTTAGCTGTCCAGAGTTTTGTGTCGACATTTCTTCGCGGGGGCCACGATCCTGGGGAAACTAGCCCCTAACAGCTCGGCTGTAAAAACTGTCGACCTTTCCACTCTGGTGAAGAAGGAACATTAGCGAAGCTGTACGATGGTGGGACGACGTCAAGAACGACTTCTTGGACGACCTCGAGGACGACGGCTAGAGGACGACGTCTAGGACGACCTCAAGGACGACGCGTAGGACCACCTCAGGGACGACGTCTAGGACGACCTCAAGGACGACGTCTAGGACGACCTCGAGGACACCTTCTAGGACAACCTCTAGGACGACCTCAAGGATGACTTCTAGGACGACCTCAAGGACAACCTCTCGGACGAACTCAAGGACGACTTCTAGGACGATGCCTAGAGAAATTCAGCCTTTCCACTCTGGTGAAAGGCAGAGTGAAAAGGCTGAAAAGTTTGCCGCCATCTATGAGCGACGGCGACAACCAGACAACTGGTTTACCACCGTCGCTCATTGATGGCGGTAGCTGTCTAGGGTTTTGTGTTGACATTTATTTGGTGACGGACATGAAACTGGGGAAACTAGACCTTAAAGGGCAACTCCGCTCAATTCTGAAAAATTTAGGCTTACACGTGATTCAAATTCACAAAGCACTACTAAACAACTCTACGTCTTCGGATTTGCCAAATGTGGAATATTATTTGTGTAATCCTAATTTAAACATCAGCTGATACCGAAACCGAAACTTTGGTTGCGTCAGGCAACTTTGGTCTCGTGCCGTCTGAGTTGTGGCCACGTCACGTCGAACCACGTGGTCTTGTGACATTCGTGTGGACAAGGTACAGGACACGCGACGCGGCAAGACGCGGGCAGGTCGCTTCGCATGGCGTGGACGGTGATGGCCCGGGGGAGGGGGGAAGGGGAGAAGACTAAAGAGGAGATTGGGAGCGGAGAAACAGACCGATAAGTGCTGGGCAGCGCAAACTAGCACATCCGCGTTACGGTGATGACGTGTACGCCTTTGAGCCAGCACCGGGAGGAGAAACTCATGACGTCATTGTTCAATTTCGCTCTGAGAAGTAAAAACAAACAAAACGTGAGAATGACAGTCATGCCTCTGACGTAGTGGCTCAACGTTTGCTGCTCCAACTCTGTCGCATTGAATGCGCTGACGATTGCGCCTCACGTCGCACGCTAGAGTTGGCAGATTTCGGCGACTTGGATCACTTGAAGGTTTGCTGACCAGTTTATTAAATATATAGATGGAATTCGATCGTAATATTTGACATGGGGTGTTCCTATATGATACTGAAGAGGGCTACATAGTTTTCTAAATATCGAAAATGAAGCGGAGTTTCCCTTTAACAGATCCGCTGTAAAAAGAAATGCAAACTGGACTCGAGTGTTCCATCTTATTTGAACACATCCTGCAGAGACTTGCAGACCTTGTAAACAATAATGCACACTACTACTAGGGGGAGTTTCCGGCTCATGGTCATGCATCTATCAGTGACTCAGATCTGCAGAAATAATTAGGGGTGTGCAAATACCGAATAGTAGTTATCAAAGCGAATACCGAATTGAATTAAGAAAAAAGAGCCGAACATCAAATTGAATATCAAATAGTAATTTTATTTGTAGGAATTTTTTCAAAGTGTCCTGTGAATGAGATTATTTTATGTGCAGAGTATGCGCCTGGTGCAGAATATGCATCTCGTACAAAACAAAAAATCAAATGTATAAAAATTCCGGTAAAAAAAAAACAGCTGCTGGTGGACGTTGGGCACTAAAGATCCTATTTTATGGCGCAAACATAATCTATCTGCCCTAAGCGTCACAAAAAATCCAATAGCTGCAGCCACGCGTGGCTTTTTTACTCGTTAAAAGCACGACCTAACACAGCGACATGTTTTCTTTTTTTATTTGCATATCTCAGAAAAGGGGCATTTTGCAATATGTGGTCTCAATTTTAAGGAAGAAAAAGGGCACCTGGAATTTCATTTCAATAAATAAACAGATAGGGGTTAAATCTGAGTAAACAGGCTTAAACAATATAATCTGAAGTAAAAAAAAAACATGTGGTTAGGTGGCGCAAGTCACCGTCCAACAACAGCTATGCATCCATTCCTCCGTCCATCTATCCTGTTTTAGAGAGCCTAGATTTAAAAAAGGGAGCAAGCGAAACTGAAACCACGGAGACGGCTCCTGCGCAGATTGATCGTAAGTGTGCATGTGTTGTGCTGTCGCGTGGAAAGAAGGCCAGCAAACGGAAGAGCGACGACGCCTGCCCGATCGATGCATTCGTCTTTTCGTCCCCTTCTCGCAGTTTGTAATTCAAGCGCGGCTATCGAACGGTTGGAAACCCTCTCAAATCTAGACACATTTTGTTTCGTTGCGAACCAGAATTTGCAGCTTGCGGTTCCAAAAAAATGACTATGATATCTTAGCTGGTTTCATCGGCGTGGTTAATGTGGTTTTCTTATTGCGATCTTGCAGTTGCCAATTTCTGTGAGTGTGGCAAGTGTGTTCTACATCGGCGCTTCAATTTGAAAAGAGGGGCTTTACTCGTGAAAAGAATTAGGCATGGCGCGGAATTCCAGCCTCCCAATAATTCCTCTCTGGAAGCGGCGCAAACGGGATGTTTCGGTTGTGATTCAAGGTTAGACTGCCGTCACGATCATGAGTGAATCTGCGTGCTATGAAGTTTGCGGCGTTCGTTACTTTTCTTTTTTCTAACCTATGCGTTAAATATTTGTGGAATGGTAAGACCAAGAGCTGTTTCTCGCATGTTCTGTCCAACATCACGGCGCTAACATTGGGAAAAAAAACGGCTCTCTTGTCAGCTCTGCGCCGACCATGCGCCTTTGGCCGAATATATCGAATATTCGAGTGACCAAATACTAGGGATTTGATTCGCGAATCGAATTATTCAGGAACTTGCTATTCGATTCGAATTCATATATTCGAGTATTCGCACACCCCTAGAAATAGTAGTGCTTCAAAACTGGAAAAACAATTTTGCTAAGGGGTAGGGACATTTGAGGAAATTTGGGAGGGGGACCAAGCAAAGATGCTCAGTGGAACCCCCGAGTCCTTGGGGACCCAGTTAAAGCTCCCATATAGGCTTCAGGTAACTGACTGTGTCAGAAAAATACACACCAGTATGTTGCTGACACAAGGGTGGCAAAGGTGAAGGAGAGTCCAAGGTCGTTCTTGATGGCAAACGGCACAAACGGCGAACGGCGTCTGACAGCCACCTCCCCATGAACATTTGGGTCCCTGCCATCCGGGCTCCTATTTTGGAAAGACAAATGTGCATATGCACAGGTGCAACCATCAGAAAATGTATGCATTCAAATGCAAAGGCAAAAGACTTAATACTATAAGACACTAATGCTAAAAAGTACAATGAGCAATACAGTTAGAATGGTTCAAAGCATGTACATCATTGCAAGAAGTGAAAGAAAATGTAGGCAAACTGGCTTGGAAACATGAATACAGTTGCCAACCGATTTTTCGGACACTGATAATTCAGACTACTTCGATATTTCAGACCCAAAGAAGGAACCGTGACCTATCCAATAGAAATAGTGCATATTCACGCCTGATGTTTCAGACAGCTTGAAGTCCGAAAGTTTGATTTTTCGGACAAAATCGTCGCGACCGACCAGTAGGAAACACCACTTAGAAGTGGCCATTTTGGATTCTATGGTAGCTGCACATGGATTGGCTTGGTTTGGCAGCACTACTTGTGTACTGCTAAGTCGTACCGCTAGGTGACGCTGTACGGCTTTTTCTTCTCTAGCTGCGTGTGTTGTTACCATTTTGCTTCGTTCATTCGCCATTGCAGACGTGGACTTGCACCTCTCATCTCGATCTCGTCTCAATTAATCGTGTTTTCGGACTATGCTGGCTTGGGACATCATTGCCCCATCTGTTCTTCCGCCGCCACGATATGTTGCTAAGAAGTGCAAAAAGTACTCAAACATAACGCTAGAAAAGAAGGCAGCAATTCTCAAGCTAACAGAAACTCGCCAAACACAAACGGAGGCGTAACCTGAAACAAGGTGTGCAGGCATAACCTGAAGCAAGGCACTACTGACGGCTTTTTTAAGCCCGCTTATATGTAATAAAGGCAAGTTTTTTTATTCTGCTGATTTTTCAGACTGCTCTACTAGTCTGACGTTTTTTTCGGTCCCTGCGAAGTCCATAAAAAAGGTTGGCAACTGAAACCCTGAAACAAGGACAAAAGAAAAACAACTGCTGTCTCTGTGTTTGTGTTGTCAGTTTTCTGTTCCTCCTTGTCTAAGGTGTTCTAACTATGTACACAACAAATGTTAAAAAAATTTTGGGCCACGAGTCACGAGAAAAAACAAATGGCGTCTAGCAAATGGTGTGACCAATGCACTTTAGACTTCGTAGCAAGTAAGCTGAAAAATATTTACTCACTTTTCTTTTGAGAAAAGTTCATACAGATCAGCAGTCCAGGACTGTTTCACTCTTTGGTACAAATCCAGAAGTGCTGTCGTGATGTTCACCTTCAAGACATCTTCAGCTGCAAAGTGGCAATGAAAACAGTATAATAAAAGGCATACTTATATAATAAGTAATTAACCCAAAACTGTGAATTTCAGGGTTAATTTCATTACGGTTCAAATGAAATGAATAACCTTGAATTTACCATTCACTCTGAAGCTAAACTTCGTCAGGCCTTGCTTGTCGAACGCTGCGTCCCACTGGCTGTTGCATCTGGAAGAGGCACAGCAATGCGAGAAAGCAACTATAAGACACGAAAGAACTGAAGATTCAATTATAAGAAAACAAAAGGACAATTGAAGGCAATCACACTACTATGCTTAGTATTGTCTTACGATGGACCCCAGAGGATGCTACGAGCCACCCAAGCCAATTCCGTGCTGTGAACGTTTCACGTGACTATGAATGCTGTGCATTGCTGCACTTCTCCCTAAGACTGTGCGACACTCACATGGCAGTGAGTTGGCTTTGATGACTTATAACTGCTGCAGTGCATTGCAAGGTGAAACAGATTACAGTAGAATTGTTAGAGGTACGCCACTAAGTCTCCATGCCCCAGAAACCAGCTTGTGACTCCACACTTCCGCATGAGTCTCATAACAAATAAACAGAAAAATGGAAACAGACAAGAAAAGCTTCAACTCACCTCCATGGCTCAATGATCGGCTCCCAACCCGACAGAGCCCTGTTGTAGTAGCCTGTGCTGAAGAAAAACTTGGACTCTCCACCGAATGTTGATGCCAGTTCCTGAGAAATGTATGTTTCTGCACAACGAAGAGAAGAAAACGATAATCACAAAGATCATATGAATTCCCTGCTCGAAGTCATCTCACAAAAATAGAACAAAACAGGAGCTTTATAAAAACCCAACGTCCTAAAACATCTTTTTTTTTTTTTTTTTTTGCGAATTTGAGTTGTGTCAAGATTACCACAGAATTAACTTTTTTTACTATAGTCATGCAACTTTTAGAACAAGAACAAATTAAACCAAAATCAAAGAGACAGCATACAAGAGTTCAGGGCAGTTGGTAGTGTCCTACCAGCAACCATGCATAAGCTATTTATTGTTTATTCTCCACATCATGCACAGTAAAATATAACATTCTTGTCTCTCTTAATAAAAAAAAGACCAAACAAAAATGCTCGAGGTACACCTAAGCACTTCTTATGAATTGTGAATGCGAAAGCGTGCACCATCATTCTTCCGCTCCCTTATTTCGTCTGCAGCGTACTTGCGTCGACGGACACGCACAGCGCCATGGGGTGGCCGGTCGTTGAGACTGATGCGCAGCGTCAGTTTCAACGACCGGCCACCCCATGGCGCTGCGTGTCAGGCCAGTGGGAGCCTCATCAACGCACACCAGCCAATGGGACTGAAGCCGAAAATCCATCAGCTTTACTTCGCTTTTTTGGGATCAGGGAATTTTGGTGCCGTTGGCTAGCTTTTCGCGTGGTTTCATAGCTGGGCTTCACTTGGAAAAAGGGTTTAAGGTGCCGTTTGGTGCGATTTCAAAGCTGATGATGTCGGCTCGCTCCATGAGACAGTTAATGCTTTCGCATTAAAAACATTGCCTCTGTGTGGCAACCAGTCATTACCACCTACCATACTTCAACATCATAGATCTTACACAGCATACATTAAAACTTAAAAAGCAAAATAAAAAAAGAAAAATCACTGCCTTATTCAACAAATTAACATACTCTTTCATGATGCTCAACACAGCAGCCCAGAATCAAAAACACTGCCTGCCTCTTTGGTAGGGTTGTGTGAATATTCGAAATTTCGAATAGTGGTTTCAAATAATACACTATTCGATATTCGCTTCAAGAACTGCACTATTCGCTTTTTTCGAAGTATTGATTGCGGCGAGTCAGCCCCGTTGAGTGCGCGCTTCTTACCAAGCACAGGTGCACTCAGGAAAAGCAATACCCACGAAAGCAAGCTCCACGGGTGATGCTTTTCTGCATTACACCGGTGCTCGGTAACAAGCGCACTCAACGCGGTAACCCGCCACGATAAACACTTGGAAAAGCATGAATATCGCAATTGCGTGTTTGGAAGAAAAGCATACATTCAAAGCAAGACGGTGCATGCGTGCCAGCTGTATTTGAAAATAAATGGAAACTTTGTGAATGTGTTTATCTACGTTGTAGTAAAAGTTTCAAAATTAAACTGACTGTTATGAAAGAGTATATTATGTTGGCAGAGATGCTCTTACAACCCGAGTTCATCATGCGCGATTCATTCTTTTTTAACTCAAGATTAAAGAAAGAATATTTTATGCAGCAAGATTTGTAAATTCACTCAATTGGGCATAGTTGGCCATCTCTATAGGACTCATGTTATGTCAAATCCGCCGTTTACTTCCCAAGCAGCACAAAGTTGGCCAATCATTGGCCAATGGCTGGCAATGGTCATTTGGCCAGTGGCCAGACAGTGGCCAGAGATTGGCCAATGACTGGCCTCTCTCCAGCCATTAGCCAATGGCCACCACCATCTGCCAAGCATTGACCAATGAATGACCACTCTTTGGCCATTGGCCAAAAGACTATCGCCAGCCATTGGCCATTGCTTGGCCAAAATCCGTGCTGCTTGGGTTGCCATCCCAAGACATCAGACCTTCTAAGGTCACAGTTCATAAATATAGATAGATTAAACTTAGCTTATAAATGAACAAATGAAACAACTTTCACAAGTTTAGCTGGGTTTTCATCTCAGCATTATGCAATGGTAGTGAAAGGCGTGAAAAAACTGTTCGATATTCGAATAGAAAATATTCGGCAAAACCACTATTCACTTGGAATTCACTCAAACTCAAAATCCACTTTTTGCACAAGTCTACTTTTTCGTATATTCCAAAGGCATTCAAAACGTATGAAATTTATGTGCCCTCTTTGTCTTGTGCCTGTTGCTCTCGCTACGCCGCCGCTTCTCCAACGTGTCACATTGTGACACGGTGATGTGACATTTGACGTAACATTGTGATGTCATGATGTCACCTGATGTGACATCATGACAGGGTGTCACCCGATGCCATGGTGCCCCATGTGCACGAGGGTCACATCGAGTGACGTCCCATTCTATCTAGGTTACATGTGAGCACGAACACGAAAACCCTGTAAATGCTGCGCATTTAAAATGGGCACGCATCGAGAACGGCCTCGCTCACCCCTAAGGTTGATCTCGAGCAGGGGGACATCCGCATCCATGCAGTCGTCAATGATGCACAGACAGAAGTAGGAGACCTTCAGCTCAACGGCCGAGACGTCCACGGATCTCTTGGTCGGGTTCTGCTCGGCAGGGCCGGCAAGGAGGTCAATGGCGGCGTTCTGTGTGAGCCAGATGGCCGCCTCGTCCACGTTTCCCTTGCACTCCTCCAGCCCACGAACGCAGTCTTCGTACGTGAAGCCCATTTCCCGAAGGCTGTCCACTTGGACTGTTTCTAACAAAGCAAAGATAAAAACACCTCCATAATACTGCCTCAATATCACCACCAAGGAGAAGATCACTGTGGTTGCTCTGGGTACCCAAAAATAAAGATTAATATTATTAGTAGTAGTAGTAATATTGTACAAGCTCCATTCTTTTTCAAAATGGATTTGATACACCAATAGTTTGTGGCAAGTGGACTCGCATTTTAAAGAGTAACTCTTACTAAAACTAAAACTTTGTTTTTGCTGCTACTATTATAACAGTTGTTTCCTAGGTAAATGAAGCTGATACTGCTATTAGAGAAAATATTTTAGTGATTAACTAAATCACTAGAGACTCAACTAATGATGCAGTAATCTGATCATTGCAACGTCAAACAATCAGCATGGCTAACTCAACTAAAAATTGAACACATATGAGGGTCAATAGAAAAGAAAAGACAGACTGTAGTGGCGTCCTGTTTGGTCGGATACAACTGGATTGCCTCAAGTCCAAACCACAACATGTCTAGAGACTAGGCCCATTCCTCTGCCCCATAGGCTCTGGGAGGGTTCCAGAGAGCGTAATCATCGGCTGATCAACAGTGCCACCGTGGTCAAATGAGGCAACACTGGGACGGCTAAAATCGGCAGCGCCGCCGGCGTACCCTCGATAGATTACGTTATTACCAACTCCAAGCGTCGTATTGTCACGCTCTACACTACCGACTGCTTTAAAAATGTGTCAAACGTTAAAAATATTCATGTGCATGCGTGTGTGGTTGTGTGGTTCTAGCATTAAAGAGTTTTAGTAGGTGCCCTCCTCGATAGGTTGAGACAACCCAAAACGGGAACTAGCAGAACAAAATTGAACGTCCTGATATTATGGCCAAACATAACTGAAAGCAAGTAGAGAAGAGTTTTTTATTTTTTACGTTTGGGAACACCTCAAAATTAGAAAAGCAAGGACTTCACCGAGCTTCCCTCCTCTACAAAAGCGAAACTAAAAGCACCCCCCCCCCCCCCCCCTTTACCCTCACACACTTTTTTTTTTCAAGTAAGCTCTTCCCAAATGAATAGCTGACCTCATTTTGCTGATCACCTTATTTCCAGTCCCCTCGTCGTCGTGTTGAAGACGATTGTGGTGTCCGAGGAATGTGTTTTTTGTGCAAGCTGGCAGTAGTTTGGACAGTGTCGCAAGCTGTCACTCGTCGCAAGCTGATGCTCGTTTTCATTGATTGACTATGCTGTTCTCTTTTACACAAACACCGTATGGATAACCTTTTCTCGTAAAGTACATATATATTTTTTTTTTTTTCATTTTTTGAGTTGTTTGTGCGGCGAGGACGAAGTTAGAACTTCACAGACATGGGTCGAAATAGAGCAAGCATCTTGGGCAGCTCCACGATCACGCTAAAGGCGCAAACGACAGTCCGCTCTATAACCGGTGAAGCAGAGAAAACACTCACTTCGGTTTTTGGTAACAACAATCAAACGTCTACAAAACGTCTTTCGATCAAGATGTGTTCGCGGAGCAGAGAGCAATGAGTGTCAAAGGACTAATCTGACTCTAGAGTCATCAGATCGAATACAAAGACAACGCCGGGCTTTGAGCACATTAATTTCAAATATAAAGTCAAATAGTGCCTTTAGAAATTCATCTGGTCAGGCAATTTGAACGTAATGCTTAATTTACACGTTTTACGGCATTTATTCATCTCCGTTGGCATTCTATTTTCCATGGCCTCGACGGGAACCTGTGAAGCTTCATGCCTGCTAAGCTTCCGGGGTCGCGACAGTCCGGTACTCAACGGTGCCTACCGCTTCAATGTTTAGTTTTCTGCGACATCCGATAATAGTGTTACGAATAAAAGACCGAAAACGCACGAATCAACACCTTCAAAGTGATGCCCCACGAGCAACCAGGCTGGCGAAAGGGCCTTCCCAGTGTTGCGAATATTTTGAGCTAAGTGGCGCAACGTGTCACACAAAACTTGATTGCCCTGAGGCTATAGCCCACACAGGGTTATCTATATTCTCTTTGAAGACTGCTAAAGAAAACACTAAACACTAAAGGGACCAACAAGGGTTCAACAAAAGAGCTAAAGTGTGTTTACAGCATGCTTTCTAGTTTAATTGACTTTTGAAATGTCAGCTGCATTGCCAATCATGACATGGACTACTATGGTGTATACACTTGACTACAATAGATGGGTGAAACATGTTGCTGGTTGCTCACTGGATTGCACAGGAATGGGGTCACAATTGCTATATGAATTTTAATCAGTTAAATATATGCTTAAAAGCACCAACAGCTATGAAGTGAAAAAAAAAGTGTCACACAAAATGTGAAAGTCCAGAACCACTAAGAAAGAGCGGTATTATTGAACATCAAGCAGGTGCAGGAAGTGATCCTTAAAAAAAGTGAGTTTTCGGTTTAAACGTTAAATCCCCTTGAACAGAACATAAAAAAAAGCATTCACACAACAAACGAAAGACAAACAACAGCAGATACTTACGCTGACCCTTGATGCCACCGAAAAAAGACTGCTTCGGAATAGAATCCAAGATTTTTAGAAACAACTTCACGTCATGGTAAGAAAGCCTCAGGTTCATGTTCATTGTCCCCACCTGAAACAAGATTTTTCCAGTTCATGGCAGAGGCCCTTCGGGCAGCGAATGGATAGTGTTGAAGACAAAAATGTTTCATCACTTTTTTTATACAAAACAACCACAGTAAAAATGCAGAGCCTCCAGAGCTATGCCAAGGCATAAAAGAAAGCGCCAACGTTCCAGCGCAAACATAGAACACGTCAGAAAGTTGCCAGATGTCAATGCAATTCCATCAAAATGCAATAAACCTATTTTTCAGAAAGACCATCTCCATTCTCTCCTTGCGACGTCACGGCAGCACAAAAGTCCCGGCTCAATCACTGATACGCAGTTTTCAACAAATGCAGAGAGCGTCCCTTTTGCAGTATGTGTCTACCTCCACCCCCAGGAACGACCAATTTTTGAGTAGACACCTTTAGAATTTCCTGCTCGGGCACACTTTGGCACTACGTCGAGACTACTTTTACAACTGCATAAGGATACTAGCCTATATTATTTGAAGCAGACAGAATCTCGTCCATCTCTTTCTGACAGGCTGCAAGTTACGAATGTCCAACAAAAATTCAACAAGCTTGCCCAAAGGTAACAATGAAATTAACTGAACATATTAATGTACATGTTATTTGCAACACCAACTCGCCTGCAAGATGTGAGAGGGCCCGGGAGCATGGGAAGTGGAAGGCCTCTCTACGAGGTCAATGTACACGCTGATGGGGTCCACGATGGACAATGCCGTGTCCTCTTCGATGCCCAGGATGCACGAGAACACTTCCAGGTTCTGGAGGTTGCACGACAGGGGACGCTCCACATGCTCCCAGTGGTACGTGAGCACTGCAGTGGACTGCAAAGAGGATGAGATGCAGAGACTGGTGCGTACTGCCACAAAAGAGTATGTAGGAACACTGCACTGCTTCCCCAACTGGCGACAAAAATGTGTAAAAATAAGCACGTGCTTTGGCATAAAAAGCATACTGGAAACGTAGCGCTGCCTACATATAACTGGAGGGTATGGTTTCTTGCAGTTAGTTTGTGTCAGCATAATGGTGCACTTGGTAATACACATACTAACACAGCTCAGTGTTGCTCTCATACTAATACAAACGTAGCATGTTTTAGAAGGTTCAAAGCACTAGTTTTCTACACCGAAGCCGTGCGCTTGTTCATTATAAATTTGGGATTACTATCGATCAGAAACAGGGGAAAAATAAGACCTATGGATGGAAATTGCTTTGGGTAACATGGAGTACATGTTTATCCGACATATTTCTCAATCTTGCAAAACAAAATTTCTTCACCGAGTTAAAATTTTTAAAAATTAAAGAAGCTGTAGCCAAGCTCTAATTCCTAAAACAACATAAAAAAAATTATCACTTCAAATCACCTTTAAAGGAAACGTTAAAGGGACACTGACAGGGTATTTATGCTCGCCGAGGTTTTTAGTTGTACGTGACATATGGGAGCTCAACTACCCAGAACAGAATTTGCGGCTCGAAATTCGGTTTCTTTCCGCCCGAAAACCGCCGATCAAGAACTGGCCGGTTCGAGTCTCGCTCACTCTCTTTTCCGCGGTCACGGGCCGTTTTCTAAGGTATCGATGCGACCACCAAATTTATTCAAAGTCGTGGGTCACTGAAGGCACACACCCAATAGTAAAAATAGAAAAAAATATGAAACCCATTTTTTGTGGCTTCTAAAAAGCTGTAAATACGTTGATTGAAAAAAAAAAGTTCCACAGACAACCGGAAGCATTCTGTGCGTTCGTCGTTTCGCGTATCGTGGGACTCGCGGGGACGGCGATGGCAGCGGACGACGGGCGTGGGACCTCTATTTCAGAACTGTCGTTTGCGGTACCGGCGAATTCTGTCTACCTTTAAAAGAGAAATTTGGGACCGATCAAAAGAATTGGTATTCATCCCGTACGACACGCCCGGCCACCAAGTCGATTTGCTCGAAGACGTCGCCGAGCCGTCGCTCCCTTCTCGTGGCTGATGAAGACAACGCTCGCGCAAACGTCAAGCACGACGTGTCTACTTCGAGTTGAATATGCACGCGTACGATTTCTTTACTAGGTGCGAATGTCCCCAAAGCGTGGTGCTTCCCGACTTCGACCCGGGAGTGCTTTTGCTAGAGAAAAATCGACACCAAACTTTCCAACTTACAGTTTACGGGCTGAATTATTACTAAGGGAAGAAATCCGCCGTAATTGTAATGCCCCAGTAGCTCAATGGGAAAGACGTTCGGTTCACACGCGGTAGGACCGGGTTCGATCCCCCGCGAAACTTTTTTTTTTTTTTTTTTTCAAACATTTTTTTATGTGTACATATCTTTTTTTTTTTTTTTTACAATCATCACTGAAGAAGCAAAAAAAAAAAAAAAAATGTTGTGGACGATACTTCGCTGAATTAAATGGTATGGGATTTCCGTTTTGACACTTGCGAACTCAATGTAATCACTTTCCACAAAATGCAAGGAGCATATAAATCAGGTAGCGTCCGCTTTCCGAGGTGCCCGTATATGTTCTACAGGAATTGCAGCCAGCCATTGGTCTCGATCCCGTTGATCTTTCGGAAACTCTGTCGCACAATGCCACTTTTTTTCGGATGCAGGACATGTGCCAGCCCTTCAAGCAACATCTTGGGTGTATTCTTTTCGGAGCCGATCATGGAAATTCACCACGGGCACTCACTACTCGTCTCCAACTCCTCAATGTACAAAACAACTAATCTTGGAGTACAGAACAACGAGCGGAACAAACATAACTGCAAAATAATCGCACGGCGAGCAGTTCCCGCACGCCGCATCGCACGCCGCATGTCATGTCGTCTGCTACCGGAGAGGAGAAAAACAAAAACATAAAAACGCACGGTCGGGTGTAGCCACGTGACTTCCGCCACTCACTCTCTTCTCTCCACTTCTCCGACCTCCGTCGGGTTTCGGTTTCGGTTTCGAGCAATTGCGTCTTTTGGCTTTATTAAAAAAATACGCTACTCTGTTGCAAAATATTAATTGGGTAGTCCTCTGACACCATAATGAAGCGCCTGGCAAAAAATAAAAAAAAATTTTTGGGGGGTGTCAGTGTCCCTTCAAGATAATATATATAGCAGGTAAAGACTGCTGGGTGGTTTCATCTGAAATCAAACACACTTGTCGGGGTGGGTCCTTCGATTTTTATTTAAAAAATATATGTAATTGTCCCATGTCTGGAAAGAACAAAACCGCTTTTCAAAATATTTTAAAAAAATATTTTGTTTCACAAAAAAATATTGAGTGGAGCAGGGGGAAAATATGTTTTTTACTCCGTGATTTTTCTACCCAGTTCTGTACGCTGGTATGAATACGGAAAGCATACAAAACTCAGTAATTTTTTGTGCTGATGTATGTTAATCCGACTATTTTTTAGTTCAAAGGAAAATACTTCTGTACTTTTGTTTATTGCAGTAAAAAATGTCAAACATCGCCTCTTTGACAATCCGGTGAATTTACCCGCTGCATTTGAACACAAAGTACTGTAAAATTCCGAGAGATGCCCCACCCCCGAAAGATAGCCCACCCCTATTTTCGGCTTGATTTGCTATTTTTTTTTAAACACCGAAAGATACCCGACTCCTAGTAATAGTAGTATTGGGGTCAATGATGACCTCGGCATAAATGCGCCTAGTTAGCTATGGCGGAATATAAGCGAACGTTGCTAGCTGGGAAGTACAGTCATCTTTGCTTCGTTGCCCCTCGCCACCGTAACAATCTTGAAAGGAACATGACCTAAAAATAGTAATGTTTTAAAATTTTCTTCGTTGTACACCGAAAGTTACGTCACTCCATATTTTCACCTGATTTGCTCTTGATGTTAGGTGGGTTATCTCTCGGGATTTTACGGTAGTATAGTCTTTGCAGTGAAGCCGACCTGCGGAAACTGCGTTTGGCCGTTCCGAGAAAGTGGGAGAGATTTCAATCACTTTTAGAGAAGATACAACAAAAAAAGGGAAAATTCGCATCAAGACAATTGAAAGTTCATATGATCGGCAGCAATAATAAAAATATTGAACGAAATAAAAAATGGCCTTTTTTGATAAAGTGGGTTCAAAATATAGGTTAATCTCATTTTCAACGATATTTCAAATTTTATATAGAAAATTCCGAGAAAATAAAATAAACTAAACTTACGCCCGTCGATAGCCCATGTATAGGACTACACCTGAATAGTATTTGGTAAGCGACAAACATAATAACTCATGAGTTACAAGGCTCTGAAGATGTCACCGGATTGTCAAAGAGACGATGTTTGACATCTTTTACTGCAATAAACTAAAATACAAAAGTATTTTCCTTTAAACTACAAAATAGTCGGAATAACATACAAGAGCAGAAAAAATTGCTGAGAGTTTAGTACGCTTTCTGTATTGATACCAGCGTACAGAACAGGGTAGAAAAATTACGGAGTAAAAAACAGATTTTCACCCTGCCCCCCTCAATATTTTTTTGTGAAACGAAATATTTTTTTTAAGATTTCTGAAAAGCAGTTTTGTTCTTTCCAGAAATGGGGCAATTACATATATTTTTTAAATAAAATCGAAAGACTCACCCCGACAAGCGTGTTCGATTTCAAATGACACCACCCAGCTATAAACAGGACTCCTTCGGAGAAATGTAATTTAAATGTAGTAGACAACATGAATTACTCCGAACCAACGTGACAATAAAATGCTACCTTCAGAATGACTGCGTTTGTGTCCCACGCAGCAGTGTCTTCAACGACAACTATTTCTGTGTCAGTCATGTTCAGTTTCAGCTCCAGTGGAACCTCCACCGCTGCCGCTGCCGATGCGTGGCGTTGCCGCTAGTGAAAATGAATCTTTATTAGTTTCAAAAACTACCAATATGCATGCAACAACAGTGTCACTCCTAAATGGCAGCTTGACTGTAGCGGAAAAGTACTTGACGCAACACAAGAGGAATGAAGAAACCTGCGTATCACCTTGGGAGCTACGCTGTTTCTCGCAAGTGAGCTCTGGCGCTGAAAAACAGCAGAGCTGGTGGTGGCTGGGCCTGCTGCAACGATTAAAGCACATACAAACAAAACATTTAAAAAAATGAGACGTTTACAACTCCCTGTAATGCCGAAGCAGAGCACAGCCGTTTAGGAGGAGGAGGGGAGGGTACAGAGGAGGGTATGCCCCTCCTCCTCCTCCTCCTCCTCCTCCTCCCCCTCCTCCTCCTCCCTCCCTCCCTCGTGAAATTACTCGTGAAGGCCTCGTGAAGGTCATGACCTTTACGAGTGAAGGTCACGTGAAGGTCATGACCTTCACTGTGAAGGTGGTGACGTTCGTCGTGACATCATTATGGAAGACGTCCCATAATGCAACACGCAATTACACTGACAGCGACACCGCTCAAGCCAGAAATGGCCGCCTAAGAGCTGCGCTCTAAAAACAAGTAAAAGGGCCAATACTGTAAACCTTTTTATTATTGAGACCCCAATTTTTTTTTGCAGATAGGTCAGTTTTTTTATTTGCGACTATTAAGTTTTGCTAATTCTAAAGTCAGAAATTTGACTGTCTGGACCAAACTTTTCTTTCTCAGAAGCCCCACCGCTCTTGGTTAATGGCAGAGGAAGCCCTCGTGATCCCGACATTCATGCAATAAAGCGATGGCGAAAGCTACGGAGCTTGTAAAGAATAATGCAGATATACTTAGGGAGTGCTCAGCACCTAGTAATGCATTAGGAGGTGGCTTAGATCTGCTAAGATTGTGCTTAACTCCTTAATTGCCACATTTTTTTCCCCAAAAGTACCATAAAAGAGCCAATTTTTTTTATTTTAAATTTTTATTCCTCTAGTATTACACGTATATTTTGAAAAGTTTATTACAAAAAAATCAGCGGAGGCGAAAAAAATATTTGCCAACTAATACGAGTGCTGCCCATCTATGATCAGCGCCGTGAAACTACACGAACGAGCCTTGTTCATCCGTGGAATTGAAGAATACCGAAAAAACCACTGGACGAGCTGAGCTCGTCCATGGCATTTTTAGCCCAAAAATGGCCGACGAGCTCAGCTTGTCCAAGGCATTTAAGGGGTTAAGGGGGGACATGGGCCTAAATTTCAAACTACAGTAAAACCTCGTTATAACAAAGTTGAAGGAGCGATCATAATTATTTCGTTATAACCATTAGTTTGTTATAGCCAATGTCCATTTCTTCCCTATTAGCAAGCAAGGGGAATTAGGATTGCTTTGTTATATCCATTAGTTTGTTATATCCCATTTTGTTATAACGAGGTTTTACTGTATTGGGAAAAGATTCAATTTTCATTTTTGAGATTTTCGGTTTTAGAAACTAATTATACATCCTTACACTAAATTTGATAACCATATGCCAAATAGTTAAGTTTATATAAAATATTTTCAATACATTATGAGGCAGTAACAAAGTAAAGGAGTTCAATGTTTGCATTTTTCTCAGTTCCACTTTTTGCTGTGCAAATTTTATAACAAGGAATCTTTTGTTCAAAGGTAAAAGTATTCCGATACCACAATCAAGATGTTCCTGAACTGAAATTTACTGGGGAATTGGGCTTTTTACTTTATTTTGTTTTAAGTTGAAGTCCACATTGAGAAAACACTGTTTTCAAAAATTGACATAGGACAGATATGCATATCTCATATTTTTAGGTAATAACTCTTCCTGAAATATTTACATTTCAGTTATAAAAACTAGATAGCCCGAAGTCCCACATCCCCCACTTTATATTCAAGCAGTCAAAATGGTGCTTAATAGCTTCGTTTGCATATCATAGATTTCTTAATGAAGAGTGGCACATCTTCTTATGCGGGTGTATTAAATTGTCCTAGAGAGCTGAAAGTTTGCACCATACACATGGATCTGATGTTAAATCTCCCCTGTAAATGTTATTCCAATCAGATGAGTAGTTCAAAAGTTAAGCCAGTGTCCCCCTTAAACTAGGAAAACGTTTGACTCTGCAGAAGGGATGGTCAAAAAAACTTGGAAGCTCGGGGTACCTATGGGGGTACTTTGGGGAACCCCTGGGTTCCTAGAAACCCAACCTGAAAACCTGTGCTTTTGACAATAAAGCTATTTAGCATGCCATTAAAGTTTGCAAATTTTCCACGCTTTCATTAAAATGTGCTGCAAAAAATTACAAATAATGACAGTAAGACTAGAAAGATGACGCGACACGACGGGGTTGTCCGCATAGTCTCAGTGTCATTATTTGTGATCCTTTGCACCGGAATTGTAATCCTTTCCAGTGCAAAACTAACTAGTAGCCCAATCCCAAGCACTGTTAAATTTTATAATTAGTGAAATTTGAAAAAATTGGGGGCTCGCAAGCATTAAGGGTTTTAAAGAATGTTTCTCTTACTGGCAGCGTCCTGGGAGCTTGTGTCAACAGACAGGAAGTCGGAGAGCTCGGTGATCCAGCTGAAGACGGCCATCACCCGCATGTTGTTGAGCAGCACCGTGAAGCGGCCCAGGTTGTGCGTCACCCTGTAGTGGACCTCTGCCTGGAGCACCTTGCCCTGGGCAACATTCTTGGTGGGCTGGAGGATGTTGGTGAACACGTTGGGACGGTTGTTCACAGGGGCGTCTGGAACACAAAGGAAAAGTAGCGAAAGGTTGTCGATTCCAGCGTTGAGACACATTATAATACTACCCATGTCCAACTATGCATCTTGATAAAATTAGCACAAAGACAAGGGAGCAAGAATGTAGAGAGAGGATAGAGCGCTCTTCCTCCTTGTCTTTGCACTAATTTTACCAAGATGTATGGTCAACTAGCCCAACAGATGATTTTGATAATATCCTACTATGCCTAGAGCTCCCCTTTAATAATTAGGGGAAGACACTACCCAGAAGGGTCGACTTTTGAATGCCTGGCTAAAAATGACTGAAGTTACTCGAGTAAATGCGGTGGTCATTAAACCAGATGACCAATCCACGCCAGGAAAGTTAAAATCTCCAGATATATGTACTTTAAACTTTGAAAAATCAACTTGCTCTTGAAGTACTTTCAAATGGTTGGCAAACACAATGAGATCTGATAACCGAGGGAAATAATTCTCAATAAGGTATTTAAAACCGTCACCGGACATTAGTTTGACCCACACACATTCCACGTAGGATTCCATATCCCACCTTCTGATCGAGTTGAGCGATTCGCGCACCGCAATTAATACACCACCACCAAACTTCTGTCCCGTGGCACTGTAATCTCGATCTTTACTATACACGTTATAAAAAGATTGAAAATAACTTGCACATAAAACATCTTCTAAAAGCCAAGTTTCAGTTAAACATATAACATCTAAATTTATAGAGACAATACTGGTCATACATTCATCTGCTTTCGTCTGCAGACCGCGAGTGTTTTGATAGCGGCACTTAAGGTTCCTGGCCATTTTTATTTGTACTAGGGTTATTCTGCTTCCTGAAAAACCGGTGAAATATGCATCCCTATGGCCACACGTTTGGGTTATTAATCGCTTCAAATAGGTCTTTGGATACAGAGACGTGAAAAGATAAGTAGAAGGGGAATTTTGTTTTCAGCTTCGTGCAGCACACAGATTTTCCAGATAGAAAGGCTCAACAAGAGAAGTAACATCCACTATTGTTGTTTTGGGGTCGAATTGGGATAGAAATAGGGCTTTTTGAGCCGGCGGACGAGGTACAATGGTCACTTTTTATGATTTTGATGTCCCAACCGATGGCTTTTGTCGTCGTCGAGGGCCCATGAAAGTAAATCCATCTTCCATGATCGCACTTGAACCTTCAGCCCCTTGAAGCTTGCCGGCGCTTCGTGTGGCACGGTCTTTCGAATTGTAGTTGTATTGGTTTCCGTTGTGTGGTACTGTCGACACGGGACCAGTTCTTGCACTGACGGAAGTTTGGGCCTCCGTGCTTACACTTTCTGCCCTCTGTCGCAGATCATAATTTTGTCGCAATGATGCAGCCGCCGAGTAGCTCAGATTCTGCTGTTTTGAATCCGGCACTTGCTGGGTCAGTAGCTTGCGCAAGTCACAAACTTCGGAACGCAGATGACTGTTATCTGCTCGTAGGCACTTGATTTCAGTGGTTAGCACATCCAGCTTGATATTCAGCCGTTCCAATGAGAATTCCAGGTTACACGTAGCGCGCTTGGGCTTGGCTGTGTTGGTTAATTCACAAACCATATTGCCATCCGTGTCTGACTCAGACAAGTCCGATATACCTTCAGAGTTAGGCTTATCCCTGCAAGCCTTTCGGTGCTGCCGAGTACAAGCGCTACACTTCTACACACTTTTTCACAACGCCATCACAACGTTATAGTCTTCAAGGCCGACGACAATACGGCTACATTTAATGCGCTAGGATCTGAGAAAAAATGCGTCCAATGTTGACAGAAAACTCCCCATTGGTTGTGGCAAATATGATTGAATAAAAATAAAAAGAGGGGGCAACCAGCGTGAGTCAGCCTTCCTTGGCATTATTAGATAGTGAGGTCCTTATCCCTTGTTATCATTTCTATGCATCGTCCTCGAGGTTGTCCTAGAAGTCTTCCTTGAGGTCATCCGAGAGGTGGTCTTAGGCGCCATCCTAGAAGTTGTCCTTGAGGTCATCCTAGACTTTGTCCTCGAGGCCGTCCTTGAGGTCATCCTAGAGGTCGTCCTCCAGGCATCGTCATGGAGGTCGTCCTAGGCATTCTCCTAGACGATGTTCTCTACGCGTCATCCTCGAGGTCGTCCTAGAAGTCGTCCTTGAGGTCATCCTTGAGGTCGTCCTAGACGTCGTCCTCTAGGTGGCGTCCTCGAGGTTGTCCAGAAGTCGTTCTTGAGGTCGTCCTAGACGTCGTCTTCTAAGCATAATCCTAGACGTAAAAAAAAAAAAAAAAAAAACAGCTTCGCTGGTCTTCTATTTTTACGTGAAGTGGAAGGGCTCTTAAATTTTTTTTTGTCTTGAGACAAGTTGAGTTTGATTTATTCCCAAGTGGATTGACCAACAAGGCCAGGACTGTGTGCTTGCTCTTTTGTTACAGCAATCCCTCGTTACGACGAAGTCAACGAAACAGCAAAAAAATTAAATAAAAAAAAAATTCAACAAAATTCACTTCAATAAACGCGATTGAGCCAGAAAAACAGTGCCAGCAGCCTTGAAGGTGGACGGGAACACTGTGGAACACTCTGACCGTACATTTAATCAAACAAACCTTAGTTATGAACATCCCGCGGAAGCTTTACCGAGTAGAAAAATAATTACGTGGTGTTTGACGATAATTTCATCCAGGCATCAGTCCTCCTTGAACTGCTCCAGGCATTGCATAAACAGTGCCACCGTCGCTGCGCTCCACTTTGTTTCGAAGCAGCTGTAGGATGTTTCGTGTCTGCAGTCGTCTCCCGAGGTGCCTCTCCGACATCGCTTCATGTTTACCCTGGCGGCACGCAAGGTCTACAGTCGCAGCCTCCATGGCGGGAGCAACAATGGAAACGACCGCATCAACAAGTGCGAAAGAATCAAAGTTGTCCTCGGTGGCTTTGCCAACATTTTTTCACATTCCTGCAGAGATCGTTGTGGCTATGAAAATCATGCAGTGGCTCGGCAAGCATGCTAGCGAGAGAAAATCATCCAATGTGCACAAAGCACTTGGCAATCTTTTTCATCTTCGGGTCGTGGCCGCGCTTTCTCCTGCATGAGAAACTTTCTGAACCTGTCCGATGTGCCTTGCTTGTTCTGCAAGACGGTGAACAGTGGTGAACAGCCGATGCCGGAATGTAGAATTCTTTGGCGATTTCGGATTTTGGCCGGCCACTCTTTTGGGCCTCGCAGATCTCAGCGACTTCGGTAAATGCTCCCAATCTCCCGTACGATGCACGTGTGCATGTAGCATGCCGCAGGTGCGTGCACACTCCTTGATCCGATTCCGACAAGAGTCGGGCAGCATTGACTGCGGGCGCAGTGAGCAGCATCAGAATGGTGACGCTGCACCCGCTGCTTCCTGCCCACGTCGGCGCATCAGCATCGGAAGTGGCGCTCGGCCAGCTCTGCGCGCTCTGCCCTCCGTCACCCATTTACTTTGTTTTCCCAGACTGCCATCTGCCTCGGGAATGTAAGGGCCTCCCGTGCACCTCCACGTCGACTTGCATGCTTTCGGCACCGTGGCCTTTGTAATAAGCGTGGTCGGCCGCCGATACACTTCGAATAATCTGGTTAAAAATGTGTGCATTTCAGTTGGGACCACGTGTAACTTCGATAAAAGTGATAATTCGAAAAAAGCGATTTCATTACAACGAGGGATTACTGTACACTGAAAAGTGCCAGCATGTTGGAGGCGCAGTGCCATCTTAAATTGTCTTCTTACATCAAGTAGAGGCCCAAAGATAAAAAAAAAAGTCAATTAAAGCTGAAAATGTATTTGGCAAAGAGACGACCTTACAAAAAAAAAAGCGGAAGGCTCGAGGACCCTTCTCTAGGAAGCCTCTGGGGTGTCACAGAAAGGTTCAGCTGCTTTGCCATTGCTGGTTTCTTCTTTTCTTTTTAATGCAAAAGCATTAACTGTCCCATGGAGCGAAGCCGGCATTGTCTGTAACCGTCTGAAGCAGAAAAACGGCACCCACAAGCGGAATTCCCATTGGCTGCGACACATCATATCAGATGCTTTGTCATGGACGCCGGTGGGCCACTCAAGGTCAAAGCGGACGCGCCTCAGAAATAAAACACAAAGTAAAGCATAGCAACACAGTAGCATTGTCACGGAAGCCGTGGAAATGGCGGGTGCACCGCGCCTGCGCAGAGGGGGAGAGTGATGTCAGCGCCGGCACACCGTGTGAAAAAGAAAAACGTGGCGCGCTGCTTGTAGGAATGCGCTGCGTGTAGGAATGCTTTCACATTCCTACACGTAAGCAATATTGCATGTCTCTGCCAATTTCTTTTTTTTGCCCCAAAACTTTTTTTTTTTTCATTTCAGTCTATGATGGCCCTCGGCATTTGGGGAGTGGGCTATCTGGCCTCTTTACTGGAATGAGCTTCAGATCCCTGCTATAAGGGATACACCAACATTGTTTAGTTAATCTACCTTTAAAAAACTGATGTACTGCCCACCATTTTTCTTCACTACATAAGAAACAGAACAAATGCATGAAAACAGCAGCCAAAGAAAATATTGTGAACTAATTTGTATATCTATAATAACATAGTTGTGCGAAATCAAACTTTCTGGTATTCTATATCTTTCGTGAAACTTCAAATTTTCATTAGACATCCGTAAAGTAGTACCAAAAATATTTCACAGGTACATTACTCATTAAATCTCAGTGAGAAAAAAATGAAGATTGAGCTTTAGCCCCATCAACAAAACGTTTCCAGACCACTACCGTTTATTTAGCACTGGAGTGCTCCCCCAGAGAATCGATCACGTCTGGTGCTCACCTTTGAAGCGGGTGTCAGACACGCGTATCTCGTGCGACACCAGGTCGATGTCATGGCTTTGGTCCGAGTAGCACTCGAGGGTGAGCCGCGACCGGATCAGGTCGATCTTGGCCAGGGCAGCCTCTGAGTTGGCGCAGTTGGGCCTCGGGTGTGAGCGCACCAGCTCCAGCGTTACATTCTTCAGGTCCATGTAGATTGCCAGGTAGGTCCAGCTCTTTTCAGACTGACCTCCCTGAAGGAGCAAGTTTTAAACAATTGAAGCACGTCTCGATCGTATTCAATAAACTCTGAAATTCTTAGAATATGTTGCAAATGAGCTGGGCACATGCTGTGCGTGTGACGTCATGTGACGCCACGAGTTCACGTGACTCCACAAAGTCGCGCGACACTGATGACACACTGTCACGTAACACACTGGTGAAGGTGATATAATCAACGTAGCCCCTATGTAGCTATTATGATGGTCAAAGTGGTATATGGTTGATGGTTAAAGGGCAACTCCGCTTCATTTTTGATATTTAGAAAACTATGTAGCCCTCTTCAGTATCATATAGGAAGACCCCATGTCAAATATTACGATCGAATTCCGTCTATATATTTAATAAACTGGCCAGCAAACCTTCAAGTGATCCAAGTCGCCGGAATCTGCCAACTCTAGCGTGCTACGTGAGGCGCAATCGTCAGCTCAGTCAATGCGACGGAGTTGGAGTGGCAAACGTTGAGCCACTATGTCAGAGGCATGACTACGTCATTCTCACGTTTTGTTTGTTTTTACTTCTCAGAGCAAAATTGAACGATGACGTCATGAGTTTCTCCTCCCGGTGCTGGCTCAAAGGCGTTCACGTGATCACCGTAACGCGGATGTGCTATTTTTTGCTGCCCTGCGCGCTTATCGGTCTGTTTCTCCACTCCCAATCTCCTCTTTAGTCTTCTCCCCTCCCCCCTCCCCCAGGCCATCACCGTCCACGCCATGCGAAGCGACCTGCCCGCGTCTTGCCGCGTCGCGTGTCCTGTACCTCGCCCACACAAATGTCACAAGACCACGTGGTTCGACGTGACGTGGCCACAACTCTGACAACACGAGACCAAAGTTGCCTGACGCAACCGAAGTTTCGGTTTGGTATCAGCTGATGTTTAAATTAAGATTACACAAATAATATTCCACATTTTGCGAATCGAAAGACGTAGAGCTGTTTAGTAGTGCTTCGTGAAATGGATTCACATGAAAGCCTAAATTTTTTCGGAATTGAGCGGAGTTGCCCTTTAAGGTGCACACTGGTGAAAATGATGTAATCAATATAGTCCCGGTGGGGCCATATTGATTATATCACCTTGACTAGCGTGTCACATGACACTGACATCGCGATGCGCATCTGTGGCATCAGTGTTGCGCGACTTTGTAAAGTCACGTGACCTCGTGGCGTCACATGACGTCACGCGCACAGCATGTAACCCTGACAAACCTGTCGGTAGAACGTAGCGCCCTAGTGAAACGTGTCACATCTCTTACGAAACCCAGCCCCGTCGCGCATTTTGTGTTAACACATTCTGTCGTGACATGCCCCCTTCACGAGTGCCCGAAGAGATTGGTCCACGGTGCTCCATTCCGATGAGCAATGCGTTCCTGGAATTTCTCTCGGGGAAGGAACTGACCTGTTCGGGAAAGAGCTCGACCAGCAGGGAACCGGAAGCGGAGGTGCGCTCCACCCTCTCCCCGAGGTTGTGGTTCAAGATTCCGTGCACGAGCCTGTACTGACTGCGATCCAGCGTGAAGTGCACCGAGGAGAAGCTGCCTTGCACCGTCCAGTCGGGCACTGAGTGAAAAGAGAGAGATCCCAACTGCTTGACAGGGAAGAGTATGATCGCGAGAACAATCGCAAAGAAAGAAAGCCGACTTCGGACGGAAGCCCCCAAACAAAAAGCGTCACTTCAATCGTGAAAGCTAAATTCAATATACTACCAAAATAAGATTGAAACAAGAGACGTAACAGAGGTAAACTAAGTTGATGCATCACAGTTACAGTCGCCGACCAATTTATCGAACTCTATGGGGATTGCGCAAAAGTTTAAATAACCAGGCAGTTCAAGCAGGATGAAAGATTACATTCCATGCAACTTCAGGTAGTTTGGACTACTGTCCACTTTCAATGCAGAATGTGTTTTATGAGTTGTTTTCATGAGAAAATTGTCGTGAAAGAGCGTCGTAGCGAGCAAAACGTTGGGAGCGTCACAGGCGTTGAAGTTACATAGAAAGTGTATACATAAAGCTCAAACTCCGGTGAAGGTCGAACCTGGGCCAGTTTGGTGCAGTCGCATACTATAGTCACTGAGCTACTAGCAAAGCTGGTCTGGAAAGGTAAACAATTTTATTTGAATGCAAAAGTGCCAGCAAGAGTGGCAAGTTTTGAATGAAAGTAATAAAAAATAACAATAAATAACGAAACATCTACATGAAAAATGAAAATAAAATAAAGCAAATATAAATAATATATAATAAAATTATAATAAAATAACGAAAATAAATAAGATTAAAAGTCAAATAAAAACAAAATAATAAGTAACAAAATACAATCAACAAAATACAATCAAACAAAATACAATCAACAAAAAAGTGAAAGCCGTTTACAATTCCCTGTAATGCCAAATTACAGCACAGCTCTAGAGGAGGGGGAGGGAAGGGTACGAGAAGAGGGTATGCCCCTCCTCATCTTCCGTACCCTCCTCCTCCTCCTCTCGTTCTCCTCCCCTCCCTTCCCCCTTCCTCGCTCCATCCTCGTGACATCACTCGCAACCCTCGTGACGTCACTTGTGAAGGCCTCGTGAAGGTCGTGACCTTCATGAGGCCTTTATACGAGACCTTCATGGCCTCACTCATGACGTCACTCGTATCTCTCGTGACCGTCAGGACATCACGTGTGATGTCATTATGGGAAACGTTCCATAATGCAAAGCGTAGGTCATGAGTGACGTCACTGGTAACCCTCGTGACCCACGCGTTGCATTATGGGATGTTTCCCACAATGACGTTACTCGTCGCCGTTGTGACGTCAATCGCAATTCTCGTGACCATCGTGACATCACTCGTGACCCTTGTGACGTCACACAGGATGTCACGTTTGACGTCATTACCGGAAATGTCCCATAATGCAACACGCGGGTCACGAGTGAGACCCGTGCGTTGCTTTATGGGACGTGTCCCATTATGCAACGTGCAGTTATGTGGACACCGACAGTGACGCCGCTCAAGCCGGAATCGGGCGCTTAAGAGCTGCACTCTAATGAAATTAAAATAAGTAGAAAGAAAAAAGGTAAAATCTAGCACAAACGACACACTCAGTGGGGTTTGTGCGGGACACGTTCCGCGCTCCCCGGTCTTTGTTAGCATCCTCGAGTCTGTACAATTTATTTGATAATCAAAGCTTTCTTCTTCACAGTTAACTTGCTGTATTTGGCGCACTGTATCATGCTTTCCTGAAGAGAATGTTCTGCCGACCGAGATTGTTCACTACTACTATATGCCTATTGGAAGGGAACTGTACTCTAGCTCAACGAACACGAACGGCAATGTGGCATGCCCTGCGGAGGACGGCTGGTGGCCGTAGCACAATGTAGCCACACTGACGAGGCAGGCGGTTGGCAGTTGCAGCAATGACGACTAGCGAAGGGCAGTAGAACTGGAACTTGACTCACAGCCTCAATCTACCATCCCTACTGAGTGGGACGTGGTACCTGAAGTCTACACCGTATCGCTCACAATGCACCAGCTTATTGTTGCCTCCTGTTATCTGGACACATGAGTATATAAGTGACGGCTTCTTCCGCAGAACTGCATCTGTGAAAGTTGTTCCTTCGCCGCTCATTTTGATGCAACTTTACTGAGGCTACAAGTTAAAGTCAAATCGCAGAGACTTGGTTCCAGTCGTGGTCTGGTGGATACAAACGGTGCAAACAAAGTCCAGAAGATCAAGCAACAGGTTGAACAGTGTGCGAAATTTCAGTCACTGTGGTACGCAAACTTGTCGGGTAAGTGACAATATCGCCGAGACGTCCAAATAATCTATCATGGCCGAAATTTTGGTGTCCCAAAAATTGGTTGGTGACTGAATGCCATTTCACTCCGCAACTAACTTTGTAGGCTGCACCTTCTATTTCGTGAGGCACAAACAAATTCCTTCATTCTTTAAAAGAAAAAGAAGTTCTATTGCAAAAGCCTCCTACTCACCCGAATGGTTGAATGCAGAATCAAGATTTTTTTCCACTTGCAGGTGGAGCATGAAAGTTTGTTTCAGAAGGGAACCACCCTAGAACAAAAATAATCAAAGAGCAGATGCATAATGCAAGACAGTGGATAGGCATTTGCTGGCTCAAAGAAAAGCTGAACAATAGAGGATTGTAGGGACCAATATGCACACTCCGCGACACTCTTAGCACAAACAAGACATCGGCACTTTATCACATTTTACCTCGAAAAAGCATTGGTGGGCTTCAAGATTTTCTGCTTAGGTTATTGCCCCAATGATCACTTTCCACAATACTACAGTATAGACCACTTACAACGTAACCGCTTATAGTGCAGGACCGGGTATAAAGCAGCTTTTTTAAACCACCGGTTCGCCTCCCATAGAACTCCATGTAATTACATACCGCTTAAAATGCAGGCGCGTGAAGGGAAATACCGGTTATAGTACGGTTTTCGGAAGAGCCCGGCGACCGCGCCGACTGACCGACGCAGAGAGCAAGCTTCCCTGTGCGACACTAGATAACGGCGCGAGCCGCAAGCGGCACTTGCAGGGCAAGGAGGCTGCTCGAAGAAGCAGGGAAAAGCGAAGAGAGAGGCTTCAGTTGCCATAGCGACGGAGAGAGCACTTGTCGTTCACGTGCGTGCGTCCCTCCGCTGCGTTGGAAAACAACCGCCACGACAGACCAATCACAGGTCAAGGAAAAGTGTTCGCACGCGTTGCATGCCAGTCACAGGCCGGCCGGCCGGCTGCTTCTATCCGCAAACATGGCGTCGGTTTTGATCGTCAACGTAGACGGCGTAGAAGCTCATCGTTCCTAGTAAAAGCGCTATCCTTGACTGAGAATTTTCATTGTGTGTCACTATGATAACCCAGCACGTACTAGAAGGGAAGATCTACCTACTCGTGCAGCAATGTTGTGGCGGCACTCTCAAGACGGCAGAAACGCCCGTGTCGTCGTGTTTGTTTACTTCGACTACAGTGGTGCTTTCTAAGCATTTGTGTTTTCGAACATCGCCCGGATTTCTTATTTGGAGCATTTCATGCCTGTGCTGAAGTTGAAGGTATTACTGGCGCGTACCGTATACAGGATGCGAATTTTCACACACTTTTATCGCCGGAGAAAAGTGATTAGGGTTAGCAATCCTGAACGCTCGCAACGTCCGTCCGCAACCCGCGACGCCGTTAAAAGGCTGCGCCAGGCAAAAGTCGCTCATTTCTTTCAAAATGTGTGACACACTTGAGAGAGAAGTGTACTACCGTAAAATCCTGAATTAACGCCCCCCTTTTCGCCGTAGATAATTGGCAAAAAAAGTGGGGTGGGCGATCTTTCAGTATTGAATAACCAAAATCACAAACAAAAATCGAGTAACGCGTGCGCCAAAGCAGCGTGGGTTTTTATTTCCCTAGCTCTCATCGCTGAAACCGTCAAACGACACATCGCTTTCGCTATCGAAGATTAAATCTAACGCCTCGTCAATGAGGCTCTCGGGATCCTCGGGTCCATTGGTTACCGAAGCCAAACGGTCGTTGAGCTCGCCGTCCTCGGAACCATCGAGCCTTGTGGATATTCCGCACCGTTTGAACGAACTCCGCACGGTATCCTCGGAGACGGAGGCCCACGCCTGAGCCACGAAGTCCACAACCTCTTGACGCGACGGCTTGCGAAGGTTGCCCTTTGGAGTCACCGAACCTTTCCGGAAGAACGATGCCCAAATTCCACGCAGCGCGTCCTTGAAGGGCTTCATCCATGAGACGTCCGCGGGTTGCAAAATGGACGTGCAACCGCCCGGTATCAAGACGACGTCGGTGTCTTTTGCGTCGAGCGCTTCTCGGGCCGCCTCTGTCTTGTGTATCGGTGCTTGGTCCAGTATGAGCAGTCTCCTCACGTCGTCGGCGTTCGGGCCCCAAACTCTCCTAGTCCACTCCAGTAGGACGGGAGAGGTCATCCAACCGTTCTTGGAAGAAGTAACTCGCACATTTGCTGCAAGTACAACAAGTATAACATGAAATAACAGTTCGGGCCCCAAACGCACATTACACATGCTACGCCGATGAATGAAGATATGCGAACTGCCCGATTTTATGGCCGAGCGCCGAAGCACGCGCAAGTGAGTAAGCTTCGGAAAGCCAGCAAGTCACGCGCGAACTGCTCGTGCGCTCAAGATAGCGCCGGCCAGAACGGCTACGCCATCTTTCGGAAATGGGGCGATACAAAACAAAACGGGCTGTGGCGTTTTGTCAATGGACGACGCAACAGTCGCTCTATTTAAAAAAAAAATGCTGTCAGCCTTATTTTTACGTATTTCTAAGGCTTTGTTTCGACATTTATACCCTGAATGGTGATTAATTACAACATACCTGGAATCCTTAGAGAAAAGAGTACCCTGGGGGGAATCCGGCCGGTTGGCTCCTTCAGTACGATCAAAGCAGGTAGCTTGATGCCCGCTGCCGTCGCGCACAAGGCCACCGTCATCCCTCGCCGAGCACAGCCGGTGTTGGCGATGCGAATACTCGACTCGCCGACAGCATTGTTGGTTCTCGCAGCAGGGCAATCCATCCGGACCATAGTCTGATCCATGTTGGCTATGTTGTAGTCCGAGTAGTTGTGCTCCAGGCGCAGAGTTGACACAGCCTTTCGGAACACCGTAATTGCTTCAACGTAGTCGGCAGGCAGCTTCTGACTTTCGTTGGTCCCCACCCGCATAGACACATTAAATCGCTTCTTCCAGTTAGCTATGTACTGGCATGACGCTTGGAAGTTTCCTAGGCCCATCTGTTCTGCCAGTTTCCGCGCATGCTCTTGAAGCAGGCGATTGCTGACTGCTCGACCGGCGGATCTCTCAGTCTCCAGGAAGTCCATCAGTGCGTCGTCGATTTCTTCACTAAAAACGGGCCGTCCCCTACCTATTGCTCTCTTCAACTTGTTCGTTCCATGGCATTGTTGTAGAAGTACTTGGTAGCTCGTATTCCATTCCCGTACACGCTTCCGGTCAACTTCGAAATGGCGCGCAGTCTTGCTCACGTTAGCTCCGTTCTTGCGGTGCCATTCCACGACTTTCACTTTCTTCTGGATGGTATAGCTGGACCTCATCCCGAGTATACACAAGAAACGTCTTCACAGTTTGCTGGTCGAAAGATTTTCTGGGGTTCTCGGACGATCTGACGACAACCACTAAGCGACCTTCAACGCTTTCCTGATGTCATTCAATAAGTGACCTTGACCGCTTTCCGGGTTCCTTCCGTTATCTTATCTCCCTTATTGTGTGTGGCCTCTTCTTTTTGTGAAGGGAATCCTAGGCTTTCCAAACCTTCTCCCCTACCCTCCGGTACCTTTCTCAACCTTCGGGCATCGCTATTTTTGGAAGGTGGGCGACCTATCAGTATTCGAGGGAAACACGTGTTCGAACATAAAAGCGGAGTGGGCGATCTATCGACTGTGGGCGCTATTTCAGGATTTTACGGAAGTCTGGTGAAACAAAGACTTTCCTCAAACTAAAGCTTTATTTTTCATCTAACATAAAAAAATTTTTTTTACAAAGGTAAGTTGTCTCATGGCATGCATTTTGGCCTGTAAAATTGATGTTTTGGTTATAGTGCGGTACCGCTTATAGTGCGGATTTTAGCGACTCCCGCGACCTACGTTATATGCGGTCTACACTGTAATAGGTTTGATTACAGTCATTCTAGTCTAACAGCATTGCACTGTGTATACCTTCCCCTCTTTCTACAGTCTATACATACATTCTTTCAAGAGGAGAGACAAGGTATGCACCTTTCACTTACACTTTTCTTGATGAGAAAAGAGGGAAACTGGATGCCAAGCGACCTTGCAGAATGTCCAAGGGCTGCTGCCTCCGATGCCGAGAGGCGTACTCCGGAGTAGAGGTCCATGTCTGCTAGTTCCATGTGCATCACTTGCAGGAGGCAGGGGGAGCCTGAGTAAGTGTGAAATTATTCAGAACATAGAACAAAGAAGTACTGGAAGCATCACGCAGCTGCAGCGAAAGATGCCACGCTGTGTGGCATGTTACGACATAGGGATAGAAAAGGTCAAAACCAGCGATTCATATTCTTGAAGATGTGGAGCTTTCCTTACACTAACACTGAAACAGATCAAACGGTACTTGCCTATTGCATCATTTGAAGAACTGCTGCAGACACTACCTATGTTGTAGGTGTCAATTTGCCATCTGCCATGATGTGGTGGGCTGTGGAGTAAAAAAAATAAAGAACCATTTAGTCTGCCTTTGCTTTCCCAACAGTATGCCTACAAAACTATGTAACTACCTTTTTCAACAATGTCAAATGAAAACCGGCCTTTAATTAGGATTTAATGCCCCATAATGTAATACTGAGAGCTTAGCATATTACAAACCACAATATGGTAATAAAATCCAATATGCAAATATAAAAGTGAAGGTGGTAACTGAGCATTGGTAAGTACTGCTTGTGACTTTAAAACAGGTGTTTATTGAATCTAGAATGGCTTCAGATCCCCTAGTAACATTCGCTATCAGTAGAGAATAGTAATACTATCCTGTCCCATATTTGGGCTCATCTAAGACAATGAACAACAAGTCATGCCACATTTGCTTCCTCCAAACACAAAGTACTGATACTCTGCCCCTAACTGCAATGTCTTGAAACACTAAATTTGCTAAAATCATCACCAAAATCCTCTAATCATCTATTAAAAACAACAATGAAAAACCTTTTCTACCTTAAAAGCTAATCAACAAGGCAAAAGACAAAGCTCCAACATACACACCTGTCACTGGACGAAGCGCTCGAAGAAAGAGTGATGTCCTCGTCCCCGACAAATCGGAAGTGAGTGGACACAGTGAGATTCCCAAGGTTGGCCACCAGCACGTCAGGCCTGCTATGTGATTGGGGGATCACAATCACGGGGGAACCGGCGGTGACCTCCACTTGAACCCTCGGAGCATGGCAGGCCTCCAGGTTCGCCTAGAAAGGGTAGGACCAGCATTTGGGGCAAATACGTGTATTTGTCTGTTTTCAAGGCTATATTTACGGTGCAAAACAAATTCGTAGTTGGCGCTTGCGGGAGCTCACGGAAAGGTGGCCGCTATGGTCACGTAGTGCTTGTGCTCTTTCGGGAGCTTCATATGGGAACTAAAGTTACTTATTAATCTTCGTTTGAAGTGCAACAAAAAAATGACCGCATCTCCACGTGGTAAATGATGTCGATTGGGGCGAAGCTCTGGTGGTGCTGATGATACTGTTTTTGTTCATAGGTAGTGCTGATGGTGCCGATTTTTTTTTATTGCTCATAGATAGTGCTAAGTTCCGGGTTCCATTTCGACTTCATTATTACTGCTTTATGGACGGTGAAATGTAGAGCCAGTGGTTCTTCTAGCGGATCAGCTTGGATCCGCTAGAAGCCGTGGCAACGCATCTCCACCGCTTAAGTCAATGGTCCATGTCAGAAAGAGAATGTGTGGAATGGAACGTGGTTATAGATGCATTTGAGCATTTGACCGCAGCGCCCTCTCGTCTATAAACGTTGAGCCAATGCATGCAAAGTTTAACGTGATTATATACGCATTTGACCGCAGCGCCCTCTCCTGTATAGACGTTGAGCGGCTACATGCAACGTTTCATCCATGACATCCCCAGCTCTTGAGTTACTACCACATCTCAAAGCCCCCTACTCGTCCCGCAGTCGTGGCCGAGTGGTTAAGGCGATGGACTAAAAATTTATTGGGGTCTCCCCGCACAGGTTCAAATCCTGTCGACTGTGCAAACATTTTTTCTTTTTTTTAAGAAGACAGATGGGATGGCAATCGATGTAAGCACGGACGCCGGACGGACAAGGCTATACCCTAAGGAGCTTCACCCCTAAAAAATGAAGATTAATAAGTAACTTTTAGAGCCCAAAGGAAGCTCCTGAACAAGTGCAAGCATTAGGGGTGTGCGAATACCGAATAGCAGCTTTCGAATCGAATACCGAATCGAATCAAGAAAAAAAAGCCGAATATTGAATTGAATATCGAATAGTGATTTGATTTGTATGAATTTTTCAGTGTGCTGCGAATGAGATTATTCTATGTGCCGAGTATGCGCCTGTTGTTGTAGAATATGCATCTTGTACGGAACAAAAGCTAAAATGTAAAAACATTCTGGTGAAAAAAAAAAAAAATAAAAGCAGTCGCTGTTGGATGTTGGGCACTAAAGATCCAATTTTATGGCACAAATATAATCTATATACCCTAAACGTCACAAAAAAAACCAAAGTTACAGCCACGCATGCCTTTCTTTATTGTTAAAAACACAACCTAACACTGCAACTTTTTTTTTTTTTATAAATATTTGTATATTTCAGAAAAGGGGGATTTTGCGATATTTGTTTCCATTTTAAAGAACAAAAAGGGAACCCAATATTTTATTTCACATAAATACATAAACAGGTAGGTGTTAAATCTGAGTAAACAGGCTTAAACAATATAACCTGCAGTAAGAAAAGAAACGTGGTTAGGTGGCGCAAGACACCGTCCAACTGCCACTAGGCATCCATTTTTCCGTCTATCTATCCAGTTTAAGAGAGCCTTGGTTTAAAAGAGAGAGCAAGCGAAACTGGAACCACGGAGACGGCTCCAGCTCAGATTGGTCGTAAGTGCGCATGTGTTGTGTTGTTGCGTGGAAAGAAGGCGAGCAAACAGAAGGACGACGACGCCTGCCCTGTCCTGCCCGATCCCAATCGACGTTTTTGTCTTTTCGTCTCCTTCTCGCAGTTCGTAATTCAAACGCGGCTATCGAACTGTTGGAAACCCTCTCAAATCTAGGCACACTATTTTTCCGTTCCGTTTCGTTCCAAAAGAATGACGACGATAACTCGGCTGGTTTCATCGGCGTGGTTAACGTGGTTTTCTTTCTGTGATCGTGCATCGCCGATTTCTGAGAGTGCGGCAAGTGTGTTTTACATCGATGCTTCAATTTGAAACGAGGGGTTTTATCGTGAAAAGACTTAGGCATAGCGCGGGATTCTGGCCTCCCAACAATCCCTCCCTGGAAGCGGCGCAAACGGGATGTTTCGGTTGTAATTGAAGAGTAGGTTGTGTCACAATCGTGAGTAAATCTGCGTGCTATAAAGTTCGTGACGTTCAATACTTTTCTTTTTTCTAAGCTGTGCGTTAGATTTTTGTGGAATGGTAGGACCAAGAGCTGTTTTTCGCGAGGTCTGTCTAACAACACGGCGCTTACATCGGGAGAAAAAACGGCTTTTCTTGTCAGCTCCGCGCCGACCGAGCATCTTTGGCCGAATATATTGAATATTCAAGTGACCGAATACTAGGAATTCGATTCGCAAATCGAATTATTCGGGAACTTTCTATTCGATTCGAATTCATATATTCGAGTATTCGCACACCCCTAGCAAGCATCACATGACAGACCTGTGCGCCGGTCAAAAATTGACATTGGCAGAGCGCTGGAGTGTTCCCTTCTGGCAATGACGGCGGCAGTGTGGAGAAACGCATTCAACCGGCGGTAGCGTGTGACGGCGGCGTGACTTTATGGCGGCGACGGCACAGTGCTGTGGTGCACAGGTCTAACATATGAGTGGTGGCGGCTCCCGCGAGCACCAACTACAAATTCATTTCACACCAGCTTTAAAGACTCTTTTTTTATTTTAAGTTTGTTTTGACATTCTTTTTCCAGTTAGCGGTTTAAAAAACTTCTTTTTTTCTTTGCATTCGTCTCTTAATGTTATTAAAAATCTAGCGTGATTGTAAGGTTCATTTACACAGTAAAGAATAGACACATAGGACGGTGCAAAAAGCACAACTAAAAAAGATGTCGCATTCCGTGCTCCGTCCTGTGTGTTCATTCTTTTGTCTGTAAGTAAATCATTAATGTAGAGATAGTAATTTACTCATTTACCCATTACAACAAACTGACAGGGGAATCATCTAGGGTATACTTAACTGAATGATAAAAAGTATAATGCTAAGAACATCTTTTTTTGCTTTGAACGTTCAGAGCATGGCAATCTTGTACAAGTATTCTGCTTGAATGTACACGGCATGACACTGCTAGCACAAACTAGTTACGGCCAGTTTCTCTAGTTTTTTTTTTTGTTTTTTTTTCCTAGAATTGAATCAATGTCATCAAAGCTTAGTGTGGGGAAGGCTGCTTTTTCGAGACTCCACTAAGCAGTTAGATTTCATACTTGTCAATATCTTGTTCCAGTATAAACTGTGAAAAAGAGTCAATTTCATGTTAATGCTGCTAACAAGGTTGTGCAGTTTACCTGTGTCATGCAGGGAAAGCTAATGCAACCAGTGTAACATGCTATGTTGAAAAAAAGCATAGCAAAGCAAAAGATATGAAATGCCTCTCCACTCACTTTTTATTTTTATGTACTTTATCTAACAGCTTTAGAGGAGCTATTTCTGCCTTTCTATATGTTAAATAAAAACTTTATGCAGAGGGTGATGGGATTGAACTTGCTGACCTTGCTTCCAGCAGTGGCAGCTCTAAGCAGCATCTGCAGCTCGCTGAAGTCAGCAAAGAAGTCGGTCACTTCGATGAAAAACCGGTGCGTGTGAACCATTTGAACTGAGGACATCTCGCATTTGACCTTGATGTCAAATTCTCGAGTCAAGTCAGGGTCTGGTGCACCGTACCTGCCAATGAAAGCACCAACAACCATGCAAAGGCTTAACTGAGAGCTGATTCATATGCTAAACAGAAACAAAAATCAGTTCCATTACTAATTAGATGCAGTTCAAAACTTTGCAGAAAGCAAAATATATGTAAATAATGTAAGATCTCAATGAGAAGTTGTGACTGACACTTGGGTCACAACTCAGGACAAAGATCATGATTCTTTAGGTGCCCTCTTAGACAGAATGCCAGTCTCTAGCCATTCTGCTCTGATAGGTACCATGTGCACAGCATATGCAGATATGTACAAATACATAAGACAGCAAGTATTAAAAAAAAATTGACCGCATCTCCACGTGGTGAATGATGTTGATTAGGACGAAGCTCTGGTGGTGCTTGTCTGCGTAGACGCTGAGCCGCAGCATGCCGAGCCTTTCATTTGTTTTCATCTATGTCAGAAAGAGAATGTGTGGTATGGAACATGGTTATATATGCATTTGAGCATTCGACCGCAGTGCCCTCTCGTCTATAAACGTTGAGCCAATGCATGCAAAGTTTAACGCGATTATATACGCATTTGACCGCAGCGCCCTCTCCTGTATAGACATTGAGCGGCTACATGCAACGTTTTATCCATGACATCCCCAGCTCTTGAGTTACTACCACATTTCAGAGCCCCTACTCGGCGCGCAGGGCGGAGTGGTTAAGGCGATGGACTAGAAATCCATTGGGGGTCTCCCTACACAGGTTCAAATCCTGTCAACTGCGCAAACATTTTTTTTTAAAATTTTTTTCCTTACACAAGCACGTGAGCTCACAAGCATGAGCACGAGCACCAGCAAGTTCGATGTGAGCACGGATGCCGGATGGACAAGGCTAGACCCTAAGGAGCTTTGCCCCTAAAAAATGCGAAGCAAATTGCTGGGCCATTGTGTTGCACATGAAACGTGTAGTTTCAGTCCGATTCCTTTGGGATTGACGTCTACCCTCTTGGCACTCTTCATCAATTTGTTTAGCAACTGGCTTAACGTATGGCATGTACACTCGATAGCAATTCCTGGAATGGAGATACCAACACTAACCCGGGCACGCCTGGCACTCTTCCAGAACCCTCCATAGCCGAAGACGTTTCTCCGACGACATTCAACCACCGTCAGGTGGGCGAGCAATGGCGTGCGAGTGATTGCGCAATCACTCACCGTGACGTCATACTTGTGCATGACGTCGTACCTGAGCCAGCTAATCAGTGTAGAGCTAAGGGGTATGATCTCATCACCTGACTCAGCCAATCACATCGAGTTAATCATCGGCTTCTTTTTTTGGCTTCACAAATTTCTAAATCCCCTCTGACAAGACAAAGGATGTTTCATGTGAATAAAGTGCCAATACAGGTAAGTCCAAGGCGGTAAGACGACAGAGATACTCTACAAAGAAACAAAAACCAAGCCGATAGTTTGTGAGCTCCCCGTTTTTTCTGCATTCATACTTTTGATTTTGTCATTCATTCATTCATCAAATTATCGATTTATCAAACTATTTTATGATCCCCTTTGAATTCAATATATCCGGGTTCTCCTGTAATTCGCTCGTTCTAATTTTTGCAATGCGGTGGGATCTTAATATAGATTTTAATGTGTTTACATTTTGCCGGAATTGTTTGCGGGACCTATTTCTCGCAAATTCTAGGCAACTCGCAAAATTCGCGAAAATTAGGTCCTTGCGAAAATTAGGTAGTTTATTAGAGTATATGAAACATACTCTAATTTGAATTGAGCAAGCACCCATCTACAATTTTTCTTATAATTATCTTATGCATCTGAGGGGACACCTATTTGGTATTTGATAGTAGATACGAGGAAGAAAACATGATACAAACCCACTATTTGTTTATCATCAAACAATGTGTTGTTTAGTGTTGTGAGCATCACCTATACTTTTCTTTACACCTCTTCTATGTACTTCTCCTTCTGTCCTGTATTTATCTGACTACCGCATATACGCGTGTAATGGCTGCACTCGTGTAATAGCCGCACCCATAACTTTAAACAAAGAAGAAGCTGAAAAAATATATGAAAAAATTACTCGTATATAAGCCGCACCTACGATTTTAGAATGGCTGGAAGCGACATCTAGTTTGTAGCACAAAAACTAAAAAATTTTGGGTTTTTTTCTTAAGTAATGCCGGCAGGTGGCACCCACCCGGCTGTGGCAGCAAACAACATTGAGACACTCTATTCTGTCTGTTTGCGCCTTTCGCTTTCTCTCGAATAATCTCGAACCAGACGTAGTGCATCTCTTTGTGTTTGTGGGTACCCCCTGTTTCCCGCTGTCATCCACTTCAGGCTTCAGGATGGGCATGTACCCGAATCACACGGCCGGCCTTAAACTCAAAGCTGTTGCCTTTGCTCAAGACAACAGCAAAAAAGCGGCCGGGCGAAAGTTTGGTGTCGACCAAACTCTCACCTCTACAAGGGCGTCCCTTGTAGAGGTCTGTGACTGGATTCTCGAAGCATGGGGCACGGTTTCCTTCAATATCGTGGAAAAAAGCTTCAAAGTAACTAGAATTTCCTAAAAGCTGTATGGCACGAAAGATGACCTTATCTGGGGCAGAGACGCCGAGACGAGTTTTGAAGATGAGTGCTCTACTACGGACGAGTGAAAAGTAGTTTGCACGCCTGTCTATGCAATACCGATAAATGTTTTCTTGTTCTACCAAGACGTCCGAGTACTTCCATTTAATGAAGGCAAGTAGTGAAACTTTTGGCAAAACAAAAAAGATTTCCAACAATTTTTTTTTGTTTTTCTCCGTGTAATGGCTGCACCCCTAGTTCTCGCACGAAATCATTAAAGGGTACCTGCGGCCATTACATGCGTATATACGGTATGTATGTGTCTAAAGATGTGCTTCCTTGCTTTCGATTGTAAAGCCCATGTATATATGTCAATTAGGTCAGTCACCTTGCTGCTCTTCCTTCGAGCATTTTCTATTTGCTTCAGTACAAGAAGCAGAAAAGGATCCTAGGTATTCTCGAACGATCTAACAACAGAGGGTAGGTAAAATTATAATTCCAAGAGCAAAGTGCTTCTACTTGAGTGCAACAAACATTTGGAGCCAGTTCCGGATATTTCTGCTGAACCACATTAAGCATGGAAAATCAATGCTATACTTTGTTCAACACAATACAGTGGAAGCTACATGTTTGTTGGATCAGTCGAACGTCCATCTTGCACCATGTGAACACGCTCTCCCCCCCTCCGTGCAGGAAGCAGGGTCAGGTGATAAAAGAAAGGCGACTGATTGGTCCGGCGAGAGCGTAGCTCCCATTGCACTGTCGGCTTAGGTGTGAACAGAAAACAGAGAATTCTTTCCATACTTGAATATGTCGAAGTGGAGTGCCTCTCGTCCAGCCGTGACGAATCGTTCCGGGTAGAGCTGTCCGTGAGGGGTGAGGTCAAGGACCGAGATCTTGGCCAGGCTGGCCCGGAGCACAATGTCCTGGTCCTTGAGCGACATGTGGCTCGAGAACCCACTGATGCTGGCCCTCGCCAGCTCGTGCGTCGGCTTGTTCAGGGTCACCGTGAAGTTGTGGATGTTCACCTCCAGCTCAGTGTTGATGGCCTCGTGCTCCAGTTCTAAGAGATGAAAGAATGAGTCTGGCAATGTAGAAATCAGTGTTGCCAAAAGAGGAACTAAGCACAAAACAGCAAAATATACTCCCTTTTTGCGTCGGAAAATTTTTCATCCTATCAAAACAAAAATAATGGCCAATAAAAAACATTTTATGCCCTTCATAAAATATGCAAGCCATTTTGGGGGTTCTTATAACCCGAGTTACGTTGAAAAACCAACCACAGCACTGTAGACCACTAGCATGTGAAAAAAACCAACCATTTGACCCTGATCAAGAAGTTAAATGCACTACAATTCTAGATGTCACAAGATATAGACCATAACATTTAGGGTTCTTTGAGTAGCACCATTTTGTTTGACTGTTGTGCCACCCACGCACATTCGGGCATTTCAACAAATTTGGCGGAGTAAAAAAAAACAGGGTCTTTTATGTTATCCTTAAGACGACTTAAAGGTGAAAGCCCAAGCGCCGACATAAACGTGACAGTGAATTGCGAAAAAGCGCGCTCTCTGACGACGCACTTTTGGCACAATTTCATTGGCTCACTTGGATCGTGGTATCGGCTATGGTCCCGGTGATAGCGAACCTTAGAAGACTCTCAGACGACGCACTTTTGGCGCCCTTTCATTGGCTCGCTCGGAACAAGGCGTCGGCTGTGGTCCCGGTGATACTGAACCTCCGAAGACAGCGCGCTCCCTGACGACGCCCTTTTGGCGCCGTTTCATTGGTACCTTTCGTGTTGCCTACGTGTTTTCATACTTTCCGTGTCGCCGACGTGTTTTCACTCAAGGACTTTGAAGACATACTGAACGATAAGACATGTAAGGCTTTTGCCTTAAAAAAAGGGGCACACACCCAATCCCGGCAGCAGATGACAAACGAGCTATTCTCAAAGTTTGGACAGTTGCAATGGGCTGTACTGCCAGAACCGTCCAAATGTCGTGGCTCCATTTCCCTCTCCCTTGTCACCCTAGTGGAATTGTCTACTGTATTATCCCGAGACATCACCCACCCCTAAGACACCGCCCACCCCACTTTTTGGGCGAATATCAATTTCCAAAATAACATTGAGTGATCGCCCACAGCTACAAATACCCTAAAGCGGACTCCGCGATCCGCGAACATTCATCCGACGCGGCCGTGGACCTTACGGCTGCAGAACGTCCGTGACAAAATAAAATGAAGGAGGGAAAGACACCTTACTTTGTTCACACATTTTTTCCCTGATTTCCGTGACCCTGAGGTCGGTGTACATGCGTGCGAAAGGAATACGATAGAGATAACAAAATGAAACTTCGCCTTGCTTATAAAAATGTCATTCGGACAAAAAAAAAATCGTGAAGGTAACAAAAGCATTAACCCAATCAGGGATCGCGAAGTCAGCGAATGCCCCATATCCTGGAATGTTACGCAAAGTGTAAGGTCCATCTCCGCTGAAATCATTGCGAACCGCTCCTTCCCCCGAAACATCACGACCGTGGTTGGTGAGGTTGTGCAATGTTTGAGACAAAGCCAATGGGTAAATAAAGATTTGCTGGCAAGCTGCACAGGCGCCGGAGGTGTCCCATTTCGAGCTCTGTGTTTGTGGTGTTGTCAACGCCACGCAGCAACACCACCCCAACCTGCACTGATAGCACGTCGTGCATGGATGCACGCATGTATGCGTGGAAAAAAAAAAATTGGGGCTCCAATTTACGCTGTGAGGGTGGTTGGTCAGCAAATGTCACCTGCAACGATTGACTACTGCACTATACGAAATGTCGCTGCCAGTCGCAGCACGCCGCCGTTGGTCGTATTGCCGTTTCTTTTCCCTTTGCCGCTCCTAGTATTCACGCTGCTCCTCGGGAGTCCTATCTATGGGAGGCCTATTCATCGCGGTGCTGCAGCAACAATGAAATCAGTTGCTATACTCCGTTTTATCTTACAATTAAGCGCAGCGGATGTTAGAAGTCATCGAAGCCAATTGGAGGCCTTGTGAGTGTCATGTGACCTTAGAGGGGGGGCACAGCGACGCACGGAAAGCGTATCACAGGCCACGTCCACAGAACGGGATTGGCTAAGATAACTCGTAACATCCGCCGAGTCCGGACGTAAGGTGAAACCGAGTATAGGTGGGTTCTTCTTTTATATATGAAAGGCTAGTGACGTCTATCCCCACGTTGCAAGCTGCCGTCGCCGTGGCAGCTTCGGCAACAGTAAACTTCAACGGGAATGTATGCGGTGAGCGCTACGTGCTTCGCACCGTTTTCAGGAGCTCCTTATCATTCATTGTATGGTTAGGATGCTTGTTTTGCGCTTATTCTTTATTGGGACGAATGTTGTTCTGCATGTTGTATGCGTGGTGTTTGTACTTTTCTTAAGTCTTTTTTTCCGTAAGAACACCGACACGAAAACACACGCGGGGAGAAGGAACGTGCTTCGCACTGTTCGCAGGCGCCGTTATCATCCATTATGTGGTTGGCACTTCACACGAGGGCTTCGAATGACGTCAACCCCTTTCGAAGCAGCTGCAGACCTAATCTTTACAGGAACGCATAAAGGGGTGTTCCTATTGTTCACACGCGCCTTATCATCCATCATGTGGTTTTGATGCTTGTCTTGTTGATGCTTGTTTTGTGGTTTCCTTTATTGAAACGGATACTGGGCTGTACGCTGTATGCCTGATTTCAAAGGAGATATGCTGTTTTGCCTTCAATTGTTTGTCGGGAGTTTTTTGCTTACAATGCCAACGACACAAAAATTTCCTAGGCTGGTAGAGGTATACAGCTTCGCTGTAAAAGAAAGTTGCACTAGAGCCTGCCTGCTTCTTGTGATTGACAAGGCGCCCAACTTGGCCCGACCCCAAAGTACTTGCCAAAGCGATCGCCAACTTCCCGCTTCCCCAGCATCGCTCTTCATCGCTTCTTTCATCTGCCCGCTTTTCCGTTCCGCGTGGTTGGTTTCTCTATTTTATTGTTTTACTTTTTTTTTCTTCGATTTTTTTTTTTCTAACGGAGAGGACATAGCATAGTAAGAAACATGCTTTCACAGAACAAGCGTTCGCACTGTGTACCGATCAACGGTGTTCATTGCACATATTGAAGTAACGGACCTTGCTATAGTCAAACATTCTTTCCTGAGCATTTCTTACATTAAAAGAATGAAACCAATACAAGTTTTGAGTTTAATGTATCTCTTGTGCAGCCGTGCTAGATATGTACAAAAAAATTGGCGTTTTGTTAAGGTTGTTCTCAACTTTTTCTACTTACCCACCGAGACATGGCCCACCCTACCTTTTTTGATGAACGTCAGGCGGCAGGAGGGTGGGCGATGATTTGGGATATTACGGTATATACAAAGCAATGTTGCACGTTGCCACACAAATTCTGACATTTCTTTTGCTACAGAAGAAACGTTTGGTCTTCAATAACTTGACACTAACCAAAACTAGTTTAAACTTCCGTGAAAAATGTGTTCTTTCTATCCACAATGTGTGCTGCCTTAAGAACCAAAGTAAGACATTCCATTTACAACTATAAGTACTGTCCTACGTCTTGACTTCAGAAGTAAAGACATGCATGGTTCACCTTGCGCCAGCTCGGTGTCCTCCTTTGCCGCTACATCCCACTTGCAGGACGCGTCTGGCTCATCAGAAGGGCTGGCAGAAATTCCCAAGAAGTCCAGAACCATTACCCAGGTCTGGGAGTTGATGACAGTTTCTAGGCTGTTCAGGTCGACAGTGATCGTCTTGTTCACCTAAATCAATCAATATCAAAAATTTTAAAAAAAATATTTTTCTTTTAGAAAAGGCAGTTGAAAATATCTACATCCATATAACCTTGTCCATCTTTACTGTTGCCCGTCTTTAGTGCTGGTTTCCTCTTTTAACTACATAGAAAGCATTGCAACTAAAAAAAAAGAAAAAAAAGTAGGTCTTTTGTACATGGTGTTAAGTCCTGATAGCCTGAAAGAACCTGGAGGCTCTATCAAAAAACATTGGAATCAGCTGAGCATAGAATCAAAGACACAAATTTCGTTTGTGTCAAAATAGCTCTTTAGCCCAAACTCTCAACGATCAAACTTTTCTCTGCACAAAGCTAAAGGATATGCAGACTAATGATTCTGTCGAAGCAGATCAGGGAAATAAAGTATAAGATCTAACTGCTACTAGGTAAGTGAACACAGTTGAATAAACTATCCGTACAAAAATACAAAATACCATACTTTCCAATGTATAAGTCATAGTTTTTTTTTGTTTTTTTTTAAACATTTTTTATGGTGTTTCATACAACAATGAGACTTATATGCATTTTTTTTTTATTTGCGCCGTGATGCTATTTTTTTATGCATCGTGCGCTATCTTTCGTAGAGCATCGTAACTATGTAGCCATAGGTTTTAATTCACAGTGTGATGTCATCTTTTTATGTGCCCTATTCCATCTTTTGAAGAGCACCGTAACTACGTAGCCATAGGTTTTAATTCAAAGTGTGATGTCATTTTTTATGCGCCGTGCGCCATCTTTGGTAGAGCACCGTAACTATGTAGTCATAGGTGGTGTAGCCCCTTTCAGGAGGCACTGCTGTCACCACACTCTTCTAAACTTTTCATAACTGAAAACGAGAAATTTTATGATTTTCCCAAAGCGGCTCAATGTGGATAGGCGAGACAGTGAGAATAAAGCTTTTACAGCATGTGATCGACATTGCCTAATTCAGCCATGATTCTGTATTTTTTTGCTTCAGTCCAGTAAGAATGAAAGGTTAGTGGGCTGGTATACACATATTGCAGGATACTTTCTCACGTCTTTCTTAGTTTCCGTTTGATGAGCAGTTTTTTCTGCCATGCTCCAGCCGTGTTGCTACATGTAAAAGAAAAGATTGTGGCTTGCCGATTTTTAAGAAGTCCCGAAAGAAGTATGTCAAGATTTATCTATCTGCCTGTGCATCGATACCCATGTCGTCTTCGGCACTTGGCCTAGGCTAGGCCTACTGGGTCAAAGCTTGGTCCATGAGTGTCAGGCACGTTAAATTTTCGTTCGCTCGGCATGTGTTCGCTTGAATAAAGCCAAGTACCTTTTCATTTTGTGCATTTTACGTTCTTTTGCTGCAAAACACTCAATTGCCCCCACCAGACAGCGCCGTGCTATGGGCATTTCTTGCGAGTTGAAACGTCTAAGTTGCGCGTCCAACGGTATGTGCGATCTAGCCGATTGTGCAAAACTCAGATTTTGCGATACCAATGCGCGTAAACAAAAAGCTCATTGTGTAAACCGTGAAAAGAGGTGCGACTTATATACCAACTTTTACACAAAAACGGCTCAATATACGGATGTGCAACTTATACAACGGTGCAACTTATAGTCCGGAAAATATGGTATGCATAGTGTAATGATAGAATCACCTAAAAACAAAAAATTTAGAGCCCTTCCACTTCACGTGAAGGTGGAGGACCAGCGAAGCTGTTATCTTTAAAACGTCTAGGACAATACCCAGAAGATGCTGTCTAGGACGACCTCAAGGACCTCTTGGACAACCTCCAAAACCACGCCTAGAGGACGACCTCAGGGAAGACTTCTAGGACGACCTCTCGGATGAGATCAAGGACGACTTTTAGGATGACCTCAAAGATGACCTCAAGGATGACTTCTAGGATAACCTCAAGGATGACTTCTAGGATGACTTTAAGAGCAACACCTAGAGGACGATGCCTAGGAGGACCTCAGAGACGACATCTAGGACGACCTCAAGGACGGCGTCTAGGACGATGTCTAGAACAACCTCTAGGACGACCTCGAGGACGACTTCTAAGACGACACCTGAAGAAATTCAGCCTTTGCACTCTGGTGAAAACCAGAGTGGGAAAGCTGGAAAGGTTGCTGGCTTCATGAGCGACAGCAGCAACCAGCCAACCGGCAAGTGGGTTGTCTGGTTGCCGCTATCGCATACAGATGGCGGTAGCCGTTTGGAGTTCTGTGTCAACATTTGTTTGCCCGCAAACACCATACTAGGAAAAGTAGCCCTTAAGAGCTCCGATGTAAAAACTGTGCCACCGCAATAATTAAATATATCTTAATCCTACTGACAAAGCCGGGAGACAGAAAATGAGCAGCATGATTTGAGCTCCACCTACCACTGGGATGACAAAGATTTCACAGCAACACAGGCACATACATACACACAACTATAACCATGGTAACCATAACCTCTATGCTAGCGTGGGAGATGCAGTATCAGATTATTGAATTAGAAATTAGTGGTTCGATTCCCGCAGGGGGTACAGCCTTTTGTAAAGGCAACTGGCAGTGTTGTATTTTCGTTAGACTCTGTGACATTCTAGTCTTGGAGCCCAGTCCTAAAACACATTTTGTGTTAAAAGCGTCAAAATCGGAGAAGCAGTAAACATTTCAATTTTCTGCACAAAGGATTTGAAAGGGCAGAATGGCACCCACCCTGTTGTGCCTGGAGACAAAATGTGGCGAGCGCCTGTCGATGAGGCAGACATTGATGTGCATCAAGGAGTCCTCCTGGGCCAATTGTGGGGACGAGATGCAGCCAGAGGGAGATGGAGGGGGGGTGAAGGGATAGGCAGACACACTGCCACGATCCCCTCTCAGGTTCTTCTTTCTCTCCTCTGGAAGATGCAAGAAGTGACGCTTAATAGGATGGAAATTGGCTCCAGTGACAGGAGGTCAATCCCTGGCACCCTGGCACTGGGTGCCGTTTTTTCCAGATCGTTAAACGGTTAGAGGTTGTCCGACCTACACCTTTTGTGCTCGAGTGGCTCCCAACGTGTGTTGGCTCTATAAAGCTACTGCTTTAAAAAAAGAATGAAAGACGAAGAGCATGAACTGACAAGGCAGAGTGCTTGGTCTTGTCAGTTCTCATACTTTGTCCGTCATATTTTTCCGTGCTGTTTTCCGCATAGACGTCATGAAATGAAGTCGCCCAACTGAGCTGTTTACTTTATTTTTTTTGTGAAGAGCCACAGTTTGTCTTGTAATAACACCTGTTTTGTTTTGTTTAGGGGATTTCTGTCTTGGTTTGCTTCTTTGTTGTTCCAGAAAGGCGAATACATGTCACTCAACCTCGTGCTTTATAGTAAACAATGAGATCTAGAAATTAGTAATGAACTAATTTAGTAATAAAATAAATAAGAGAGTCTCATTCCCAAATGAAAAAATTGTAGAGTCCTTCCACTTCACGTGAAGATGGAGGACCAGCGAAGCTGTTATTTTTAAGACGTCTAGGACGATGCCTAGAGGACGACGTCTAGGAGGACCTCAAGGACGACGCTTAGAGGACGACGTCTAGGACAACCTCAAGGACGGCTTCTAGGACGACCTCGAGGAGGACGTCTAGGATAACCTCAAGGACGACTTCTAGGACGACCTCGAGGACGATGTCTAGGACGACCTCAAGGACGACGCCAAGGACGACCTCTCGGATGACCTCAAGGACGACTTTTAGGACGACCTCGAGGATGACTTCTAGGACGACCTCAAGGATGACTCCTAGGACGACCTCAAGGACGCCTAGGACGACCTCGAAGACGATTTCAAGGACGACTTCTAGGGCGAACTCGAGGACAGTGCCTAGAGATGATAACAAGGGATCAGGACCTCACTACCTAATAATGCCAAGGAAGGCTGACTCACACTGGCTGCCCTCTCCTTTTATTTTTATTTATTCATACTTGCTGTGACCAATAGAAAGTTTTCTGTCAACATCCGCAGATTCGTTTTTTCCCAGATTTTAGCGCATAACAGCTTCACCAAGGTCACTCAAGAGTGACCCCAAGGTACGAGGTCGGAGTGCCACTTTGTATAGTACCATGTCGAAAAGTATAATTCGAGAAAAATATCCTAGGTTAGAGGCATGCAGATATCAATTATCTTTGAGCCGAAAGATCACAGTGTCTTCCATAAATAGGCAAATATGCTTCATAAAGTGTGCTACAGTTTTTCTGCATGGGACCAAAATATGTGTTCGATATGCGGGAAAAAAGCCCAGAACTCAAAGGGTAAAGTGGAGACACTGGTCGTACAGTTCTCACACCCACTTCTGTAAATTATGATTATTTGTCACTTAGAATACCCCAAAAAAAAAAAAAAAGGATTTCTTCATTTAGGTTTGTTATAGCTTTCAGAATTCACAGGCACTGCAAATGATGTTTCGGTGCAAATGTATACCTCAAATTACGGCTGCTGTCCCACACAGCAAAGGACGGTCGCCGTCCTACGTGCCCTAACCGGTTGTTGTCCTATCGAAGAAAACATCACGTCTTTAATTCTCCATTTGGGGATGCACTTCCTCGACGCTCAGCATTTTCAAGCAAAATGCGACTACACTCACTGCCAGGACAAGAATGAAAGACAACCTCCTTCGGATGCATGGCCCCCAGCATGCATCTGTCGCCTTTCGCCGTGCCTTGGCTACGCGTGCAACCTTGAGGCTCACGATATGCTGAAACGTTATCAAAGGTAGAAAGCTCACGCTCAATGCGGAACGTCTGAAAGACCTCCCTGCCGTTTTCATCCTGTCAGTAACTATGGTAAAACATACTTCTGGGTGAAACGTATGAGCACCAAACCCACCGGCGCCCCTGCTCCTCTTGAGGTGTGCCTGGAAGACGTTCTCGGTGCAGAGTCGGTCCGGCAGGGACGGATGTGCCGCCAGGGTGGGCATGTGGTACGTCATGTCAGGACAGGACACCGAAATGAAGTCAGACTTGGGAGGGGCGGTCCTAGAGCTTTCCAGCTGGCTCTCGGGAACGGTGGACCGGATCAGGCACCGGTGGCTAGACTCCGGATGTTCCATGAGATCCTCCATCAAAACTCCCTTCAGAGCCATCTGAGGGGGCCAGAAATAAATTAAAGACAAAACCTCAAATTACCAATTTTTTGCAAAAAAAAAATTTCTTTTTAAAATTGCGCAGTTTCAATGTGTACAACTAATAGTAAACACCCTCACAAAGTTTTATCAATGAGCATTGACAAACAATGGGAGGAATAATCATTATTGACTCCTCACTAATGCGCACGAGGAGTGCCGTGCTTGGCTGGGCACGAGAGTTATGATAAGCATAAGTTGCAAACCCCAATCACTCCGCGGCTGCTAAACCTAGCGTGGCGCAGGTAGTCTCGTTCGAAGCGTCATTTCGTGGGCTTTTTATTTCACATTTTTATTTCTTTACCTGTCCGTGCAAGGGGAGAGCCCTGTAGAAAGCGCCCCTTCTGGGGCAAGAATGGTGGTAAAAAACCAACGGGCACTGCTATTGGCTGATGTAATGAAACCCAGGCGGCGAGTGGCTGTCCTCGATCCCATGATTCCCCACGCATGGGGTGCATTTAGAACACGTTTCTTCGCTGATCTGACCATTTTGCCCAGTTTCTCTTTGAACTTCCCTGCTCCTGTTTTCACCAAAAAATGCCCGCAGTTAACGCTAATACAGTGTAGACCGCATATAACGTATGTCTCGGGAGTCGCAAAAATCCGCACTATAAGCGGTACCGCACTATAACCAAAACATCAATTTTTCAGGCCAAAATACATGCCATGAGACAACTTACCTTTGTAAAAGAATTTATTTTATGTTAGATGAAAAAATAAGCTTAGTTTGAGGAAAGTTTTTATTTCAATAGACTAGTATAGTTATGTCTCAAGTGTGTCACACATTTTAAAAGAAATTAGAGGCTTTTGCCTGGCGCAGCCTTTTAACGGCGTCGCGGGTTGCGGACGGATGTCGCGAGCGTTCAGGATTGCTAACCCTAATCACTTTTCTCCGGAGATGAAAACGCGTGAAAATTCGCATCCTTCATACGGTACGCGCCAGTAATACCTTGAACTTGAGCACACGCATGAAATGCGCCAAATAAGAAATCCGGGCGCTGTTCGAGGACACAAATGCTTAGAAATCACCATTGTAGTCGAAGTAAACAAACACGACGACACGGGCGTTTCTGCCGTCTTGAGAGCGCCGCCACGACATCGCCGCACGAGTAGGTGGATCTCTCCTTCTAGTACGTGCTGGGTTATAGCGACACACAACGAAAATTCAGAGTCAAGGATAGCGCTTTTACGCAGAACGATGAGATGCACGCCGTCTACGACGACGGTCACAACCGACGCCCGCGACCGGCATGCAACGCGCGCAAACACTTCTCCTCGACCTGGGATTGGTCTGTCGTTGCGGTTGTTTGTTTCTTTGTTTCCAACGCAGCGGAGGGATGCACGCACGTGAACGACTCGTGCGTGCGTCCCTCCGTCGCTATGGCAACTGAAACCTCTCTCTTCGCTTCTCCCCGCGTTTTCGAGCAACCTCCTTGCCCCGCGAGTGCAGTTTGCGGCTCGCGCCGTCAGCGCCGTTATCTAGTGTCGCACAGGGAAGCAAGCTCGCTGCTCCGGTCGTCGGCGCGGTCGGCGGGCTGTGTCAAGAACCGTACTTTAACCGGTATTTCCCTTCGCGCGCCTGCATTTTAAGCGGTATGTAATTACATGGAGTTCTATGGGAGGTGAACCGGTGGTTTAAAAAAAACGCGTTATACCCGGTCCTACACTATAAGCGGTTACGTTGTAAGTGGTCTATACTGTACCTCTTTATAACAGACCTTGATTTTGACCAAGGTTTTGGTCAGTTGTAAGAGGAGTGTGTTGTATGCAGATATGAAGTTGAGTCAATGGCATGTAGAAGAAAACCAACCAAACTTCACAAATCGGTATGTTTTATCCAAATGTCTGTTGTAACTAGGTCTGTTGTAATGAGCGTAGAGTGTAGAAGCTTTGGTAGGTGCTCTCGCTTCATGAGGTGAGAGGTTTCGAATCCAATAAGGGCTCAAAAGCTCCGGTGCCGCCTGCGCTGCCAGCGCAGTCAAGTTCCGACGGAGGATTCTGCTTTCGGAACGCAGCGAGGCCGAGCGTGAACCAATGGACGACAGCGATCAACCTCTATCCCTCAACGGACATTGCTTTGTGCATGCTTCAGCCGTGTGGACAGGGGCGAGCGCCTTGTTGTGTCCCACTTGTTTGGGAAGTGGAATGAAGTTGACAGAAGATGGAACTGAAGAAAATTGGCAGTTCGTGGTCGCTTGCAGTCTTGTGAAGAGATAAAGAAGCCACCGCACTCCGCACCCAGGAGAACGACTCGGCAAAACTAACTCTCTGCGCGCCTCTGTGTAGTCGGTCAGGACTGTGGAACTAGCTTCACATAACTAAAAAAAACTTTTTAGGAGGCACAAGTGCACCAATGCTGATACATCTTAAGACCTACCAGAACATAGCAGCAAAAATGCACAACGCGAAAATAGAAGTGGCAAGCGACGCGATGAAAGAGGCCGCAAAAGCTGTAAGAAAGCTGCAAGCAGAGGAGGCTCGAGGTGAAGTTACAGGATGATGGAAAGGATCTTTTTGATGTCTGCGTCAGTTACGATGGTACATGGCAAAAGCGAGGCCACACGTCGCACTTTGGGGCCGGTGCAGTCATCGAACCAAAACTGACTTGGTCCTTAAGTTCTCAGTGCAGAGCGACTATTGCCATGGCTGCAACCTCCGTTACAAGAAAGATTCGGATGAATACCAAGCTTGGGCAGAGTCGCACGAGGAAGTCTGCCAAAAGAACTTTGAGGGCAATTGAAGTGGAAGCGACTGGTGACATCTTCAGCCGCTCAGTGGAACAGCACAACATGCAGTATGTGACTGTGCTCAGTGACGAGGACAGTAAGGCTTTCAACCATGTTGCAAGCCTAGGCCTCTACAACAAAGATGTAGAGAAAGATGATAACCATGTGGCAAAGCGTATGTAAGGCAAAACGGAAAAGTTGAAAAAAAAAAAATTAAAGACGTTTAAAATTCTCTGTAAGACCGAATTGGGGCGCAGCTCTTGAGGAGGAAGGGAGAATACAAAGGGGAGGGTGTGCCCCCCTCCTCCTCCTCCGTACCCTCCCATCCTCCTCTCCTGTTGCCCTCCCATTTAGCGGAAAAGCTTCGCTAAATTCCCCGCTAAAGTTTGCGAGGAAATTTTCCCACTAAATTGACGTGTGAGGTCACACGTCACTTATGACATCACTTTTCACTTGTGACATCACGTGACACGTAACATGAAAATTCACGTGTGACGTCACGTGGCACGTGACGTGCAACCTCACGTGCGACGATGTGACGTCATTATGGGAGACGCCTGCTAAATTTAGCAGAAAAATTTCCTGCCAAATTGTGCGAAAATTTTTCCCGTTAAATTTAGCACGAAAATTTTACCCTCGTGACGTCACGTGCGACGTCATTATGGGAAACGTCTCATAATGCAATGCGCAATTACGTCGACGCCGACACCAACGCCGCCGCTGCCGCCGCTCAAACCGGAAACGGGCACCTAAGAGCTGCGCTCTAACAGCCAAGAAGGGGCTTGGAGGAAAAGGCAAGCTCACCAACATTGTGATGAAGAGGCTTACAAGCTTCTATGCGACTGTGCTGAAGGACAATGCTCCAGATGTCGCCAAGATGCAGAAGAGAGCCTTCGCAAGCTTGCTCCACAGCTACTCTAGTTATGCCGTGCACTCGGCATTAGGCATATACTCAGGGTGAAGACTTCTGGTGTCATTTCAGTCACCACAAAGCTCTGCTAGCAGATGGCAAGCCAAATGCACCTCATGTACATCGGCCAGCCTTCTTGAAGGATATAGCAAAAGAGCTGGTGCCGCTGTACAACCGTCTATCGGACAAGACCCTGCTGGCAAGGTGCTGCAGGATGAAGACTCAAAATGCCAACGAGTTCTACAACGCGCTCATCTGGAAGAGGTGCCCCAAAACCGAGTTTGCGTCCCTGCGTACTGAAGAAACCACCGCCGCAATAGCGGTTCTGGAGTTTAACTTGGGTCCGCAGGGCTCCGAGGGGGTGCTCGAGAAGATGGGCATGGAGCCTGGAAGCCACCATGTGGAGCACACCAGGAAAGCAACTGAGCTGAAGATCACGCAGGCCAAGGCAAAGGTACTGGACACCTTCAAGATTGCCCACAAGCGAAGGAAGCTAGAGGCAGTAGCAGCGGAGCAGAAGAGGGTTGAGGAAGAAGGTGTCACCTATGCTGCTGGCGGGTTCTTATAAAAAGTTCAAAGTGCCAAAAAATAAAAAAGCGATCTCGAAACTTCAAGCACATTTATCTCAGCTTCACTTTTTGGTGTCGAATCTCGGTTCAGGGAAGCTATCATTTCATAATGAAATTATATATGTAGCTATACCCGTTTCACCTCAAGAACCGTAGTAAAAAAAGTCCGGCTGCAGGCGGAGCATTACTGATTTTTCCCTTTATGTTGATAATTAAGATATATGTACATGAATTTCAGATTACATATATGCTATCTTACCAAGACGTAAGCGTTTCAAACGCTAAAAGCATCACTTTTCCCCGACAACCAAATCTGGTAAGAACTACTTCGCGCCGCGTATGAACAATGCGCAAAATTTGCTTTTTTCTTGAGGTGAAAACGGGTATAGATTTGGGTTTTTCTATATTTAAGTTTTGTGGGGAATGCGACTGTGAACTTACTTTCAGCATTTTTATCCTCTTTTGTTATGAAAAGTCAATATATCTTTAATCAAATGCACACCAAAAAAATATTTTTTTTAATTGAAAATTTTATAATTTTTTTTATAGTCTGAAGCAAATATTCTACTGCATGTTTCACCAGAAAAACTGGCCATTTTCTTTACCGTTTCTAAAAAATAGCTTCCTCAGTGGATTCATTTCTTGCATAATGTATTTCTATGTAACTCATCCTGGGATATATTTATAAGGTTGAAAATCTGCATAACATTATTTCACAGTGCAATGAGCACACCCTGCAAATTTCATACAAATAAGACAAACGGTTCAGAAGTTAGCCTTTCGGAGTAGTGGTCCCCTTAAGGTTAAACCGCTGAATTTACAAACCTCACTCTGATTGAGGGGCACCTCCACTTCCACAAGCAAGCCGCAAGGGACGGCGCTGGCCAATCGCGATGGCAGATAGGCGGCCTAGGCTCTTTGCGATAGGCGAGCACCGGCCCTGGCGCCTTCCTCGAGGAAGGGGAGGGGCCCTTCCGTTGGTGTGAGGTTTGCGAATTCGGCAGTAAAACAAGAAAAATAGCAAGTAAAGGGCGACGTAAAAGACAAGAATGAAAATTAACTGTGTTTATATGCGGTAATCGAGAAGACGGCAGAAATAAATTTAGACGCCTCTTACTCCTATGGATAGTCTGGAGGCCCAGGATGTGTAGCGCGTTTCAAGCTTCTCCCGCCATTAGAGAACAAAGTTTTTGTGGCAACGTGAGTAAGGAAACTGTGATCGTGCTAATCAAAACCACGCAGGGGGATAGGGTATTGGATTAGTGAACAACAGGTCTGTAGTTTGATTCTCGCTGGGGGACACCGTCTTCTGTGAAGACAGTTGGCCACGTTATCAAAATTTTGTCACAACATTTTGTTACAATCTGGACTCAGAAACCCGCTCTAAAACAGATTTTGCATTAAAATGTAGCAGGATCACGGTGCACAGAACATCCTCATGGACAACCCACACCCACTTATGAAAAAGACTCGTATGTCTAGCACTTTCCTGCAGAGCACACAGGGGATCCAGTCACAGCAATCTACAAAACAAGGTCAGCGATTGGTGATGCAAAGATAACATTTTGGGTCCTTGACTTGAAAGTCAGTCCTAATCTCTCCATGCTACACAATATTCAGTCTACACAATGCATGCAAAGTGTTCCGTAGGTAGTATCCTATTTTTTTAAACTTTTCTATCCTATGCCCACCACTAGCATCATATTCTCACGAAGTTTCAGCTTTCTGCAATGCATAGTTTATTTATGCGGGCCAAAAAAATCGGGTTTCGTTTTCTCTCTCGGACCCGGTATTTAGCGAAAATTAACAGCCGCCCAGTAACTAAAATCAAAAGCCAGAAAAGAACCCACCTGAATGTTGGTTTCAAATAGGCTGTCCTTCTCATAGTTGACAACAAACTCCTGGAAGGAGAGGGCCACCAAGTCCTGCCTGTCTTCACACAAATCGGAGCAGAGGTTGATGACAAACTCTGGCAGCACAAAGCTGACATGGCAGCAGACAAACTTCGAGCTTCCTTGTGCCATCTCCTCAGCTGCATTCTTCGAGACCTGCTGGGACCGCTCGGGCAAAGACAGGATGTCCTTTGACACCAGGTCCTCCTAGGTAGTCAAAACAGGATAAGCAATTACAAAAATTCAAACTATGCTTTAAGTTATTTCATATATATTGCCGTTGCTAGAGGGAGTAAAATGTGTTAGTGGAAGAAGGGGCACTACTGTAAACCCTCTCTAACTCCGAGTCATAAAAACTAGAAAAAAATTCAAGATAAGCGAGGTACCGAAGTTTCTGCACTGATCGCACACTGTGCGAATGAAACACCGCCAACAATCATGCCAGTTGACTTTACACTCACAGGTTGTGTGGCACTGTGGGGAGAACAAAACGACCACAACAAAATTATCAACAAGCAACACTCATTAGATGAGACAACAAAACCAAGAAACAACACACACAAAAAAAAGGAAGAACTCATTAACAAAAAAAAGAATGAAAGAACAAGATGAAGACCAGAAAATAACGTTGAGCGAGCGAGAGAGAGAGAGAAACAACAGCACCAAATGCCAAGTGAGGAGAGGGGGGCGGGGGGGGGGGCAGAACATGTAAGACAACAAACGTCCTCAAAACACAAGCTGCTCCGCTCGTTGCCGCGCTCATGACTGCTCTCTAATGGCGCATTCACACTGCAAGCGGATCCGCGTTCGCGAAGCGGTTGCGGATGCGGTTCGCGAGCGACCCCGTTCAGACACACCGAGAGGCGGTTGGCGGTTTCTCGGCGATCACACGTGATCTTTTGAGACTTGCGTTTGGCAACCCTGTTTTACAATCCAAAATACACTTCAATCCACGATCCAAAGCCGAACTTTTGCTGTTTTATTTTGCCACTCTGAAGATTTTTTCCGGGATGTTCGCTCGCATCACAAGTTCAGGCGGCGAAAAAAGAAGCATGGACCCGCCAAACTCGCCTGTCATTCCCTCGACTTCACCCACAAGCAAAGCCCAGCTAGGCGCACCTTGCCGACTCGGAACAGGATGCCCCCGACCTTTTCTTCGAAGTGGACCTTTCCCGCTTGCTTCCCGCACGAATAGCTGACCTTTTTTTCAAGATAGAGGGCCAGTTTTCCCCCCTCGTTGTTTGCTCTTATCATTTTCGAAGTTGTGACTGAGCGGTGGGGTGGACCGTACTGCGGGGGAATGTGTTCGGTGCTAGCCGGTCGTGGCTTCGTTGGTGGCGGACTGCCCTCTCGCCACTCGCACGTCGATCGAGTCTACTGTTTGTTTGACAATAATAAACGCCGTATGGATTACCTCTGCATCGTCTGGTACGTACACTTTATTCCTCGATTAGGTTCCCGTTATTTATTTTGTTAGTAGTAAACGTTACAGGTCGAATAGCGCAGGTACCCTGCCCGCTCTGCGGTAGTACGCTGGCTACGCAATCAAGCTCACGACGTCTCTATCGACCATCGTGGTGGTCACGGACGGTGTCGAAAGCTTGCAATAGTTCACGCGACTATCTTAGTGGGTAGAAAAACTGACATTTCGGTCGATCAGGGGCGGGTTCCGACATTCTACGGGCAGAGACTAACGAGGCAGCGAGCTTGGGCTGTGGCACTCCAAATAATAAACAAAATCTTACCCGAACCAAATCACCAGTGCGAAGCCCGTTAAAATTACGACTGAAATCTTTTCGCGGCGGAGCCAAGTGACTGACGTAAACATCACGTTTCTCCGTTGATTTGTCGAAAGCTAGGACTACCGTGCTAGGACTACAGCGCCTTGGACGCCTCACCAGCGGCAGGTGCCATCTTGTTTCGAAAGTCACTGGCGTCACGTCAGCGTCGCGTTGTGATTGGCTGCCGCTTTGCGGTTCGTGAATGCGGCTGGGAGAAATCGGTCCCGAAGCGGTTGGCAAAAATCCGCTCCAACCGCTCGATCCTAGCCGCTTTGCGGCTGAGAACGCGCGGATCCGCTTCGCGTTTGCATATCCGCTTCGCGTTTGCATATCCGCTTCCAGTGTGAACGCGCCATTAGAATTTTTTTTGCGTGTAGTTCCACATGCAATGATGCAGAACTTTGTTTTCTTTCTTTCACGTTTTTTTGTGTTCGTTTTCGGATCATGGTTTCTTCATCCAACAATGTTTGGGCCACCAGTTCATTGTTTGCTGTGCCCTGCTGTTTTTTTTTTTTTTTTTTTTTTAATTTTTGTTAGGGAGATTTTGAGATATCCGAGGTCCGTCCTGAAAACATTTCGAGGCAGCCGAGTTTGAGTTAACGAGAGATTGCAGCATATACTGCAGATGACCTACCCACGGAGAAGAAAAATGTGTCGGTTCTCCAGAAGTGTCCTCATTGATGTGCAAGTCATCACAGTAGGCAATGTTGTTGATAGACTGGAGCATCAATTCATACTGGTGCTTGGTCAGGGCAAACTTGAGGGAATTGATCACTGTCCCCGAAACCTGAAAGAAAAAGAACGTTGCTCAAGCTCTCCAAATGATACACAATTCTGCAGTAAACTAGCTTTGACAGCTTAGCAAACATGAGAGGCTACACAAAAATTAAAAGCTATTGTAGTTTATGATAAACAAGCCAGGTCACTCGTTCAGATCCTTCTCGCAGCATTTTTTCACAGGTCACCTCCTACAAGATCAAATCTTCATAAAAGTGTGATGCCTTGGCAATCTAGAATGTAACTTTTAATAGGGGTGTGCGAATATTCTAGTTTCGAATTCAAATGGAATAATGATCCGAATGACTCAATTAGACTATAGGATTCCTGGTATTCGAGTTTTCGAATAATCCGATATATTGAATATTAGTACAGTTGAAAATAATTCGGGTTTATTGAGGAACGCTGTTCATGCGCTGCAATTGTCCTCACAGGTCAGTGTCGGATCTAAATCAAGCCTGAATTCAGCAGCCTTGACTAACAAACCTTTTCCAACAGAAGTTAGTTCGATTTTTTGTGTTCCTCAATTGAAGCACTTGTGGTCTCGGCTTCTTGCAAGCGCTCGACAAAGAAACAAAAACCACGCAGGTCGCCATTTTGAGTTTAAGGGCTTAGCTGCACTTGCAGTCAGCTGGTGCACTCTAAGCCTAACCTTGGTTATTGTGTCCAGAATATAATAAATTATTATCAAAATACAAACGACAGCTATATTGAACCTGCCATCTCTTTCTTGGTGTTGAGCAAGGAGACAGGGCTAGGTGATGCTAGACATCACCCAATTCAAATGATCATATATATCCACTCATCCAGTATGCAGCGTGTCCACTCCTGGATGAGTGGACACATTCTTCAGCTATGTCTTAAGTTCGTCATTTAACTGCAGTCATTAACAACATTTCTATTTGTGCCACCCTCTCTTCTTTCCACATGCCCTTAAGAAAAAAAAAGAACACACACGTAAGGTTGTTTTTTTTTAAATCTATTTAGTTTTTGGTTTAGTCTAGTCAATATTGTGAATACTTTTTTTTTTATGTATACAATTCGACATTTGACCTTTCAGACATAAGACGTAACGAGGTAAGATTGCCCGTTTAAAGTTTTTACACAGACTTGTCCATTCTAAGGTTTCTCAAAATTCCTGTTCTCACGTTCGTCCACTTTCAAGCAGGCAAACAAAACACAATCACTGCTACTCTTCAACGCCTTATTTCGCACATACTAATACATTTAAGTTTTCATATTTCTCAGGGAGAATAAATGAGTGGAATTCATTGCCCCTGGAGCTGTTTTCATCATCTGATTTTTGCATCATCATTGGAATCTTTTTATCTATCCCAGTGACCATCGCAGCTTTGTAGTTTCACTGTAATCTTTGTCGGTGTATACTTTGATGGGTTAATGTTATAACTTTGTGATTTACTAAATTTTGATAAATGTATATTTTGTATGTCTTGTGTTTCTGTGCAGCAGTTTTTCCCCCTTTGTTTTCTTGTTTTACGTGCAACCATTGTTTTGTGTAGCGTTATTTATTTTATCGCCCACCCTGCTTGGACCTTGAAAGGTCCGCAGTATGTACTAAATAAATAAAAGACATTATTTGACACTATTCAATTCGAATTGGGTTCTAGCTTAAATCTAACTACCTATTTGCAAACCTCTAGTTTTTAATGCAATAACCAGCCTGTACAGTTCATTTAACCCATCAAATGTATCCTCCATTTGCCCTTCTTCTTCTTCCTTAATTTTACTGTTAACCACTTTTGAGGTTGTTACAGGAGTGGAATCAAACAGTACCACACAGGCTTTACTTGCCACGATAACATAGAACAAAAGACTTGAAAATTAGCAGTATTCATAACATTGGATGGTAATTCATTCATATCAATAATTTTTAGAGGAAAAAAGGAGAACTTGAATGTGTCATTTTTATAATTACAGTCACCGACCAACTTTTCAGACTTGGCAGGGACCTAAAAAAGGTCCGAAAAATCGAGCAGTCCAAAAAATCAGCAGATTAAAAACCTTGCCTTTATTACGACCAAGCGGGCTTAAAAAAGCCGTAAAGAGTGCCTTTCTTCAGGTTACGCCTCTGTTTGCGTTCAGCCACTTTTTATTAGCTTGAGAAGCGCTGCCTTCTTTTCTAGCATTATGGTAGAGTACTTTCCGTGCTTCTTGGCGACACTTCGCAGCGGCGGAAAAACAGATGGAGTCATGACGTCCAAGCCAGCATAGTCGGAAAACATGACTCACCAAGACAAGGTGAGAGGCGCAAGTTTACGACTGCAATGGCGATTGAACAAAGCAAAATGGTAAAAATGATGATGATAATGACGTGCAGCTAGAGAAAAAAAAGCGATACAGCGTCACCTATCTGTAGGACTTAGCAGTACTCAAGTAGCACTGCCAAACCAAGCCAACCCATTAGCAGCCAACATAGAATCTAAAACGACAGATTCTCGGTAGTGTTTCCCGCACGTCGATCACGACGATTTCATCCGAAAAATCGAACTTTCGGAGTTACAGCTGTCCAAAACACTGGTTGTGAATATGCACTGTTTCTATCGGGCAGGTCACGGTTCCTCCTTTATGTCCGAACATCAAACAAGCCAGAATCATCGGCATCCCGAGAATCGGTCAGCGACGGCATATGGTCTTATTGCTCTGCTGTGAGAATGTCTAATAGACCTAGAACAAAAAAAAATGCAACTATCTTTCTCTATTCTTATTGACAATGAAATAAAAAAATTTAAAACGATTAATTCTCCTTTGCTCCTGTAAGGTGCGCACGCCCGCATCAATACAAAGTTAAGTAGTTGACACCTAAGAGTACATGTTGCACATAAAGTGCACTGCTAGTCTTCGAATCTTCGAAGTTCTGAAATGCAACACGACGTATGTGGATCCAAAATGACGCTTCCTTAAAACTCCAATTACAGGCTCGTACCCTTCCAAGGTAAACACACACACGGGACATTCTTGCAGAGTGAGTACTGCCAGATTCCATAAATTGCCGAGCAAGATACACGCAAAGCTCACTTTCGTGGCAAAAAGAAAAAGGTTAAACTTAATACAGGTACTAACAGAAAACTTCACATTAAACGAAAAGTCGACGACTCTCTACGAACGCCTCCGCAAGTTTCAAGATTAAAACGGCCGCAGAAGACGTCACCTCCAATGTCGGCTTGCCCCGGCGTTGCTTCGACGCCGCAGTCCGTTCACCCCGGTCCCCCAGCCAGGTGAAACCGTCGTTGAACCACCCGAGGTCCCGATCCTCGACGCCGCGCCTGTACTCCACCGTAAACTCGATGACCGTGTCGTGCAGGATGGGGCGCCCGTGCGCCCTGCAGCTGTACAGGTCCACGACCGGAAGCAGGTCGGGAGAGGCGCCTGGGGCCGCCTTCACCGAGGCCCCGAGGTTGTCGTCGATGTTGAGCGAGTAGAGGTTGACGTCCCTGAACTGGACGAAGAACACGTCCGCCTTGTAGGGGTCGCAGGAGTTGAAGGCAAACTGCGGGGACTGCAGCAGCGACGAGTCGGTGTTCTGCACCGAGATGCGGCCAAGGTGGGCCACCAGCACGTTGCGGCTTGAGGCGCTGCAGGGCAGCACGATCACCGGCGTCTGGAGCAAGATGTCCAGCCTGGGCGAGACAGGCAGAAAAGAATCTCGGTTAGGTAGATTCATCAACTGCCCGTGTATGTCGCCCGCATTGACGTTGCGTCAGAGGCCATTGTGGAGGTCCTGCCGCTGAGCGCATACCTTCAGCAGCACATATTCGGCACTGTCAAATTTGTTTATCTCAGTAAGAACAAGTAGGAATGACCAAGGCCACGAACAAGGGGCAATGACATCCCGTGCGAGTCATGTATCGCTAAGCGTCCCCCGAGGTAGGCAATAGGCGTGGACAGATGCCGGGGTTCACTAGATTACTGAACTAGATCTCACGGTAACTACTCTCACTTCCATAGCTGAGCGGAACAGCATCAGGTGTGCCTGCAACACCCTAATTTTTTTCTTTTTTAATGTCAAGGAATTTATTTAACAAATTGGACTTGACAAATCTATGACACTTTTTCACAATGCAATAAAACTATATGGGAGCGCACTTAAAAGGGCCTAGGAAATTTTCTTACCCTATCTTACTATCTACCCTACCTTACTCCACAAACCACTCGACTTCATTAGAAACCTCGACGGCAAATTTTTTAACAGTGCAAAATCTGTCTCTAAGATGAGATTTCTTTGAGCACTTCTACATCTTAAATGTGGAACAAGATCAGATGTCAACCATGAGTGCTTGCTCTGCTCAGTGTCTCATCACCACTAGTAGCAGTACTTCTGTCACCATTGTTAGCCAATAATATGATAGTGTTTGTAATATGTACTTGTGCCTCTATTTACTTTTTGTCTTCTTTGAACTGTAATCTTTTTGTATTTTTCACTAGTGTGGCACCATCATAATGACTCAATAAGAAGTTATAGCCTCGATTGATTAAAAGCATGATCTTCCATCACAGTGTCATGCGATGTTACATCACAATCTCGCATCATGGTATCCCCCGATGTCATTGTGTCGTACAAATTCCCGGCGTCATGCGACATCACAATGTCACATGATGCCTTTCGGGCTGATGACATAATGACATGACACACGAGGACGTCACAGTGAATCTTTTAAAGTGCCGACAACCTCACACGAACACCATGACACCAAAAGCATGATGTTACCGTAGGACAGCATCCTGTGCACACAAAAGTGCTCAGAGCTAGCCCCACGAATGCTACGTGAATTAGTAATATTTTCACGCTCCCCACGAGAGCCCGAATCACCTCACGTCTAGCGGCAGCACAGCCAGTGAATCTGCCACAGTTTCATCCACCAAGACATCCTGCACCGCCGGAGCCGGTGAGTCCTCTGCAGACTCCACGTGGAGGGACACGCCCAGTGGCTGGGACGGCATGTTGACGATGCCAAGGGCCACCTCAGTGGCCGCATCCCTGATTGACTTGGCCAGCACTGCCATGCAGTGCTTGAACTCCACCGCGCATGAGGTAAGCTCGTGCAGCAGCTGGGGCGAGTGGATGTAGCACACCGACGCCGTGCGCACCAGCACGTCCAGGCACTCCGGGGAGCCTCCCGTCCCGGGCGCTCCGGTCGGGTCCATAACAGATCTCCTCGGCTGCATAGGCACATCACGTCGACTAATTGCAAACAAAGTAAAATCAAATAAACAAACGAGTCTGCACATTGCATGCAGTGAAAGCCCGAGTGCGAGGCAAAGACAGAAAAAAGCAAATGACGAGATCATGACAGGGTCTTGTCTCGAGTTTCTGACTTGGTTGTCCTGCAACCAAGTCAGAACTGACTTGGTTGCTGTCTCAAGAGCCGACTTGGTTGTCCTGCAAGTCGCAAAGGAAGGGAGACACAAAGAGGAAGTGAAGACCTCCTCTGCCCAAGTGTGGGGATGCCGGACAATGCCTTGGTCAGACGGGCTAATTTAGTGCGCTGCAACGGGGTGCAATGTCATTTGTGTAGTGTGCCACACGGCTTCTTCCTGAAGAACAAACTCGGCTTCAAGTGGGTTTGCTTCTTCTTCTTTATCATCTTTATCTTTATCTTGGCTCGTGATGATTGATCAGAATCATCCAATTGGCATAAATATTGTCAATTAATGTAATGCTGTGTTAAATTGTGTCTAAACAAATAACAATCAGCACCCAAATGAAACAAAAAAATCATTGCAAAGTGACTTTAAAAAAAAAAATTGGAGAATGAATTTCATCGACCCTGTACTTTCTTCGCTATACCAAAACTGAAAAACAGTCAACCCAAAAAAAACCTGGACCTATGGCAGCTGTCTCTCCAAGAGACTTCCTTACCCTTACAAAACTTTGTAAAATTCTGGCCACCATTATAAGACTTCCAAGAGATTGTTTTAACGCAAAATGTGTTATAGAGCTTGGTTTTCGTGAAAAAAAAATGACCGCATCTCCACGTGGTGAATGATGTTGATGGGGGCGAAGCTCTGGTGATGCTGATGATACTGAATTTATTGTTCATAAGTCATGCTAATGGTGCTGATTTTTTTTTATTGCTCATAGGTGGTGCCGAGTTCCGGGTTGCGTTTCAACTTCATTATTACTGCTTTATGGTCGGAGAAATGCGGAGCCAGTGGTTCTTCTAGCGGATCAGCTTGGATCCGCTAGAAGCCGTGGGAACGCATCTCCACCGCTTAAGTCAACGGTCCATGTCGGAAAGAAAATGTGTGGTATGGAACGTGGTTATATACATATTTTAGCATTTGAATGCAGCGCCCTCTTGTCTATAAACGTTGAGCCAATGCATGCAAAGTTTAACGTGATTATATACGCATTTGACCGCAGCGCCCTCTAATGTATAGACGTTGAGCGGCTACATGCAATGTTTCATCCATGACGGAAACCCCAGCTCTTGAGTTACAGTAAAACCTCGTTATAACAAAATGGGATATAACAAACAAATGGATATAACAAAGCAATCATAATTCCCCTTGCTTGAATAGTTAGAAGAAATGGACATTGGCTATAACAAACTAATGGTTATAACAAAGTAATTATGACCGCTCCTTCAACTTCTTTATAACGAGGTTTTACTGTACTACCACATCTCAGAGCCCCCACTCGTCCCGCAGTCGTGGCCGAGTGGTCACGGCGATGGACTGGAAATCCATTGGGGTCCCACCGCACAGGTTCGAATCCTGTTGACTGCGCAAACATTTTTTCTTTTCATGTGAGCATGGACGCCGGCCGAACGGACGGACGGACAAGGCTAGACCCTAAGGGACTTCGCCCCTAAAAATAAACAAAAAGCACTCTCCTGACACACAACCAACACACCTCGATGTCAGGGTGTCATTTGACACTTTGGCACACACAAACGGCACACACACAGCTCATTTGCAATGCATTCTGCTTGTCTGCGAGTTTATCAAACATAATGAAGACGCGATTAAATTTTTTTAGTATCGATTCAATCATTGCATTAAATTCTCGTCCCTTTTGCGTAAAGCAAATAAACGAGCAAACGGCCAGTCCATCGAATGAAACGGGGAAAGCAAGACACACCTCTGGGCTGGCTTTGAGACCGGAGCGTTTGATGGTGAACTCGAATGCCTTCTGCGAGTCGCTACTGTCGCTGCTGGGCATGGTGGCACGGTAGAGCCGTCTGCTCAGGAGGTCGTGGGTCTCTTGGATCAGGTGAGGGTCACTGCCCATGCTAACAATCCTTCTGTGCAGAGTCTTCTCGGAGATGAGGTCGCAGACCTGCAGGCCCCCTAGAGTGCCCTGGATCTCCAAGGAAGAGCCTGACAAGAAAAAAAAAATAGTTCTTTCTTCAACTGGGACAGAAAGTATGCACAACAATTAACACTAAAGACCACAGAAATGTAGTACTAGTAACTTGCCACTTGTTTTTGTAATCTCTGAGACAACAAGAAAAACAATGACTGAACCGGGCAGGAAACCTGGAAAACCAGTTTTTATTCCATTGGGTTTCAATGCATGTGCTCTAAAACTCTTTATTTGCGAGGCCACCATTTTTTTTTCTTTTTTTGCATATCAGGCATAGAAATTTATTTATAGCTCTCAAAATAGGAGAACTGTGAAACTGGAATTAGAGACCAAAACTGAGAGACTGTGCAGAAAGCGAGGCTAGCTCCAATTATCTTCTTGTACCTATTGTCGATCCATGGTCAAATTGGTTCTTCCATTTATGTGGATCCAGTGAAGGATTCCTACGCATATGCTGGTAAGCTTTTTATCTCTGTGGTCACTATATTCCTTGTTTGCAAATCAGGCATAGTAAGCTCATCCAGTCTCCAAAATGGGAGAACTGTGAAAATGGAATTATAGACCAAAACTGAAATAGTCTGTGCAGCCAGTGAGGTTAGCTTAAAAAAGTTGGTTCCATTTCAAGCTATGCATATCAAGAATCATTGTGTTTTCTTTTAGCAATTGTCCCAATTTTTAGGGGTCGAAGCTCCTTTGCGTCTAGCCTTGTCCGTCCGGCGTTCGTGTCCACATCGATTGCCATCCCATCTGTCTTCTTAAAAAAAGAAAAAATGTTTGCGCAGTTGACAGGATTCGAACCTGTGCGGGGAGACTCCAATGAATTTCTAATCCATCGCATAAACCACTCGGCCACGACTGCGGGACGAGTAGGGGGCTTTGAGATATGGTAGTAACTCAAGAGCTGGGGATGTCATGGATGAAACGTTGCATGTAGCCGCTCAACGTCTATGCAGGAGAGGGCGCTGCGGTCAAATGCGTATATAATCACGCTACACTTTGCATGCATTGGCTCAACATTTATAGACGAGAGGGCACTGCGGTCAAATGCTCAAATGCGTATATAACCACGTTCCATACCACACATTCTCTTTCTGACATGGATTGTCGACTTAAGCGGTGGGGATGCGTTCCCACAGCTTCTAGTGGATCCAAGCTGATCCGCTAGAAGAACCACTGGCTCTGCATTTCGCTGACCATAAAGCAGTAATAATGAAGTCGAAACGCAACCCGGAACTCAGCACTACCTATGAGCAATAAAAAAAAATCTGCACCATCAGCACCTATGAACAAAGTCAGTATCATCAGCACCACCAGAGCTTCGCCCCAATCAACATCATTCACCACGTGAAGATGCGGTAATTTTTTGAAGCACAGTTATGCTTGAAACATGTCGTCACAATAACATTTATAATCACCAAAATACATTCAGGGAAAAGTGTATTAAAAACGGCCGCCGCAACGCAGCGCAGAGGTCCCAAGTGTGATAGACCCCTACGAAGCGAGTGCCAGGGAGATTCCAATGCACGGAACACTTCGACATGCCCTACTATGTCTTGTGCCCCGTAACATTACACTCTTCAGCTTACGTGCAATGGGGCAGATATAAATTATGAAGCAAATTGCAAAACAATTCGAAAAACACTTTTTTTTCTGCCGCTCTGTTTGGCTCTGTTTACCTTTCTTAGCCACTCTTTTCGGAGACTGCTTTCTTTCGGGAAGACATAATATTCTATGCCTTTTTGCCTGCTGCTGTTATTGTAGCACCCTTGCACACAACAGGTGAAGCCACACATTGAAAACTGCGAGTAAACACCCGATTAAAAGTCTCGTGCTAACCGGAGAATTTCCAAATGCCGGCCATACAACATTGTGGCCGGAAAACTGGAGAGAACTACAGTTACCAGAATGCACCGCGGCAGTGGTGGCGTAGCGCAACTCCTGGCGAGATCGGTCTATTCGTCCCCATAGTTTTACTAGCACAACCAAAAATATATTATCAGAAGTGTTGGTCTAGTGAAGTGTGCGATGCGTGGCAGCAACTTAGATTCCATTGCTAAATTGCTCAAAAAAGTCCTAAAGGCACCAAATTTGCGCTCCGGATAACTTTGTCGCACACTGCACACACATCTCGTAAATGTTCGAGGCCGACACCCGCACAAGTTAGAGGTGGCTCACGGATACTTTGAACAATTGAGAATCTCACAAGGCGGCAAGAAAACAAGATCTCACCAATGGACGCCTGGATTTTGGCGCCACTGATTGTGGCGGTGGCCACTTTCTGCCCCGAGACGCTGCCCTTTCGGCTCACCGACCGCAGGAGGAGCACGTTGAAGCGGTGGAAGTCGAAGGTCAGCTGCATGCTGCTGATCTGGCTCTGACTGGCCTGCACGGAGGTGCCAGAACATCCCGTAGAACACCGAGTCCAATCTCGAAAAAATAAAACCCAGTTTCTCGGCCTTATATAAATAAACTGTGCGTCGCAGAAAGCCAAACATCCGTGCGAATGTGACGCTAGCAGCATGGTGCCCGGGACGTGTCTCCGACAGTTGTATTTACTGTGTCCTAAAATTCGTTTGCTCGGCTTTTGCCCAATGACGTCGTAGAACTGTCACGTTGACACTGGCCTGGCGGGGTGACGGTAGTGGAGGCAGATGTGGCAGATGCCTGTTCTGCTGCACGTTGTTCTCGGCTACAGCTGGTCAAGCAGGGGAGAGCCGACAAAAATTAAAAAGCTACTGAAGCCTTGACAGTCGTTGGGCTCTCTTCCGATATATAGCACCGCAGGTCTTGTAAGCCATGCGCCCGCCGGGACTTTTTCATATTGTGCACAACTGTACATATAGTTTGTAAACAGGAAATTCCAACATGCATGTGCCACAACTGATTGTTAACAACAGCCCCATCAAACCCCGGAGTTAAAAACTTTACTCGGTTACAAATAATTACCCTAAAAAGCATATTTCCTCCCATTTAACAAATTTACCTGTGTGCTTGGTGTATCCAAATCTAGCTGAGAGGGTGACGTGGAGAGTGTGCCATCTTCCATGGCCGTGCCAGAGAGGGGCCTCGAGGTGTCGCTGGCTTTCAAGCAATGTGCAAAGCTCACCAACTCCACAATCGTCTCTTGGTTTGCTGGAAGGTAACATGAATGACAGTAACTAGGCTGGTAGTATACACTTTATACAGCTACCGACTTTCCTACGCCTACATGTAACGAAGCGAAATGTTAATGGACCGAATAAGGTTTACATGGACTATAAGGACTCGGTTTAGAGAGGTATAGGGCCCAGATTTCACAAAAGTACAGTTAGGGCATGCCTATCTAGTCGAAAAGACTGGAGATTGATCTCAACTCAATTGAATATCCTAAATAGAAACAAAAATGTTTGCTATGAATGTGGACTGCTGCAACATACTGTTTTTAGCAAAAGGCAGTAAAAGTGAAGATAGTTGGGTACCGTCTTCAAATGAGACAAAATAGCAACACCATTTGAGTCCTGATACTATTAGGGAAGCTTTCCAATTTATTATGTGTCAATGAGCACCCTAATCTGGGACAGAGAAGCTAAGTGACTTCAATGTACTTTTAACATCTTGAAACAATTTCAGTTACTATTATAAACTGTGTTTTGCAAACATAAATGAAAATGCATAAACACTTTCTGAAAAAAAAAAGTTCAAGCCCTCTGCCACCACATGAAGCACATACATGACTGAGAAAGCGAATTCCGAGATTGAAAAGAGCAGGTTACATTCTGAAAGCCGTACCAATCACATCCAGGTTGTTGAACTGCACAGCTGCAATGAAAACCTGTTCACCACTGCTGTTTCCATCGGAACTGGGGATATTGACCATGGTGACTTCGACGGTGATCAGAGCATCCAACTCGTGGCTGTCGAGAACACTGATTGGTGAAGTGCAGTGCCTGTCCAAAAGCACTGCCAAAAACAAAGAAATCACTAATTTACTGAGTGCAGTGATGATCAGTGGCTTAAAGGGAGTCAGTGCCTTCCTATGTTTACAAAATATATCTCCAAAACCACTTGCCAAATTATTTGCTGGAACTCAAATGACCAAATACACCACATTATTACAACCGCACACACTAAACAAATTTTAAACTTACCTTTTTTTCAGAAACTGTATCTCAATGTCAAGCACAAAAAAAAAAAGATACCGTAAAATACCGGGCAAGCGCCCACTCAAACTTTGGAGATAATCGCAAAAAAATGGGGGATAGGCGCTTGTCCGGTCATCAATCTTACATATAAATGTACTGTGCATATTTTCTCAGATCTCACAAATTTGGTAATGGGCGCTTAATGTGGAATGGGCGGTTGCACGGTATTCTACGGTGTATGTATGTATGTATGTATGTATGTATGTATATATATATATATATATATATATATATATATATATATATATATATATATATATATATATATATATATATATATATATTTCAACATAAAATTAAAAACGTGTTCCTCCAATCTTCAATGTGAGGGTTTCAAAACCTGATCTAAAAAAAATTAAAAAAACAACACCTATCCTAGAAGAGAGCTGGAAACCATCTCTTGGCATTATCACAAGAAATCCATGTGCAATCTTCCAAATATTGTAAACAATGCTACAAGCACCATAAAGTAAGCTAGACATTTGGCTCAGGTGTTATGCCATCCCCATGTCTCAGTCGCGAAGGCACGCTTCTTGGGGGCAGGGATGATAAAGAAAATTTGAGGTCAGGAGTACTTGGGAAATTTTAAGGTTCCAGAGACCGGAGACCACATTAAACTCTCAATTACTAGGAGCTAAAGTTTGGTCAGATGATCTCCTTGCCTTTGGGAGGCGCAGTCTGTAGGGTGGAAAGAATGGCCGAGAGAATCTTGGGGACGGCTATCGTTTGTAGGGGTGGAGAGCACAGCACTGGCACGGGAGGACTGGACGGAGACGTGGGCGAGTTGGGGTCGCTGTCTCTGATGCTCCCGCTCCGGCTGTCCATGCTGCACGGATAGACACGCTAAAGACATTACACCGTATATGGCATTCTGCAATTTTATGAGAACACCCATCTCCCTGGCCTAGTACCTGTGGGGTGGCTATTTAGCCGTCCTGCCCCAGAAGCGATCAAATGGTCGCCTCCCCACAGGGCAGTTCACGAAATCGAAGCGGACTTTCGACCTTAGTTTTCTTCCTAGCCAAGGCACTCTGCAACCCCTGGAGGGGCTTGGAGAGACCTCCTTTCCCATCAGATGCAAAGGAACAAACGAGGGGAAGGAAGCCCTCTTTCTCACTGGACTTTGGCTGTGGAACCAACTGGCAAGTGTTTGGGGCAACCGAACATTGGGCGGGCACGGGGTCTAGGCCTACGTTGTAAATAATCTCGGTGAGTATATACTTAGTGTTTAATTATAGTGTTTGTAATTTATGTACAGTGTTTTGCGGCACCTAATAAATGAGAGCAGAAGTTCGCTCCCTCAAATGAACTGGCGTCGGTGTTTGTTTCCGTCTGTGTCGGTGTTTCGACGAATGCAGGACGGACCACATGGGGCCGGTGGCGGCACACCGAGTCCCACGGGTACCATCGAGTTCCAAAAGAATGCCAGCAGCAAAGATAAACTGCTCAAGATCAGGTCCGCGATCCTTCCAAGTTGCAACGGAAAACTCGAATTAAATGTGCGGGTCAACACTACGAACTTGCGTGATGCAGAAGCCCATACCGCAGATACCAGACGTGGCAAATTCCCGTCCCACGACAATACTGTTTTTTGCTCCTAAGAATGCCATTGTGTGTAACTTTACCCATCAATGCAAAAACACCACTCCTGCTCTGTCTAAAAGCAACTGATACAGCCACTGACAAGATAAGAATGGCAGGGCGTCTCTTTTAGACGGCTCCAGCACACGGTCCTCGTCTTTCAGTGTGCTCTGGCTGCACGAGCGCGCTCGAGGATCACAGGGTGCCGAGGAATTATCGAAGGTAGCAAGCTTGTGCAGCAGGCAATACAATCAAAGGACCTTCCTGCCGTTCTAATCTTTTCAGTGACTATAGACCTTTACGGGTGACCTTTTGGGTCAGCAGGCCAGATATCTTGCTACCATCGCAGTCAGCTAGGTGGCTCAACCTGCTGCAAGAGTCAACAGCAGGTGCAATTGCATGCTTGAGATTGAAAATGTCAGTACAAAAAGATACCAACATGTGCTTCGATGATCACGTGCTCGTTTCTTTTACATGCATCCTAAAGTTCTGACTTTTCCGTCTAAAAACAATGGGCAAATGCATAAAGTGGTAGATATAAAATCTTGGGTTTGTAGGAACTGGCCATGATCGTGGCAACTACTACGACCGAGTTGCAACTATGCTTGTATAGCAGCCAAGGTACCGTATTTACTGGGATATAAGTCGACCACGAATATAGGTCCAGGTCTTTACATTAAACTCGCCGAGAATAAATAATAATTCGAATATAGGTAGGTCGACCTTTTCTTTTTTTTAAGGGGGACACTGGCGGTCAAGCCCACTCTGATGATGCCTGCTCACAAAATAGCCCAGCATCATCCACTAATCTAATCACTTAGGGATTGCGGTGTTGTCTTTACGCGAGTATAGGCAGGAAAAACAAGAAAGGCTGAAGGCCAAAAAAAGCCTTCTAAAGCACCTCTGTGTTGCCCCTTCTTGTACCCGTGTTCTTTCGAACTTGCGAGTTCAGGAAAGCCCGGTGGCAGCTCCTAACCTGACATGCTTATGGGAGGCCACCAGGAGCTCAAAGTCTGGGCCGTAGGTCTGCAATGCATCCACCAGCAGCAGGCCGTGGACGGACATGGTGAAGGAAGAGTCCACGGGCCGCTTGGAGAAGGTGGCCTGCACCCCCGTCACCTGCAGCTCTGCTATGCACCTGCCTGGATGATGCAGGCTTCCAGTTATTTCCATTGACTGGGTATGTGCCAATTTTAGCAGGCTGCACAATATCCTGGCCATTTTTGTTTCATAAAGTGCCATATGGTTATTACACTACTCAGCAGGGGTTCTCAAACTGGGTTCCAAGGAACACAGGGGTTCCACGAGCTGGTCTCATGGGTTCCGCGAACACCCAAATTGCAACCCCCCCCCCCCCCCATGCCGCAGGCTGCGCGGCAGGACCATGCAAAGCACCTTCAGCTCACTTTCTACTGATATTGCGATTGATATGGTGGGGATATATGGGAAGCAAACACAAGCAAAATTGCCCACAATTGTGCATCAGTTGCTTCTCGGTCGGCAAATGTGGAGGGAGGGGGGGTGAGGTTCCGCGGCAGTTTTCGAGGCTTCCTGGGGTCTGTGAGGCCAAAAAGTTTGAGAACCCCTGCACTACTGGACCGCGAGATTGTTTAAGAAAGTTGAACGAATTATGTTAGAATTGAGACACCTAAATGCCTAGATCCTTAACAATCACAGGCTGCATTTGATTAAAAAAAACTGCTTTTTATTCACAGTCACTTTTGAAGCCATACATATACCAATATCTGAAGCCTGCTTATCACACGACTTGTGTTCTATTCATAGCTGAAAATTATAATACTGTAAAGATCTTTATCTTTGTGCCACCAATTTTTATTAATTTTATGAACGATTAAACAAGTGAAATTGAAGGGCACATTAAAAATAATTGCTTCAAATTATAACTTATAAATCCTGGTAAAACCTGCATAATTTAAGAGCCACAAATATGTAAATGGATGCATCTGGGAAGTTCAAAAGAAAAAGGTTACTTACCTCTGCTCTGTACTTCCAGACACATCTGTTCAATAGAGCACTGTGCCAGCAGCAAAAGCGAAAGCTCATGAGGTTCCTTTTCTTTGCTCGCAAAAGTCCTAGAAACCGAAAGAGAAGCTGTCACAATTTAATATGAATATAAAGGATACCCTCTTGGGCCTACGAGGCCTTCATCACAATGATTGAAACTAAATCTCATTTGACACGATACAACAAAACGAAGTACAGTTGAAACTCGATTTTTCGAAATTCTCTATTAAACGAACAAATTACAATTCCCGCATAAATTTCCATAGGGTTCCATGATTTTATGAACTCAAAAAATCAAAATATATTTTATCATTAACCAAATCTAATAAAATATTCCACATTAAACGTCGGAAATGCGAGCTTAAAAACATACTTTTCACGTAAGGCTCGGCAAAATATTAGGAGCTGGAGAAAATCGGCCGCCTGCATTAAGTCCTCATTTCAAACTCTTGTTTTTCACATCCATCCATTGAAAAGTGTGGAAAAAGAGCCCAAGTATGCATCTGATCTCGCTGCCCCGTTCCTTTCTTCAACACAAAAAAGTCTGTCCGCTATGGTCATCAAATGTCAATAGATGCGCTCGCGAACGCAGCGTCTGAAGCCAGCTTGTGGGGATTCCTGTGGTCTCCCTTCCCCGATGGCTGTGATAACGGCCGCGGGTCAAAACGCTTGGCCGCCTTTGCCGCCCCACGCTCCGACCTGTTCGTGAAGCGGACGGTACCCTGTCTCGGAGCGCCCTCCTCTCACTCTCTCCCGGGGGGACCTCTTTTTATCCCCCCGCTCGGATGCGGATCACTGCCGACAGGCGAGGAGGTTTCGCCTCTTGTTTTCCTGCTTTCGGGAGGGGGACTCGTCCGGTGACCGCGAAAGAGATAGGACGTGTGTCGGCGACTTCTCCGACGCTTCCCCCGTCTTGGCTCTCTGGAACCCCGCGTCTGGCAGGTAAGGACCTTTTCTTACCATGCCGGCGCAGGGGGCATTTTGGATGGAGACATTATAGTTCTTTTAAAAAAGTGTTATAATAAATGCTCTTGGGCTCTGTCCTTACTCTGGTATGTGTGTCTTCTCTTCCGCTATATTCGAGAAAGTGAGACAAGGTAGCCTATCATTGGCACCGACGGAGGTAATTAATCTAACCGACCCACGGTAATGTAGCCCTAAACGTCGTCTATATTGCCGCGGAGATGTGGAGACCGCGCTACTAGGTTTGACGTCTCCTTTGAGATCACCACCACTGTTGAGACAACCCTTTGGTTACTCTATCGGTACCTGTGTTGGTAGCGAAATCCCACATAAAATGGGATGGTCACGGGTGGTGGTAACTAAATCGGGAGACGCCAAGCCTACTCCCACACCCAGGGTGGCCATATACGGCTGAGCGAATAAGCAAATAGTCGTCCCCAACCAAGCCCAAAAAAAGCGGCGTGACCTTCGTGAAGAGGCCCAAAACAAGCGGAAGTTCAATAAATGTCCACATTCTTGAAAATAGTTCATTAATAATAAAATGAGAAAGAGAACTGGCTCAAATACATAGGCGAACTCGCTCAAATACGAAGTCAGCGTGGCATGCCACTATCTACCGGATAGTGGCACGGAACGCTGAGTAACATGCCAGCTTGAGCTCCAGTTCTGGTATCGTTCTTGGAGGCGATGACTTAGTGAAGCCCATGGTAGTCAAACGTGCACTGGAAAGTGGCCGAGAGTTCCTTACGTGTTTTCCTGTTGCCATGTGCTGAACGAGGTCAGCATGATGAGCGCAGATCTCGCACTTGCATGCTGCTTTTTTATCGTTTCCGGTGATTGCTGCTTTTTTATCGTCTCTAGACTCAACTAAGTAATTCGCAGCTCCCTTCGGATTCATTAGATCGAGTTCCAACTGTAGATCAAATTTGATGTACAAATTCACCCCTTTCCCAAACCACTGTGACAAAGGCAATAGTAACACAGAATGCACCGTGCAGTGCTTCGCGGAGATATTGTGCAGACTAAGACGGTACGTATTTTGTACCTAGACGGGACAAGCGTTGTCATGTGTGGCATCTCTGAAAGAAAGCCCTTTCAGAGCTAATGCTCCAGTGGGAGTGGAACGCGAAGATTACGTCTCGTGCAGTCACACACTCATTTTCTCTGAAGCATGTGCATGTTCTCTTCCCCCTCGCCTCCTGCACGCATTCCCACCATGTGTGCCACTGCAATCGCTCAAAACCTCGTAGATAACAAGGCTCTAGTTCTTGAATTTCTATGTCGCATAGCAAAGGCCAGCACTGGCACAGACTGAACACGAGTGCCGCGTATAGGCGTTTGGCTGGGACTCACGTACAATAGGCGAGGACACGGGTTCTGGCCAAACACCGAGACAGCACTCGTGCGTCACCCTTCCGTTACAGAAAGTGTGTCATAAAAAGCTACAAGGAGCCAGCCATATAGCTTATTCTGTGTTTAAGAAAAAGGACATATATACTTTATTTTGATGGAGCTTTCATTAACACTCTCTACCCCTCTTGTAGCTAGAGCTGATAATTTTACAAAATCAAAAGCCAAGTGCAGGCTACCCAGAAAAAAAAGATGGAAAGGTAAGAGAACCTATCAGTTAAAAGCAAACCGACCAAATGTCATCCAAATCTGGTGTAATTCTCACCCGCCGCCGGTGCCCGACGGGTCATTTTTGGCCGTGTCGTCCAATGACAATAATGGAGTGCCGACTCCCTGGGAGGACCAGCTTTTGGGACGGGCCGAGGTACTCTCTTTCAGCCTGGACAGGCACATCTGGACCGCATGAACCTGGATCATGTTTAAGTAATGTCTATAGATGTGCGAAGGTCATCCTGGTCATCACAGACATCTTGAGTTAAATTCTTATTCCTGGAAGTTTAATATTCACAATGGACAGGGTTGCACCGACATGCATTCATATTACTGCTGCATCACATCCATTTCGTTCAAATCAATGAGTCAGCAGACATACTGCACTGGCTCAATTACCTTTCTGCAGGAGACAGACTTCAGAAGAAACTAACTGAAGCGGCGTCCCTCTGCAAACCAAGAAGGCGCTATTGCTTCACAAAAATTGAATGCCGGCTCTTTGCATGACGTCACAGGAGAAATAAAACAGACCCCTTTCACCTTAGCTCGAAGTCAGTCGCAACATTCATTTCCTTCGTCGCAACATGAACACCATATGAACCTACAAAATGGTGACCCGAACACAATACAAAACACCGGCATTCGACTCTTGCACTGCACTAACCTCTCCTGTATATATACATACATAAAACTAACATTTGATTTTATTAGCCAACGCTTCGTTTCAACCACAAAACCAGCTAGAACAATGCAACTAAACGAATTCCTTCCAATTTCTCCGAAATTACATTTTGCAAAGTGCATGTTCGAAGTGGAAACGCACGCTTGTGGAGATGGAGATTTGGGCAAGTTGTGTGTTCCCTGTCGTGTTCTGATCCTTATGTGCTCTTTCCTCCTACTATGAAACCCAAGCTATTCAGAGAAGGTTTAGCCCAGAGCTTTTGCTAGGAGTATGCACAACCTGAATCCAAAAGTGTCTGAACAAAGTAGTTTGCTTGCCTTTTGCTCATTCACATGAGCCGTAAGCCTCGGCAGCTTCATACTGAGAATCACACTCGGCCAGTGAGGGTCATCCGTGGCTAGCAGACGCCTGCAGGAAGCCGAAATGGGCTTTACAGTTCATTTGAATATGTTGGAGAGCCAATGAACACACTTATAAAAATAAACAAAAATGAAGAGATATAGACTACAATAAGGTAGTGATTTGGGCCAATTGGTTCATAGCTAAGGTAAACAGTGCCAAAAAAAAAAACACAAGGACCCAGGTGTGAGGGCCTTGTCGTGTCTTGTCCCTCTTGCCTTGGTACTCGTGTTTTGTTTTTTTTTGGCGCCGTTTTCCTTGGCAAAGTGTATAATATAGCAACTGCGGTCTATTGGACTGAATATTGGAAGTATTAAATCGGGAGCATAAACCTCTTAATTTAATTTGTTCAATATAATTTGAGCTCACTTTCCACAAAGAAGCTTAAAGCAGTGCCAAAGATGCAAAAAATTTTCTTTGTTAAAGAGAACACGATTAAAATTTTTGCAAAAATTATAACAGATTGGGGATCCTTGCACGACAAATAAATTGCGGCATCAAAATGGCTTTCTGTTTCATCTATTGGAGAGGAGATCAGACCGCGGCACCCCAAGCGACTAACTTTAGAGCTATACACGGATGGGGACAACTGGGACCCAGCGCTGGGCTGGCGTAACTGAATGCTGCATCAGCGTTCAGATGGAGTTTGTGTTCTCCTGCCACCCGAGGGGGAGGAGGGGCTTTTTTGTTACCCCTCCGGCTTACATGAACAATGCAGCATGCATGGTGCACATGCCCATCTCAGCACAAAAGTCGAAGTGGGTCAAGCTTGCATTCACTGACGACTGCTTTCGGGAGAGATCCGACACTAACGATAAACGTCACTTTGTTTATTGTTAGTATTTTTACGTTACACTGTGCCCCGCGCTCTATTGAAGATGGTGATGTGAACATGCCCCCCAGGCCTGTGGGCGTGTCCACAGGCCTTGTGTTGGGTAAACACCGAAACAAGGAGACAACAAACGGGTCAAAGCGCCCCCTATAATTCGATCTCCTCGCCAATAGGCACCTTAAAAATGTTATCAGATGATATGTTCCCGGATTTTACTGCGATCCCCTAAAATGAAATACAAAAATAACCAATAAATGCCTGATTTTTGTCGATTCTGTTACAAATGGGTTCAACAGTACTCCAGCTTTTAAGACAAGCTCACAAAGTCTACAAGTGTAAGTACTATGTTGCGAGTGTACCTGTCACATCTGCACAGCAGGCCCACTCGAAGCGTTGCCTGCCATGCAACCGAGTTTTATTCGAGGCGCAATGCCTGCACCTGTAGGTTTGGCTTTGCTCCTTCTTTATGATGAAACGAGGCATAGACAAAACGCCCATCTAAAATAAAGTTGATGATGAATGAAAAGTTGCGATTAAGGACTTGAGAAATGATGCTACCTCTCCACCTGGATGCAGATGGAGAACCTGTCCAGGACGTGCATCCTGCTGGTTCCCTTGGACTGGGCAAACATCCAGCTCTCCTTGCTCGTGCCCACTAGCACCTGCATGTCTTGCAGGTTCAGGGAGTACCTGAAAGCATGTTCACTAGCCATCAGCATCCCCTGTTCCCAACAGTAGAACAAAATTTAAATAATGTTAAGTAAAGATTATTATTTTACTATTATAGAACTGTAGATCCATAAATGACCTGCACGCCCTTTAAAAGGGGGTACGGAAACGAAATTCCAGCGTTCATTTTCTGGCTTAAATGTGCTGCACGTTGCAGCATAACCTCAAAAACAACAGTCTTTCGTTGAAAGACATAAGAAAACTAAATTTAAAGGTAATTAAACAATCTTTCAATGTGCGCCTGTGAACCTTAGCTGGGAGGTGATCTAGCAACGTTGGGGATCTGGCTACGTAGGTCATGATGTAGCAAGAACCGTTATGTAGCCGCACTAAACATCGGACCAGCGCCGCTCTTTGGAAATCCGCTCGACTGTTTAAAGCAGTCATGAAACGATTTTTCTACATACTTTTGTCGCTCAAAACTCAAACAGAAGTTGCTTTCCCCGCCTCATTCATCCCTAAGCTGACAGTGCTATGAAAGCTATGTGCTCCTTTGGCCAGCCACAAGCTTGTCACTTCACGGGCACTTCGAACAACTTGGTTGTAACGCGTTGGCTCTATTGACTCCACCACAACGCTGACAACACCACCAACGGCAAAGCTCATAATCACGTCAGCCTTGCTATGTCAAAATGAGGGAAATCTGTTTTCTCTGTTTTTGTTTGCGCCGAATATCCCATGACGCATCGCGCTCTCCGTTCGCTACTGTGCGAGCGCTTGCTCGAGTGCACCATTTGGAACGAAAAATATAGCCAGCCGTTCCAAATACAAACGTGCAATTATCATTTAAGGCTATTATCCATCATGCTTGACTCATTTCCAAACAAAACTTGTATACTATTTCAATTTTCATTACCGTACCCCTTTAAAAGCGAAAGCATTTAAAAATCTGTGCAGACCAACTGAAACCGATCTGCACATAATTTTTGATGTGCAGACCAGGCCCTACCAATTGAAACATGGCCAACGCCTTTCAATCACCCTCGAAAGCATTGCAATCAGAGTAAGTGCATGTCTGAGATGTTCCACAAGCTTCCCTTTCCCACTGAAAGAGCAGGAACATTTTTCAGTTATTAAAACCATGGCACATATGTGCACTTTCCTGGTGCAAGCAGCATTGCCATAAGCTGGTAATTGATACAGTAGAATCTCAATGATACGATGACGGTTCATCTAAATTTTGGGATGATACGAATTTTTCGAAATCCCCGGCCAATGTCCCTTAAGACTAATGTTTTTTGTTTCGGGACAGTTCGAATGCTTTCTCGGTCCGCGATGGATCATACGAACAATGATCCATGTTTACACATTCTTTACCGCTCATTCAAACTAGAAGCAAATCCGTGTTCGCAAAGCGGTTGCAAACGCGGTTGTACAAAGATCCAGTACAATTGCACGCACGCTCGATGACATCAATTGCGCATGACATTGTACTAAATCTTTATAAAACCGCGTTCGCAACCACTTCGCAAACGCGGATCTGCTTCCAGTGCGAATGAGCGGTTAGGGTGGTATCACTATGGGCTCCAATTGTAGCAGGAGTTTTTGTGTAATTTCTTTCGCCATTGTTTCTACATATGCGCCGTGCAATCACAATAACCATGGCAGCGTTCGAAAATTCGTAAACATACCCATGTCCAGCGTTGCTGCACTATCTGCATTGTCACGTTATTCAAATTTGACTTGCCGGAGTAACTCTAGGGTTGCCGATTTAGTATTGTTGTCACATGATAAACGAGTTTCAGTACCTATCAATCACTCAAGTGAACATGAGAAATGACATTCGGAATCAGCATTGGTCATGTGGTCGTCAACGACCAAGCATCCGCAGAACTGTTTCTGTTTGCACATGCACGTCTGTTGAACTCCGTGCACAGCAAGGAGAGTCAAGTAGCAGAGATGATGACGGCAACGTAATTAATGACGAGCAACCACTGAAGACTGCTGAAGCACTGCATGCCCTCGACGTGCTGTGGCGCATAGCGAGCTCGATCAAGATGAGCAACGACACGTGTGCATGTTTTTACACGTTCCAAAGTATCTCCTGGGAGGCATTGAAAAAAAAAAAGACTCGGAAGAACATTATTGACATTTTTTGGCTGGGAGTGTGGCCAATAAATTGCAAGTAGCTCCCCCTTCGCTTTCATGTACTTTCATGTAAAAGTACATGAAAGTACATGTGAACCACGAGATTCGTATTATCGGGATTCTGCTATAACTGCTTTTGGTTAATGTGATAAATAAATTCTTTTTTTTTTCTTAAATAATAATGAAAAAAAAGAAAAGAAAGACCTTGCTATGTTACAGTTAGGTAGTACAATGTTAACACAGAGACGAGCAGTATCCACTAGCAAATTTTATTAACGCTGTCCCAAATACTTTTGGTGCTGGAATTTATCCAGCAAAGCTCGGATAGGTTCCAGTTCTTACCTCTTGTACATGCGGTCCAGGATGTCCGACTCTGTGAAGGCAGAGCCCTGCCCAGAGCTGATGACGAAGTTGTCGTTGATAACGCTGCACTCCTTCCTTAGAAATGAGCTGTCAGGCTTTTTTGGTGAAGTTTCTTCGAGCTGAACAAGCTCGGGTGGTGATGAACACGGGGTTTTGAAGTCTCCACGGTAAAATGAAAACATGCCAAACTTATGAGGATACTAGAATACAACCTGTTTACAAGATCATGTTTAACTTTACAATAACAAATTGAGAAAGTTTACATTTTGAAGATAATACAGCCAAATCGCGTTAATTCCAACTTGAGGGGGACCGAAAATTTGTTTGAATAAAGCAAAGTTTGAATTACCGGGAGTTTCCTCCCATAGAGACACATAGGATGGGACCTGCATGTTAGTTTGAATTATCCATAAGTTTGAATTAAGAGAGTTTGAATTAACGAGATTTGACTGTATACAGCAATTCCTGGATACATGCTAAAGCATTCTAAACATTTACATTTTGTTATCCCGAAAATATAGATGCATACATGTTGTACCTGTTAAAAGAATTGTGACCTTAAAAAAAACTAAAAAGAAGGATCCAATGGTGGATTCTTTGGGAATGTGTTAGCACGACCCTTGGGAAATGCCACACATGTCCCCCTATGGGAAATGCTAATGCAGACCCCTTCACTTTTCTGTTTTGGCTTTCTCTTTTGCTGCCACTTTTTGGCCTCGTTACAGGGTCAGTGTTAGCGTTTCCCAAGGGGGGATGAGTGTGGCGTTTCCCAAGGGTCATGCTAACACATTCCCCAAGGATCCACCAATGGATCTTTCTTTACTCTTTTCTGGCGAAGCGGATTCGCGGAGCCCGCTTCGCCCCAAACTCTGTCGCACGGGACTCGCGTCGGCTCAAGGCTTCTTGCCCCACATTTCGGCCATCCGAGCTCGGCGCTGCTTCCGCTCCTCTATCTTGTTCGCTCGCCTAGCACGCTTAGTAGCAGCAGCATTCGCTGCCTGATGCTGCTTTCGCTGTTCACCGGTTTCCCGCGCACGCATTGGTTTCCACTCCGCGACGTCGCCTCCCCCTCGCCTTTGCCCTTCACTGCTCTTCTCCTCCCTACGTGGAGTGCTTCCCTTTCCACTGTTTTGTCTGCAGACGGAGGGCATCGATTCTTCCCTGTCGTGTGGCTACTAACGCATTAAAATTAAAACGCAGCACCCCAACCATTATGCAAATGCACCAGACTAGCCCAGGGCCTCCCATGTTCCACCACAGTAGGATATCAAAATTTGTTTTTTCAAACGCAGGGTATTAAAAATATTGGAACATTACGAAGTTCTACCATGATATCGCGAGAGATAACCCACCTTAAATTGAAAGCAAATCAGGAGAAACTAAGAAGTAGGCTAACTTTCGGTGTGTGATAAAAAAAAAAAAGAAAGTGGAATGTTAGTTTTAGATTTTGTGACCTGTGAATGTTGTGATTGCAGGGAGGAGCAGTGCACCCAGGACGACGGTCCTTCCCAGTCAGCAACGTCCACGTATCTCCCGCCGGGGCTGAGTAACACCATTTCTACCGGGGTCGCCATTGACTGGGGGCCTTTAATTACTAGAAGTGGGCTGCCTTTCGGTGCTTTTGAAAGAATAGCAAATCAAGTCAAAAATAGGGGTGGGTTACCCTTCGGGGGATGGGGCATCTCTCGGGATATTACGGTAGTCGTATATAAAATTTAGATGTTACCGATTTTTTCAAGTCTTGTTAATTTATTTTTAGTAATATGCAGACATAAAAATTCACTTGGCTTTAGGGGAAGTCATTTTATTAGAAACAACTTTTTTTGCTGAGGAAGAGCCTTAACTATTCCGTTTGCATATTTCATCCAGAAAAATATTTATATACCAATAGCTGATCTAATATTGAAACCTCATTTACATGCAATTATTTATGTATTAGGTGAGAAAAAAAATGAAAGCCGCTTACAACTCCCTGTAACGCCGAATTAGAGCGCAGCTCTTGAGGAGGAGGAGGGAAGGGCACTGGGGGTGGGTTAAACTAACCAGGGGGGGGTCACGTTACCTTGGGGGTCACGTGACCCCCAATGCCGATGATGTCATCACTGACGTCACTGATGACGTCATCAGTGACGATGACGATGCGGGTACCGATGACGTCATTAGTGACGTCACTGATGACTTCACCAGTGATGATGACGATGACGATGCGAATGTCGGTGACGTCATCAGTGACGTCGCTGATGACGTCATCAGTGATGATGACGATGCGGATGCCGGTGACGACATCAGTGACGTCACTGATGACGTCATCAGTGATGATGACGATGACAATGCGGATGTTGGTGACGTCATCAGTGATGATGACGATGACGATGTGGATGCCGGTGACGTCATCAGTGATGATGACGATGACGATGTGGATGCCGGTGACGTCATCAGTGATGATGACGATGACGATGTGGATGCCGGTGACGTCATCAGTGATGATGACGATGACGATGCGGATGCCGGTGACGTCATCAGTGATGATGACGATGACGATGTGGATGCCGGTGACGTCATCAGTGATGATGACGATGACGATGTGGATGCCGGTGACGTCATCAGTGATGATGACGATGACGATGCGGATGCCGGTGACGTCATCAGTGATGACGATGACGATGTGGATGCCGGTGACGTCATCAGTGATGATGACGATGACGATGTGGATGCCGGTGACGTCATCAGTGATGATGACGATGACGATGTGGATGCCGGTGACGTCATCAGTGACGATGACGTCATCACCGCGCGAGCCCCCACCAAGGTCACGTGACCTCGTGGGGGGTCACGTGACCTCGAGGAGGGGGCCACGTGACCTCAGGGGAGTCACGTGACTTCGGGGGGTCACGTGACCCCCCACGAGGTCACGTGACCTTGGTGGGGGCTCGCGCGGTGCATTATGGGACATTTCCCATGATGCACCGCGCGGTTACGCCGACGCCGACGGCGACGGCGACGCCCCTCAAGCCGGAAACGGGCCCCTAAGAGCTGCGCTCTAAAACTTGTTATGAAGCCTAATTATCAGGGTCTAGGGAAAATGCGCCCCAAACCATCCAAACTATGCATGCTCCCATGTCATTTTTTAAAGATGCTCAAAAATAGTATAAAACCTCTTTGACTGAGAAGCTTATATGTTCAATTATTGCCTGAAGTATAATAAATGGATAAAAAAAAAGGCCTCAAAATAACTGGAAATTGAAGGCTGTTGAGGAAGTGTTAGGAACCAGGTGCAGAAACAAGTTATGTTCAGAATATGGTGGCCCTACAGTCAACAAATAAAAATTAATGCCTAATACATATTTAATACATAAGAAAAAAAATTTCTTGAGGTATCTACAGGATCAGTCTCAATAACAAGTTACAATCACACAGGAGTGTTTTAATTAGCTGAGATTGTATTATCAATGACAGAGTCGAATTTCAAGCGATCAGCATTGAATCTAAAGATGAATCAAGGGAAACCTTGAACGAAAGGGTATGAAGTGATAAGCTTAAAGGGAAACTGAAGCGGTTCTCTATTTGAGAAAAAACATTTCAATGGCCTTCATTCTACCTTCAGGATCAGGAATATCAAGATTATTTTTCAATTTGGTGCACGGAGGCTTCAGAAATTAATTTTTAAAGTACCGCCGAAGCCCCTCCTTCCCGGGGCGTGACGTCACACTAGGAGCGTTTGGAATATCTGCTCTCGCGCATCTTCAGCGCCTGTCAAAGCTATGCACGCGCACTCTTGCTATTTTCAGAAAGGTCAGAAAGAGACGTCACGACTGGTGTCAGTGCGGGGAAATATATCTGGCAAGCTTGCCGTTGCACGCGCTGAACACACGAGCGACACGCGCTTGGCGGCCCGAAGATCCTAGTATGACGTCACGACTGGTCGAATGTTTTTTCGCTTTTTCTCGCTTTTAGTTGCATCTTCAGGGAAAACAAAAGTGATATTCAGATTCACGGGATAAAAATACGCCAGAATTCACCTCTAACTCGTTTTTTTCAAGAAGTGTTTCAGCTTCCCTTTAAATTACATTTTTGCGTGGGTACTAGGAAGATGAAATTAAGTTCATATTATTGATGTCCTTTACCATAATGCTTACATTTGAAGACATCCAGATTGCAAGCTTTAATCTTTTTGACGTTATATTTTGTGTGATATTAGACGTGCAGATCCCACTAAACATTTTCTGTAAAAAAATTAATTTATTAATAAATATGCATGATGTCCCAGTGATAAGTAATTATGCCCAAGTAACTATTTAATGCAATAGACATATGCTGCAAGATGAGTAAGTGTCATGGAACTCCAGTACTTTGAACAAATACAAGTTTTGCACTCTATTAATGTTGTAAGAGTGAATATACCCAAGGCACGAAGACCCCAAGCAGCTCCGAAGGGAGGACAACTCACCTTCATCATCAGAGATGTCTTCCATCTTGTCAGGAGGTGTTTTATGAAGCATTGCAGAGTTTGAGAACTGCACGTGTCCCAGGTCTATGAGAACCTGCATTTCGCCACAATTTTTAAACGAGCTCGCTAGGAGCTTCAAAGGGATCAAACTATACACAGGGTGCCAGAAACTTTTATTTTTTTTCTCAGCCGTTGTAAAAGTGGTCTTATGTGCCACATCCATGAATAATGTGACTTTACTCATGGATGGTACAACTAGGTATAACAGCATGTAACCTAACTATAGTTCACTCATAGCAATTCACTCATTATACCCTTTCACCATCATTTGAATTAAAAATAAACAAACACACCCTCCAGGATTGTAATGGTTGCAGCTAAAAGCTGTCACTTGTTTTTTCTTAATGAAAAAGGAACAAAAAACAGCAAGCTAAATATAAACACAATATAAAATCAGCAAAAATAAATTACAGTGATGATAGAAGACACACAAGCAGTATAAAAGTAAGAAAGATGCAAACTTTTATAAGGCGATCTTAGGAAAACCCTTTAATTGTAGCACCAGCTTCAAATCAATCTGTCATGCCGAAATATCAAAACCTTATTTGAGAAGACACTGCCATTCAAAAATGCCCAGAAAGGTGAGCGCAAGAGACCGGTATAAGGTGGTGGAAGTCCTTACCACAGTGGAAGAGCCTTCTGAGAAGCTCTCCGGAACAATGATTTGTGGAGCACAGATGTCCATTTGGACGTCCCACCGAGCAATCTGAAGCTGCAACCAAACCAAAAGTACAAACAATCTACAAAAAAACTCTCAATAAATCGAAATCGCCTTCTGCAAATTTCCGGCTAATTCGAAGTATGGGTGCTGTCCCAGTGACTGCAAGTATGATGCTACGAAAATTCACAACAGTGTGCGAGGAAGTGACAGCGATAGCTCTAATTACACGTGGTAACACTCACTCTTATGTATATGCACTCTTCATTTACTCAATCACACACAACGCGCCCTTGTGGTCACTGAAGTATCTAGGAAAGGTAACACAACGCACATGCGAGTCAACGCCTCTGCCCAAAACCAAATTGAAACAAGTGCCGTTACGAGTAGCGGGTTTCTCAACATTTGACAGTACACGCAAATCTAGTTCTATGGCGTGAAATGAGTAGCGGCGTCCCCTGCCAATCGCAGAAGTAGAAGACACTACCACCCGGTGCACCTTGCCTGGCGTTACGGGGCAATAAACATGCCAGTGAACGTGACACGATGTTTTCTGCATGGCACCTTGCCAACGCCAGAAATGCAGCTGGGAAGTCCCTATAACAACTATCGCCGTAAAAATTGTGCATTCATTTAAAGGCTACATTCTTGGACTTCATTAATTATGTGTTTTCCGTTTGCATGTCCCAAAATTATAGGCCTACAGAATGCCTTAAGGTACCGTCCCTGCAATGCGGTTCAAAGTGCAAGGAAGGCAAGGAAGGGAGGAGTCGCTCACACTGCTCTCCTTCCCCTCGAGCATCAGGTCCCAGCGATGGCGGAGTTCGTCTTTGGTGTGCTTCTTGAACATCTCGTAGCGGGAGCGTGCAGCCGCAGAGAGGTTCAGGGCCTCCCCTGACCGGGGACTGCCCTCGTAGTTCCACAGTGTCAGGAACCGCTTCACCGTCCGGATGGTCGAAGGGTTGTACACCACGTCCAGGGACTGGGTGTTAACCACCAGGCTGCAACCGGCAGTAGATGTTCAAATGACCCATTTACTCGGGTGCATGATGCATTTACAAAGATCAGAAAGCAACCCCGATGCTAAGGTAGCCCTAAAATAGAAGTAGACATCTCAAGCTAATAACAATCATGCATTGCAGCAAGTAACAAAAAGAAAGGACAAACAGTTACAAGCTCCTAGCCAGCAACATGGAATAATCCCTCGCTATAATGAAGTCCACAAGACGACAGAATTCAATAGAAGCGATAGAGCAAAAAAGAAAAACAGCGCCATCAGCCTTGAAGGTTATTGGGAACACTGCGGAACACTCTGACCGTGTATTTCACTGTCTCTTCTCATGAGTGTTGCTCGCTGATCATTTTGTTGCAGTCGTTTTGTTCTCCTTTTGTCACCCCCATGGCACCGTGTGAGCAAGTGTCAAGTCTATTAGCGCAATCGTTGGAAGGGTTCTATATTTGCAAAATGCGTGATTGGTGCAATGAAAATTTGGTACATTGCTTACCTCAAATCTCCGCTTATCTCAAATCTTTTCCCCAGTTTTTACGACTTCGAGTTAACGAGGGTTTACAGGAAACGTGGTCATTACCTGTGGTCTGCACTGGACCCAAGTGGATTCCTCTCGTACGTCAGCTCAAACAGAGGTGTGGAGGGGCAGTCTACTTTGTCCCCAAGGGGCAGTGGAATGCCGAAGGGGGAACTTGATGTCGAGAAGGGCAGGAACTTGAAGATGGAAGACTGTGGCTTGGTCCCATCGCCCACGCTGACCTTGGGGAAGACATGCAACGATTCCTGCATAGAAGTAGCCCACGCACACTCAAGTTTGTCCCTAAATAGTAGGGATAAGCGAAGATTCAGTTGTTACGAATAGCCCATCGAATTCTGTTCTATTCGGCATTCGCTTTCAATCGAATTCAAGTACATTCGACAATATTGAATTATTCAACCTTTCCGAATACTCTGGCTTGGATTTCCAGCCAGGTGGCGCAGGCTTCAGACCCTTTCGACCATTTCGTGCCCTGACCTCAGTACGTTCAATCATCTCGTGCCCCTGACCTCAGTACACTTGAAAATTATAATTACAGTACTTCTAATACCGAATAAGGGCAAATATAAAACTATAGTTTAAACATATCTAATGGTATTTGTTGCTTAGACTATTCAAACTATTCGATTCGAAATTATTCGGCCAAAATCACTTTTCGCTTCAAATTCGATTCGGACCCAAAATCCTCTATTCGCCCATACATATACAAGAATCTTAGAGATTTTCGCACGTCCAGTGACAAGTTGCGCCTTCGAGTTTCAATGAAAACACACACTATCAAATGATAAACAAAGAAACAGCATAATCCCTTCCGATTTCGTTGCATGTAGCCTGCCCAAGACCTCACCAAAGAGCCCAGGCTTGCAGGTAAAAGTTTCTACGTCGAATCTTCACATTTGAATCCGCAATAAACTTTCTTCGCCCGACTCGCGCAACCAATCTAGCAAACTCACTTTCTCTCATGAAAAAAGCACTTCAAACTTTGTCAGGTCAGACTGCTGACAACATAAAGTTGATATACTAACATGAAGAGAAACTAAAGGTTGGGGAGATGAGAGCGCACGGGGACATCTCAGTGCTTCGACGTCCCTCCTGCACGCTCTCCTCTCCTCCTCTTCCTCAGTTTCTATCTGTACAACCTAAAGAAAAAAGACCAGTCTTCCCATGCATTTTGGTCACCATGAACTGCGGAGCATACATGCAGACGTCGGGGGACCCAGTGGGCCCATATTGCCGGTGACGGTTTAATACTTGCAGAGAAGCAACAGAAACATCACTAGCAAGGTCTGTGCCTACCCTAACAGGGGTGGAACTTATGAAATGTACTTGGGAGCAGCCACGGGAGCAGCTGACACAGCTACTTTGGAGCAGGTTGGGAGCAGCTAAAACTACATTCTGGAGCAGGCTAGGAGCAGCTCAAATCAGTTTTCATTGCACTTCAGCTTGTGTCTTAGACAAGCACGGGAGGCATTTCAATTGTGCTTAACAGCACAGATGTGGTTAGGAACCTAGGTAGATGGGATAACAGTGCAACATATGCAAAAACTTGAAACTTTGTGAGCCTTAATGAGAACCCAAAAGCAAGTACCACATGTTTCTGAAGATAGTGTCCTTGACATTTTCTGAGTGGCTTTAAGCTGCTCAAAATGCAAACCAGCACTGCTTATAGCACAACCCACACGTGCTGGACATACTAATTACATGCGCAAACTAAGTGACGTGCATAAGCAACGGATGTGCAGTTGCGCGGAGGAACAGGGCAACAAATTTCTAGTTTTTCCTTTTGAACAACTCAATATCGAAGCACTGCAGACTACGATTAACGGAGTTATCGTACTCTAAGCGATAAGCAGGAGTAAGGCTAAAGTACGCCGAATAGATCTACCCCTCGCGTGAGAGTTGCCGGCCGGCAAGTTTCGGATCGGACAGCGTTTCAGTTCTATCAAATCACGATTTATCTTCCAGGAATGTGGTTCCAACTTCTAACGATGAAGTCCTAAAAGGAATCTTTTGCTAATTTGTTCTCAACTGGCTGACGTCAGATCCAGGGCCACAGAGCCTCAGGTAATCTTGCGCTTAACGACTCGACCTCACCTCGGCCGACTTGCTTAGCAGCTTACAGTTGAAGGATAACAATCCAGTCGCAGGTGGTCTAGCGCTTAGAATCCGACCCCCGAGTTTTTTCACACGCTTTCGACTCGAGATACACCAGGAAAATAAACAGAACAAAGGATTGCAAGGCCGACCAAGCTAAACGCGCTCATTGTTGTCAATTGAGTCGATAAAAAATGAAACCAAGACAAAATACAATTTTTTCTGGCGCACGTTGTGCGATTTGGAGCATAATGACGCGAGGTATTGGCTGTGGCGCAGTTTCCGCGAAATGGCGCAGGATGGCGCAGACAAATGCGCCTGGAGCAAAATGGCGCAAATGGCGCAGCCGTTCCACCCCTGCGTAATATACCGGGCAAGTGCCCACTCAAAACTTAGAGATAATCGCGAAAAAATGGGGGATGGGTGCTTGTCTGGTTATCAATTTTACTGTTCATATTTTCTCAGATCTCACAAATTTGGGAACGGGCGCTTAGTGTGGACTGGGCGGATGCAAGGTATTCTCTGGTAATTATTTCTTGGTTTTATCTTGCACGAAAATGCTGGCACTGAGCATTCTTTAAAAAAAAATGCAGTCTACAAGTGCTGGAACCACTTCAACTCATCACGACAAAACGAACATAGCCTAACTTTCTGTCCACTTTCTTTCTCCACTTTTCTTTCACTCTCTCATTCTATCTCTCAAGACCACCGATGCCGGCGCTTACGATTCCCTGCGTTCTGCTCCTGCCTTTGCCCTGCTGGATTTCCCTTTTTGCTTCCCCCCTCAAAGAATGACACGACGCGCTGGTTCGACAACGCAGTCTTTTGTTGGCTTTCGTCGCCACGCGCCGCAACCGAAAGACCACTCCACAACGTGACATCCCAACTCCACGCACACCTCCCGCCGTAAGAAATTTAAATTTGTCAAAAAGTTCTTGGGTTTTCTTCTTGGGTTTCCACCCCCCTCAATTTTTTTTACAATCATTCTTCAGTTTTGGGGTTTGTGGTTGATAACCTTGGAACCACGAACTGACCTCGAGATATGCAGTTGGAGCTTCCCACGCAGAGACTATCTTTTTTATTCGTAAATTAAAGCAAGGTTCGTTCTTTTATCTCAGTCCCTTTTTTATCCACGAACGTTCTCCTCTGAACTCAGGGTTTGGGGTCGCGACATTCTGGAGGAATGAGCAGTCGCTACATTGACCTTGCAATCTGCGGTTGGGGCTTGCGGGGAGAGATGAACTTGCTTGTATTTTGCGAACAAAGCAAGCTCGGCGTTTTCATATAAGATTAAACAACCATGTCCAGTGACCATTTTTAATTTTGATGGAAAAAAAAAAATTTTACTATAGTCAGTTACAGGTTAAGAAGGTAGTGGCAAATGCCCCTCAAAGGGAATCAGATACCCCTCCGCCACCTCCGCATCCAATAGCGTCCCACCGTTTCCGTGACGTCACGGCCAACACGCGAGGAGGGTCTTGCCTTTCTGTACATATTTGCTTTATCTTTCGACTTTGACTTAGCATTGTGGAAGACACGAGAGGGAGATTAGAGTTCTCCCCCACCGACGGAAACAAATACGACTTTCGGGGATTAGCTTCCCCCCCGATGGATACAAAGGCTGCTTTCAGGGGCTCGGTTCCCTCTCCGATGAATACAAAGGTCGCTTTCTTAAAAAGTGGGATCGGAGACAACTGGGAATTCATTGAAGCGGAACAAGGAGCGTTTCCAGTAGACTCTTCTTTCGACTGCGGAGAGATTTGAAACGGGCGCTTCACGCTTGTGGGAGGAGCTTCTCCTACCTTCTTGACTTGTAACCGACTATAGCTTCATACCCAAAAAAATTAAACCAATCCTTGCTAACAAAAAAAAAAAAAAAATCTCTTTGAAAAAAATTTGTAAACACCCTCTCAGTCACGTGCGCGTTTTGCGTATCGCGCAATGTTGACAATTCGGGCGGCTTTCCCTGAAAAACTGTTCTGGCTGCGGGTCTAGAAATATTCACTGACGAATTAGGCATAGGAAGGATTGACAAAAAATATTAATCACCGAGTATTAGGGTCGTTATTTTAAGAAAAAAAAATCGCAAACACGGCACATTGCGCACTAACGCCCTGGATTAAAGATTTGTTTTCTCCATAACTATAAAAGCTAAGGTCTTCAAACTTTGCCACTGTGTTGCCCTGTATATAGTTCATCTTCGCATGAAATATTGTTGTCCTGGTTAGCGGGAGAAATTTACAAGAATTGCTCAGACAGGGGCCTTTAACTAAATATGCATTATTTTGAAAATCATTTAAAAAAAAAAGGCCATCTTTAATATTCTTTAAACTCTCTGAAATTAATGTTTATAATATGTACTACCAGAGTCTGCAAAAACATAATGCAATATTTGTGTGGCTTCTAAGTTATAAAGCGAGAAATATGGCCAAATTCACGCTCACGCGGTTGCCACATATGGGGCGTGCACATTTTCATTATTATTAAAAAGCGCAAAAATGCTACGGGGTAGCCAGGAAAAGACTAATTGACAGCACAGAGGTGGACGGTAGTTTCAAAGGGGAAAATTCCTGATCCATTTTCGTACAACCGACCCAAAAATGCCCATGGGCCGGAGCGATCGAGGTGCGCCACAAAGTAACATGCTTCGCGGTGCCTGTTTCAACAGCCCGCATTACTGTCGAGACCGGTTATAACAAAGGAAGTTATAACAAAATAGCGGCTATAGCAAAGCGATCACAATTTCCCATTCCCTTTTGAACTTTGTTATAACCAAAGTCGGTTATAACGAAATAGCGGATATAGCGACGTGATTTCCGATTCCCGTTCACTTCGTTATAACCGGTCTCGACAGTACAGCGTCTCCGTCTACGCGACGTAATGAAGCAACCTTTGCAAACAAATCAGCCTACAACCGTGGCGGTAACATGATATAGGAGGTAGGGCGCGGCAGAACCTGAACGTGCGCCGCCTGTGAGCACCAATAGATCCGCCGCCGTGGAGGGCCGCACAACGCGTAAAAAATAAAGATACTTAAAAAAAAAGAATTCCGATCGACTGAAATTGTCTGTAACTTAATTTATCATACAACGGTCTGGAGAATTGTGAAATCCAATTTGGGTATGCTCATGTGACCTACGTAAGTGATGGTGCATCAAGCCACTTTAAGACTAAGTACAAACTACACGAGCTGCAGAGCCACAAGTACAAGTCAATAAGGTGTATTTTTTCCGGAAATTGACATGGCAAGAGTGCCTGTGATTGAATCGGGGGTCGTGTCAAGCACCAGGCAACGTTGTACAACCTCCGACGGCCCACCACGTTGGCGATCAAGTCGGCGTCAGAGATGGTCGCCCCACTGAACACTAAACTGCCGAACGCAAAAATAATCCACCTCCAGAGAGATGACGTCAAAGCGTTCAGGGACATGAAAGCAGATGAGGGGGACTCCGTTCCTGTCGTGAGTGGCATTCAGTTCTGTCACTTGTGGCAGTGTACGAGGTCTGACACTTCGCAAGCACAGCTGTATTAGCAAGAACGGTAGACGCAGAAAAAATATATCTTAAAAAAGTAAAGTCTCCTATGGCTGCGAAAAGCAGATCGAGGTCGCGAGCTTGCGGTGCCACTGAGAAGAAACAAACAGTAATCGCTACAGGCAAAACAGGGAAAAGATGTTCCTCCTCGGAGTGCTAGGAGAGCGCAGTGATCGACTCAGGTCAGCGTCCGGCAGAAAGAAAGCACGTGACAAGCTCCGAATGGTGCGCACAGGATTTTGATTAATTAAACTAGTTTTAATTGTACAACTTTAAACATCTCTTCTTCCTTATCACTATTTAAACCTGGTAGCCAGCAGCCCAGCCTCTCCACAAAGGGTAGGCTCTGAAATTCACTGATCCGAGAAATCTCTATTTAAATTGCTGACTTGTGCTTCAAACTCACCTGCAATCTTTTGTATGAATTCTTATTTTTCACAAACTCCTGTTACAGTGCCTTCTCTTCACAGGCTTCCTACATTTTTTTTACCCCTTGCTTGCCCTTGTTTGAAATCGGCAACGTCCTATCTTCCTCTACTCCCCCGTTATGGCAATTCTGTATATTTAACGCCCTGTAAAATAAAAAAATAAAAATAAAAATATTGCAAAGCATTTTTGAAGGGCCTGCTGGGACAGATTATGAGCCTTGATCTGCGAAAAGTACAAGAAAAATCAAAATGGCCTTCATTTTAAACTGATTTTCCAATTATTGCAAAATCGGTAACCTGTCTACATTTCAGTGTATTTTTTGTTTTTAGAAAGGTTATAATTTTTCAATATTAATGACAATTTATGAGAATATAGAACAGACGCATCCAAATCATGTTAAAAATGTTGAATTTCCAGTCTTTTAAGATCCAGATTCATAAACCTCTGAATTGCTTCGTAATCAATAATACATGATAACCTCCTTTTATTTTATGTACAGTCTCTGCACAAAATATATTAAACCTAAGACGACAACAGTTTTTCTTTTATAAATATCCAAAAGGACGGTTTACGCAAGTCGCAAAAACGTCCGCATATACCGACAGCAACCTTGTGATTTCCTGACTACCCCGTAGCATTTTTACGCTTTTTAATAATAATGAAATTGTGAAGAACGGGTATGTGCACGCCCCATATACGGCCACCGGGTTAGCGTCAATTTGGCCATATTCCTCGCCTTATAACTTAAAAGCCACTTAAATATTGCATTATGTTTTTGCACTCTGTTAGTACATATTATAAAAGTCAATTTCAGAGAGTTTAAAGAATATTAAAGATGGCCTTTTTATTAAAATGATTTTCAAAATAATGCTTTTTTAGTTAAAGGCCCCTGTGTGAGAAATTCTTGTAAATTTCTCCCGCTAACCAGGAAAACAATATTTTACGCAAAGATGAACAATATACAGGGCAACACACTGGCAAAGTTTGAAGACCTTAGCTTTTATAGATATGAAGAAAACAAATCTTTAATCCAGATCGTTATTGCGCAATGTGCCGTGTTCGTGATTTTTTTTCTCAAAATACAGACCCTAATACTCGGTTATCAATACTTTTTGTCAATCCTTCCTATGCCTAATTCGTCAGTGAATATTTCTAGACTCATAGCCAGAACAGGTTTTTGGGGAAAGCTACCCGAACATCGCGCGATACACATAACGGGCACATGACTGAGAGGGTGCTTACAAATTTTTTTTCGCAAAGATGTTTTTTTTTTTGAAAACAAGGTTGTTGTTTTTTTTCTTCTGGACATGAGGCCAGCAAAATATTTTTTTTTTTTTTCATTGAAATTAAAAATGGTCATTGGACATGGTCGTTTGATCTTATCTGAAAACGCCCAGCTTCCCTCTGTTATCTTCTTCGTTTTTTGCACTGTCATGAACGTTCTCCGACCGAAAGGCTTGCAGTCAGATACGAAGTTCGGGGAGGGAGGGTGTTCACACATTTCGCGGCCCGTGGGTTGGGTTTTCGTAGAGATGGGCGATGAAACAGTGTCTTTTAATAAACTCTTCATTTTGCCCTAAAAGTGAAATTTGGAAAACAACGGTATAGTTCTGCGCCAGCCCTTTATCAATGGCCGAGTGTCGCTCGTGTGGCCGGTTATACTTGGCCGCATCGCGGTGTATATGGCCAGTGAATATGTAATATCGTAATATCCTGAGATAGCCCACCTACAATCAAAAGCAAATTGGGAGAAAATAAGAAGTGGGCTAACTTTTGGTGTGCATTTAAGGAAAGTTTAAAAAATTCTGGTTTTAGATTTTGTGACCTGCAAAGCTTGACTGCAGGGAAGGGCTACGAACCAAAGACGACTGTCCTTTCCAGTCAGCAATATTCGCTCCTCTCCCGTCTTGGCTAAGTAACAGCATTTCCGCCGAGGTCACCATTGGCCAGTGTCTTGCAATAACTAAAAAAAAAAAAACCTTTTGGTGTTTTTTTTTTTTTTTTTTTTTTTTTTTTTTTTTGAAGTAGTAAATTGTGCTAAAAAGAGGGGTGGCTTATCTTTCAGCGGTGGGTCATCTCTCGGGATTTTACGGCATGTGGGAAACCTGGTATAACGCCTCGTGCCACTGTCATAGAGTGAATATATAAATCTAGAGGGAAAGGCCCCACTTTCACACCTGAAAAGTTCAAAGAAACCAAATAGGCTGAAGGGGATAGCAGTTCTTTAAAGAGAAATATTTACAAAGAGAAATATTTACAATAAACTCAAGCTAGCGAGACACAGCTGGTCCTTGCTTTCAATGCAGTTGTCTCTTTCGACGGCAAAAACCCCTTGTCTAAGTGTGGCAAGCAAAAGGGGGGTTAATTTGTGTTTTGCGGGAGATTTTTCTGTTAACGGTACAACCGTACGAAATGGTCAAAAAGCGGGTCTCCCGGGTAATATGGGAGACTTGGCAGGTATGCATGCAGCTTGGCCACTTCGAAATGGTGGGGCATAGCTGAAATCCTTGGTGGTCCCAACTGGACCATATTGCTGGCGACGCTTTAGTATACACAAAGAAGAGGCAAAACACCACTTGCAAGCTCTGTACCTAGTTGTTTTCTATCTTTATTTTGTGCACAAACACTGGTGTCGCACGAAGTACAAAAAAGATAAAATATGTTGACAGGCACCCAAACAACTTGACTCGTTGCAGCAAAACAAACAAGCCTAACCTTTTGACCGTTTTGTTTCTCCGCTTTTCTGTCGCCCTCTTTTTATTCTTTCTCTTGGGACCATCGATGTCGGCACTTACGATTTGCCGCATTTTGCTCTCGCCTTCATCCCCCATCCCCCCCCTTCCCCCCCCTTCACCCCCGACCACCACGGTGCCCAGAAGGTTCCCCGACTGACAAGGCACTCACCACACTGTGTGGAGCCAGCACGTAAGGGTACAGCGGGTTATCGGCCGTCCGGTCCAGGAAGTGCAGCGAGCCGAGGCGGGCGGCGAAGAGGAAAGAGCCCAGCCGGGGACGGCTTTCGACGTCCAGGGTGACGTCCGCAAAACGCAGCTCCACCAGCGGCTGCATGGCAGAAGGGTCCTTGGATTCGCCGGCCGGCCTCAGTCCAACCAGGGTGAAGCTGCACTGGCTCAGGGAGAAGCCCACGCGTGCCAGCACCGTGTCCCTCATCAGGAAGGTGTCCCGATCTACGCTGTCCAGCACGTCCAGGATCTCTTCCTCTGCGGCAAGATGTTCTCGTCAAAACTCGAAACGATAGAGGTGCCAATGCAGCTATGGGATGGCAAGATATGTAGGCCCTGTGGGGACTGTTGTCACTTCATGCTGGTGCTCTACAGACACCAGCGTAAGTATGGGCCAGGGGAACCTCGAGGAGCCCCTATCTGCCTTGACATTGGTGTAGTAAGGCAGAACAGGAGCCTACAGGTCTTGTAAACAATAATGCCCATACTAGGGTGTGGTTGGCTCGTAGTTATGCATTGTTAAGTGGCTCAAATCTATTAAAATAGTGCCCAAACTGTAAAGGTACTTTACTGAAGGGCAGGGACGGTCAAGAAAATGTAAGAGCTCAGGAAACTCATAAGGGCGCTCTGGGGAACCCCGGGGTTCCTATAAACCCAGCTTGAGAAACCGTGGTCATAGACCGTTTCAATATTCCCCTTCTGCATGCTGCCACCTTAGTTTACCGGGCTGTGTAATGCGTTTCGAGCATGCGCAGAAGCTCTCGCCTGCAGAATATGACGTGCCGCGCATGCGTCCACAGCCAAGTGACGGAGCGCATTTTTGCGCGGGTGACAATCACCGGAAAGGTGCCTATATGAGCACTAGTTCACCAGCATGATGAACTAGTATAGCACAAATTTGTTTTCTATAACTAAAAACAAGTTTTTAGTTATAAGTATTAAAATTAACTAACAGGTCGGAAGTGCACCGGTTACTAAAGAGTGCGGACGAGTTGAGACCGTTCAAAGCAAATCAAAGTAACCTCCAATTTTCGCCAACTTTCCATCAACTCTTTCTCACCCTCGAAGAAAAGAGGAAATAATGCAAAGGTGCACGAAGGGAATGAGAATAATGATGATATGATGTCATTGTGTCACGTTACATTAGTGTGTCACGTGACATCAGAATGTCATGTGCATAAAAGTGTCATTTGACATCATGGTGTCACATGCCGTCACGGTGTTACATGACGGATACTAATCTTTACTTTTGTGTGTCACTGAAACTTGTTTTGTGTCTTTCTTGCCTTACCGCTCATTCACACTGGAAGCGGATCCGCGTTCGCAAAGCGGTTGCGAACGCAGTTGTATAAAGATCCAGTACAATTGCACGCGCACTCGATGACATCAAGTGCGCGTGACATTGTACTGGATCTTTATACAACCGTGTTCGCAACCACTTTGCGAACGTGGATCCGCTTCCACTGTGAATGAGCGGTAAGGCAAGAAAGACACAAAACAAGTTTCAGTGACACACAAAAGTAAAGATTAGTATCCGTCATGTAACACCGTGACGGCATGTGACACCATGATGTCAAATGACACTCTGATGCACATGACATTCTGATGTCACGTGACACACTAATGTAACGTGACACAATGACATCACAGCTTTACATGATGGTGCCACCTGAAATGCCAAAGAAGCAGCAAAGAAACGATCAATGCAGTGGGGAGAAGGGGACATATAAATGCTATGTGCTTCGAGTGCCTCTGGGATGTACCAAAGAGATGGGCAGTTTTTAATTGCTACTACGCATACACAGCAAAGTCAAAGCGGTTGCACGGCCTACCTATCTGACTAGTTAAGGTCGTGCTGATGGATGACGCGTCGTCAAAGTCTGAGGCATCATCCTCCGCTGCGGCGTCTTTGGAAGTCTCCTCGGCCGTGCCCCCAGAGTACCAGCCGGTCCAGCCGGGAAACCAGTACTGCAGCAGGCCTTGGCCCCGAGAGCCTGGCACCCAGCTAGACTGCTCCCAGGGAGGAACCTTCGTTATTCTCTCCTGACCATACTTAGCCAAGGGTCCTAAGGAACCGAGGGGGACTAGAATGGTTCATAGTATAGCAGAATTACAACTTGAAAGAGGAATGCTTTTCTGTGCCAACTGAAAGCCAACACAAACAGCAAAGCCTACAACGAATTGAAAGTCTACGACAACAATTTGGATTAACGAAACATGTTTCTAATTCCTTTATCCCGGATTCGGGTAGTTTTACCACATGACTAACTTCCATCAGTGTGCCTGCACACTTATAGACTTTTTGTAAAATCTATTGTAAGTTTTGTGATATATACTATGAGATGCCCGCTCCTGCTCAATGTTGGGCAACTTAAACTAATATCTAGAAATAATCGAGAACATGCAGGCGAGCTTGTGAACTTTCAACAGCTTAAAAGCCCAAGACCGAGGAACAAAAATTGAGTTTAAACACCCAATTTTTTTCTAGGTGTAAAATCATTCTCAGCTCAGCTGGTGTAAAACTCAGCTGAGTTTGGGACCTGTCTATGTTTCATTCCCCGTTTTAACGCAAAAGTATCAACTGTCCTAAGGAGCGAGCTGCGCCAAACGGCACCATCCTTTCTCCAAGTGAAGCCAGCTCCCAGCTATGGATTTTGGCCTCGGTCCCATTGGCTGGCACGCTAAAACGATGCTCCCATTGGCCGCTGCGCATCAGTTTCAACAACCGCTCACCCCATGGCGTTGCGTGTCCGTCAGTGCGCCGTTAACACAGAGCGTCCAAGGTAAGTGCGCCGAGAAGAGCGCGCACGCTGACCGGCGACGAAAAGTATGCAGCAGATGAAATAAGGAAGCGGACGAGCGACTTGCATGCTTTCGCATTCACAAGTCATAAGAAGTGCTTAGGTGTACCTCAAGCCTTTTTGTTCCTCGGTCTCAGGTTTTCAAGACGTTCAAACTATATGTGCAAGACAAGCTCACGCTAAGGAAAAGCGGCAAACAACAAATAAGACAAAAGAATTCAAATAATTTAATGGGACACTTTAATAAAAATTTATTCTAACCTAGGAAACAAAAATATTTAACAATGTAGGTCGTCTTATGACCAAAGTTCCTTTTAAATTAAGTCTGCACTCCTGAACAGGAAATGAAGTATCTGCTTTGCTCTGCTGGCACTTTGAACTTCTCCTAGGGAAAGCTCGACAGCTGTTGAAAATCAAACTTTACAAGTGTATAACCTAGAAAACAATTCATTTTTTAAGTTTAGCAAAGCCACAAAAAAAAAAAAATATGGGACAGTTGTTTTACTGTTTAAGCGTAAAGGTCAATTACCTGTTCCCTGCGTACTTTCTGGATGACAAGCTCCCTTAGAGAGAGCAGAGTTTCAAACTCAAGCTGCTGCTCCAAGAAGTTCTTTTCTTTCTGGAATGAACAAAATGTGGGTTCACCAACAAGCAGCTTACAAACTGCCAAGCTCTTCATTAATATTTTAGAAACAAGCTTCAACAAACTGTGGTTTCAGCATAAGTAAGAAACCATGAGGAGCTATTGTCAGCAAGTGCAATGTTGCCTTCTTTACTGCCTTAAAATTACCATATTTTCCAGTTTATAAGTCACACCACCCTAAACGGTAATTTTCTTGAAGAAGCTAGTAAGCTTGCGATAATTCAAACTCGGATAATATAAATAAAGGGCAAACGCCAACCAATCCCTAAAAGAAGGTAGGGTTCCACTGTTTCGATGCTGGCTCGGCACCTTCCTCAGCGGGGCTATTTAAAAGAGAAGCTGCTTCTTTCTTTCCTTCTGCGGTGAATGTAGAGCAGTATCTTCATTTTTTTTATGGCGGTTGGTCTTCAAACCAGGTGCAGTACCTTCGTTTTCTTCAGAGTTGGTTATTTACAAACGAGGATCAGCATCTTTGTTTTCCTCTATATTAGGGGCCTGTTTCTTTGGTGTTTCTTCCAAGTGTCGTAGTCCACTGACGTATGCCGAGGGCAAGGTGACGGTGGATCGGATAATATTTCCTGGTGTGGTCTGTATGCGCCACGATTCAATTAAGAGTTGTTGGCGCCAGTTAGTTTCTACATCCAGGATTCGGGTATTTTTAAAGTCGATGTGGTGGTCATTGTCGTCGCAGTGTTCCACAACAGCGCTACGCTCTCGGTCAAATTTGCGTAAATCATTCGGCGGACCCTTTTCTTGAAATTTTTCGTTTCGTTGACGTATGAGGAGGAACACTCAGCACAGGTAATTTGATACACAACGCCTTGTGCTTTCTCTCTTGGTGGTGGATGGTCTTTCGGACGAGGCATTAGGCACCTAAGTGTCGAAACAGGTTTGTGAGCCACCTGAATACCTCCTTTGGCCAGCGTACGGGCCAGAGTTTCGCTAGGTCCTTTTTAATAAGGTACACAGATACGGATGCTAGGGCAGGACTGCATACTACCATATTTACTCGCGTATAGGTCGACCTGTTTTTCAAAAATCGCCTCATCAAAACTGGGGGGTCGACCAATACGCGAATCCCGGTCCGTTCTCATCGCGCGCGTCGGCACTCAGCTGACTCAGCGACAGCTCGCCTGTACTATCACTCTTTCTTCTAGCGCGTAAAGTCCCTTGATACTTCTTATACAAGTAACGACAACCCATACATATGACAAAGCAGATTCCACTGGAAGCGAATGGCGGCATTCAGTTCAAACCTCTGCTGTGCGCCGCCATTCGCTTCCTAAAACCTGCACCGTCACGCAGTCGGCGCTTCAAAGAATGTCGCTACTTGTAGGAAGGTCTTATCTAGGGACTTTACTAGCGCGGTGCTTGCAGCGCCCCCTACCGGGAACATTAAAGCGGCCCCACGGCAAACAGAAGATGAAAAGACGATGACTACCCAGTCACATGATCCCCACGCTTGGAGCCAGTCACGCAATGCCTCCCGAACGTCGGCGACCGTTCTCGGCAGCTTTCAAGAAAAAAGTGATTTTACGTGCGGAAGCGTCAAACAACTGCGTGGCTGCACGGGAGTTCGACGTTGCAGAAAAGTGCGTCAGTTTAAAGACCGTGTGCGAAAGCTGTACACGGAGTGGATGGGGAAGACCGACAACCCACTCACTCCAACGGGCCGAGTTAAGCGGGCATCCCTCGCCGAGGTTGCATCATGGGTCGCGGCCGCCTGGTACAATCTTCAAGACGCGCTTGTCGCAAGATCTTTCAAGAAGTGCGGTCTTTCAAATGCCATGGATGGCACCGAGGACGACGCCGTATACGAGGACAGTGACAAAGAGGACAGTGATTCATGCGCATCGTCGTCCGATGAGTGATTGCGAAAGTGCAAAATAAACATTTCTTTTAGCCCTGTACGATCATTGCTTCCGTGCTTGATATGTTCGCGTAACACATCGGCGATACTGCGGGCGTTCGAGTGGCCGATTAGTCACGCGGTGCCAGGCACCGCGTAACGGCGGCTCAGAGCTTGCGGGGGTCAACCTATACGCCGTTCCAACTTTTTTTTTTTTTTCGGGGGTCCCGAAGTTAGGGGGTCGACCTATACGACGTATCGACCAATATGCGAGTAAATACGGTAGTCTGTGGTTGCTCAAAACTACGACCAAGACGACGGGCAACATGGCTGATGAAGCTGTTGGTGTAGCCATTCTTTCCGAGGTCGGCAATGACAGCCTGTTCTTCACTTTCATCTTTCTCTAAGGAACAGATATTCTGAGCTTTGGACAGCAGGGTCGCAACCACTGACGCCTTGTGACTAATAGGGTGGTATGAGTCAAACCAAAGGTAACGTCTAGAGTGGGTTGGCTTCCTGTATACAATAAACTTCATGTCTTCACCTACTTGCTTGACAAGCATGTCAAGAAACAGCAAGGTGCCGTGTTTCTCACATTCTAATGTAAACTGGATGGCCGGCTCAATGAAGCTTAGGTGTGTTAGAAACTTGTCTAGCTCTGATGTTTTTAGGACACAAAAGTAATCATCGACGTAGTGTAGAAACACATTGGGGCTAGCTGAGAATGACTGCAGCGCCCTTCGTTCGATTGCTTTCATCGTCAGGTTTGCCGTAGTAACTGAAATAGAAGCACCTATTGCGGTTCCGTTGGTCTGGCTGAAGAACTCTCCTTGGAAGCTGAAGTAGGTGCTGTGAAGGCAGAATTCAAGGAGGCAGCATATTTCATCCACGCTAAGGCAGGTTCTTTCGTTCACGTCTTTCTCCTTTTCGAGAGTGTTTCTGGCAGTGGCTACTGCCAGGGGCACTGGAACGCTTGTGAACAGTGAAATTACATTGAATGACACTAAACTGTCCCCGGTGGTGACCTTGAGTTCCGAAACGAGCTCCACGAAATGATTGGCGTTTCACACGTTGGTTGTCGTTCTTCCGACAAGAGGGGAAAGGGTACCATAAAGGTAGTTGGATAGTGACCGAAGCAGTGACGTTGTAAAGTGTACGATAGGCCAGAGGGGAACATTTGGCTTATGGGCCTTAGAGAGTCCAAAGAAACCAGAAGCAGAGCCATTTCGGCATACGAGCCGTAGATAAAGGTTCTTTGATTCTGGATGTTTCATGAAAATTTATGCCAGGAGTTTGTTCAAATTTGTCTGAACTTGTGTCGTGACGTCCTTTTACAGCAGAGCTGTTAAGGGCTAGTTTCTCCAGTATCGTGTCCCCCCCAAAGAAATGTCGACACAAAACTCTGGACAGCTGCCGCCATCTATGAGCGACGGCAGCAAGCATGCCGGTTGTCTGGTTGCCGCCGTCAATCATAGATGGCGGCAACCTTTCCAGCCTTTCCACTCTGGTTTTCACCAAAGTGGGGGGAAAACTGTGAGGGCACTTATGCATAGCACTCTGGTTTTCACCAGAGTGAAAAGGCTGAATTTCACTACGTGTCGTCCTAGAAGTCATCCTTGAGGTCGTCCGAGAGGTTGTCCTAGAAGTCATCCTTAAGGTCGTCCTAGACGTCGTCCTTGAGGTCGTCCTAGATGTCGGTCCTGAGGTCGTCCTAGGCATCATCCTTGCATGCAGTATCGCTACGTTCAGGACTCTCCTCGATTTTACAAAAGCCTGTCGAGATGCGCACGTAGCCCACAGAGCCTTCTTCTCAAGCGCCTCGTCCATACATGTGAAGGTCACAAAATCCTCGACCAGGCAGAGCACCATCTGGTTAAAGCCCGTATTCAAAAGTGTTAAGCAACCCTCAAGAAGAAAGAACTAGACTTGTTCTTCATTCGTTGGCAGCTTGAACACCCTATCCCAGATATCTCTCCAACCCTTCAGTCTTTCATTGAAGACATTGCTTCCACTTCTGCACAAAACAACACGATTCTCAGAAGGAGAAGCTCTTGACGCTGAAAATTAATATGTGAATCAAGACACGGAGCCGACACTGCCAGGTTAGTTGCAAACCTCTCCTCTAGGGAACTCTCTGCAATCAAGACTGTTGTTTTGGCAACAGGCCACGGCTTCAACGTGACCACGACAAAGCCGCCCATACCAAAGGTTATTATTAATAATGGGCATTATTAATAATTTAACATTATTAATAATGGGCAAACGCCAACCAATCTCTAAAAAAAGGTAGGGTCCCAACGTTTCGGTGCCAGCTTGGCATCTTCTTCAGGGGGGGTTTATAGGGGAGAAGCAGCTTCTTTCTTCAGCAGGTACCTCTTCAACAGGTACCTTTTTAACAGGTATGAATCTAAATTAAGTTCATCAAAATCTTGCAGAGTACAAATTCTAAGCCCGTTACTGTTACCTCAGCTTCGATTCTATATGCTGCAATACAAACTTTTCCTACAATGCAAAATTTTAACTTGGTTTAGATACAAGTTTTTCTCATTAAAAATGGCCCTTCGTAATGGGGATTTGCATGTAAACAATGTTACAGTATGAAACATGAAGATAGCCAAGGGAGGGAAAACTTGTAAAATTCAGTACCCCCCCCCCCCCCCGCCCTTCCACACACAAAATGTAGTCGACCCTATATGCATATGCACAGAGGCAATCCCTCCACTTCCCACAAGTCATGGAGATCCACACTGTTCATGACTGTACCTCGTAATTACTAACTCTAAAAATAAAACTGTTCTGGATCCTCAATTTTCATATAGGTAGAGCAATCAGATGGAGTGTTCAGAATTCACCAAAATTCGAATAAATATTTTAAAGTTTTAAATATTTGCACGTGTACAATAGTCGGCAATTTTCTGTCGAATAGACGTGTTGCAAAACGTGCAGCGCCGTCTGCGGTGCCCAAAGGAGAGACAAGAACGGTAGATATGCAGTGCAATGCCGTTAGTGCAGACAAGCGACCGACAATTTTTGCCGTCTGTTTCTTAGAATCGTAGGGATGTCGAAAATCTACTTGCGCAGTAAAAAGTGCTAATTTGGAGTATTAACCTAAGCAGTAAATTTTTGGGCCCACCAATACCCCTTGAAACTAATATGTAAAAAAGCACCGATGTTGTCCCCACACTAACAGTGTTGCTCTGTGCACAGAACCGGTCGTAGCGGACGACAGAGGTGAAGGAGGACAGAGGTGAAGGAGGAAAAGCGATCAAGTGTGCTACCCTCTCCAATCTCTCACTCTTTTTTGTGTCACATGGTAGACGGTACAAGGGCAAGGTACAGGCATCCCCTGTAGAGGACATTGCGGATTTTCGCAAAAGGTTTATTTTAGAAGTGAAAGACTCCTCTATGGCTCTGATTGGTACCTGGGATGTGTGAGCATACGGGCAGCCATTGCTTTCACTGTATGAACGGGACTCAGGGTACAAGTATAAAGGGCGGTATAAAGGGTACAAGTATAAAGGGACTACTCTGCCAAAGAAAGTTGCCCCTGGCTATAGTAGGCACCCGAAGCAACACAGATTCAAAGCCCGGTCGGTGGCTCGAGATGATCCTCACCTGTTTCTCCGTGCCGAGCGTCTCGGGCTTTGTGAGATGGCTGTAGTAGATGTCGACGTACGTCTTGACCTGTTTCGCCCTGAGGCACGCAAAATCCCACGTGGCCTGGCTGTGGCACTTGGTGATGTGACTCACATGAGCTTGCATCGCAAACCTCCACCATTCCCTTGCGCTGTATATATTGAAGAAATGCAGAACGTTAAATGCTGCAAAACTATATATGGCTGTCTTGTCTGTAGAGCCAAAAGGAGAGTGAAGAGATAATTTTGCTTGATAGAAACTTTGCTGAAGAACTCTTTTCTGTACACTTCCTTGAATTGAGCCTAAAGATTGCGCAAAGCCTGTATCAAACTGTGCCAGGCTACACGGCACCTTTCCCTTGCAGGTTCATCTGCTTATGTTGCTTTAAAAAGAGGCTAGTAAAGCTTCAGAGGACTGGACATGCTGAAACATTAAAACAAGTATGTAACATATCCAGGTCACATTACATAACCTCGAATTTATGTATGAAAGTCACTACGAAAAATAGCAACAAGTAGGAAGAGTGGAGGACATTGAAAAAGCACACAAGAGCAGTTGAGTCTTATTTGGTGCCGCAAACATTGTGACAGACCCAAGAAAGGTTTCTAAAATCAACACCTATTTTTTAATTATTGTCATAGCACAAAAGGCAGAGCAAAAAAAAAATTCTGTTTTTATATTTAAATAAAGACATAGTACCAAAAAAATGAGACAGCAAAAGAAAAAAAACTACCTATGATAAGCTAGAGGTGGCACATGATCTAGAAAAGTGGCAGAACAGATTGTTCCAATTGTGCCAAACAATGGAGGCAAGCCAGTGCACTCACTTTCCTTGAACGGAAACAGTTGGTCTCCACCTCCTGTATTTCCATGACAGGTCTATCCGCTCAAGCTCCCTCAGGCTGAACACCATCTGCCGGTATTGTTCCTAAAATAAATGAAACAACGGCCAGACGCTTATTCCCAGCAATGCTTCATATGCGGACATACTATTCACTGCAGAACACAAGAGCAAGACACAAAACATTGGAGCATACTAAAAGCAGTGTACATATATCTAAACTTAAGCAATACACCGTATAAGCTTGACATACATTATATCCACAAGTACACCACAAAAACAAAATAGTACTTGTGTTTTAAATTGTCTAAATTAACTGGAAAAAATAATGACAACCCATTTGACACAAAATCTAAGGCAACAGCATTTTTAGAATTGGAAATGTAACCTAAAAGCAGCATGCATAACATTCGGCAGCATATGTTATGCTGTCAACAAATCTGGGTCCATAAATGAAAAGAAGTATTCTCAAGCTCATTAGTGCTGATGCAAAGTAGACTTGAATTCTCTTCTGTCATTAAAGTGGGACAAATGATCAGAAATATAAAGTGAACATGCCATATTTCCTATTAAGAGCAGTGTTGGGAAGTACTTTAAGTACACTGAACTTATACTATTTCAAGTAGGTTTAGAAAACTAGTACTTTATTTGAAGTACATTGTCTGAATATGTACTTGTATTTTACTCAAGATATATTTTCTGGTACTTTCCAAGAAACTACAACTCCAGACCTAACGGTACATTTTCTAGCTTTGGTCTTGATAAATTTGTATGACAAAATGATGCTCTGTCAGCAAAAAGGTGCCTTATAAGTTGGATTCCGTGTTTTCTGAGTTTATTTTTAATCAAATTCGGAGGGTGTTTGTCTAAGTTTATTTTTTTGTCGAAAATTTGGATTTTATTGGAGTTAATTTTTGTTTGATTCCCAATTCTCCAAAACTTGGACTTTAATTTCACAGTGTTTCTTATTAAAAATAAATAAATATTATTCGTGTGTAAACGTATACTAGACAAAAAAAAAAAAGTGATTGCATCAATTAATATTTTCTGCAGTTGGATTTGACATTGATGCCATTACTACTGGCAATATGTACTAATTCGTCATACGACAAAAGTTGCATGCAAATGTTACTTCAATAAATTTCGATACCTTTAAATCAATAAACTCCTGGAGGTAATCACTGGGAAGCTTGTATTCATTCAATACTACTCCATCAACCTACCGCATGAGCTAGAGTGGTGAAGGATATAATAGAGAAGTTTCAACTGTCCCTCTTTACCACTTTATGCAATCCTACGGTCCATAGCTTTCACTGTTACAAAAACACATCCTCTCCTTCCTCTAAAGCACAAATAGTATGACCCAAACCGGAAACATAAACAGTGACTTTTGTCGTAACCCGAAAGTACAATGACCTGTTGTCCTGACCGAAATTTGAAAGATAAGTGTGATGGCATTTTCCCAGGACCATTGCGCTGATCAAACCATTAATTGTAAAATACTTTTGTGTGTGTGTGAGGGGGGGGAAACTGGCACATCCAAATTCGGAGTTTATAGGATAAATCCAAATTGACCCAAATTTTTCCGGCGGGTGTTTTTTTTGGAGTTTTTCAGATTTATCCGAAAACGCGAAACCCTACTTATAAGTTGTTTGTGTTAAATAGTTTGTGAGTGAAGAAAATAACTGATGAACCCCCATTTCCCCTAAAACAATGTGTATCAATTTATCAAAAAAAAAAAGGGTTACTCTACTATAGGGAAATGAAAAGACATTATCAAAGATTGTGTTAAAAAGTAATTGTACTTTACTTTGAAAGTACATTGTATTTATAATTCAGGGAGTTTCCGAGAAACGAGAGCTGTGTTTTTCAGCCCGGGTAAATAAACTCTGCACAGCAAAAAGCTCTAACACCGTGAGAATGTGACGCTGGAGATTGGGACAGAATGAAAAAGTTTGAGAACATGATGTTACCTTGATCAAAATATAATTGAGAAAAACAAAATTTCTCTACATGCCGACATTCACCTAAGCCTCATATCGTTAAAACAAGAAATAACACTGTGTGAGCATCTGGCATCTATTTCAGTGAAGAAAAAAAAACTTCTCAGCAAGACAGGATATTGGAGACTCCAGCAAAATTGACGGCACCAAGCGGCTAGAACAGAAAGTTGTGGCGGCAGGTTCACTCTCCAACCTTCCAGAGCAAATCAGATAAGCACAGCACCTGGTGGTCAAAACACGAAACCGTGAAAGTTGGTTAAAAAAACGTGATAAAAATCGCCACTTGTTTTTTTTTCTTGCTGACAAGTTGTTGTTTTTTTCCACCGATAGGATACTACAGGCTACCACAGTGTCATTTCTTGTTTTGACGATATTAGACTTAGCTGGACGTCAGCTCTTCGAGATTTTCCTCAATAATCTTTTGATCCAGGCAACGTCATGTTTTCAAACTTTCGCGTTCTATCCCAACCGCTACTGCCACATTCTCATGAAGTTCGAGCTTTCTGCAATGCTTAGTTTATTTACCCAAGCCGAAAAACACGGTACTCGTTTCTCGGGAGCTGTGCAGCAAACATAGAATCTAAGATGGCGGCTTCTCGGCGGTGTTTCCCACTGATTGCTCGAGACGATTTAGTCTGAAAAATCGAACTTTCAAACTTCGAGCTGTCCGAAACATCGGTCATGAATAGTATGCACTATTTCTATCGGGTAGGTCACGGTTCCTCCTTTAGGTCCGAAATATCAAACAGGTCCAAATCATCGGCTTCCGAAACATCAGTCAGCGACTGCATTTGGGAAGCAATAAACACACCAGTCCGGGATGCGTTGCAAGCAACACAGCGTCACAAAGAAAGTTGCCCACCTCGTTGAGAGTGATGGAGAACTTGTCCAGCTGGAGGTCGCAGACGAGCCGGGGCTTGGAGCGCGACCTGAGGGGCTGGGCGGAGCAGTTCCTCGAGATCTGGGCCTGGGCGCTGGTGGTGGCCAGCAGGTACGAGTGCGGACGCAGCAGCTTGGTCGTTGTCATCCCGTGGGTCTGCTGCTTCTTCATGGCATCCTAGAACCAGCCAAAAACAGTGCTGAGAAATGTTGTGTCAGCATTTCTTTGCTGCTCTCTTTCGTACACCGGTAAACCGACCGTAGTTGAGCCAGGAAGGAGAAGGCATCACCAAAGCCCTACTACTAGAAGGGAGCGAAAGACTTTCAACCCCCGTCGCATTCGGCGGTCGGGTAGTTCAGGTTTGCTCGTAACTCTCCCGTCCACGAACATACCGCCAGTCATCGACAAGCCCCTCTAGTGAAAAGTGGCGAATGGACTTGAACCACAAATCGTGTACTGTGGTTTAGAGTGTGTGGTAGTCTCCCCCCCGGCTCTGCCCCTTTTGCCATCATGATGGCGCCAACGGACAAGGTGGCCGACAGGGGTGCATGTACCGAGCTTGAACAAAACGCCGAAGAATGGTCAATTGAAAATAAAAAAACAGCCCCTATGCGTTTCGTAATTACCTTCACTTGAAATGCATAAAATAAGAGCTCTCCTAAAAAGCTATGACAGAGATTGGAGGTAATGAAAATAAAAAAATTGCTGGCAGAAAACTAGGCATCCATAGCAGGAGATGCATTCATGTTGAGAAAGGGGCAGGCTGAATTCGTTGGTGCTGGAAAAAAAAGAGGAAAGTAAACAGCGAAAAGGTGTGGTTGTCCCTACCTATTCAATACAGAGGACTCAAGTGTCCCTACTTCAGATACAAACTTTATATCAAGTGGAAGTCAGTTGCCTTCAGTGGTTTTCCGACATACCCTGAACCAGGGGCGGATGCAGGAATTTCCTGAGGGGGGGGTCAGGTGTTGGTCAGCATACCATATGTTTAGGAACCCCCTCCCCCTCTCCTTCGTTTTACGCCCTAAAATTTACACAAGCAGAAATCAAGAGGGGGGTCAGGACATCCGGACCCCCCCTCTAAATTTGCCCCTGCCCTGAATACTATAGATGTTTCTGCCAGCCCAATCTATCGACCCTGAATTGAACAGACCTTTTCATCCTCCTCCGCATGGGCGCTGCCATCTTGGAATCACGTGACGCGGCAGCCATTAGGTTGCTTCAACTTGCTGCTCTGCTCTCCCCTCCATGCCTTGGCGGATGCGTTGTATTCGTGTTTTTCGTCACGTTTCACCGCGCTATCTTGTCTTACTTCGGAAACTACTCGAAGACTAAGACATCACGAGGGTTCAAAGGTCCTTATGAAACCGAGGTTTGTTTACTAATAGTGATGGAACATTTTCAGTAAGAAGCGCTTATATTAATATCGCGCATTTAGGATCGGAAGGCGTCAAGAATAGTAAGCGCAAGGAGCCTATCTGTATTTCCTGAAAGAAGAGTTCTTTGTATTAAAAATAAATCGAAAACAGATTATTTTAATTATGTGAGGAAACTCGCGGAGGCGATAGACAACGAACGTTTAATTTGTATCTCTTCTGAGGCTGAAAGTAATGGTACGTCAACATCAGGCGATTTGTTTGTTAATAATATCACACATTCTTGTGTTTGAGCATAGAAAAAATCGTAAGGGTGCAGGCGAGCTGGTGAATATTAACCATGTTGAATTAACCTGAGACTGGGGTAGAGAAGAAACATCAAAACGTAGAAAGGACAGAAAATAGACATGACGACGTCTCAACTCTTAAGACGTCGTCCTGTCTATTTTCTGTCCCTTCTACGTTTTGATGTTTCTTCTCTATCCCAGTCTCAGGTTAATTCAACATGGTTGTGTTTGAGGTTCTCAATCTTTTTTTTTTTTGTGACGTAAACATTTGGTTGGTCGGTTTATTTATGAAGCTTAAAAAAATTGTATACCGCGCTCGCTCCCATTTCGACAGTCATTTAAGTGATTGATTGATTATGTTTGGATAACCAGGGCCATTTACTTAATTAATCTTAGCACAAAGGTTGAGTCTTCCCGCGTAAGAAACTACCACAGACACTTAACAGTAGCGAGTTTTAGAATAGCGTGCACAAAGAAATAACGTCTTTTCTATTTGCAAATCCAAAACGCGGTTTGGGTTCGGCGCTTGCGCAATAATAACAATACTTGCTCTGTCTTTTTGTTTTTTTTTGCATACGTTGTTTTATTCTTTGCCTGTATCTGAAGTGCGCAATAATTGACGCCGAAAAAAAAAAAAAAAAGAGCCGTCTGCTTAGCAATGACCTGTGTCCAGGATTGTCGATGGCGAATAGAGGTTTACTTTTGGTGGCTGGCGACGCCGAAATTCACAGAGCAAATCTGTTCAAACAAATAAATATTTGTTCACACAGGTCCGTGAAGTGGTGCCCAGCGCTAGAATTCAGCCAAACTTTCCGAGGTATTCCTCCTCTTGCGCCCTTTAATTTTATGTGGCCAATTTTATGGAACGCAAATGCCAGATTTCATTTGACGGGACTGTCACTTATATCTTGAGTAAGCAAATGTTCATATAAAAATAATTTATTTCCTAAGGCCAATATCGCGAAATGCTGCTTATGATTACTTTAGAAGGGTCGATAATTAAGAAATTTCCTACACGGCCGGTCAAAACATAGTCAAGTACTGAGTTAAAAAAAAGGCCGAGATGGTACTGCTTGGTTATATTAATTATCTGCGTCCCGACACAATACGTTTTTTAGTCTGCGAAGTTCACTATATGTTAGGTGCCCCGAAAACCAAAGAGTGAGTAGTAAACTCGCGAGTTCATCTGTTCTGGCCGATTCAGCACATTGCTAATCAAACTGTCAATATGCTTCTTTACACTCACGTGTTAGTCTCTTCATTAGTTTGTTTTTCTAGAAACTGGTGTCATCGGGCACGGCCGCAGACGATAGTACTCTTCCCTGTACATCAGTTAGGCGTTTCGCAACCGACCATAATCAGATACGCCAAAGGAGTTGGTCAAAAAGCCCGCAGTTTAGGCTAAAATAAAATACACCTTGTAGTCCTCAGAGTGGTTGAATACCATTGTTTCATTGGTTGTGTGCTACAAAAAAAAAAATAATAATAATCGTATCACAAAATTAAGCAAAAACAATGTAAAACAGCAACATAGCCGAGTTCATGTTGAAACCGAAACCAACCAAATTGAAGCAACCTAATGGCGCCAAGTGCGTCAGCGCCCTCTATCCGCCGGTGAGGCAACTATTACAATGAAAAGGTCTGTACATTCAGGAACCCAGGTTGTAGACAAACCAAAATGAAGCCAAAAATTGGAACAAAAAAAACTGGAACCAAGCATTTTGCCCAAAATAAGCTTTTGTAAAAAACTAAACTTGCTGCCAAAATATTAGGTTTACCAAAAACATTCCTGACATCTCTTAAAAAAAGATAAAAAATATCCGAAATGTAAACTTACAGCCATTGCCATGATGTCCAAGCCCCCGAGCATGGTGACATCAGTGTCCCAGTAGACGGCACACCCATTGAGCTGCAGCGACTGGTGGGCAATTTCTTCTGCCGCCTCTTGGGGTGCGTCGTGCTGGTCAGGAAATTTCACGCAACCAGACATCAAACTCCATGCATCAACCTCATAATCTGTCACAATGTGATTTTATCCAGGTCAATCCTAATATTAAGGTGCACCTCCCAAGTACATTATCCAAAAAGTGATATCTTGATTGAAAAATATCAAGCCCTTACACTATGCCATCAATTACAATATCCAAAATATGCATACACATCAACTATGCGGAAGAAAAATTTCAAACTTTCAGGCTTATTATTGATTTATCTGCTTATTAATCCAAATACTGTAAACAAGTGACAAAATTATGCGCAAGCATTTACAGAAACAAAAGATAACCTCCTGTAGTATGCGAGCTTGAGCTCATTATATGGGGGAGCGGTTAAGCAGATTCGCAAATGCACCAACACTACAGTGACTTGCACCAAAAGCTCTTTCTTCAAAGCCGTAAACAGCAACTCAGATTTGAGAATGTTCAATAAAAATTTGCAACTTACTTCCTTTCCAGAAGCACCTTGGGAAGACAAGGCTTGGATTGTGATTCCACATGCGAAGGGATTCTGCGCATCCGTGAAGTCATCCTCATACCTGAGGTGCACATCTTTGATCTTGAACTGCAAGAAAAAAACAAAAGTAATATGTGAAAAATTAAAGCAGAAAAATGTTACATTTGAGGTTCATTAAATAAGGCAATCAGATGAACCTACTATGTTACATCAACAATGGCACATTATCGGGTGCCCTCCTAAAAATGGCGACAGCAGAAAGCAAGGTCGGGGAAAGGGGGGATGCATGCAGAGGCTTGCTGCAAAAAGGTCCATTACTCTTTTCTAACTTCAGGAATAGGAACATTACCAAAGAAAGAAGCTAGTTTGGTCACTTTACTGTCCATACATGCTTGTATTCCGAGTGGAGCTGACTTTAATGCGAGACTGTCCCATGGAGTGAGCTGACGTCATACTCTTTGAAGCCGCGCCAAACGGCACCTTAAATCCTTTCTCCAAGTGAAGCCAGCTCCCAGCTATGAAAACATATGAAAAACCTAGACAGCGGTAACTAGTTTCCCCGATCCCAAAGGTGCAGAGGGAAGCTGATGGATTTCGGCTTCGGTCCCATTGGCTGGCGCGCGTCGTAGTTTCAAGGAACAAGGCTCCCATTGACCGCTGCGCGTCAGTTTCAACGACCGCCACCCCATGGCGTTGAATGTCCATCAGCGCGCCAGTAACACAAAGAATCCAAGGTCAGAGCAGCGAGGAGAGGGCTCACTCTGCCGTCGACGCAAATACGCCACACATGAAACAAGGGAGCGGAAGAATGACGTGCATGCTTTTGCATACACAGCTCATAAGAAGTGCTTAGATGTACCTCGAGCCTTTTTTAATGCGAAAGCGTTAACTGTCCCATGGAGCAAACCGACATCATCAGCTTTGAAGCGGCGTTAAATGGGCCCTTCCCTTGTCTCAATGTCGTCTGTAGCAGAAATCTGATGGATAGGCTCCTATTGGCTGGCGCGTCATCAAGGAGCAAGGCTCCCATTGGCTCTCGTGCGGTGTAGTTCCAAAAAATGCCACCAGCAGTGATGGAAGTGGCATCTGACATTTTTTAGTAGCTTTTGTAGCAGGCAAAATATTGGTTTGGAGCAGCCACTGACGCTTTAGGAGCAGATGGCAACATCTGTTACCATGTCACATGAAAATTAAAATGTGATCACATAGCTAAATGAGTTCATCTTTGATAATGACTGAGGGTTCCTCCTTAATACTGAAGCATATTATTATATTTTGTAGTTAGAATAGACTGGACACAAAAGGAACAGACAGCCTTCTTTTTAGAAATATGACTGAGGTCGGAGTAAGTTCCATTTACAATAGCTGTTAAAACTAGTTGACAAATGAAGCACAGTGCAACACTTTAGCTGAGCTAAAACCTCTCTCTCTCCGTCCCCCTTTTACGCTCAGTTGTTAGTTTAGCCTGTAAACATAATTCCTGTAATATGACAGCAAAAAATCGGCATATCCGCTAAAAAATTCTTGAATCAAAAAACATCTCCCCAAGTTTTATGAACACAGAACTCAAGGTTCTAATGCCATAAACTGCAAAACCAACTACCCACAAATACTACGAGAACCTACACTTGTGCTTTAAAAGTGATACTGAGCTTTAGCAGCGTCGAACCAGAGTTGAGTCAAAGTTCGCTGCAGCCCTTTCGATTGACTGCTGCACGGGAACTACCTCGGCAACCGTATTTATTCAAATAGAGACTCCCATTTTTTCTCCTTTCTTGACACAGCTGTTATGAAAGTTTAGAGGTCAACCTACGTCCAAGACCAAGGAAGGTCGACCTATAATAGTGCCGAGTACAATTTCCGAGCAAATCGCGCTAACCCACGCACTCCCTCATGTCAGCCGCTGCTCCTAGTGCTCCGGTGTAAAGCGGCGAAGCTCGACGCGCACACGCTGGTGTAGGATAGTGAGGGTTGATGCGAGCGGCACAAGTACCGCGGCGCATTGTAGCCACGATATGGAGGCATGTGGCAGACGTAATAATCGAGTGATCTCACCAGGATTAAAAGGGCCTAGTTCAGTTTTATGACAGTAGCCGCCCTCCCACTAATTTGCAAATTTCTCGCGCGACTTTGAGCTGCCGACATCGTCTGCAAATTCAGACGATGACGAGGCCAGCGTGGTTGAAGAGCAATCTCTACACTTTGTTTCATCTTGAGTCGAAGCGCAGGCGACGCTATGAGTCAACATCACCAATCAAGCAGCATCAAAAGTGTGACATTGTGGCATTCTTCATCTATCCGTACGTGTTCTTTCATTGGTTAGACCAATCAAGTGCTGCAAACTCCCCTAGACTTGCGCTTTTACTAGGTTTGTTCATGACTAATTGTGTTTTTAAGCCTTCGACTCTGCTCTGACCTAAGCTGAAACAAAACTATAGACCAACTCAACATTCTGACGTCACGCCATTGCAGCGGCGCTGCTGTCGGCACTGCGCATGCGCAGGTGCTTCTCCTCAAGCAAGTCTCGTTTCTGCGCACATGCAATGCCCACACCAAGTGTGGGCAAATATCTGCTTGTTTGTAAACAGTGTGTTGGTCGATACGGTGGTTAGACTCAGTGAATCCATATTTGTACCATTTTTACTTCCCTCTGCTCCTCTAAATATTAAAATCGACCAATAATAAAATATTTTTATCTTCTTTGCTTCGTTCGAGCCCGCCTCGGTGCAGGCGTGGCGCAATTCTTAGCAGAAATGGCGCTTTGGCACAATATGTAGCAGACATTCATTGATGGCGCAATTTGGTGCAAATGGAGCAGCACTTCCATCACTGCATTAGAGAAGCCCTCTCCATGGCAGGGCAGTGCATGCAGCGGCCCGATCCCCGGTAAAGGTGCGGCGAAGCGGGCCTGCCCGCAGAGCCCACCCTGGCAAACTCCCGAGAGGGTGCACGGCCAAGCTCAGCACGGCGCAGCCACTTCACGAGAGCGCGCGCTCGGCTGTCGGCCGGCGAAACATGGCTCTCCACGCCACTACGCCGCAGACGAACGAAGGGAGCAGAAGAACAAGATTCATGCTTTCGCATTCACAACTCATAAAAAGTGCTTGGGTGTCCTCGGACTTTTGTTTAAAGCTGCTGTGTACTACCATATTTTTTCAGTCAAGAGCACTGAATAGTCGAGTTTGATAGAAATCTAGATGAAATGAAATGTTCCATTTGCCTGTAGGTTTTTGATGATGTTCGACATCACGGAGGTGCCACATGTCAACCAGGCGGCGTATGAGTAAGCATAGTAGGACGGTTCCTGCTTGGACTCATTGCTGGCCTGAAAATAAATTGTGCGAGACTTTAGATATGCATCCCCAAAAAGCATATTAAACATTTGATGTAAAACTGATGAAGACTCTAGCCATGAAAAGGGCTGCCTAAGTAGAAACAGTATTATGCCACTCACCTTCCACTTGGCCTCCATGGCATCCAGCTTGGAAAGCTTGGCATTTTGGAGCACCTGGTCTTCACGTTCTTCATCATACTTGGTGAAGATTAACAACAAAAAGATTATGTTAATGTCAATTCAAATGAAAAAAACTGTAACTTGTCATTATTATAGTGGCCATGCTCTCTGCCTGAAAGACAAGTGTCTCATAAAGATAAAAAGTTACCACATAACTAGGGTTCGGAGTTTTCGGTTTAAACCGATAAAAACCGATAAAAGTACGCCGAATCCATTTTTGGAAATTCGGTTTTAACCGAAAAAGGTCAGTTTTTACGTTCGTAATTTTCGGTTTAAACCGATAAAAGTACATCGAATTCATTTTCTAAAATTCAGTTTTAACCGGAAAAGGTCACTTTGACCTTCCAGTCGTACCGCAGAGCCGTGGCAAAAAAAAGTGGAACGACAGCGTCTATCGAAACGTGTCCGAATGTATAGGATACACTTATGCCATCACGACGTTTTGGTTTAATGTGCGCATCATCGATCGGAACGTGAAGCCTGAAATGCGTAATGACTTCGCCATGTACGAGCGTGTTTTCGAACTCGTTGTAAGGAAGACTGACTTCGTGGAAGCTCTGCATATTGTGTTGCGCTTCAAAACGTCGCAGCATGTCTCTTTTGGCGGTCACAATTGGTTGATTGGGCGATTTGGGCTCAGGCAGTGCTTCATCTCATCAGCCTGCCAGTGGCCAGTGTTAGCGTTGAGTGAGCATTTTCAAAGCTCAGGTTCATATTAACAGGAAACAAGAGTCCGGATCAACGAGGAGAACCTGGAAAAGCTAAGGTACACGTGTGTGCACTATAAGAAGATCACATAATCCTGATGCACAGAAGGTGAAGTTCCATGTTGTTGTTTTTTAGCATAGGCTTTGTATCTGACTTGTATGTACTTCTGAGTTTTTTGTGTTTTTTTTGTTTTTTTCTTGTTTCTTTTACAGTTGCACGCATTTGCCAAATAAAGTGTCCATTTATTCTTCAGTGTATCGGTGCCGTTATTCTTTGAGTGATCACAAATATCAGAGCTAGAAGGATAATCTGATCCAGGGTCGGTTGGTGTTTATTTTATATTCACAGAAAAAAGCCGATAAACTTTTGTGGGCATAAATATACGCCGAAAAAAACCGAAAATTCGTTTTTCAAATAAACACCGAAAAAAGTACGCCGAATTTCGGAAAAATAGAAACCGAAAACGCGGAACCCTACACATAACATAATAAAAAGCATAGTGAATATTTATTTTCATATCAAAACATGCATTAACAAAGATTGCCATTATAGAAGACGCCATGAAATTTTTTAACAATTTGAAATCCACATATGCGTGTGAACTAGGCATACAATCTGAGACATAGAGTATGGGCTTAGTGTCAAGAACAGTGTCGAAATTCTTTCTACACCCCTTTACAAGGTTAACAACAACAAACAACATGGCAGCTTCTTGTTTCCATATCCACTTTCGGCTTCCAGCTGTCGAGCGTTTTCTTATGGGCCTCGCATAACGACGAGTGCATATTATTGTAGTTGACGACCCCTGAACATTATAGCTCGTTAAGAGAAAAAATTTATTTGTCGACACACATCAACCCGTTTGGTCCGTTCAACCCAACAGATTCAGGAATGTTTATGAGGAGCGACATTTGTATCCGTAAGTGAACTGGCCCAAGACAACGTAGCATGTTGTGAGGAATTGCGTCTGGATACGACCACGAGTAAATATCATGAGCCATTCCACCCCGTGAAGTTGGATGACCAGGAAAGCTGTTTAGCGCATGACACAGACCCGCCCCAAGGAGCCGAAAGAAACTAGACAAGCGTGAAGGGACCGCCACCCCAGGAGAGCGAAAGGAAACTAGGCACGCAAGCAGCTTGGAACGACGACAAAGAGAGGGCGGTGCGAGCGTAAACATGGCCGACGCGGGTCGCACAGCGGCAAATCTTTGAGAAACCTTTATTATCTACCCGACAGTCTACTGATCTTGAAAATGGTGCCTATTAATAACTGTAATCTTCTGAATCTACTGCTAAATTACCCAAGCATCAAGGGGAATGCAGGGAATGGTGTTCCACGCGCCACACGTGCCGGCGTCTGCAGCAGTAACTGTTCTAAAGCAAGAGCCTAAAACAAAAGGCATCTTGCACATGCGTTCGTAAACGCTTTATTTTGGTTACTTACTTTGAATCTTTGATATGGGGAAGGCGTGCACGTGCAGCGGTGCGAGCATAGAGTTTTAATCTGAAAGCATTAACTGTCCCATGGAGCGAACCAATAACATCAGCTCCGAAACCCCGCCAAACGTTGGACAAACGGCACCTAAAATCCCCTTTCCCAATGGAGCAAAGTGAAGCTGATTTCTAACGGATTATGATCATCAAGGAACGAGACTCCCATTGACTCTCGTGCGGCGTAGTTCCAAAAAAAGCCACCAGAGAAGCCCTCCCTATGGTGCCGCAGCACACGCAGCGGCCGCCGGTAGGAGCGATGCGGGCCTGGTGGCAGAGCCCGCTTCGGCAAGCTCCAGGGAAGGTGCATAGCCGAGCTCAGCGCGGTGCGGCCACTTCACGAGAGCACGCGCTCAACCGTCGGCCAGGAAAACGTGGCCGTCCACGCCACTACGCCGGAGACGAACTAAGGGAGCGGAAGAATGACATTCATGCTTCCGCATTCGCAACTCATAAGAAGTGTTCAGGTGTCCTCAGACTTTTAAGTCACTGCACATGAATAATCCATGGAACCCTAGCAATAAACAGCTTCGCTGTAAAAACCCATTCACGCAGTTGCACTCAACTACGGTACGAACGCGTGTTGCGGGGACATGCATGCTTTTCATGCTGCGTCCAAGGCTGCTCCTTGAATTAAGTGCCGCACCTCATACCAAGCAGGAATGGCCTGATGACTTGCGGTCATAACTCAACATGAGCTGGACTTAAGTTATCAAGACATAGGCGAGCGCTACTGGAATGGGCCTTTATACATGCTCAGTGTGAAACACGACAACCAATTCAAGCGTTAGCTTAGCATGCAGCATACGAAGCACGGACGCCCTGGCAATATCTCAATGCAACGTCATCAAACATACTGCTGTGTGAATTTAGGCGCACCAGCCAAGAAGCGCGTCAAGCGTGCTAATGCTCATAGAACACGTAACTGCAGGACAAAAGATGGCAAGATGTAGGAAGTATGGATTCTTGTGGAACACTGACCAGTCTGACCCCATACCTTCTGGGCACTGCTGCAGTGTGTTACTTTCAGACAGTATATTTTTTTGTTACATTTTACAATTGCCTATTGTTACAAAGTGTACATTTTCCTGCATTAATAAATTCAATTAGAAATAAAAACTCTGTCCTTTATTGATAACTTCAAATGTTAGAGAAGTAAATACCTTGGACACGCTAATAAAAAAAACCTTGGCCCGCCAGACTAGGCGTCCCATTTCGTCAATGAAATGCTCATTTACACATTTTTCACACTTTACGCCCCGCTATGCCTCATTTTCACAGCTATGTTTCAACAGCAAGACAAGTTCGCGCTGCCGTCCACGTGCTACGACCACGATGGCGAGGTTCATCATACAAAAAAACAAAACAAAATGACTTTCGAGATTTTTTTAGTAGCTGCTTGCATGATGTAGCCATATGCACGGTACAGGGCATTTTAGCACAATTTACTTATGCACAGCAACACCAAAAACAATCTGACAGATGGATAAAAATCCTTTGAACAGGAGAGCATTCATTCCGAAACCGGATATTGTTTTGGCAACGAGGTCTCCAGACCAGAGAAAACCAGAAGTTGCCAAAAATGGTTGCCTAGGGAGGGGGCTACAGGGGGTACAGAACTAATTTAGACAGTGTTTCCTGCACATGTTATGATCACATTGAAATCACTATATAATGTGAAATTATTCTATTTCACACAGAAAGGACCCTTAGAAGTAGCAAAAAAAAAAAAAAAAAACAATCCCTGGATGCAAAAGTTTATCTTGCAGGCTAATATGCCCCCTTTAATTTGAGGAACAAAGCCAGGTTATAAGTCGCCCAGACCGCACAATGAGAGAGTCAACAATGACGACATCTGGGCTCTATAGTTACCTCGTTCAAAGACACCGGTCCCACCACAATATACAGCTGCTCGATGGTAATCAACCATGGCTCACTGCGCAGCCTTGTTACTGGGATCTTCAGGCTCAGCTTTCCAATGAAGCCTGCATTTTTTTTATAAGGCAGGAGTAACGTTTAAATAAAAACAAACAATGCAACAGGGAGCCAAACTGTCTCCTGAATAGCATACAAAATTAAACTTTTTATGACAACCAACGAAATTTGTAGTTGCACATTGTTCAGATCTAAATTAAATTTGGGGGTTTTGCATGCCAAACCAACGAAAAGCACCTGGAACGCACCAGTGGGGAACTATGGATTCATTTCGACCACTTGAGGATTTGTTGAGTTCGAACCGAAATCTTGGTTGCTTGTCTTCTCCGCAACAAGCCTCCATCAGACTGAGGGCACCTCAGCCAAGAGTTGAACCCGTGAACTGGGGATCCACAGGGCCATCGCTTTGCCTGAGCATTCGAGCCGGCTCCTTGTGCACATCTTAGATCTAGATTGCATGAATACTAAGATAGCGTTGTGGAAGGAACTATCTTAATGAAGGACCTTTACTAGGAAGTGTAGAGTTCCGTCCAGACGGAACAATATCATGCAGTGGAGTTCCTTCTAGACGGAACGATTGCAGGCCTAGCAGAGTTCCGTCCAGATGGGAAGGTACCAGGTGCAGTAGGGATGGCACTGTAGCTGTAGCGTAGCTCAGTGGAAAGATTTCTGCTTCACACAGAGCGGAAGTTGTTTTTTTTTTTTGCGAAATATTTGTTGATATTTAGACATTTTTGTTTTTTTTACAATTATCACTGAAAAAAGCAAATGTTGTGGACGAAACGTCACTAAACTAAATGGTATGGGACTCCCTTTCTGGGGCTTTGGCCACCGGCGGGCCATTGCGAAGCGGCATGTACAGGGGGACAAAGTGGGTTGATATTTCTGTAATGAGCAGCCGCAGACTGTCGCCGCGAAGCAGCGTTAACGCAGGCGGGGAGGTGGTTTAACAAGCTCTCCAGTGATACACACATAGTCAGAAACTGCCGGCAATTCAGCAGTGACTATCGATTTTGCCTGGACGGAACTGTAGTGGTGACTATGGTTCCATCTGAACGGAACCCCATTCACAGCCCTTTCACTAATGTCACCGGCTAATAAAGGTGATCTGTTCGTCTTACCTGCTTTGATTTCCAACGGAAGTAACAACTGCCGGAATGCATCTTTCTTCAAAGGCAAATTTTCTAGCTCGACTTCACCTAAAGAAAATTATATAAAATGCACACGTGGTCAATTGTGCTACATAAGCAACAAACGAAATGTAAGCAGAACAGCTTACCTCGCAGCAAACCTATCGACAGTTGATGTGTGTTGAGGTTTTCCACGTAGCCTCCGACGTAGGTATTGAGAACCCAGGCTGCTAAACCTTCCAACATAATCGGTCCTGTGGAGGTACCATAACGTCAAGCTTAGCTTCAAACTCCCACAAATGTTGAAAGCTCCCCTCCAACACTCCGATATCTTCTCAACGACTGATGTAACTTCCAGATATGTGTTACGACCCCAATTTCCGTGCTCATAGTGAGCGAATTTGAAAGAAAATGTAACGTTTTAAACGTTCAACTGACCGCCGCACTCGTAGAGGTGACATAACAGCGGGCGTTCGTCGGCCTTCGTAAGTGGATTTCATCATTCTAAGTCACGGATGGCCAGTGCGCACTGCACCGCCTTACATTCACTCAATCCCACTACAGCCCTAGGTTTAGACCACAGTAATTCGAGCCGAAATCTTTGAAGAATGCCATCTGCAGTCTTTACTGGCCTCATTGACCCAGTGTACTGTTTTCATGTTCCTCGATCGGCCATGTGAGCCGCGAGCATTTACGAGTGCACTTCGTCCATACAGTCATTTACACAGAAAGCGGAACTCTCGTTGGACTCTCTCACCTTAGTACGCTGCCTTGCAGCTCTCAGGACTCTCTTAAGAATTTTCCGGGTGTCATTGCTCCGGCTAAGTTAAATTTTCAAACATCATTTTGACTAAGTGAAACATTACTTCCCAGTGCCTCTCCTCAGAATGATAACAAACCGCTCGACGCGACGCCTAGTGACTCGTGAATTTCTCATTCATTCGAAACTGGAGGAGTGCTGGGTTTGAGGATGACCTCGCATAACCGAAACCGACCATAGTGAAACCGACCAACCGACGGAACATAATGCATAAAACGCCACCGAAAGAAACTGACAATTGTTTTGAATTAAAATCTTGGAAATGAGAAGTGTGCACATGACGTATGCGCCGTGTGTGCTACGTCCTTGGCTACGTCGCATTAATTCGGGTCGATGTGTAGACACTGGACAGCCATTACCCACGCGTAATAGTGAGCAATTTCGGTTTCGATTTGAGAAGCGCGCCCATCGCAGAGTAACGACGCACATACTAATATTTATTATATTGCGTGTTAAAATTAAAAATCTTTAGCAACTTAGCATCGATAGGGTGTGTTAGTAACGCTCCATTAAAAAACGGTAATGCGAAGAATTAATAAATACTAAGTACTTAAATACCAGGTGTTTGTGAGATATCCGAACCCGGCTTTTCGCACCGCAAAAATAAACCAGACATCGCAGAGAGCTCAAACTTCGTCAGAACGTAGCCCCAGCCGAGTTCGAGCAAGATGCCAAAGTTTCATCACTACCGATTACCTTATTCTAAAGTTATATATATATATATATATATATATTTTTTTTTTTTTTTTTATGGGAAAATGGGGTTTATTTTTGCCCGTTTTCGGTTTTTGTCGAGAGCTCCATCGGCCGCCATTTTTTCATTAAAATTTTCAGAAAATCGCTTATAACTTTTAAATAAGATAACAATTTGTGCTGAAACTTTGGCATTATGCTCGAACGGCTGGGCTTACGTTTAGACGGAGTTTGAGTCCCCCGCAATGTCTATTTTTGCGGTGCGAAAAGCCGGGTTCGGATTTCTCACGAACACCCGGTATTTCAGGAGTATAATAATTGTATCCTCGTGAATTAACTACTTCCATAAAGCCCTGCATGCAACACGGCGCGCGTTGCACTCTGGGAACTAGTTGGCCAGGGAGGAGAGTGGCATGGTTTCGGTTTCGGTCGACAAGAGATCACGCACAGAGCCTGGACTATAAACGGCCGTTATCTCATGTTTTCTGGTCCCGAGAGCGTCATTTGTGGTCTATAGACTAACTTAAATGGCCAGACCTCGAAGCTTTAGCACAAGCCCGAGACGTATATAGCTTGTCTTAACACATGCTTGTTCTATTTTTGTACTTGAGCCTTTCTGTTAGCGTTTCGAGGTATCTGGACGAGCCAGTGCTGGGAATCTCGACGCTGCGAAGCTCGGGTATCTTGCTTATGTACGAATCAACAAGCTGTAGCAACCAATAAGTATGCATACATCGAGCTGGCGCCTTTACATTATGTTGTTGATCAGGAAGTTTGTTTGTTTCTTGCGTCCATAGAAGAAATATTACTTTTTGCCAATTACTGTTTTCTTAATACGCCTGTGTACGCGAGGTAAAACTCGGAGGTGCCATTGAAAAGCTCAATTATAACACACTTCTTTTCTCTTATCTTTACTGACCCGCAGCGCTGCACGAAGCGAAGTCCCCACCCACTTGCATTTTACTAATATTCAACATTGCGTATGCGTGTAAAGTTATCCTGCAATCGATAGGCACATTCGCACATACAAATCGTTTTAAGAAAGCAAAAGTCGAGCACTTGTGTGAAAAATGTTGCACCATTCGCCAGAAGTACGCCGGACGGGTATCAACCGCTATGCGGTGCGCCAAACGAACGAAATTATTCAAAGTGCATTTGACGGTTGCTAATGGCCATACTATTTGTCATGTGTTTGCTTTCTTCCTGCCTGAGTATGCCGAGATAATTTCGGACACACCGTTCAGGCACAGATCCTGGGCGTCAGTAAAAGCTCGTCCAAAAAGGCTTAGCGAGGAGTAGGGGACGCTTGTTAGGGCCTCCGTCGTAGCTAGCCCATCTCAGCGTTTGCGAAAACTTAATCTTCTATCAGCATAAAATTTGAGTGGGAGATATATGATGACACGAGGAAGACATCATAGTAACTTTGGTGCAGTAGTGAGGTCGAATTTATTGCGTTTCCTTAAAAGTTTATGCGTCAACGCTGGGCTCAACTTTGATACTCCTGTGAGGATGCGGCTTGCTTTTCGCCCAATGATGTAACAAGAAGCGGACGTTTGGCAAACAAAATATGTGTAATGCTCCAGGTGACCGAATTTCACTTGTAGTTCACTGGTACTAGACGGGATTATTGAAATTAAACTCAAAGATGAGGTGACTAAGCCACGTCCTACTACGTTTGCATACGCACTCAAATATCCGGTGTTTCGGGAACCAAGGAAAGTGCCCCGGCCTTCGTTTTGTATCGCTCGAGAATGAGTATATCGTACATTCGTAAAAAAGTCAGATAATCGAAAACGCAAGCAGCGCGTTCGGTCGTGGCGTGATAGCACGAGATGAATCTGCTCAGTCGAAACCGAAACTGAGTGGCCAACTAGTTCCCAGAATGCACTGCGTGGTATTTCGCCGCAATGGGGCGCGTCGGTTTTGGAAGAAGTCCATTATCAATGCAAGCTGGTAAGAATTTATTCCCGCTACACCTGACAGACAGTTAATTTCCAGAGCTATATAATATCTTACCCAAATTGTCCACACGTCTTGCACATCAGTCGATCTGTCTTCTCATTTCGATGCATTTTATGGCATTTTACGTTGCCTTCTAAGCGTCAATATTGTTTCGCTCAGCCAAGGACATCTGCGTCTCCAGCGTCTCCAGCTCGACGCTCGCCCTCCCGCGGCAGAAACGGGAATTAAGCGCTCTAGTGAGGGTCCCCCGATTCTCCTGCTCAGTGGGCACGGCGGAACTGCTCGCGATCATGGCTCGCGAAACGTCGTTTCCGAATGCAAACAACACTCTTCATTAGACAGTTTTAGTATAGCGTTGCTGGCTCTTATGTACGCAATACGCAATAGTATAGCGTACGCTAAAAATGACCTGATCGGACCGAATTTAGTTGTGCGTTACGTTTTCGAGTGAACACCGCGCATGATCTTGGTTAGATTTGCTAGAGCTGCAGAATTCCGCGTGCTTATAGCGCAACCATGCTCCTGGAAAGAAATATTGAAAATGAAAACGTGTCCAATCATTTTATTTCAAATTAAACCAAGCCGCAGCTGCCTCGTCAAGCGCGCTTTCCTGCGGGGTATACAGAGGCTTCGAGTAAAGGCCGGTTCAGACACTTGCGTTTGAGTGCGTTTGACTGCGTTGCGTCGAGAACCGAAAGCGAGTCACCGGCACATTTGTGCTTCGTATGAAGCGTGCAATCCAATTCAAAGAATCATCTTAGCGCGCGATATAAGTAGCAGGGATGTCCTGAGAACAATCTTTTAGCTCCACCCACAAGCGCATTGCGCCCATCTGAAGTGCCTCCGCCGTCGAGAAAGTAGTTCGCTAGCAACGTTGCTTTTTCTTCCTCCAGGAAACATGTCTTAAACTACTACAATAATTATTTAATTCATTCAGGACATTTAAATAAGTTAGAATACGTTTTTGTCAACGAAATAGCTGTTTAGTAAAGAAAGAAAGTCATGTCCAATGTACCGTTCTGTCCAAGATACTGTCTAACATTAACATACCTCTCAGCAGTGCTAAGCCTCGCTCCCGCTTCGAAATTTTGCTTGGCGATAGCGCCGTTGGATTCTCACGTTGTCGCGCAAAAACTGCTGCAAACGCAAGCCGATACCATTAAGATTTCGTGGCGTAACCTCGGGCACGTAACACACGGTGCAAAAAAGCTGAATAATTGTCACGAGGAACTAGCGTCGCGTTGCTAAGGCCAGCAGCCATGTTGAGCTTTTTTTTTTTTTTTTTTTCAAAAGGATTGCGATTGGTCCACGGAATCGTGACGTCATGAAAACGATTGGCTGGCGTTTCTCGGCGTAGGATTACATTTTCCTCTGAGAGGTATTTCCGGTTTTTTCTTAATGCAGTCAAACGCAGTCAAACGCAACTGTCTGAACCAGGCTTAAAGGGCAACTCCGGCCAAAACTCAAAATGAATTAAATTACTGGTATAGCTTTAGTGACACAAAATACGACCCCAGCCAAAATTTCACGTCCGTGGGACGCCGCATTCTCAACTAATGCCGATAATAAAAACGCGACCCGCCGCGAGCCGCTGCTCCTTAGCGGGCGGCCAGCGGGTTGCCGATCGCTAAAGCAACATTGGGCCGTGATGTCAACGTCGTCCTCTTTTTTTTCCTCCGTTCCGGACGGGCGCACGGCGCAGCCGTCGCGCGCGCCTCTTTGTGCCGCTACCACCGCAACTTCGGCTTGTAATTGAGTGTTTAGCCGTTGCTTTTACCTGTAGCCCGTGTAGCTTCGGTATAGCTTATTGTTTATTTGCTTGTGAGGACTCCTAGACCCGTTTTAGCGAGCAACTCGGTGCGCCCAAGACTGCGCAGCTGTTCCTCGAAAGATGCCGAGTACAACTTAAAGCGCTGTGGGCTGCTAAACAAGCCGCTGCGCAACCCGGAGGTGCTTTTTCACAAGTCTCCAACGGATCGGAAATTGGAGAAGGTGTGAATGAACGCTGTTCGACGAGTGGACTTTGGAAAGCCTTGGACGTCGACCCCAGATCGAAGCTTTGCTCTGATCATATTTCGCCGGAGAGTTACGAACGAAACCTACAGGTGTTGGTTGCTTGTGGCTTGTCAGCGAAGGCGTCGAGGCTTAAAAAGGATGCCGTGCCGTCGCTCTTTGCCCATCGTACATGTACAGAAAAGGTAAACATCATAAAAGTATCCTGATCAATAAATAAAACAGTCATTGTCAAGTGCAGTGTTGAAGATTGAGCATTCACGCTCCATTGAATGTCTGTTGAATGGGGAATGGTGGGCATGTAGAGTACAACCACTAACTAGCTCCAAACACTGAAGTTTGTAATGAAAACGAAAACAATGCTCTGCTTTGCGTCACTGCTTGTTTACTACGCAATCTCGTGCGTAGTATTCAGGCCCGTAACGACTACTAGCGAACAGCCGGCGCGTGAAGCTCATCCGATATAAGCATTCGCCTCCCAATCGTTCGAACCCGTTACGCAGCAGTATTAATTAACATTGCGCTTGTGAATACCACAAGGGACTTTAAAGAAATCGCGAAAGTTCGGATTTGTAAGTTAGGACTCCTAATTTGCCCGAGTTCGGCTGGAGGTAAATATAATATTTAAAAATGCAAAAAAAAAAAAAAAAAAAAAAAAAAACCAAAAAAAAAAAAAACACTTGCCTTAGTTAGAAGTTACGAAGGAAAACTTAAAATCCTATGTATTCTAATAAAAAAAAATTGTGGGTGGGGGTGGGAATGCGGAAGGGAAAGAAAGTGTTCTCACCTTGCTAACGTTCTCTGTTTTCCGTTATCACCCACAAACACTTTTGCTAGCTTTGAGAAGAAAATGACTGCCCAAAAAACTTTTTTTTTTAGTGCGGCAAGTTTTTTTTTTTTTTTTTTATTATTTGTACAAAGATTCACTACTTGGACGAACTTATGTGGTGAATTAGTGTCGTAGCTTACAAATTCGGCCTTTACGCGCCTGAGGAAAAAATAACGAAAAAACAGACGTCTACAGCTTGACACACGTCTGTGCGGTTGTCGCGGAAAGCGCCGGAGAGCCTCAAAGCTTCGTATCTGGGACTGACGCGCCGCGCGAAAGCGCCAGCACTGTACGTCACTGGCAGCGCGGCGTAGAGCAACGCCGCTCCATCCACGGAGCCCCGATGACAATTTAGGCCTAGCGACGAGTGCGGGAGACCGCACGCACGCCGCCGACAGCTGCCGAGTACGGCACCGAACAAGTTCACTCGTTTTCCAGTTGCTAGCTTTTGGGTATACAAGCAACGAGTACGGCACGGCATAGCGCACGCGCGGCGGCGGCCGCCGAGTACGCCACCGAACGAGTTGACGGGTTTTCCAGTCGCTAGCTTTTGGGTATACGCACTAACTCTTGCTACATATGCTGGATAACTATCACGTATACAGAATTAAAAAAAAAAAAATCAGCTTACCTTCTATCTTTAGACGGCTAGCGCAACAGAGGTTGGTGCCGCTTGGACTGCGTACTCGCTGAACGAGAACGATCTTGGCGTCACGTCCACATAACGGCTGATTTCCAGTGTTGCCGGAACCTCGAGCGGCTAGTTTCGGTTTCGTCGGCCGCGCCCCAAATGAAACTTTGAGACGTCGATATTTTTAAAACTACGCACAATAACGAGAAAAAAATTACACCTTGCAATTCAGGGGCGCTAACTGCACTAAAAACAGCCATAATCCCAAAATCGAGAGTATGGACCGGAGTTGCCCTTTAAAGGGATACTACAACGAAATTTCAGCGCTCATTTTTTGGTCTATATGTGTTGAAAAAAGCAGCACCACATCGAACATACCAATATCTTGTTAAAAAAGTCACGAAAAGGAATTTTAAAACGAATTAAACGATTAGCAACGAGCACCTGGTGGATGTCGCTAACGCCTCGCTTGTAATGCCCGTCTAGGAACCTTGACAGCTAGTGACGGAGGTTGTCTCGCCTCCAGCCACGACGAGAGAAGAGGGGCAGGGGGAACTCCCCTCTTCCCGAGAATGCCTTTTGTGTGTCGCAGAAGTCGCTATTATCCCCCTACAAGATTATAGAAGATTAACCTGTCACTCAAAATTCGTACAAAAGCAGCCGCTTCGGTGGCTGGAACGACTAGGCCATCCTCTCGACGTCAGCCTCGCCGTAGCTTTGCTCGTCTTGAGACGACCTACGTCAAGATTGCGTTGGATGTCACGTGGTCTCCGCTGGGCCTTCTCCGAGCGCTTGCCAGAGTGGGCCGTTTATAACGAAAAATACAGCCATCAGGCTCAAAATACAAACGTGCGATTGTCATTTACGGATATTGTGGATCATATTTAACCTATTTTTGAACACAACGGGAATATTTCAAATTTCGTTGAAGTATCCCTTTAAGAGTGCGTAGCCAAACTCGATCACGGAGCCTCCGTCAATCTTCCCTTTGAAACGGCACCTTTTATCAATGCTATCGCGGAATGAAATTCACGACCTACTGATATCCAGTACATAGTGAGAACTTCGGCGATTTCTTTTAGAGTCGCTCGTCCGTCGGCGATGAACTGTGCGAATAGGCTTAGCGTTGAGCAGATCGCAGCGTTGACGCACATTCCAGGCGGCGTTCACAGTGCACTCCTTCAGCTGCACGGCGATCTGATTCGACCGCCGTAGGTCCCGGAAAGAATTGCCGAGCTGAACACCACGCAATTTCAGTTAACACAGAACTTCAAAACCACCACGTCGCCTTTGCTGCGCCAGTCGAGGTAACCGCCATCTTGAAACTGGCGCTCTCGTTGGGTCCGAGATCTCTCGAGAACGTCCCGCACAGCCCGCTAGCCCGCCACGCAAAATCCCCAGCGTTGCGTGCGTACGCAATACGCTAGCTCTTCTATTGCGTTCTGTGCACGCGCACTCCCGACCCGCAATTTTATTGCGTACGCAAGGCTTTAGCGTACGATCCACTAAAACTGTCTATTGTCCCAACATAGTGCTAGAGTTACGTGCCCCACATTGTGCCTGCGCCCCATCGCCATGCGCCATCAAAGACCGCAATTTTGGACTCCACGCACGCGCAGTGTAGAACACGCATAGCTAACGTAAACCCATAGCTGGCTACTGTTTCACCGGCTTCCAAAGGCGTTCCTTCGAACTGGAAAGGCTGAGATTGGCAAAACGACAGAGCGTAAAAATAAAAGTAACTAAATGTTATATAAAAAAACTGATAATTAAAAGAAAGTTTTTTTTTTGTTTTTTTTTTTACTTTTGGGCATTTGGTCTGGAAGAATATTGGCGGCGACTTTGGACGTTTTGCCGGTTGTTAAAAGCTGCGACTTTGATAGCAAAATATACTCTACCCGCAATTAATGTAATTTTACACGGATTTCTCACATTAGATAAAATGTTTTTATTGATTTTAGACTTTTTATTTTATTACTTGGTAATTAAAAATGCTGCAATTGGCACCAGTGATGATAATTAGCACACTTTTGATTGTCATATTTGTTTGCGCATTTGAAATTAGGTAATAAGCAACAATTTATATTAGAGCTTGAAAAATTATGTATTAAGATATCTGAAAAATAACAGCTTCAATGGTCCTCCATCTTCAAGGTGAAGTGGAAAAGCTACAATTTTTTTCTTTACTCATTACATCTCACCAAATGTTTATTCGCTCGAAAGAACTTCCTCATAATAATCTGTCTCTCCCAAAATTTGCTGTATATTTATTTAGAGCACATCATTAACTTGATTAGGATAGCCTTTGAGCCTGTCCACATGGGGACGTTCCATCTTATCCCATTACCTCTGTCTGATGGCCAAAAGAAAGGGGGGGGGGGGGGGCTATTTTTCTGGTTGTTCCTTTTTGCTTTATTAAATATATGTGTCAGCACACTTTTTCCATAATTAAATATTTCTACTCTTTCGCATACTACTGTTTCTCATACTACAATGAAGAAAAGCTGGCCACTGAGGAACATTTATTTTTTAAAGACATTGATCAATACAACATTGTTTGGAGTCATGAATGCAGGTTTAAAGAAATGGGACAAAAATAAACTCAGAGGAACATCAATAAGTCTAAACAAGTACAATGAACATATGATCACAGTAACTGTACTATAGATATACATTGCATTCAGAACCTGACCAAAACTATGTAGCTACAATTCGGATAACTGTTTTGGGGCCATGCCCAATAACCAATAAAACAGTCTGTTTTTTTTTCTTGTTTTCTTTTGTTGACAGACATTTGTAGAAAAAATTGGGAATTTATAAAGCCTCCAGAATCGTCTCGATCATGACTTAACACAACCAAAACTAAATCATAACAATCCAAGTGACAACTTCGAAAAAATTTGTTTACCCTGTAATAAGCACTGATGCCATAAATACAAGTTTTATTTGTGCTGGGGGAAGCAGAAGTGGAATGTAGGCAGCCTGGTGATGGTTGCGCTTGATACAATTTAACATGGAGCCAAAGAAAACAACAAAGGAGGAATCCATCATACCAGAGGCCCATCAAGTTTGTGCAAGGCCTGCAACAAACGGTGGCAAACCTGTCGAGTTCAAAAGCATCCCATATGATTGTTATCCGTGGCCTCTAATTGAATACAGATATAATTTATGTTACTGTTTGGATGGAGGTTCTTTTAACAGATATATATTTGTACTGGACAGTTGATAACAGCTAGGCAGATTTTTCGATCACCATAAAGGATGGGTTTTATTTCTACTGTAATTGCACATCATCTCTGCAATCAAAACATGTGTATACATTGCCAGCATTGTTAAAACACATTATGCAATAAAGTGTTGATGTTTTTTGTTTGTTTTTTAGTTATCTTTGGTGTGATTGCAGTATGTCATGAAATGGAAACACCCTCATCACTTCCTTAACATCCTACAGCATTTGATTATTTCTGCAGATGACAATGGTAGCTCAGTCGAAGGGAGCTTAGTTTTACTTACATGAAATATGAAGGCTTTGGCAACCTCAAGCTTCAACACTGGCACCCTTTGCCTGTAGCCAATATGGACCGCAAGTTTGTCGGCTTCTTTTGCAGGGGTTGTGGTGTTGTCAGAATGCCGAGCTCTGCCTGGTTCTGAATGAAAGATAGTGAGTAGACCTCGAGGCAGCTTGCCTTGAGGCCTACCCACTATCCTTCAACCAGAGCCAATCAGAGCTCGGCATCTTTCTGACATCACCGCAACTCTTGCACAAGAAGCAGACGACTTGCTCTCCCCATAGACAAGTCTCTTAAAGTCATTTAGAGAATAAAAATGGACAGTAACGCGGAACATCAGCTGACCCAATTTCTCAAAATGTGTAGGACTCGAGTCTCAAAGCAAAATCTAATGTATACCATAAAAGCGTGGTGGTTGCTAAGTGATGGTAATAAATAAGCATTTCTTTGCACTGGCACTGCCAAATACCACAAAGCTCACCATCACTGAGAAGTAGTATGTAATAGCCCTGGGTAAATTTCTATAGATAACCAACTAAAACTTGCAAAAATATAGGTCACTTTCCCTCAAAATAACTTCTGTGCTCAATAAATGTTCAATCACTACAAACACAAACTATCATGGCAAATATATTACTTTGAGAACACTCATGGTGAGTTCCACATGCACCTGTCAGTAGTGGAATGGTTGAACTGCCCCACATTGTTTTGTAAGGGTACAAAGACAAAGCACTCAATATGCTACACCAAACATACATAACGATCCCACATCCATTTGTACAATATCACAAAAGACGAAAACATTAGCAAAGGAAAAGAAGTTTATGTGAACTTATTTTGTCTTTGTGTTCATAAGCCTATAAACTTTAATTAGTTATTACTCTATGGTTCATATAATATGCTTGATTCTAATAAATACATACCTTAGTAAAGCCCACTAGAGGGCACATTATGAATAAATATATATGACTCTGTTATCAACTTTGTTATTGCTATCAAACGGTGCTACGGTGACTTGTATGTACACACATCTAGATCTGTATGCTCTGATGCAGAGCTCACATAAAAGCTCTAGCTACTTGTTGCAAGTAGCAACTAACTATAGTGGAAACTCACAATGACTCATTCATTTCAAAATGTGATTCTTTCACACATAGTAAAACACAAGCATATGACACTTTTTTTGCCCGTAGATGCATGCACACATATTTTTACCTTATTGCATGTCATTTATTCAAAGGGTAAGAGATAAATAGTGCTACTTCTCAAGAACTCAGAAATTAAAGTATAGTGTAAAATACCGGGCAAGCGCCCACTCAAAATTTAGAGATAATTGCGAAAAAATGGGGGATGGGCACTTGTCCGGTCATCAATGTTACACATGAACGTACTGTGCATATTTTTTTATATCTTAGAAATTTGGATATGGACACTTAATGTGGAATGGGCGGATATGCGGTATTCTACGGTATGTCATCTTGTGGCCATAACACAACAACAAAACATAGTAATATTTTGTAGATTTGGTATTAATATTGTTACACCCAACAAACAAAGGTGCAGAATTCTTTGGGAAAGAGCATTTTTTTAGAATGAACCTTTTTGTGAATTAGCACTATTTGGTCCCGACCGCTTTCTCACGAAATTAAATGAATTGACTACTCACAAGAAATGCCCAAGAAAGCACCGTGTGAACCGTGCATAAAACACTGAAAACTAAAAGCTAAGAAAAAAAAGCAACAGAATCAGTATTCAAAAATAAAGTGTGTCATCGAAGAGTTACCTAAACAACATTTATGACAGTAACACTACACTGGCACTCATGACAGAGGCACAAAATAGAGCCTTGAGTCACTCTAGGAGCTAACGCCCTGAGTAGAATGTGACACAATGACACAAAATGAAGGGTTGGGGATTGGCCAAAGACTCCGAGGGGACAGGACACTGAGCATAACCTTCGCAAAATGCCAACGTGTGGTATCTTAAGCTCCAAAAGTCACATTGAACGTTGCCAGTTCCATGGGAGACACCTTGATGCCATGCCAGTCTGTCACTCTCTCCAAGTTCCTGGTCCCGGTAAGGGTAGTCCTGTGGACAGACTGCACTTTCACAAACTTGAAGTCCACCGGCGAGGAACCGCCCAGGGAGAGCGGCACGAGTGGAGCAACCTTGCACGAAGCTGCCTTCTGGTGCAAGATTAGCAAGCTGCTTTGTGACGGATTGTCAAAGTTTCCGTCCACAGGCGTGGTCCTGAGATTCAACAACCAGAGGTCATCAGGGTAGCTGCTATTGAGAAAACTTAAGTTGGGCCTCAGCTCCTTGTTCTGGTTGCCCTCCGTAGCCAAGATAACTGGCGGGTAAAGCATCTTTGCGGAGAGTGTGTGAGCCAGCAGAGACAAGTTTGGGAGTTCTGCCGTCGTGGTGCTCCCTGGCTGCGACCTTCGTTCTTCCAACATGAGCCAGAACCTTGCCACAGTCTTCCGGTTGTCCATGACTCCCTCTCCAAGTCCGCGGCTGTCGTCGTAGCGCAATTTTCGGTCCAGCATCACTTCCAAGGAGCCTGGCTGAATGCTGGCTGCTCCGTGAGCGTGAGACACTACTAGAGTCATTCGGGAGGTCTTGTCTTCAAGGTAAGCAGCGGACGTAATGGGATAGTAGTTGGCCTCAATGGGGAGTTCCACATTGGTTACCCGTCGCATCATCTGGAAGCCGGAAGCATCCGTAAAAAATGTTCTGTCGCTGTTTATGTTGGTGTCAAGCTTCAGAAACAGCTCCACATTCATCTCTTCGTGACGTTGCAAATCGAACAGAGTGATCATTTCAAGACCACCACCCAGAGCACCGCTGACGTGATACACTCTGAACGTATGAACAACAATTTGAGGGTAGGCCACCATAACCTCAGATGCGACTGGACCGCGGATGACTCTGACAATGGGGAAGCGTCCTGTGACATTTATGAAAGGGTTACTAGCATCTGGCTGAAAAAGGTATGCACCACTGTGAAATTCTAACGAGCGGTAAGCAGAAAAGGTGAGGTTCAGCTGGTTTTCTATTCCACTCTCGGTCAACCTGATTGAAGTCAAGAGCCCCGTTTGATGGGAAAACGATGCTTTGAGGAAGGCAGTTTCCAACTCAATGGTTTCAGAAGCTGGGCTCTCAAAAGCAAAGATGCTCTCTGCATCAGAACCAGCCCAGGCGTCGGCCACAAACAGGGAAACCCTCGTCTTTGCTGGCCTGTTTCGTGCGCCCACGTCTGAATACAGTGTATAAGCAGTCAAAGACAGGGGTTGAAGTTCGGCAATAAAAACCACCTCAAAAACTTCGGTGGACATCATGGCAGCATCGTCCCAGACGGGATTGATTTGAAAAGGAATGTCGCTGTTGGAAGGGCTAGTAACTTTTGTCACGAGCGTCTTGACATGCACGCGAACAACTTCCTGCACATGCTGCGCATGCGAGTTGTAGAGCACGACCTTTCGGCCGATCACACCTGGCACCGTCAGCGGAACCTTCGACGGCAGAACTTCGAAAGACTGCCTGTCGATGTCAGGGAACAGGTAGGAGATCATGGAGTGTGGGGCATTGTAGCCGCCTTCGAACGTTGGCTGTGGGTTCTCAAGAAGGAGAAGGAACTGAGCAGCGTGCGCAACGACCCCCATAGCTTCCTTCATTCCATTAAACATTCTGGAGCCATAGTCAGTCATGACACCTTCCTTAGATGTGCCAGTAATGGCATCATGATGCATAAACAACCCCAGGCTGTCCCGTGACTGCACCAGAAAAACATACTCAGCGTCCATCCGCTCGGCCAGCTCTTTCATGTGGGTTTGATGCAGGTAGCTCCTGGCCAAGCTGTAGATTATCTCGGCCGCTCGTAACCAGTGCTCAAGCTCCCTGCAGAAATGCTTCAGATAGGGGCGCGTCGTGTAGTAGCCCGTCCAATAAGAGGGCGTCCCCTCCGCGTACACATCGCCGTACGGGTGAAAGTCTCCTTCCAGCGTCGGGACGAGGGAGGAGCCCCGAACAGCGGCGGACGACACCATCTTCTCCATCCTCCGGTGCACCTCTTGGAAGTAGTCCTGGAGGGTTCCGAAACGCACATTGGCATGCAACTTCTTGGAGTTTGTGTTGATGTAGTCAAAGAGCCTCCTATAGTTCTTGTGCTGCTGGATCCACTCGGCATCACGGTCAAAGCGGAAGTCATCACCAAGCGGCACAAGGGCCACGTTGTGTGGGAAGAGGGATCCGATGCGTCCATACTGACCCAGTAACTCTTTGGCCAGTTCCGCCACATTGTTGGGGTTGATGATGGATGCCCGGCTCTCTGTGTACTCCCCGGCCATGCGCCGGAAGTCAAACTTGAGGCACACCTCCGGGTCCGGCCCGCAGGTGTGCTTGATGCTATACAGCTCGAAGGGCGCCATGTGACAAAGCACGCCGGAAGAATTGTTGCGGCGAGACGACATGCGCTGCGATGAGGTCAGGAACGGGGGCTGCCAGAGAAACTCGAGTTGCCTGCGGGCAGCCAGGAACTGCTTCCAGGCGTAGTGAGTGCGCTGGACAAAGGTGCTGCGGATGCCCGACGCCTGCAGAATGTAGGGCATGGTAGCACCGTGGCCGAAGGGGTCGATGGACCAGCCATTGCGTGGCACCACACCCAGGTTGGTGCGCAGCCACTGGTGGCCCTCCACCAGCTGGTCGACCATGGCAAAGTAGTGGGCGGCTGCCTCGTCCGTCATCACCCAGCCGCCGGTCACCATCTCCAACTGGCCGCGGTGAACGAGCCGGCGTACCGCATCCCGCAGGTGGGGTCGGTTCTGCAGGCTGCAACACAGGCGGCAGGGAATAGTGTCAAGGGTGACCAAAGTAAAAGGAACTGTGCTCGAGAGAGACATTAAAACGACAATGACACCCCCAAAACAATTTGCTAATTTTTTGCCAGGCGATTTATTATGGTGTCCGAAGACTACCCAATCAATATTTTGCTACAGCGTTACATATATTTTTAATAAAGTAAAAGAATGCAACTGCTTGAAACCGAAACTGGACTAGGGAGAAAGAAGAAATATAGAGGAGTGGAAAGTTGCCAAAAGTCACGTGGCAGTGCAACTTCCTTTTTTTCTTCAATCAACATCTCTGCAGTTTTTTAGAAGCCACAAAATATGGGTATCATATTTTCTGTCTAATTTTAATATTTAGTGCGTGCCTCCGATGACCAACGACTTTGATTATCTTTGGTGGTTGTGTCTAAACCAAAGAAAACGGCACGTGACCACAAAGAAGAGTGTGCGCGCGACTCAAACTGGCTGGTTATCGACCGGCGGTTTCTGGGCGGAAAGAAAAAAAATTCTGAGCTGCAAATTGGGTTCTGGATAGTTGGGCTCTCATATGTCATGTACAAATAAAAATCTTAACGAGCTTAAATACCCTGTCAGTGTCCCTTTAAGGCATTGGCGTTTGATTCTGCTCAAGTATGTTGCATTTCCATGTAACCGCACGCTACGAGAGGACAGCATGCATCTGTTAGGTAACTCCGGAACACTTTCGACCTGCGTAAATATTTTGATCATTTTTTACGCATCACTTCTTTACTGACAGCTTGAAATAAATCTGACCATTTTTTGTAAATAGTCTGTAGATTTGACCTTGCAAATACTGCAGGACCTTCAGTCTCGTTATACGCAGTCCCAGAACTATACCTAATTTGTGGCGCCAGTGTGCCAGTGTATTCCCTCGTCGTAAGCAATTACAAGGGAACGGAGCACATCAAGATGCCATTCAGACGCAGGGCTTTGATGAGCCTTTCAAATCCCATCTCAGGGCCTTTTTGAGCCAGTCCATGTACCAACTTGCATTATAGGGTTATTCAAGCTGGCTGTCTGATTTGTTTACAAAATGGTGCTTTCTAATTTAGTACACTCCTTTCTCTTTACAGCAATGAATTGGAAATAATTTTTTCTGCTAAGGTTTATGGTCAAAATATGACATGTCATAGTAAAGAACTTGGTTTCTATGTAAGAGTATGGCATTTCTCAAGCAGAATCTTAAATCTAAAAAAATAATCATTTCTAAGATTTACCATTTTCAGTGTCGATAGCAGGGGTGGCCAGGGTGACCTGGCCTAAGGGCCACAAAGAAAACCACGAAACTTCCAAGAGCCGCGGGGGGGAGGGGGCGAACTTTTGTTCAGAGAAATAAACATAACTCTAACTACTTTCAATCTATCCGAGTGAAAAGCAGTTCAACTGTACGTAAGGTAGCAGAATAGCGCGAGACTACCAATCCGCAACCTGTCTTTCTATCTAAAACGCATTCCATTTTTCTTTTTGGGGAAGTGCTCGTATGACCGGGAGAAAGGCGGGGAAGTGTGTGTGTGTGTGTGGGGGGGGGGGTAGGGGAGGGAGCTGTGAGCCGCACTTTTAACACGCAAAGAGCCGCATGCGGCTCGGGAGCCGCAGCTTGGCCACCCCTGGTCTATAGTCTCAATGCTGCAAGGGTGTGTGTTGGTACTTGTCTTCATACCCAAATTCAACATCTTTCTTTTAATTTGTTTTTAAAAAGTTCAACTTCTTGACTTCTGGCACATAATATTTTAAAAGATGCGAAATTTTGACATATATGAGGCCAAAAAATTGTTTTATTGAAGGTCGACGGTCAGCCAGAAAGGAGTAAACTCCCTCTCAATGCCTCCTTTCCATTCGAAAAATGGGGAGACCCTCATCCTTTCTGCGGGGAGTAGCTCAGAGACACACTCATGGGGAAGAGGAGAATGAAAAGTGTGAGAGGGGATGGAGAGGAGAAAACTGGCAACTGGTTTTCTTCCCGGCAGAAGACGATTCTGTAGTCGACTTTTAAAAGGCAATGCCGCTCCATTTTTGTTTAAAAAAACAATGCAGTCCTCTTCAGTATCACCTAGGAAGACCACACGTCAAATATTACGACGTAGTTCTGTCCAAATGTTTCTTAAGCAGTACAGCAAAATTTGCAACTCGCCAAGCTGCCGAAATTGGCTGACTCAAGCGGGTAAATAGAGGCGCAACCAACAGCACAGTCAAGGCTACGGCGTGGGTGTAACCAACATTAAGCTAAACGTCATCATCATTGCTCTCTTTTGCTGAGTTATTATTTAGCGTGTCTTTTTAAAGGCAAAATTTTATTAAAAACTTTTTTAAAGAACATTTTGAGATATTTTTTTAAAAATACCAAACCCTATTAAAATCGAAAAAAAAAGAAACGCCCAAACACCGGAGAAATAAAGAGGCATTATCAGGTGGGCAATGTTTCAGAATATGAGAAAACATATTTCTGTGCAAAATCGAGTGCTAGACAGGCCTGCATCCGCTACGGACTCATGATACAGGAATCGACATCGCGGACATGGCAAACTCGCAATCCACGGAGCTATGTCTTGACTTTCAAGATGTTATCAGAATGTGTTCTGAATTCTACATCTTCAAGGAACAGATTTTGTTTTTTTCATTATTATTATTATTATTATTATTTGTAATGGGACCCTGATATGAAGAAAGAATGAAGGTCTTACCTCCTCCACCAGCGTGAAAAGAAGCACACCTCGGCCCAGAGAAAGGAGAAGTCCCTGTTCTTCGTCAGGAAGTCGACCATATTGTTCAGAATGTGTGCAGTGTTGCTCAAGAAGTAGCCCTCGAAGGTCTTCAGCCAGCCAGGGTCATTGTGCGAGTGTGGGATTACAATCACCTGCAGAACACAAGCAGAGCAATGAGATGCCGCAGATGAAAACTCGAGCCACAAGACTTTTCATTACAAAGCATGTAGCATATTAAACAAATACTCGAATTATTGTCAGTCTGTTCCCAAGTTTACGAAATTTACCTTAATATTGTGGAGTGAGAGACTGTACAGCGCTTCTTTCCCACTTAACCGTCAACTTGCGGAGAAGAGGTAACTCACCGAGTGTCATGCGGAACATATTTTTCACTTGGCGTTTGCGAATTAAAGATCTTAAGGCAAATTCTCTTGGTGAATTTGGAGCGCTTTTGGAGCGATTTTCTGTTGGCATCCTCTTGGGCGTACATTAAAGGCGAGAGCATTGAGCGCTTTCGGATCGCTCCAAATCCACCAAGGGAGCTCCACATCATACTGAAGTTCGACGAGCTTGAAGCTTCTTCAACCTTCGAATATCGTGTGTACCAGCTGAGGAGTGTGTAATTGTTTATACAACGCGAGCAATGTTTTAAAAATACCAGCGCGAAGTTCCGGCAGCGCCGACGCGGATCACTGCGCGCCGCGCGAACTGTGTTGATGTAGAAGTGCGTACACGCTTTAGGGGAAGACACACAAATGACAGTGACAGGACGTTCATAGGACTTCCCCAGAACGTTAAGACATTCTAAGGACATTCACAGTACAGAGTGCTACTAGGGATACAATACAATATAATTTATTATGTTTCTATTTTAACTAAGGTGACCACCTTCCTGCTAGCGAAATGCGGGACAGGCGGGGCAGAGGGGGGGGGGGGGGGGGGGATTATTTTAAGAAGCACACAACGAACCAAGGCGCAGTTAACACATTTAGTGTCCCGTACTGTTTATACACCTGCTAAATTTATTGCGGCAATTAGGCTCAAATAATGTTCACTACCAGTTATACATTATTTTGAATGCCAAAGATGGTATTACATCTGCCGAAGTTGAAAACATAAAAATCGACTGTACCAGAACTCAACGCATCAAATGGAAATAAGAAACAGTAAATATTTTTCTGGTTATTGTTTCTTGTCCACGCTTACTTCTATCAACATGGTCCTACACCAATTTTTAACATTATGGTCTTTTTTGACCTTCGCATCTGTGCCTTCACTGCCTTCACTAAAAAAAAAAAAAAAAAGAAGAAATTTACAGCAAATCTTTCGCATTGGCATGGTGCTACACAAATTTTTAACATTATGTTCTTTTTCGACCGTTGCATGTGTGGCTGCCTTCACTAAAAAAAAAAAAAAGAAAAAGAAATCCACAGCAAACCTTTCGCATTGTCATGGTGCTACACAAATTTTTAACATTAAAGGCTCGTTCACACTCTTGCAACCGAGCACGACCGAGAAAGACTTCTTGGGACCGGATGCGCTGAGCGGAGCTGGTCCTAAGAGATCGCAAGAGGCTTAAAAACCGGTTTGGTCTCTCTCGGTTGTACTCGGTTGCAAGAGTGTGAACGGGCCTTAAGGCCCGTTCACACTCTTGCGACCTCTTAAACCTAGGTTCCTTAAAACTTCTTAAACCAGAGAACACACTGGCGCCATCTATTGGGAAGCAGTGTAAACTCGGCGGTCCGGCATATTTTTTTTTTATTTCTCGTGCATTATTCTTTCTTTCTTGACTCGAAAAACTTTTGTCAATGTTATAAACGAGCCTTTCTATGGTTATTACGCACATTTGACCTCGGAAATCCCGCAAAACCTTCGCTCTTGTGAAATACAGTTCCAGGGTCACCGCATAGATGGCGCCACAATACCAGTGTGTTCCCTCATTCTAAAAACATTTAAGAAGTTGTAAGAGATCCTCGTCTCTCTCAGTCGTACTCGGTCGCAAGAGTGTGAACGGGCCTTTATGTTCTGTTTCGACCGTTGCATGTTGCCTTCACTAAAAAAAAAAAAAAAAAAAAAAAAAATTTACAGCACATCTTTTACATTGGCACGGCAATTTGAAAATAATTACAATATTTTATATTTAAACTTTTGGCGAGAACTTTTTCGTACAGTATTTTCCCACCAAAGGGAGAGGCACAACGGCGCATGCGCGTCGGTCCTCTCGCAAGAACAACGGTCGCTTCCCGCAATGCTTGGATAGATCATAGATCATGGCGTACCATTTCGATTCACACAATTACTAGCGACCTCCGCACTTCCCCGTGCCCCATTTTTCGGCAGCACCGTGAGTTGCGGAGTGAATCTAACGACAGTGTGAAATGCGGGACATTTTCTAGATTTGGGACCTTCTCGCGGGACGCGGGACACGAGCCCTCAATGTGGGAAAGTCCCTTTAGTCGCGGGACGGGTGGTCACCCTAATTTTAACGTGCGATGAAGAAAAAGAACCGCACTTTTGCCGCGGGCGCATTGCCTCACCCTGCCGAACCTCCTGCAAGAACGGCGGTCGTTTCCCGCAATAAAATAGCGGGAATCACTCTGGAGGCACCGCCGGAAAGCCTGCCCAAAGGCACGTATCTGAGCACGCGTGCCGATTCAGGCTTGTTCCCATGGATATCCCCTCCAGCGGCACCGTGTTTTCGTGTTCGGTTTGTAGAGTTAGTAACGTCATTAGGGGCGCTGTCAGCATCGGTATGATGGCAGGTTTGTGTCTCATGGAAATCATTGTACTTTTTTTTTTTTTTGTGAAACTAGAAATTAAGGAGAAAAAAAAAAAAAAGAGAGAGAGAGAACTTGCGTTAGGGGCTAAGTTGGGGGAGCTCCCATAATGCCTCCTAGGGTGACCACTTTAATTGAAATGCAGGACAAAGCGGGGCAAAGGGGGGGGGGGGGGGGGGAGAGAGAGAGAGATTTATTAACACGCACACCATGAATCAAGGCAATTTTCCAACTTTTTCCTGTTTAGCTTTCCTCCTCAACTCATAAATCGCGCATTCTACCAAACAGTTCAAGAAGACGGAAAGGGGGGAGTCCCCTCTTGCTCAGACTCTCGGACACAGCCATTGTCCTCCTAGAAGGTTAGCCCGTCGTTCAAAATTCAGACAAAAATCGCTTTCCCCACCCCAATCACCCCGAAGCTGACAGTGCTGTGGAAGCTACGTGCTCGTTGGGCCAGACACACTTTTGCCACGTGATCACGCTCTCTCGCGCATACCCACACGCACAGAATGAGGTCAGGTGATGAAAGGGAGGCGGCTGATTGGCCCGGCAAGCGCGTAGCTTCCGTTGCAGTGTTAGCTTAGGGATGAAGGGATCAAGTGAGGTCCGGTGTTGTGTGACGTGCGTTTGGACCCGGTGACGCGCTTCGGGGACCCGGTGACGAAGCTTCGGGGTCCGCGGATGTATCACAGTGAAAAGGCAGAGAGCTTACGAAGGGAAGGAGGTACAAAATAGTCCGAAGTGTTTTTAAATTTTCGTACCGAAAGTCAGGCTTTTGACTTTCTACCTTTCTTCTTTCTTTTGGCCCACTGAACGATGTGCTATTAGTAAAATCCCAATCTAAATTGATTTATACCAGCCCAAAATTCGTTTCATGGAGCCTTTAATATCCTGTGCTGTTTATACACCCGCAAATTGTATTGCAGCAATTTAGCTTAAATCTTTTCACTCCCAGCGATATATTTTTTTTTCTATGCCAAGTATGTTATGATATGTGTCGAAGTTGAAAACACAGAAATCGACTGCAGCAGAACTCAATGCATCAAATGGAAATAAGAAGCAGTAAACCTTTTTCCGGTGATTGTTTCCTGTCAACGCTTACTTTTGTCAACATGGTCCGACACAAATTTTTAACACTGCGTCATTTTTCGACCGTTGTGAGTTGAGGCTTTTTGCCTTGTGCCACTAAAACCAATTTCCGCAGAATTGCCCTTTCGCATTAACACAGCAATATGAAAATAACTACAATAATTTCTATTTAAACTTTTGGCGAGCAACTTCCTCTTACAATATTTTGCTATCAAGGGGAGAGGCACAATGGCGCATGCGCGTCCTATCTCCTGCAAGAACGACGGTCGCTTCCCGCAATGCTCGGATAGAAAATGGCATACCATTGCGATTCACACGTTCACCAGCGACCTCCACGCTTCCCCGTGCCCCGTTGTTCGGCACCACCATGAGTTGCGGAGTGAATTTCACGACAGTGTGAAATGCGGGACATTTGAAGATTCGGGAATTTCTCGCGGGACACGGGAAACACGGGCCCTCAATGCGGGGCAGTCCCGCGAGTCGCGGGGACGGGTGGTCCACCCTAATGCCTCCACTCTTTCCACATGAGCAGATCTTTGTGGGGGAGGTTGTCCTAGGGTAATTAGTAATTAGTTAGCTAACTAACTAAAAAGCATTGATTGATTTCTTTTCATTTTTTCTGTTTTTGGGACATAATTAGGATTCCGTGATCTTGGAGTTCATTTTTCGTCAAATTCAAAAAACGTTTTTCGAAGTTTTTTTTTTCTTTTTTTTTTTAAGAACATTGGGAGTTTATTGAACTTTATTTTCGTTTGATTCCCGATTCTCCGAAATTCGGTGTCTAATTTCACAGTGTTTCTTAATAAAAAGAAATAAATAAAATACGTATGCTAGATAAAAACAAATATTGAAAGACGTTTACAACACCCTGTAACACCGAATTAGAGCGCAGCTCTTGAGGGGGAGGAGGGAAGGGTATACCCCTCCTCCCTCCTCCCCCTCATCCCTCAAGCTGCTCACCTCCTCTCCTCCTCCTTTCCTCCCCCCTCCCCTTCGTCCTCCTCTCCCTCCTCCTCCCCGCGCAGTGCATTATGGAACATTTCTCATAATGCACCACGCGGTTACGCCGACGGCGACGCCGCTCAAGCCGGAAACGGGAGCCTAAAAGCTGCGTTCTAAAAAATAAAGCGTGCTTGTATCAATTAACATTTCTTCAGCTGGATTTGGCATTGGTGGCACTGCTATTGGCAATACTAATTTATCCAACGACAAAAGTTGCACACAAGTGTTGCTTCGATAAACGTCGATACCTTAAAATCAATAAACCGTGGAGGTATAATTATAAT